AACTGATTTTAGATTCACGACTACATTTCCATAACTTTTGTCTATGTTCATTTCATAAATGTATTAGGAAACAACCTCTAGTGAAAACATAGTAATACGGTCTGAAATACAATTGTGTGAAGTATGAATAGGGTCAAATTGACTTCCAAGTTCTCCATACCTAAAATTTTTGACTTTTTTTAAACCTTTATACTTAAGAAGAATTAAACAAGGGAGCGTCAGACTACTTTGTTTAACATGCTTTTATTAACATATAAAGCCTTTTCTCTTTACACATTACATTTACAGTAGATTTTGATCGCAAGTTCATGTACTCTTCATTTGTATCCTGATTCGGAAATAAACCAATCTTGATCGTCTAACAAAATTACGGGGCATATGAATGAATCATGCCTATTGCTCAAAACCAATAATCAGCCATAAGAGAGCACTCATCTATTTATTCCAATGGACTACTTAGTTCAAGCCTGCGGTAGACAGTATTCGTACAGTTTGAATTTCTCTGTCGATGTCGAGAATGGATTTCCCAACAAATAAAACCATGCTTTTGTTATATCCTAATATTTTACTTGTTTATAACCACTTAATGCCGGAATTATGATCCGCTGAGAGAAAAAAATCGCCGCTTCGGTTATTTGCTAATTCAAGGCCGTAGAATACGAATTTAAACTAATTTTTTTTTATCTCACTTATATCTTATTTGGGAGAAAATTTTTTGTCACGAAATGGATACACTCGTCCACGTGATGAATTTATTGTGTCAATACTCGCACGTATTGCGACTGATACGAAAGGAAATATAACAAATTCAATTCAAAATAAACGAAACCGGACGACAGAAAATGTTCAGTAGACCGTACTGTTGGTCATAAATATACGCCATGGTACCACTCAAAGCAATTTTTGGCTTTGTTTAAGCATAAATATACTCCGCATTTGGTACATCTGATTACCGGCTTGCTATCACACCCAGGGAAACGGGAAACAAAGTCTCTTAGCTTTTACCACAGGCTAATGGCCAGTGGCATCGGTTCTAACCTCGTTGTTGGGATGTGGAGTAGCTGTGCTTCTGATTCGTGGTGGGTTATAGTAGACAATGGCCTGCCTCGCTTAAGTGGAGTCGATGTTTTCCCAAGCTTGCAAAGAGATTCTGCCACAGAACTTCGAAACGATAAAAGATCTCGCTACTTGTTACTCGCAATTCCCAGGGACCATAAAAGGACGAGTCACCATTATGTGCTGTTTCGTGACGTTGTTCCATCTTCGGACTTTTGATTTGGGTATGGCGCTGGCAAACGAACTGGCAATAGTTACACTTCGTTTATTATGCCACTTCACAACTCTTATTTCAGTGTCTTCAACACATGACGTATTTTTCTTATAACATTCCAGTCCTCTTTTTTTTTAAATCTTTGTCAGATTCCAGCTCGCATCCTAATAATTTATATTGAAGTAATGTTATCGAATTAAATACGTTCTCAGATCGTATTTCTTTTGACTAATATTACTGAATGTTTTGAACAACCCTGAGAGCGTAACTTGACCTAGTTTTCTCGCGAATGTCCCAAACACAAATGACAGTAATGTTGGAAATGTACCATTATCGAACGCGTGTTAAACCCGATGGTAATAAGTGGAGAACTACTAAACATAGTTACATCAATCTTATGGATGGAACCCGTGGCTAAATTTACCTTGGACCATATCTACTGTTTATATCTCAACTCATTGAAAGGTCTATATTTTTGATCGATAGCTGAATAGCTCTCGTCTGACCATAGTTCCGATCTTGTCTTGCTGACAAAGGCTCTTATCTCCATCCCAATACAACTGCATTGAATTGCAACAATTGCTGAAAAGAGAATTCAAGAGGTAATAATTTTTTTTATTTACAAAATACAATAAATGATAGTCTATGTATCGCTACAGCGATTCGAAAGTTCGTTGTTGTTGTGAGTCTTGTTGTTGTTGTTGTAAGGTGACTGTTGTGGTAAAAAAAAATTATCTTTTCTCTGTGACTAATGAACTAGAAGATTTCTAAGTTTCAGTGCCTGAAGATGGTAGTAGTCGACAGAATAATATTACTTTCAATTTTCTCCTACGAGATCCGATATTTCACTCGAATGATCTTTGTTGTATGATTTAATTCACACCCGGTAACCCAATCAAGAACTAGATACAATTTTACAGACCCGAAAGACCCTAAAACAGCAAAAATCCAACCAAAACAACAACAGACGCATTGCTGCACCCACAGCCCAGCCAACAGGATAACAAAAAAACGATTGGCAGTGCCATAGCGCCGCGGTGTCTCCAAAAGCAGCAATATCAAACAACAGCATTCATAAAACAAAAAATATGGGTCGTCACAGAGTAAATTGTTTGATTTTGTTAACACTTGAACTTCTGTTTGTTCATGATCGTACCCCAACGTTTCATTTAATCCAGGACGTTTTGCACAAAAGTTATGTTCTCTCTAGAATATGTTCAAAATGACCCCTTTTAATAGAGACGGAATTGTACCCGTTGCGCAAATGTGTCAATCACTCACTTAGATTTCTGCTGAATCGCACCGTCTTCTGTATGGGCATGTCAATAGCAAAAAAATTGATTACCTTGGTACAACACCTCCGAAGAAAGTCTTACAGAGACTTTTATACCCAATAATGTTCGCAGTATGCGTAACCATGGCCCAACATTACATAACTGGTCCGTATTGGTTCGAAGACAAAAATCAAGCGGTGAATATGAAACCTTATTTAGACAACGTAGAGTCGTAAAAAGATTGATTGAGTCGATTTGTGGTTCACACATCACATTACGCCCATACCGGACTGTAAGAGCGATTTCCGAAAAGGCAGAAATCAACAGAAATTGTAACGTCGAGTGGGCACCTCATTCATTGGATTTGAACACTTTTATCTGTAATAATATTCGAAGGACATATCATAACATTCCTCTAACAATTGGTGAACTCAAAACTGCAATTGCAGCAAGAAGAAATCCTATTGTGTAGTACGTGTTAGTGATTGCCAATTTTGCGCAATGGATGCAAGTCTAATGAGGTGATTCGGAACATATTCTAAATAGAACATAACTTTTTTGCAATCGTCCTAGATTCCTGAAACTTTCGAGTAAAAAATCATGCACAAACAGAAGTTGAGTCCTAAACAATATTTAAAAAAATTTGCTGTTTTTTGTAGAAGTTATTGGAAAATTCATAGGTTCCGTTTTTTTGGTCACTCTGCATATTGAGGTGGAAACTAATTATTCCGTGTTTCATCACCCGGGTCATAACTCATTTCATTGACAATAGGTTAATTTTTAAAATCATATTGGAAAATTCGACAGTTTAATTTGGAGGACGAAAAGTCCAATAACGGAAAATAGGAGTTAAAACTGTTAAATTTGCTTGGTATGTAGGCCTGCTACTGCATAGGGCTGCTACTTCACTATCTGGTAAGTAACTCGGATATCATGTTATTATTAATCGTTTCCAATACTTGTATTGATTACCTCTTTTCAGTTTGCAAGATTCTAACTTAGAAAGATAACATTTGTTATAGCTTACATTCAATAAAATTCTTTTATCTCTAGAATGGAGTCGATGGGTGTCGACTTCCCCGAGCATCGACTTTCTGGCTTTCTCCCGCATCATTGCTAATATGCAAAAAGTGACGTAACAATGTAAAGTTTTTGCAGCCGCTCAGACACTTTTACCACCCAGACAGATTCTCAGCCATGATGGTTGCATATATCACCTCGTTTTCGAGGTTTTACATGTTATTTGTCAGTTTTTAGTTGTGTTTCGAAAATTTAAGTAAGAATCAACCACCCAGTGGCAATAATTTTGATGACGTCATAGCGAGAAAAAAAAGTAATAGCCTTCTGGAGAAAATTTTTATCTTTAATCACTGAAAATATCAAAGCAATTGGTCCAGTATTCGAAGAGAAAAGCGATTTTTTTAAAATGGAGATGGAGACAAATAACAATAACAATAACAACAAAATTTTGAAACGATCGTTATGATCTCAGCCATGATGGTTGCATATATCACCTCGTTTTCGAGGTTTTACATGTTATTTGTCAGTTCTTAGTTGTGTTTCAAAAATTTAAGTAAGAATCAAATAGCCTCAATTTCGTCTTCGATGGAGTTTAGTTTGATTGCAGCAATCAAAAATTGGCCAAGAAATAGCTGTGATAAACTAGACTAAACTTTTCTTCTGGTACTTTTAAATGACAGTTAGTTGAATATTTTGAATCGAAATTAAGGTTTGGAACATGTAAATCGGTTTATAGACGCCAGCTGGCGAAACCACTACTAAAACAAGAGAGCTATGCTCAAATATATGGGCACGTATAATTTTGTTTTTAAATTTTTTTATAATTTTTAAATAATTTTGATGACGTCATAGCGAAATAAAAGTAATAGCCTTCTGGAGAAAACTTTTATCTTTAACCACTGAAAATATCAAAGCAATTGGTCCAGTATTCGAAGAGAAAAGCGATTTTTTAAAAATGGAGATGGAGACAAATAACAATAACAATAACAACAAAATTTTGAAACGATCGTTATATATTTTTGTAATAATAAAGCATAGGAAGAAATTTCCCGGGACCAAGGTACAGGGAAACCTTCATTACCATAATTGTGTCAAGCGCAGTTCAGCGTTCATAATTCATCATACGAATGAAGGGGTCGAATAATTGAATAATTTATATTGTTCCCAATATGCTTCATACAAGGCATGCAATTTTTTTGCAGGAAGGCTGTTCAAATAGGTCCTGTATTTATTTTTCCACTTGTGTCCTAATGATTCCCATGAATTGGATTTTTCTGAAAAAAAATATTGTATTTAAACATAAAACAATTATATTTGAATTGTCTGCACAGCAAAAGTCACTGATAATTTTTTTTTTTAATTTTGTACATGCTCATTTCTAGTGATAGATATCAGAAGAAGCCAATATTTAATTTATTTTGTACACTACCCCGCCCCATTCACCGGTGAATACTCACCTTTAAAAAGTAGATTGTTATTTATTCCCAATTTCTTTCCAAGATATTCAGAATCCAGTGCAATTGTCTCTAATTTAGCAATGTAATCATATTGAATATGACAAGGATCACATATATCACTATACGATCTCCAATGGGCATCAACTTGCTTTGGATTGCTCAATATACTGTCGACAAATTCTTCAAAGCTAGCTCTACCAGGTTGGAAATATTCCGTGTTTTTGCTTTTAGCTGAAAAGTAACGAATTCCGTATTTCACAATAACTTGAATTATCGGACTCTGACATGACACGTACTATTTAATTAATTTCGAAATTATTGCTTGGATGAGCGTTGTTATCAATCCTATATGGCTAAAAGATCGGGCTTCATGCCCTGTTTCAGTGAATTGCGCTCTCAAAAATCACATATTTGGAGGATATTGTTGTGCAGGCTGCTTAAAAACGCTTTCCAAAAAGTTATCTAAATTGGGAACACAAAAACTCACCAAATTCTGCATGTATTTTTTCCGATAATGTTATATAATATTCCGTTACCGATCCCTCAGGTAATATTTTATCGATGTAAGCAGATACAACACGCTCCAATGGTTCTCTTACTGTCATTCATGATGCGATAATAATTATTCAGTCGCTTGTTCATTTCATTATTAGACTCTGGGTTCTGTGGTGGGAATCTTGTCCAGAGATAACTGTCACATTTCAAGATAAAGATACTTAAAGATAAATTAGCTGTATCTACGCTATAGTCTATTCTTTGTAGAATGAAGACAAAGGGAAACAATAAATGCGATTGCACTTTTTGTCTCATTAAATAAACTGGCAAATATATATATGTTACTGCCAACAAATGAAATTTATTATAAAAATAGCAAGATTACGCTTGTATGTTAGTGTGAAGTGCCTGTTATAATTGGTATATTATAAAGTGTGAACCGTCAACCTTATTCATGCCAGGAGAGTTGTTTTGATTTAGTGATCGTATGGTCCTTCCAATATCCTATCGATTCCGGTGTTAGTCGAATATTTCACTTAATGAGTACTTGTGTTTTTTGTTCTGGGTGATGAATAAACTTCTAACTATCTATCTGGGATATACTGAATGTTGTTATTGGTAACGAATTGAATTTTATGGGTCGTTCTGAAAACAATCGCTTTTCTCCGCAACTACTGAACCATTTGCTCTGGGCTCTAAGGGATTCGTTTTTTGTGTGCGATGACGTCATCCATATTACAAATTGCGTACCTTGTGGCGTTTCTGCGTTCGCGATCTATTGGTCAGGCGAAGTCGTGAAGCCCGTGGTACCGGTAGTCTACTGTGACAGGTTGCCCACCCGTATTATTTCGTTTTGAACTTCGTGCTCATATATTTGAGCACAGTGTATTTTGAATGATGTTTTTTACGGATAAGATTTTTTTTAACTCATGACTTTCTGACCATATTGCATCTCCTTCCATGACTTATCTCGGCGACCAATCAAAATGGAATGTTACGCCAATAGGATATTGACGCCACGTTAAATGAACTTCCAGCCCGCAAAATACAGGTTATACTTGAGGAAAATACCATAAAATATATAACGTTTACCGTTTTTCGCGAAGTAAAATAAAAGAGTTTAATCCCTTCCAAAGGTGATACTGTTCAATTTCACTCAAGGAAGTTACATTCACAATTCCTTCCGCGATAAGCAATGTTTTTCTCCATTCTGTGCTTCCGCATTTAGGAACTTCACACAGTATCACCTGCAAACAAAAGATAGAGATAAACGTAAATTTTAGATTTTATGCTTCACCATCAGTGTCAGCGATCAAAACGTATTTAGCCAGTACTTGTCTTGTTTACTCTTTTTTATTTAATACGTGGTTTTCCAAAAGAATGTTGGGAGAACCATTTAATGTCCGCTCTGTCCAGCGGACAAATACAAGCCGACCACTCTATTTAGGCTTCTGAAATGGTGTCCCAACCTTGAGAGAGAACCACAGTACTAGTCTAAAGTATCAAATTCAGTGATCTATTAAAAATGTAGTGGCTTTTAACTTGTGCTGCTCAGGGTGATTGTGCTAAAACGCTTCACGGAAGCTTTGTTGGATCAGTCGTTATTTGATCATCAACCAAATAACTCAGCTTTAATTATTATTGAAGCTTTCCATCTAAATAACGAATAAAATTCACCTTGAGTTTATCTGAGTAGTAGAAACGAGGAATTAATACCCCCGTTTTATTCATCCATGTCGATGCATTCAAAGTTCTATTGCCAGAATACCCATATCCAAGTTTATAGCAGTACGTTCTTAAATGTGTATTCCGTTGTTCGGCTATCTTCAACATATTCCATTTTTCTGCTTCAGAGATAATTGGCAGTCCGCCGATGTCGGATCGCAATTGTAGCTTCTGAAACTCAAAATAAAGTATATATTATCAAAATTTGATAGATTTAATTTTAGGTAAACAATGAAACTAGCCCTAGTTTTCCAACTTTGTTATGCAGGTTATGAAGTGGTACCGTTTCACCGATAAGTATACTCGTGAAGCTGTAAACCCTCGGAATATACCGTGTGCTGCAAAGTAACTCAACAGGTTCGATAATCTGACGACGAAAGGAGAGAACTCTGTTATTCAGCAGAAAAGCATGGATTGATCAGTGACACATAGTAAACCGAAAACACGTCTAACTTTTACAGAAGACTGCCAAGAAGAGACGGTGCACTTCTAAAATAAGGGGTCATGTGGGCAGGGATGTACGGAGTTAGCCAAGAATAGTCAGATCTACTACAAAGAAAATTTCGAAGTCGAAACACTGGCTTTGACTCTATATACTCTTGTACACGACCGTGAAACGCTTTAAGTTTTAACTAATAATTAAACTAGCTAGATCGGACTCAGAAATAATAGGTTCGCGTGTTCAACTGCTGAGATATCTGTTAATTTGATATAACAGCAAAGAATCAAGAGAATGCCTCTATAAAATTTTATTTCCTTCAATAGTATATTACAATAAACTTAAGTCGCATAAACAAACTCACACTTCTAAGTTATTGTTATTGACAGGTGAAATTATAGCTTAGATTGACAATTGTTTTTCGAGAATCGCCTTTAAAAACGATCACACATATTTCATATTTCTCGTTAAAATCGTCTCTTCCTTAATATCTTAAAACGTTCGTTTTTACGGAGTGGGATTTTGCTCCTGCTCAATTATTGCGAGACAATTCTCATGACGACAATCCATGTAAAACAAGATAAATCAGGCACATTGCTAATAATCACATGAGAATTATTCAATTTGTTACGACTGGTATCGAAATCCAATAATAGAATGCTATAGAATTTCTAATATTTTATGACGTTGAAACTATTTTTAGAGTTTATGTCAATACATTCAAAATTATCGGTTAATTTGTTACAACCCCAAGATATAAAAATCTAACAATAAAAAGAGCAAAATTAAGTGTCGCCCCAGTTAAAACACAAAGCTGTATTAAATCACAGCTCTCACTGATTTAGGAAGCTTTCTCTATAACCGTGTAAGCGTTGAAGGAGATCTGTAGCTCAGCCTTTTATCCGCTTATTAACACAGAGTGCAAAAGATTTCGAGTTTTGCTATAACGAGAAGGTTTCAAACGCAATAGCTCGTTATCGCACACGAAGTGAACTTTCATACGTCGTTTTTTTTTTCATTTTTCACATTTCATTTTACATATTGGTCTGTTTGCCAAGAAACCTTCTGCAAATGGGAAATTACTGTGGTCGTTTGGATGAAATTTGAATTAGGCGAAAATTGCCTTTTTTCCGAATCCAATAAATCAATACTTTTTTAATCAATCAAATAAAAATATTTTAGTAAGACTCACCATACCTTGGTAATTGAACGGAATTTCATCCAGAATAATTGAAGAATTAATCCACACAGAATAATAATAAGCACTATATAAAATACCTTCCTAATGTCTGATTTTGAAGACATCTTAAATATTACCGTGATATTTGAATTGTGAACAAGGCAATACTATAGCATGAGCAATACTCTGTCCCAGTCCAAAAGTGTTAAAAGCATCACTAGCACAAAACTATCTGAACATACAGTCTACAGCGGAAATGCGCCGGCAGTGATGCAGAAAAAAGGAACTCACGAAACATGTCAACCGCGAAAATGTCATATATATACAGCGAACGCTCATATAGAATTGGTTAAAAGCAGAAATTTAATGCGAGATCAGATTGAAATCCTTAACGGGTCGTGGTTTATTGAAGTTTAGTATCTAGCAATGATAGACGACATTATTGTATGGTGCTCGTTGTTCGAAACTCAAATCAATCATTCATAATTTATGCTCAAACTGTTGTATTCCGTAATTTCCGCTAGATGTTGTTCAAGAGCTATGACGTCAGCGTCAACCACATTGCGCTGCGGATATTCTTGAATACATCATTCGCTAGCATGTCTATCGCTGGATATATTCTAGTCAATGAACTTTTAGCTAATCATTATGATACGCAGAAAATTTTCCGAGGTAAAACATTTAATTCACCTGAACATAGGGACAAGGTATTCATTTGTTGCGTACAGCTGCGCATTCCAGACTCGTTGTCTAGTCCGTGTGGAACCAGTGATAAATTATAGGAGGGTTCCCTGATCTTTGTACAATTTGCATCTCCACACTTTTGCAACTACAGATTTTAGCACTCGCACACTGATTGCTTCCATGAACATTTGCACACAATGACGTTCGCACCTACGGACATTTTATTTGCATCCACGGACAGAAACGGTCATTTTCAACCCACGAATATTTGTACGGGTGCTAAAATCTATGGATGCAAAATAAGTAGATACAAAATTCCCTGGATGCATGCAGTTTATGGGTGCCCGCAGGAAAATTTCGTGTTTTCCAAATTATAATTATTGTTAAATCGTATTGGCTGGTAAAGTTAAACTCTGATCTCGGGCTGAATATGTTATAGGACATGACATCATACGACTCATAGAATACTTTAAACAAGCTAAATGTGTATTAAAGACAGTGACGAACTGGAGGTAAAGCCACCTTTATCATTTTTTTCGCTTTTGGATTAAACAGACTTATTTTGTCACTTTCTATAGTTTTTATCACTGGAATACTGACATTAGATAATATTAAACTGATCTATAGAACGCCCATGAGTCAATTTGGCTCGGAAAAATGACTATGTTGTAAATCAGTATTGTGCAATTGACAGTTGAAATTGAAGAAAGAAAATTCCAACCGAAATAAATAGAATCTATTGAATAAAAAATAAAATCCTTGATAAATCCTATTTCTTCTACGTTCCGAATTCCTATATTGATTACTCCGTTGCTGCCGTCCCAGTCGTGTCATTAGGTGGATATGGATGGATATTCAGGTATTTACAAGGTTGTTACAACCGGGAGTCGGGTTGACCGTTGAAACCAGATGACATTGAAAAATGGCGGATCAAGTGGAACAAAAATACTCGAGTGTCATTTCAAAAAAAGATTAGAAAACAACGCTCCTAATAAATTTGCCCTGTTTCCACGATGAATTAACATTACAACAGCTACGAAAGATTTGAGTCATTTACAAATATTTGTTTTTGACAGTTTAATTATTATTTATATAGTCGAAGGGAAATAAATAGATACAACGTTGCTATCGTCAGAACGTGGTATGTCGGGTGAGACTATCTGCACTGAACAAACAAATTAATCAACACGGACGCGTTTTTAGATTGTGACGTAAAGCTCGATAGCTATGCATACATTTTTTATGCTATAATACTGGTGACCTAGTATTCAATGCAAGCTTTAGGAGTCTCACTACATTAACTAGTAATTGCACTTATGGCAGTTGTTTGTAAATAGTAATCAATCAATAACAACAACATTAAAACAGCCTAAACAACAGTTTTTGAATTGCATGAAAGGTTGGACTCAAAATAAAGGTTTCTTTAGTTAGCAATTGTTACCATGTATGTTTTGTCCCTCACATAAAAAAATTTAGACAAATAGGATATAGGATAATAAAATATGCCGAAAACGCCACGTTATACGATACACCTTTTGTGGAAAAATATTCGATTGTTGAGTCTTCAAATCGTAAAAACTTAACACCCGTAATAAAATTTGATGATGTTTTCCAAATTCGAACCATTTTTTTTATTATCGACCACGTCGTAAAATTGACGACATTTTTCCTCGGTTTGTTGAGAAGCTTCGAAATTGACTCGCCCATTGTGGGTGCGATATGAAGTAGATATACGACTTCAAAATGTAGTATATGACAGAAATGTTCTCATACTTGAACGAATTTAATTACCCCATACATATTCAAATACAAGTGCAATCAAGTTTTTATGGAATAACTCAGGTCACTGATAAGTCGGTAAAATATTGTGCGAGTAATATATATATATATTGAATTCAATTTATAAAAATTTGCGGATGCACTTATACAATAAGTTTGGCTATCTACAGCTGGAGGTGTAACAGCGGCCTTTGACTTATCAGAGGAATAAATGCACAATCACGCTTGCTTAAATATAATTTTATAGGCCATCATTTTAACGTTGTTTAAAATGTTTTCATATAATTTTGAGAATATTGCATTATCGCGGTGCCCAAAATATATAATTAAAATACTCAACAAACCTTATTTTTGGTCATTTCCCCAGCAGTACTGAACCCAACTGATTTTAGATTCACGACTACATTTCCATAACTTTTGTCTATGTTCATTTCATAAATGTACTAGGAAACAACCTCTAGTGAAAACATAGTAATACGGTCTGAAATACAATTGTGTGAAGTGTAAATAGGGTCAAATTGACTTCCAAGTTCTCCATACCTAAAATTTTTGACTTTTTTTTAACCTTTATACTTAAGAAGAATTAAACAAGGGAGCGTCAGACTACTTTGTTTAACATGCTTTAATTAACATATAAAGCATTTTCTCTTTACACATTACATTTACAGTAGATTTTGATCGCAAGTTCATGTACTCTTCATTTGTATCCTGATTCGGAAATAAACCAATCTTGATCGTCTAACAAAAATACGGGGCATATGTATAGCATATATAATTGGTAAATGAATGTGATGTTACCGTATATTGCTATTTCGTAGATTGTCTCAGAACTTGCAAGTCACCCGTTCACCCTTCAGCTTCAACGCCCACGTGAATGAAGATGCGTTAAAAATCTCTATATGTTTTTATTCGTAAATTTCCACAACACACAGAATATAAATCTTATAACATTTATCCAGACTAGCTTAGAATGGTTTACATCGTCTTCTCTTTTTCTTCGAAAGATATCGGAGTCGTATTTATACGTCCATCATAAATCTTTTTAAATACTGTAAACGTGAGCTCGTGATTTACGTTATAAACAGAAACTCCTGTTATCTCCATCAAGGGTAATTATGTACATCGTACGGATGGGAACTTAGATATAATTATTTCAATCAGTGCCAAAGGTCTTGAGAATATAGATTTTAATTTGATAATGACTGGGTGGAACATGTTATGTTCTTAAACCTGTGTAATTTGATTCCTATGAAAGTCTTTGTTCGAATTTTGGGAAAAATTAACTTTGTCATGATGATTTCAACATGAAATGGGGTACATTTGGGGGTTAGTTGCTATATATGAATGAATCATGCCTATTGCTCAAAACCAATAATCAGCCATAAGAGAGCACTCATCTATTTATTCCAATGGACTACTTAGTTCAAGCCTGCGGTAGACAGTATTCGTACAGTTTGAATTTCTCTGTCGATGTCGAGAATGGATTTCCCAACAAATAAAACGATGCTTTTGTTATATCTTAATATTTTACTTATTTATAACCACTTAATGCCGGAATTATGATCCGCTGAGAGAAAAAAATCGCCGCTTCGGTTATTTGCTAATTCAAGGCCGTAGAATACGAATTTAAACTTATTTTTTTTTATCTCACTTATATATATCTTATTTGGGAGAAAATATTTTGTCACGAAATCGATACACTCGTCCACGTGATGAATTTATTGTGTTAATACTCACACGTATTGCGACTGATACGAATGGAAATATAACAAATTCAATTCAAAATAAACGAAACCGGACGACAGAAAATGTTCAGTAGACCGTACTGTTGGTCATAAATATACGCCATGGTACCACGCAAAGCAATTTTTGGCTTTGTTTAAGCATAAATATACTCCGCATTTGGTACATCCGATTACCGGCTTGCTATCACACCCAGGGAAACGGGAAACAAAGTCTCTTAGCTTTTACCACAGGCTAATGGCCAGTGGCATCGGTTCTAACCTCATTGTTGGGATGTGGAGTAGCTGTGCTTCTGATTCGTGGTGGGGTATAGTAGACAATGGCCTGCCTCGCTTAAGTGGAGTCGATGTTTTCCCAAGCTTGCAAAGAGTTTATGCCACAGAACTTCGAAACGATAAAAGATCTCGCTACTTGTTACTCGCAATTCCCAGGGACCATAAAAGGACGAGTCACCATTATGTGCTGTTTCGTGACGTTTTTCCATCTTCGGACTTTTGATTTGGGTATGGCGCTGGCAAACGAACTGGCAATAGTTACACTTCGTTTATTATGCCACCTCACAACTCTTATTTCAGGGTCTTCAACACATGACGTATTTTTCTTATAACATTCCAGTCCTCTTTTTTTTTAAATCTTTGTCAGATTCCAGCTCGCATCCTAATAATTTATATTGAAGTAATGTTATCGAATTAAATACGTTCTCAGATCGTATTTCTTTTGACTAATATTACTGAATGTTTTGAACAACCCTGAGAGCGTAACTTGACCTAGTTTTCTCGCGAATGTCCCAAACACAAATGACAGTAATGTTGGAAATGTACCATTATCGAACGCGTGTTAAACCCGATGGTAATAAGTGGAGAACTACTAAACATAGTTACATCAATCTTATGGATGGAACCCGTGGCTGAATTTAACTTGGACCATATCTACTGTTCATATCTCAACTCATTGAAAGGTCTATATTTTTGATCGATAGCTGAATAGCTCTCGTCTGACCATAGTTCCGATCTTGTCTTGCTGACAAAGGCTCTTATCTCCATCCCAATACAACCGCATTGAATTGCAACAATTGCTGAAAAGAGAATTCAAGAGGTATTAATTTTTTCTATTTACAAAATACAATAAATGATAGTCTATGTATCGCTACAGCGATTCGAAAGTTCGTTATTGTTGTGAGTCTTGTTGTTGTTGTTGTTGTAAGGTGACTGTTGTGGTGAAAAAAAATTATCTTTTCTCTGTGACTAATGAACTAGAAGATTTCTAAGTTTTAGTGCCTAAAGATGGTAGTAGTCGACAGAATAATATTACTTTCAATTTTCTCCTACGAGATCCGATATTTCACTCGAATGATCTTTGTTGTATGATTTAATTCACACCCGGTAACCAATCAAGAACTAGATACAATTTTACAGACCCGAAAGACCCTAAAACAGCAAAAATCCAACCAAAACAACAACAGACGCATTGCTGCACCCACAGCCCAGCCAACAGGATAACAAAAAAACGATTGGCAGTGCCATAGCGCCGCGGTGTCTCCAAAAGCAGCAATATCAAACAACAGCATTCATAAAACAAAAAATATGGGTCGTCACAGAGTAAATTGTTTGATTTTGTTAACACTTGAACTTCTGTTTGTTCATGATCGTACCCCAACGTTTCATTTAATCCAGGACGTTTTGCACAAAAGTTATGTTCTCTCTAGAATATGTTCAAAATGACCCCTTTCAATAGAGACGGAATTGTACCCGTTGCGCAAATGTGTCAATCACTCACTTAGATTTCTGCTGAATCGCACCTTCTTCTGTATGGGCATGTCAATAGCAAAAATATTGATTACCTTGGTACAACACCTCCGAAGAAAGTCTTACAGAGACTTTTATACCCAATAATGTTCGCAGTATTGGTAACCATGGCCCAACATTACATAACTGGTCCGTATTGTTTGAAGACAAAAATCAAGCGGTGAATATGAAACATTATTTAGACAACGTAGAGTCGTAAAAAGATTGATTGAGTCGATTTGTGGTTCACACATCACATTACGCCCATACCGGACTGTAAGAGCGATTTCCGAAAAGGCAGAAATCAACAGAAATTGTAACGTCGAGTGGGCACCTCATTCATTGGATTTGAACACTTTTATCTGTAATAATATTCGAAGAACATATCATAACATTCCTCTAACAATTGGTGAACTCAAAACTGCAATTGCAGCAAGAAAAAATCCTATTGTGTAGTACGTGTTAGTGATTGCCAATTTTGCGCAAGGGATGCAAGTCTAATGAGGTGATTCGGAACATATTCCAAATAGAACATAACTTTTTTGCAATCGTCCTAGATTCCTGAAACTTTCGAGTAAAAAATCATGCACAAACAGAAGTTGAGTCTTAAACAATATTTAAAAAATTTGCTGTTTTTTGTAGAAGTTATTGGAAAATTCATAGGTTCCGTTTTTTGGTCACTCTGCATATTGATGTGGAAACTAATTATTCCGTGATTCTTCACCCGGGTCATAACTCATTTCATTGACAATAGGTTAATTTTTAAAATCATATTGGAAAATTCGACAGTTTAGTTTGGAGGACGAAAACTCCAATAACGGAAAATACACTCTTAACAGAAAAAGAGGATATTTTCCATTTCCACCCCCTCCATTGGGGTGTAGTGATAAATTTTCCGCCTTATTTCGTTGCATAATTTCATATACACCGTGTTAATGCACTCACAGGGTGTGTTACCAAACATTTTCTCCACTAAACTTGGTGGAAATGCATGAACGCGTCATGTCACGTGATATCGAGGTGACTGTGACGAACTGACGATGTGAACTGAGAAGGCTGAACGCTATTGGCTGAAATCGTTTCGAATATTTTTATGCGCGGTGACTTGACTTATCACTCTGCCGAGGCTTCGATGAAACTCTGTGCATAACAGACTGTCTGCGGTAAACAACTCCAATTTTCAATAGATAGAATAAGTGGGTGGGCACAGTTTGTGTTGAACTTGTCTTAAGCTACAATATGTGGAAAACTTACATTGTGTGGAGAGGTCTGGAGGTTTAAACTTTAAGCTTGCTGGTACAGGTAAGATTTCGAATTATTAAGTTGATGCTGATAAACAAACGCGAAATTATAGTACCGGTACGGTACCTTAATCTAGTCATAATTAAACAATCGATCAGTCAATCCACTACTACTATTACAGTGTTCATGTGGATTCAGATTGCGTTCAGCTAACGTTGCCAGTCAAGCAAACCAAAGCTTTGTTTGCTAATGTCAAGTGACCAGTACTAGATAAGACTAGGCTATAGTCTATAACGGTAAATACAGAAATTTAACGTTATCAGTAACTTATATCGTGAGTCGTAAATTCTGAACTTTGTACAAGTAACGTGAGCTACGGTATTCTATCTCAACTAGATACTTTTGATTTGCCAAACTTCAGATCTTGTCAAGCTTTGTTTGCTAACGTTAAGTGACCAGTACTAGATAAAATGGGTCTCCTGAAGTACGCGCCGCGTATAGGAGTTAAAACTGTTAAACTCGCTTGGTATGTAGGCCTGCTACTTCACTATCTGATAATTAACTCGGATATCATGTTATTATTAATCGTTTCCAATACTTGTATTAATTACCTCTTTTCAGTTTACAAGATTCTAACTTAGTAAGATAACATTTGTTATAGCTTTCATCCATTAAAATATTGTTATCTCTAGAATGGAGTCGATGGGTGTCGACTTCCCCGAGCATCGACTTTCTGGCTTTCTCCAGCATCATTGGCTAATAATCAAAAAGTGACGTAACAATATAAATTTTAGCAGCCGCTCAGACACTTACCACCCAGACAGATTCTCAGCCATGATGGTTGCATATGTCACCTCGTTTTCGAGGTTTTACATGTTATTTGTCAGTTTTCAGTTGTGTTTCGAAAATTTAAGTAAGAATCAAATAACCTCAATTTCGTCTTCGATGGAGTTTAGTTTGATTGCAGCAATCAAAAATTGGCCAAGAAATAGCTGTGATAAACTAGACTAAACTTTTCTTCTGGTACTTTTAAATGACAGTTAGTTGAATATTTTGAATCGAAATTAAGGTTTGGAACGTGTAAATCGGTTTATAGACGCCAGCTGGCGAAACCACTACTAAAATAAGCATGAAATTTTTGTAATGGTGAAGCATAGGAAGAAATTTCCCGGGACCAAGGGACAGGGAAACCTTCATTACCATAATTGTATCAAGCGCAGTTCAGCGTTCATAATCCATCATACGAATGAAGGGGTCGAATAATTAAATAATTTATATTGTTCCCAATATGCTTCATACAAGGCATGCAATTTTTTCGCAGGAAGGCTGTCCAAATACGTCCTGTATTTATTTTTCCACTTGTGTCCCAATGATTCCCATGAATTGGATTTTTCTGAAAGAAAATACTGTATTTAAACATAAAACAATTATATTTGAATTTTCTGCACAGCAAAAGACACTGATAATTTTTTTTTAATTTCGCACATGCTCATTTCTAGTGATAGATATCAGAAGAAGCCAATATTTAATTTATTTTGTACACTACCCCGCCCCATTCACCGGTGAATACTCACCTTTAAAAAATAGATTGTTACTTATTCCCAATTTCTTCCCAAGATATTCAGAATCCAATGCAATTGTCTCTAATTTAGCAATGTAATCATATTGAATATGACAAGGATCACATATATCACTATACAATCTCCAATGGACATCAACTTGCTTTGGATTGCTCAATATACTGTCGACAAATTCTTCAAAGCTAGCTCTACCAGGTTGGAAATATTCCGTGTTTTTGCTTTTAGCTGAAAAGTAACGAATTCCGTATTTCACAATAACTTGAATTATCGGACTCTGACATGACACGTACTATTAAATTAATTTCAAAATCATTGCTTGGATGAGCGTTGTTATTAATCCTACATGGCTAAGAGATCGGGCTTCATGCCCTGTTTCAGTGAATTGCTTAAAAACGCTTTCCAAAAAGTTATCTAAATTGGGAACACAAAAACTCACCAAATTTTGCATGTATTTTTTCCGATAGTGTTATATAATATTCCGTTACCGATCCCTCAGGAAATATTTTATTGATGTAAGCAGATACAACACGCTCCAATGGTTCTCTTACTGTCATGATGCGATAATAATTATTCAGTCGCTTGTTCATTTCATGATTAGACTCTGGGTTTTGTGGTGGGAATCTTGTCCAGAGATATCTGTCACATTTCAAGATAAATATAAATTAGCTGTATCTACGCTATAGTCTATTCTTTGTAGAATGAAGACAAATAGAAACAATAAATACGATTGCACTTTTTGTCTCATTAAATAAACTGGCATATATATATATGTTAATGACAAGACAACAAATGAAATTTATTATGAAAATAGCAAGGTTTCGCTTGTATGTTAGTGTGAAGTGCCTGTTATAATTGGTATAATATAAAGTGTGAACCGTCAGCCTTATTCATGCCAGGAGAGTTGTTTTGATTTAGTGATCGTATGGTCCTTCCAATCTCCTATCAATTCCGTTGTTAGTCGAATATTTCACTTAATGAGTACCGTTACTTGTGTTTTTTGTTCTGGATGATGAATAAACTTCTAACTATCTATCTGTGATATACTGAATGTTGTTATTGGTAACGAAGTGAATTATATGGGTCGTTTCGCATGAGTCGTTCTGAAAACAATCGCTCTGCTCCGCAACTACTGAACCATTTGCTTTGGGTTCTAGGGGATTCGTTTTTGGACATGTTTAGTGGTCATAACGATCGTTTCAAAATGTTATTGTTATTTGTCTCCATCATTTTTAAAAAATCGCTTTTCTCTTCGAATACTGGACCAATTGCTTTGAAATTTTCAGTGGTTAAAGATAAAATTTTTCTCCAGAAGGCTATTGCTTTTATTTATTTCTAAATTTCGCATGAAATCTGATATTTCGTCTAAAATTTCTCTGTAATATTTTATCCATGGGAACACTGGCTGTCCGGTTTGATTCTGTAAATTATTTCTACGCGAAACTCGGAATTTTTTGTGGGTACCGGTGGCGTCAAAGGTAAATACTGCTTCGCTCTGGATAACGTGTCCATATATTTGAGCACAGCTCTCTTGTTTTTGTGTGCGATGAAGTCATCAAAATTACAAATTGCGCACCTTGTGGCGGTTCCGCGTTCGCGATCTATTGGTCAGGCGGAGTCGTGAAGCCTGTGGTACCAGTAGTCTACTGTGACAGATTGCCCACCCGTATTATTTCGTTTTCGACTTCGTGCTCATATATTTGAGCACACTGTATTTTTAATGATACTTTTTACGGATAAGGTCCGTGAAGATCAGACTCCGTGGCTTAGGCATATTTTATTCAGTGTGTTTAGTCTTTCAAAAATTTCTTAATTTTTTTCAACTCATGATTTTCTGACCATATTGCATCTCCTTCCATGACTTATCTCGGCGACCAATTAAAAATGAATGTTATGCCAATAGGATTTTGACGCCACAGTAAATGAAATTAAATGAAACGTTCACCGTTTTTCGCGAAGTAAAACAAAAGAGTTCAATCTCTTCCAAATATGATACTGTTCAATTTCACTCCAGGAAGTTACATTCACAATTCCTTCCGCGATAAGCAATGTTTTTCTCCATTCTGTGCTTCCGCATTTAGGAACTTCACACAGTATTACCTGCGAACAAAAGATAGAGATAAATGTAAATTTAAGATTTTATGCTTCAACATTATAGTGTCAGCGATTAAAACGTATTCAGCCAGTTCTAGTCTTGTTTACTCTTTTTTATTTAATACGTGGTTTTCAAAAGAATGTTTTGAGAACTATTTGATGTCCGCTCTGTCCAGCGGACAATTACAAGCCGACCACTCTATCTAGACTTCTGAAATGGTGTCCCAACCTTGAGAGAACCACAGTACTGCAGGTCTAAAGTATCAAATTCAGTGAGCTATAACGAAAACATGTAGTGTCTTTTAACTTGTGCTGCTCAGGGTGATTGTGCTGAAACGCCTCACGGAAGCTTTGTTGGATCAATCGTTATTCGATCAACAACCAAATAACTCAGCTTCACCTATTATTGAAGCTTTCCATCTAAATAACGAAATAAAACTCACCTTGAGTTTATCTGAGTAGTACAAACGAGGAATTAACACCGACGTTTTATTCATCCATGTTGATGCATTCAAAGTTCTATTGCCAGAATACCCATATCCAAGTTTATTGCAGTACGTTCTTAAATGTGTATTCCGTTGTTCGGCTATCTTCAACATATTCCATTTTTCTGCTTCAGAGATAATTGGCAGTCCGCCGATGTCGGATCGCAATTCTAGCTTCTGGAACTCAAAATAAAGTATACCGGTATATATATTATCAAAATTTGATAGATTTAATTTTAGGTAAACAATGAAACTAGTCCTAGTTTTCCAACTTAATTTGCAAATTTCTCTTTTGTGCCTAAAAGCATTATAAATGGACAAATGGGCGAATTTGGTTATGCAGCGGTACCGTTTCACCGATAAGTATACTCTTGAAGCTGTAAAACCCTCGGAATATACCGTGTGCTGCAAAGTAACACAACAGGTTCGATAATCTGACGACGGAAGGAGAGAACTCTGTTATTCAGCAGAAAAACATGGATTGATCAGTGACACATAGTAAACCGAAAACACGTCCAACTTTAACAGAAGACTGCCAAGAAGAGACGGTGCACTTCTAAAATAAAGGGTCATGTGGGCAAGGATGTACGGAGTTAGCCAAGAATAGTCAGATCTACTACAGAGAAAATACCGAAGTCGAAACACTGGCTTTGACCATATATACCCTTGTACACGACCGTGAAACGCTTTAAGTTCTAACTACTAATTAAACTAGCTAGATCTGACTCCAAAAGATAAAGAAATAATAGGTTCGCGTATTCAACTAAGATATCTGTTAATTTGATATAACAGCAAAGGATCAAGAGAATGCCTCTATAAGATTTTATTTCCTTCAATAATATATTACAATGAACTTAGTCACATAAACGAACTCACACTTCTAGGTTATTATTTCTGACAGATGAAATTATAGCTTAGATTGACAATTGTTTTTCGAGAATCGCCTTTAGAAACGATCACACATATTACTCGTTAAAATTGTCTCTTCCCTAATACCTTAAAACGTTCGTTTTCACGGAGTGGGATTTTGCTCCTGCTCAATTATTGCGAGACAATTCTCATGACGACAATCCATTTAAAACAAGATAAATCAGGCACATTGCTAATAATCACATGAGAATTATTCAATTTGTTACGACTGGTATCGAAATCCAATAATAGGATGCTATAGAATTTCTAATATTTTATGACGTTGAAACTATTTTTAGAGTTTATGTCAATACATTCAAAATTATCGGTTAATTTGTTACAACCCCAAGATATAAAAATCTAACAATAAAAAGAGCAAAATTAAGTGTCGCCCCAGTTAAACACAAAGCTGTATTAAATCACAGCTCTCACTGATTTAGGAAGCTTTGTCTATAACCGTGTAAGCGTTGAAGGAGATCTGTAGCTCAGCCTTTTATCCGCTTATTAACACAGAGTGCAAAAGATTTTGAGTTTTGCTATAACGAGAAGGTTTCAAACGCAATAGCTCGTTATCGCGCACGAAGTGAACTTTCATACGTCGTTTTTTTCACATTTCATTTTACATATTGGTCTGTTCGCCAAGAAACCTTCTGCAAATGGGAAATTACTGTGGTCGTTTGGATGAAATTTGAATTCGGCGAAAATTGCCCTTTTTCCGAATCCAATAAATCAATGATTTATTAATCAATCAAATAAAAATATTTTAGTAAGACTCACCATACCTTGGTAATTAAACGGAATTTCATCCAGAATAATTGAAGAATTAATCCACACAGAATAATAATAAGCACTATATAAAATACCTTCCTAATGTCTGATTTTAAAGACATCTTAAATATTACCGTGGTATTTGAATAGACCTTAGGCATTTGAAACCCATCCTACGCGCAAAAATAAAAGTGTTGTGAAATTTTTTTTTTACATTAGCTCTTATGGGAAATGTGATCACCAGAGCAGAAATTTGCATTTTTTGGGATTTTCTAGATATGTTTCATCGTATACGTGTGTAGTTTTGAGAATAGAATATTTTTTACAATATTTTTGATATTTTTATCATGATAAACATGGTCAAGATATTTGATAATCGTTCATTAAAATTTTAATGATCGCGGTGTTTCCGATGACGTCATTCTCACTAGACCATGAGATTCTGCCAACTCGCCGTGCTCTGTGGGATATGCGCTGCAAATGCGGCGCTAATGTCGCTTTGGGTACGGTACCGGTACTGGAAGCGTTTAACATTGACGATCTATAACCCATACCATTGTTATCACGTTTAGGCAATGACATTAAACAACATGATAGGCAACTCTGACGTCACTCCATAAGGCTACGAGCGAAACATTGTATTTCATGATACGCTCCAATGCACATATTTCTCGTCGCCTTTCGCGACCGTTTTCCGCTCGCTTTTGATACTCGGCGTCTTCTTTACGTGTAGTACCTGCCTTTTTGCACCTGTAACGAAAGAAAATAATCCCTATATCTAAAAAGTTTTGCTAGCTTGGAAAGCTGGAATGGCAGACAAGCTGTAAAGAGCAATTTTGGACACCATAGACGTTTTTTTTTTATCAGAGAAGATTACAAACGCGATAGCGGAAGAATTTGTGTGGAACATTTTGCAGATAATGACAAAGTTCAAAATTAGTAATTTTGATGTTTGCGCTTAAACATTGAAATTTCATTTAAAGAGGGTGTCATACAAAACAGCAAAACTGTTCTTCCTCCCCCTAACGGTGCTGTGATACAATTCCATAACACAAAGTTTGCACCTATCGAACTTGCTTTAATAGGTGAATTTATTAGACATATTACATATTCAGGTAATCGTAGGTCACATCGATGGAACATAATGCTTCGTAGATAGGTTTGTTTAAATTTAGGAATTTAGCTCATAGCCCACTAATTAATATTATCTTCTACGCAATAGGTTACAGGGCTGAATTCAACTTGCAGCCTTACCGATCACCTGAAGATGCTCATTTAGTTTGGCTCGAGTAAGTCTTCTTGAAAGACTTGTGTGGATGGAAACTACCTATATATGTTTTGCCTTCCTCCGATTTAAGAAGACAAATTTATTCTGGGGGATTTTGCATATAATTCTCATTGATTGTTGGCTGTTTATAATTCCTATTAATTGTGAATTTTGATTATAACAAAGAGTTAAGAAAAATTTTACGTAATTTACTGGCACCTTTTTCTTGTCAATACTCCAAGCTGAGGTAATAAACAAGACAATACATTTATGTCATCTGGAAGCAAAAAGTGCACACTAATTAATAGTTTGACACATTGAGATAAAACATCATGACAGAAAATACAAGTTAAAGATATGTATGACCATCACATGGTAATTAAAATTAAAAAAAACTAAGAGGGGCTGTGGAGTATGAAAAGTTCAAAACAAAGAAAAGAACAAAAGTTCATAGCTCATGAACTCTCAATTTTGCCTCCATTGCTTTGTGAAGGCCAATATATTCCAGTAGCTGAATTGGTTTACCTTTATGAGAGCAACGATTTTGTATTTAATACAGTGAGATTTTTTTCAATTTAATTGAAGTGATATTATTTCCCAAAGCAATGCTTGAATCGTCTGAAATAGATCAGTGGTGTCAAACTCATGGGTTTTTGAGAGCCGCATTGCATTTTGGAAATTGTAAAAAGGGCCTCAAACAGTTTTTGATAATGTATATTTGAAAGATATTTTTAAGATAGTTTTATTGTGATGACACTAAACAGTTGGATTAAGTTTTATTATTTTTTTTAATTTCAAATGCAATTACATATTAATATTTGCATTCCACTGTTATTGCAAGTTACTGTATTTATTATAAAAAATCATAAAATTCTATGTACAACGCTCAAAATCATTTTTGAACAAGCTTTGGATAAGAAAAGAATAATACATACACTAAAAATGACTTACGGTAATCTAAATATATTGACCTAACAATGTGCTTGAGAATTTTGTAAAATGCAGAAATATTGCAACTCCCATTTTCTTCGAAAATGCCACCTTCTTCATGTACTTTGCGTTTAATTTAATCACTCAAGTATTCTTTTGCTAGCTTGATGTGTATTCTTAATTGGGCCAAAATGTGAACAAAAAATAAATTAATTTTCCAAAACGACTTTCAGTAAATTGTTTTCTGTGTGAATAATCAATTTCACTTTGAAAGGTTTAAAAAATCTAATACATTTAGATAAAAAAAAAACTTCCAAAATACTATTACAGTTATTGTTAAGCGTTCGAGGGCCGCAGTGGAAGTTCTCTGAGGCCGCGAGTTTGACATCCCTGGTCTAGATTGAAGTTGTCTAAAATATATATAACAGTATTTTATCATGAATCACGATTATACCCTTTCCTGAATTTCTTCCATAGTACTACCAAAAGTTGATGAACCAAAGAACCATTTTCCAAAGCTGTTTTAAATATGTCTGGCGTGTTTTGTGTCTTTTTACAAATAAGATCGCTTATGCAATCTTACGCTTTGGAATTTTTAGTTATTTTCTTCAAGCTCTTCAGGATGTGGGGCCATACACAACTCTACCGGAGGGTCAAATGTCTTTGCATGCCTCCATAGGTTGTTCTTCTATTGCAAACATTTATGGAGCACTCTAATTATATTTCTTGGAATCACACTGTCACTGATATGTCGCCAGACTTCTGATATCTCCCCTTCTGCTATAGGAAATTGAGATTAGACGAATAGTTGAAAGTTTTACTTTATGTCGGCTTAATTTCTTGATTGATATACTTACTACTTTTGCTATTGCCTCTTGTGCTGCAGGAGTCTCACAATGCTTAGACAGGTTCGTCCACAACTTTCACATCTGAAGAAAGATAGGAGATTTATTAATTTTCGTTAAGAATAAATAAAGCAGTCTATATGATTTAGAATGGGAAAGCTAATAAATCCAATATCTCATGATTCATGTAAAAAATGTTTTACTGAATTTGGTATATGAACCAACTAATAAAGGGGTTTAGTCAGAAACTTACAAGCCTTCGTGGCTCCAAGTACTTGAGAGATCAGATTATACAATATAAACCGGTATGAGTGTAATGTTAGGTGAACTTCTTAACCTTTTGATTCAATACGCAAATAAAAGTTAATGCGTAATAGTATGTTAGACCAATGAGTATATATCCTGACTGATTAAAAAATCTAAATGGAGGTGCATGAACTATTTGGAACCATAAGGGGTAAGTAACTATGCAATTCCGGCAGATGGCCAACTACGTACCGTACTGAATTAATAACTTCGTAGTTGTTGACAAAAGCTGGCTTTCCCACATGTACTTAACAGTGCTATGCCCGTGTGTGACATACAACAATAGTATTTGCCTTACCTTTTTCCGATTTCTTTTTACCTCAACTTTCCAAAATTTCATTAAAATCGACAACAACTGTCAAAGCTGGCACGAAAACCATCCGTGCTATGCTCGAAAGCAGCACACATCCGCTCGTTTTCGTCTCGTCAAGTATGTGCATTGGAGCGTGCTATCGGATACGATCTTCGGCCAAAAATGCCATAGTTGCGCATCATGTTGTTTAATGTCATTGGTTTAGGATAGGATAGGATTTACATATTTATCCCGGGGGAGAGGAAATCCGATAAGACGGCTTATCCATATGGCGAACCACGGCCTCTCGTCCGGTTACCATTCCAAGTCGGGTATGGGATTAGTTTTTACTGTATTGTTTGTTTTCGGAAGCATGGACTTGGTGGTGGAGGAAGCCGTAACCGACCAGCGGTTACGTGAACCACCCAACGACGGCGAGGAGTCCAGCAATCCTCTCGCCGCGTTTGTTTACTGGTTTTACGCATTTATACCTGTACCGCTAGCAATCATTTACTGAAGGCATGCTGACGTGTTATTTAAACTACCGGTACCGTACCAAGGTTGCAAGAGGTGAAAACCAAATTATTTGGTAAATACTGAAATAGGCCTACGAACAAAAATGTTGGCCTTCGCGTGACGTCATAATCACGTGACATAGTCGCTCGACCAAAACTGCAGGTATATCTCGCTGGACTGTCGTGAACTGTTTTGCGCGTTCGTTTCCTGCAGTTGTGTTTGAAAGCATATCTATTTTGTAGTGTTAGTTGGTGTAGCCTACCGTATGTTTGCACGGCAATTGTTTGTTCCTGCAGCTTAATAGTGCAAGGCTTTATGATAATATGTTACGATGAGACAGGGTGTTAGCAATGCAGTATTTTTGGTTTGCCTGGATCTGTAAAAGTTTTTTTGTCTGTCATTTCCATACGGTACTGTACGTAACGCGTATATAGACTATAAATAATCTCCTTTTATTGTTGTGCAATAATCCATATAATGGCGTCGTCAGCTTCTGTATATAGCATTCACCACCCGGATTTTAATACAAAAAAAAAACGCTAGCCTACTTTGAAAAACTTAGATGTGTCACTTGGAAGAATGAACCTAGGCTATATGTCACCACAGGATGCATGGGTGGATGAAACATTTCTATGGCCAGAGGTTGAATACCCTGACGTAATGAATATCTCATCAATACACCTGGAATATACACAAAAGAGGCCATGAAAACAGGAATGGTTAGGAAGCATACAAAATTGAACCGTTCCAGCGTTCGCTGTACAAGCTATTAAAAAATTTGACAGTGGAATGTTTTTTGTGATTAGAGTATACTTGGGCTCGGGCAAGTAATCGTTTCGGTCTATTGATAAATATTTCACAGCAGTCTTTGATGCTGATCTCGGGGAGTATTGTCGAAAAAGTGGTGGTAGTGTTTCAATATTTGCTCCACAGTCCAACAAATCAGAAACGACTTTTTGTTTCGGATTAAATCAATCCAGCACCAGAATGCGTTGTCGAGATTTTATTTAGACAAATCGAATATGTCTGCTATCAAAATGTTCGTTTAAGCGTAGTTTCATGAGGGTCATGAGCATTTGATCCACATATTTCATTTTATAATAGTACGGATCTGGCAAACAGTGGCAGAGGAAATTGAACATAACATCAAATGTTTCTACTGATAAACCAGTATAGTAAATATATTTCTTTGGCTTTTTGCTCAAGTTCTTGTAACTAAAAATGTTAAAATTTTCTAGTTTTTCCACTGCCTCATGTCTCTCCATTCTAAGCTGCAAACGTTTTGCCTCAAAGTTTTCTAAATTAACTAATTTGTCTAAAGCTTCATCTTTCTCCTTTCTGATTCCTAAATTTTTCTCCTCGAGTAACTCCAATTGATTTTCTTTGGCGGTTGGATTTGACTCACTATGAAATGAAGCTGCAGTATCAACTGGTTCTGGATTTTCATTGAATGATTCTATTTTATGACTTCACGCTTTTTTATGCGAACTGTACTGTATATTTATTCATTGTATCCGTTTTTATTTGAACTTGTTTTTGTGATGACAAATAAACGATTGATTGATATGCACAATTCTATCTTTTGCACTGCTGTATCTGGGAAGTCTTTTTAAATTCGATTTACTTGAGGCGGCCGAATATAGTCTGGATAGCAGGGATCTCTAACTGGTTTGCCTAAAAAATAGATTTCTTGCAATTTTTTTGACATGACAACAACTCAGATACTTTCAGAAATTAAATATTTCAGTTTATTTCACCAATGAAGAAGTGCAATGGTACAGTGCATGAGTGTAAGTCAGGTAAAAAAACACAATAAAGAGCATTACAAGAGTTTAATTACATATCAAAAATAGAGCAATTCCAGAAATAGAAAAAACTATTGGCAAACATATGGATACTTACCACTGATAAAGTGCGTACCAAGATAATCTCATGCAAAAATAATGTGGGGAGTGGAATGTAATAAATTGGCAAAGATAGTCATACTCATGAAGCCATGAAATCTTTAAGAAGAACCAAGCCATGAAAAACTCCAATGATTGCTAGATGGGGCATTGCGGAAAAGGTGAAAAGTGGTTCAATATGCAAACAAACGCAAAACCATGACGGCCAATTCGGTGTGCGGACACTCATAAAAACAATTATCAAGAAAAACACTAATCACACGTGAACAGACAGGTCTGTAGCCAATTGATATATTGACGTGGCCAACATTGTTAAAACAGTATACTAACAGAGAGAACAAAACAAAACATATGCCCATTAAATGAATGTTTAAAAACGTTGCGCATTGATATGGCCATAGTAAGTCACCCTGCAAACTATTTACACATGTTATATAGGCTAGTTGAATACTCATCTAGTATTCGTTCCATCGCTGTTATTTCTGCGACACGCCGCACACCTTTGTCGCCGTTCACTTCCTATTCGGGAACCTGAAATATCCTTATTGATATTCGCTTTGTTCCTGCATCCAAAAACGATACAATATATAGGTATCTTGCACCGGTACGTCAAGCAGTAGACAAAAATAATGTAACAAACCTATAGTCCTGGTTAGCGCGTATACCTGCAGTTTTCATCGCCTGGTAACCGTTGGTCACGCATGAATGCGTCAGAATTACAGATTGTACGGTACCAGTATACAAAAAAGATGAATATCTCCAACCTATAATGATACAATACCGGTCTCCTAACTAGGTTAAAAAACATGACTGAATACGAGAGAAAGATTTATTTCATCAACCAGAATACAAGCAAGCATTGAATCAATAAAAATTATATACAAAACACACAGTTATTCGGTATAGACTGGGGAGCGATACGATCATCACAGTCAGCTCGCCCCAGCCCCCCATGTTCGCTATCAAGATTAACAGTTAATTAAGATGTTTGAACAATTTAACAAAAACTCCTTGGAGGAAGGGTTATAGCAACTAACCCCCAAATGTACCCCATTTCATGTTAAAAATATGAAAACAAAGTTAATTTCTCTCAAAATTCGAACAAAGACTTTCGTAGGAATCAAATTACACCAGTTTAAAATAACATGTTCCATCCATTCATTATCAAATTAAAATTTATATTCTCAAGACCTTTGTCACTGATTGAAATAATTATATCTAAGTTCCCATCCGTACGATGTACCTAATTACCCTTGTTGAGATAATAGGAATTTCTGTTTATAACGTGAATCACGAGCTCGCGTTTACAGCATTTAATTGGATTTATGATCAACGTATAAATACGACTCCGATATCTTTCGATGAGGAGGGGAGAAGACGATGTAAACCATTTTAAGCTAGTCTGGATTAATGTTATAAGATTTATATTCTGTGTGTTACTGCAGCGGTTTGCAGCAGTGTCTTTAATGATTGACAGGCGAGATTGTATGACGTCATAGTTAGAATGTTTCGTTTAGTTAGAATGATCTGGAAATCATGTCATTTCCTGTCTCTGGCCTGTAACACGAGTTAGTGCTGTCCCTGTATAGTTCAGACGTGTGTGGCTGTATTAATATTATTCTAGTGTCAGATTTTGTTGTTTGAATCTGCATGTATAAATATGAGCTTAGGATATGTACCGGTACTGGTATTGAGTTCAGTTGCATATTGTTTTGACGAAAAGGTAATTGATTGTTATGTTCTTGTTTACACAGTTTGTTATAATAATCTGCCAGAGAAGCACCGAATTCAATGTCAGTTACCGCAGTTTCAACATTATAATTATCAATTAGCATTTAACCGGAACACAATATTTCATGTTTGATGACATTACTGCATTATTTCTGGACTTTGTCCTGTGGAAGCTGGATTTTCATGCTATTAAAATATTGAAACACGAGTCAAGCTGCATTGAATTGTTATTAGATTCGTCTGCTAGCATTCCATCAACAGACTAAGGAAGGGATCGAATGCCTGCAGCCACAGTAACTGACAATAGGTCTGCTGAACTGTCAGATTCGAGTCATCAGGAATATTTACAGAATTAACAACAATAACAGTCAACAGAATAATGGCAAGTCAAGACAACCGAGAAGAAGGAATATCAAAGTTCACACCAACAGCTGACAATCCAAATTATGTCAATTCTGATGTCAATTTCGAGTTGCTTGCATCTTCGAGTGGTATGTCAAAAGAAATAGAAGAAACAATGAGCGATATACCCAATGTGGATTTAAGGTGCCTTTCCAAACAAGTTCAGCATTTAACTGATGAGATGAAAGGTGAAGATGATGCAATTTCAATTGCTGGTTCTGCTTGCTCTAATTGCAGTCACAAAAGTTCAATTTCTCAACAAAGCAACTCCAGCCTTGTTTCACTTAGACTGAAATATAAAACAAATCTTGCTGACCTGAAAGTAAAGCAAAAGTATCAGCAAGAGGAGGATAGACTAATGAAGGAGTTCCAGTCATCAATGAGCAATCTTAAGCTTCGAAGAGAAATTGAAGTAAATGAAGCCTGCCTATCTGTTCTTGATGAAGAAGAAGTGAAACTTCAACTGGAAAGTAATGAGCTCTTGGCTATAGCCAGTCAGGACTCTGGTAAGGTTCCAGAGTCGTCAAGTTGCCATGGAGAGCCATTGCTATTACAACTGGAAGGTACCAAGCAGCTGAAATTAACCAATCAAAATTTAGGTGAGACATCTAAGTTGCCAAGTTGCCATGGAGAGCCATTGCTATTACAACTGGAAAGTACCAAGCAGTTGAAATTAACCAATCAAAATTTAGGTGAGACATCTAAGTTGCCAATATGCCATGGAGAGCCATCTCTATCACAATTAGAGAATACCAAGTCTTTGAAATTAACCGAACGGAAATTAGATGGGGCTTCCAAGTTGCCAATATGTCACGGAGAGCCATCTTTACCAACATCAGCTAGTTATGTTTATTCTGTTTCTGGTTCAACAAGACATTTGCGAACGCCATCAACCATAATTTGCTCATCACATCCACAATTTGTAAATTCTGTCGTGCAGCACCTTCCAATCGACGGTCAATGTTACACACAAAATGCCATGCAAAGTGTTCCATTTTCATATGGGTACACACCAATGAGCAATTTACCATCTCCACAAAGCCTGTATTCTACTGTGAGACAAGGTGATAACTTGCTAAGCCAGCTCAATGGTCAAAACATTGTCAACAATCACCCCTTTTCCAGTGGAATTAAGACAACATGTGATAGATCAGCAGATAGAGGAGGAGCTCAATATAGACTTCCAGAAATCAAAATTGAAGTATTCACTGGGGAAATTATTGAATATCCATCATGGGAGACTGCATTCAATGGTTTAGTTGATAACAAAGCGGCATGTGTAGAACAAAAGTTGAATTTGCTCAGCCAATATTTGAGCGGTGAGCCGAAAGAACTTGTGCAAGGTTATTTGTTACTTCAGACCGAAGATGCATATGTAATGGCAAAGGAGGAGCTGAAGCGAAGGTATGGGAATTCAAATTTGATAAGTAAAGCGTTTGCTACTAAATTGAAAGAATGGCCCAATATAGCACCACATGACCCAATTAGCATAAGAAGGTTTTCTGACTTCCTAAATCAGCTTCTGGCTGCAAAAAGGCGGTTTCAGTGTTTGGGTATTCTGGATTACTCCCAAGAAAATACGAATATTGTGGCAAAGTTGCCATATGACGTTATAAACTTGTGGAGAATTGAAGTTAGAAAGTATAAACAAGAAAAGAAAAATGAAAATGCTTATCCATCTTTTGATGTTCTTGTAAGATTTGTGTACGATCAAGCAGAGAATGCCAACATTCCAGAATTGAGTGATCTCAAAAAAGAATCTAGAGCATCATATCACAAAGCCGATATGTCAAACAGAAGATCCAAGGTTGTGGTGCTATCCACTTCAACAAAAGAAGAGTGTGAATCACAATGTAAATTTTGTAATAAGGATCATTTTCTCCAAGATTGTGAGAAGTTCATTAGTTTATCAAGGATGGACAAGAAACAATTCATTCTAAGCAACAATCTTTGTTTTGCGTGTGGCTCGGGAAGCGGTCATTTTGCACGAAATTGTAAAGATAAGGCGAAGTGCAAAATATGCCAGAAAACTCATATGACTTGTTTTCATCAAGCAGAAAAACGAAAGACGTCAGAGCAGACCACATCTTTATGCACTACGACCAGTAACAAGATTGACCAATTGCATGACATCGAATGTGACTTATCTATGATACTTCCAGTGTGGATCAGAGATAAAGGTGATCATAGTAAGGAAGTTTTGTCTTATTGCATTCTAGATGAGCAATCTAATACAGGCTTCATCAGTCATCAGGTCCAGGAAGAACTTGGTGTCAAGGGACACGAAACCAGCATAACTCTATCAACAATGTTCAAAAGCAATGTGGCCATTGCAACTAGAAAAGTATCATGTTTGGAAGTGCTCAGCTATGATCGTAAAGTGTGTATAGGATTGCCACCGGTGTACACTCGAGAAGAAATTCCAATTAGACGATCACAAATACCCACACCAGATAAGGCAAGGGCATGGCCTCATTTAGAAAAAATTGCTGATCTAATTCCACCATATCATCCAATCGTTCCAGTTGGATTATTGCTTGGGAACAACATTCCTAGTGTACTGAGACCTAGAGAAATAATTGCTGGCCATGATGACCAGCCATATGCTCAAAGGTCAATTCTGGGCTGGGGAATTGTTGGAGCAGTGCGGAGGTCTTCACTCAAACCAGCTGTTTCTCATCTGATTGATACCGATGTAAGCAACCATGATGTAGATATTTATCCTGAAGTAACATGCAGATTTGCTTTATTGACAAAGACAAAAGAAATTATTGAGCCTCACCATCTACAGCGAATGCCGGAGCTAGAATTCACAGAGCGTGAAAATAAATACAGCGAGCTTTCCATTGATGACTCTCGATTTTTGAAAATTTCATCAGAAAATATAGTCAGAACCAATGATGGTCATTTCGAAATGCCTCTGCCTTTAAAGTCTAGGGAAGTTTCATTACCAAATAATAGATCACTAGCATTGCGTAGACTGCTCCAACTTAAAAAGAGACTACTGAAAGACGAAAGATTTAAAAATGACTATGTTGAATTCATGGAAAACACACTTCGAGATTGTGCCGAAAGGGTCCCAGATGAAGAATTGTTGCTGCTCAATGGTAAAGTTAACTACATACCTCACTCTGGAATTTACCATAAAAGGAAAACTGATCAAATCAGAGTTATATTTGATTGCTCTGCGGTCTACGCTGGTGTTTCACTAAATGACTACCTTTTGCAGGGTCCGAATTTAATGTCAAATTTGGTTGGAATTTTATGGAGATTCAGGCAAGATTCTATTGCAGTAGTAAGCGATATTAAGTCCATGTTCCACCAGTTTTATGTAAAAGAAGAAGACAGAAATCTCCTACGGTTCTTATGGTGGGAAGATAGCAACTTCAACAGAAGTATCGTAGAATTTCGAATGAAAAGTCATCCATTTGGAGCAGCCAGCAGTCCAGGTTGTGCAAACTTTGGTTTAAAACGATGTGCTGATGAAGGAGAAGCCGAATACGGAGAAGCGGCAGCTAACTATATTCGACAGGATTTCTATATGGATGATGGGTTGAAGTCTGTGGCTACATTTGAAGAAGCAGTTGATTTAATTCAACAGAGACGAGCACTCTGTGCCAGTGCTGGCCTCAAATTGCATAAATTCATATCTAATAACTGCGAAGTGCTTGAATCCATACCAGAAGATGAAAGAGCTAAGGATATTAAAACTCTGGACGTCACAGTTGATCCTCTACCAATTGAAAGGACTTTGGGTATTGTCTGGTGTATTGAATCTGACGATTTTCAGTTCAAAATAGAAATAAAGGATCTACCGTTTACTAGAAGAAACATCCTCTCTTCGGTGAGCTCTATTTTTGATCCTGTGGGATTTTTAGCACCAGTTGTTTTAAGAGGGAAAATGATTTTACAAGAACTCTGCAAAGAAAAATATGACTGGGATGACCCAGTGCCTAAATATTTGCGAAGTGAGTGGGAAAAATGGCGCAATGAAATTCTAGAATTGGAGCGACTGAAGATTCCTCGCTGTTATAAACCTGAAGACTTTGGCCGTATCAGCTCTGTTGAACTTCATAGTTTCTCGGATGCCAGTGAAATTGGTTATGGCCAGTGTACTTATTTGAGACTGACTAATGAGCGGGGTGAGATTCATTGCAGTTTTGTTATGGGAAAGGCTCGTGTAGCCCCGTTGAAGCAAATCACAACACCAAGAATGGAGCTGACTGCAGCTGTGATCTCAGCAAAAATGAGTGACCTAATTGTTCGGGAGCTCGAGTATAAGGACATCAGTGTTTTTCATTGGGTGGATAGCAAAGTAGTTCTCGGCTACATAAATAATGAGGCAAAAAGATTTCTTGTGTTCGTAGCTAACCGTGTGCAACAGATACACGATTTGAGTAAATCTGATACATGGTTTTACATCGATTCATCTGCGAATCCTAGTGATGACGCCTCAAGAGGCATAAGTGCAAGAGAACTTCTTTATGATTCTCGCTGGCTAAGAGGACCAGAATTTCTTTGGCAACAAGATCAGAGTTGGAAAAGCTCATTATATAAAGCTGATGAGGAAACTGAAAATTGTTTGATAGAGGAAACGATGAATCGGCGAACTAGTAATTAATCCCATATGTAATTATTGAGAGTTGGTTCCGCAAGTGTAATTTTCTTTAGATTTTGTAAGGAATCTATGTGTAAATAGTGCTGTTTCTTTTTTAATGTTACTCTGTTTAATTTTATATGTTCATTGAGTTAGGTTTAGAGTTGATTTGTATAATTGCAAAACATAGTAGGTAGTTATTGTTTTGCAGGAGAGCCATGTTACTGCAGCGGTTTGCAGCAGTGTCTTTAATGATTGACAGGCGAGATTGTATGACGTCATAGTTAGAATGTTTCGTTTAGTTAGAATGATCTGGAAATCATGTCATTTCCTGTCTCTGGCCTGTAACACGAGTTAGTGCTGTCCCTGTATAGTTCAGACGTGTGTGGCTGTATTAATATTATTCTAGTGTCAGATTTTGTTGTTTGAATCTGCATGTATAAATATGAGCTTAGGATATGTACCGGTACTGGTATTGAGTTCAGTTGCATATTGTTTTGACGAAAAGGTAATTGATTGTTATGTTCTTGTTTACACAGTTTGTTATAATAATCTGCCAGAGAAGCACCGAATTCAATGTCAGTTACCGCAGTTTCAACATTATAATTATCAATTAGCATTTAACCGGAACACAATATTTCATGTTTGATGACATTACTGCATTATTTCTGGACTTTGTCCTGTGGAAGCTGGATTTTCATGCTATTAAAATATTGAAACACGAGTCAAGCTGCATTGAATTGTTATTAGATTCGTCTGCTAGCATTCCATCAACAGACTAAGGAAGGGATCGAATGCCTGCAGCCACACTGTGTGTTGTGGAAATTTACGAATAAAAACATGTAGAGATTTTATCACATTCATCTAACAACCATATATGCTATAAATGGTGACAAAACCGACTTGAATTAACCTTCTGAAACGGACCAGATCAACGGACAACAATCAGGACAGGCAACAATTGGACGGAATCAACGAAAAAGCTGACCAAGCGAAAGCTTTCAACAAGTGCCGAGAAACCGTCTCTACAAAACGTGCAAAAATCAAAATCGACCAACTTACGAACGTCGGGGAGATTCAAATTGCCTGGAACAACGATTGAAGTAGCAAATTGCTGACAAGCCGAAATAATCAAAAACATTATGAAAAGACAATAATCTCAATTGAAAACAGTTGAACTATGGTAACGGACTCTGGAAACGTTAAAATCATGAATATGGACTGTATTGAACATCGATCGAAATGAACTCTTTTAGAACATGATATATGTTCGAGGTGAAAAACCTAATCAAAAAACGAACTGTTGAAAACAATGAACTATATGGACTGTTTTACTGTAAATTACGCGCTCTATTCCGAATAATAGAGAGAGGAATTGTCGCGCATACCTAATGGATATACAGATCAGGAGCATGTTATACTACAATTTGTTTCATGATTTGCAGGTTTTTCTCCTCAATGAGACAGACATTTTTCATTCTTCCACTATTACTAAGGTAAAGTACTTCTTTTTCTTCGTATATATACATGGCGTTTCATTCGACTTTCAATTTTTATAAATTAATTAATGGTAACAACTTTGGATATTCTAATTTCAAATAACTTTCAAGAGATTTATATTATTGAATATTTGTGGTTAGCATTCCTTTTCGATTAAATAGATTTCGTTAGAATTAAAATGCTTTCTAAAAGTAGATTCGAGCGAGTCATACTTTTAATTATTTACAAAGCCGTCATATAGAACGGTAAAATAATAAGCTCGTTTAACAAAAATTGTATCCAAAAGCGTTATTTTTTCAAAAAAGCCCTGAGATGGCATAAACTTAAAAATGCGTTTTTTCTTCCCGACATGGGACAAGCATATATTGACCAACTAGGTCTACTAAATCGTAACAATGCGATAAAGCGAGTATAAGTATTTTAACTTAGCGAAATACATTAAATTGAAAACATGTTTTAACCGTTCAAAACCAAAATTTTTAAAATAAAAATACGCCATCCTTCTGTAATTCTACTTTACAATCTTTACTCTTTCTATAAACTCTTCTTTATTTCAATGTCGTGTCTCATTGTAGATCATATACATGTAAATATTTTTTTGTCTATATCATTAATTTTAGCATTGTGTATTGTATTTTTCTATATATTTTCAATTTATTAGAGGTGCCAAATCTTTAAACTTCCAGTTAGTAAGATGGGGAGATAATATAGCAACTAACCCCCAAATGTACCCCATTTCATGTTAAAAATATGAAAACAAAGTTAATTTCTCTCAAAATTCGAACAAAGACTTTCGTAGGAATCAAATTACACCAGTTTAAAATAACATGTTCCATCCATTCATTATCAAATTAAAATTTATATTCTCAAGACCTTTGTCACTGATTGAAATAATTATATCTAAGTTCCCATCCGTACGATGTACCTAATTACCCTTGTTGAGATAATAGGAATTTCTGTTTATAACGTGAATCACGAGCTCGCGTTTACAGCATTTAATTGGATTTATGATCAACGTATAAATACGACTCCGATATCTTTCGATGAGGAGGGGAGAAGACGATGTAAACCATTTTAAGCTAGTCTGGATTAATGTTATAAGATTTATATTCTGTGTGTTGTGGACATTTACGAATAAAAACATATAGAGATTTTATCACATTCATCTAACAACCATTTATGCTATAGGGTTGACTAAGTTACGGAATATTTTTGAATTCGGTTAAACATGTAGTCCATTATTAAACCACTGCTTTTTTTGTAGATTTTCACTTAGTGGACACTTAGCAAGTACAAGTACGACAGTTAATTTATAAAAAAAAAATTATAAATTAATAACAAAATCAGTAGAAGTCAGCTCGGGTATTCAAACATGTGATGATTGAAGTGAGAAAAATTGAAGTCACGTTTAGGCTATCACATTAAACAACATTGGTACACAAAGGTACATTGGAATCAGTCAAGCTTCAAATGCTAATGGCATTAATGAAAAGAATATGCGAAATGAAGACTGAAGTTTCCATCTGAGACATTGGAAGACGCTAAAACGTTATAGACTTGATAGTGTGGAAAGCCTTCTCACAATGCAGTAATATTGGGACATATATTTATAACATCATTATACAGGCTTTAAGTTGAACTATATAGTTAATTAAAATATCTATCTTTGCTAATAAATGCTGAAAACCATTTATTTCAATCTGCTGAGTGATTAGGGCCAGAAATTTGCTGTAGGGACCATCACCAGGGCTGGATTTACCAATAGGCTAGGCAGGCTGAAACCTAGAGCCTCGAAATTCGGTTTCGAAGTTTGTAATTCTTTTGAAAACTTGACAAGTTTAAACCCTACGAAACGTATATATATATCAGGCTTTTCAGAGTAGAAAATTCTGTACACAACTGGTTTCAACCACAGCATCATAATAAGGGAAGTTATTATTATGCGCATTCTGCTGGAAGTTTTCTATGTTAAAGTATGGCTGTAGCGGTTGTTTGATCAAAGAAATTGAAAGCAAAACTGCCTCAAGTAAATTTTCATTCCTTCAATTAAAAATTCACACCCATGAATGAGGAGAATGAAAAATTTAATGCACTCATATTTTTAAATTTTAAGCAATGACATGTGGTGTTGTTTAGAGAGAAATTCTGAGCTTAAAAATATGAAGGAGCCTCTCATGGTCTAAATCCAGCCCTGAACATCACCAATTTTGGAATAGGTACATGGTGTCAACAAGACTCAACATATGAACTGAGTTAGGCCATTGAATTTTGAAAGGTGTACCAGAAATGTACATAGTTGCATGGAATTCATGAAATATATAACACCCAATAAAAAACCAAAATAGGTCTTTCGTTGAACGCCAGTTATGGTCCCTGTACCGGTATTCCAATATTATCACAAGCAGTTTCCACAGAGCACGGCGCGTTGCAGAATTCATGGTCTAGTGAGAATGAACGTCATCGGAAACACCGCGATCATTGAATTTTTAATGAACGATTATCAAATATCTTGACCATGTTTATCATGATAAAAATATCAAAAATAATGTAAAACATATTCTATTCTCAAAATACACACGTATACGATGAAACATATCTAGAAAATCCCAAAAAATGCAAATTTCTGCTCTGGTGATCACATTTCCCATAAGAGCTAATGTTAAAAAAATTTTTTTACACTTTTTTTTTTGCGCGTAGGATGGGTTTTAAATGACTAAGGTCGAAATGTCACATATATACAGCGATCGTTCATATAGAATCGGTTAAAAGCAGAAATTTAATGCGAGATCAGGTGGACCAGATTGAAATCCTTAACGAGTCGTGGTTTATCCAGATTTAGTATCTAGCAATGATAGACGACAATATTGTATGGTGCTCGTTGTTCGAAACTCAAATCAATCATTCATAATTTATGCTTAAACTGTTGTATTTCGTAATTTCCGCTAGATGTTGATCAAGAGCTATGACGTCATCGTCAACCACATTGCGCTGCGGATATTCTTGAATACATCATTCGCTAGTATGTCTCTCGCTGGATATATTCTAGTCAATGAACTTTTAGTGAATCATTATGATACGCAGAAAATTTTCCGAAGGTAAAACATTTAATTCAACTGAACATAGGACAAGGTAGTCATTTGTTGCGTAGAGCTGCGCATTTAATGTCAGACTCGTTGTCTAGTCCGTGTGGAACCAGTGATAAATTATAGGAGGGTTTCATTTATCTTTTGTACAATTTGCATCTTCAACACGCTTTTGCAACTAACAGATTTTAGCACCGCCACCACTGATTGCTTTCCATGACCATTTGCACACATGACGTTCGCACCTCGGAATTTTTATTTGCATCCACGGAGCAGAAACGGTCATTTTCAACCAATGATATTTGTACGGTGTGCTAAAAATCCTATGGGATGCAAAACAAGTTAGATACAAAAATTCCCTGGATGCATGCAGTTTATGGTACACGACAGGAAAATTTGTTTTGTCCACATTATCCCTTATTGTTAAATCGTATTGGCTGGTAAAGTTAAACTCTGATTCTCGGGCTGAATATGTGGCCCAATTGCGGCCCTCGAAACGCCCTCAATATTTGTAAATATTTTTGCAAGTTTTTTTTATATAAATGTTATACATTTTTGAATTGAATATTCAACACAGAAACGAGAATTTTACTGAAATTATTTTTTGAAAATTAATTTTTTTTTGTTTTGAATATGATCCAATTATGGCTAGCAAAAGAGTACTTGAAAACCACTTCCGGATTAAATGAAACGCAAACTCATATGAAAAAGGCAGAAAACTGGGAGTTGCAATATTTCTGCATTTCTCAAATTTCTGATGCGCATTGTTTAAATTTGTCATATTTCCATCAGTACAATGAAAGAATACAATATAAGTAGACATTCTCAGAATACGATCAGCAGTCAATATGACAAATTTAAAGATCGCATTCGAACAGAAAATTATCGTGTGTTTGTATATTAATATTTTGTTATACAACTACCTAGTTACTAAAAATAAATATCAATCATGACTCAAGAGGTCCTATGCCACGTAATGGTAGGAAATGTCTGGTCCGAAAAGTCCGACATTTGTTTGTTTACAGATCTATACATGAAGTGATAAACGTAATATTTTTGCATTACTGAAAGTAATCAAACATTCTGAACGATCCAGATTAACCGATGTTCATGTGAATTCGTTAATCAGTGTTGGTACTGTAAAATAATTTCATCCTGATATTAGTAGGCTGGTGGCACAAAAGAGATGCCAAACGTCAGGACATATGCAATAAAAAAAACATTGAGTTCATTCTGTAGTATTTTTGTCAATTTTAGGTCTATATATTTAGTCATTTTTAGTGTATGTATTATTTTTTTCCTATCAAAACTTTGTTCAAAATGTTCTGGATAGTTGTACATAGAAATATTTATGATTTTTTGTAATGACTACAGTAAATTGCAATATAAGTAAAATGCAATAATTAATACGTAAATGGCAATTGAAATTCAAGAAAATAACAAAACTTCATTCGGCTGTTTGATTTAATCACAATATATGTCACAAACTCCATCTATCTAAAAGTATGCTCCGAGTATACATTATCATATTACATCGAAAACTGTTTGCGGCCCTTTGCACAATTCCCAAAATGCAATACGGCCCTCGAGAGCCAACGAGTTTGACACCCCTGTTATAGGACATGACATCATACGACTCATAGAATACTTTAAACAAGCTAAATGTGTATTAAAGACAGTGACGAACTGGAGGTAAAGCCACCTTTATCATTTTTTCGCTTTTGGGTTAAACAGACTTATTTTGTCACTTTCTATAGTTTTTTCAACTGGAATACTGACATTAGTAATATTAAACTGAACTATAGAACGCCCATAAATTTGGCTCGGAAAAATGCCTATGTTGTATATTATCAGTATTCTGCATTTGGCAGTTGACCATATGAGAAAGAAAATTCCAACCGAAATAAATAGAATCTTATTGAATAAAAATAAAATCCCTTGATAAAATCCTATTTCTTCTACGCCCCTTCCGAATTCTTATATTTGATTACTTCGTTGCTGCCGGTCCCAGTCGTGTCATTAAGTTTCTTTGCTATACTTTGGGTGGAGTCAATTACCAGAATCGTGCCTAATGCGCAGTTCAACGCTTTTTCCTTTAATCATACTTCCACGAAATGAAGGGGTTGAATAATTAAACAACTTAATATTGGTTCCCTGGTGTAATTTGTACAAAAGCACGGCAATTTTCCATGGGAAGTCCTCTAAATATGTTGTGTATTTCTTTTTCCACTTGTGTTCCAATGACTCCGATAAATTCGATTTTCCTGAAAAAAAATATTATGTTTTATTATCGAATTGTTTCCATAGTGAAGACTATTCACTAGTCTTTTCAATTCCCTCATTGTGTATTTCTTACACATTGGAGTGATTACTGAAAATAACAAAGCAAATTTACAATTCGATTGAAAAGGGGGTATTTGGAGTTGAATATCCGTGTCTGAATCTATGGTATGTTTGAGCTGATGGTCGTATGGTAGTATTGGGATCGTTTGCCTATAGGTAATACCGTTTAGTCAAATTTGATTGAACAGAACTATGTCGGTTTCAATCGGAACCTAAATGTTTAAAATGAAACTCTTGGCAACAATGAGTCATAAAAATGATTCGTTTAGTCGTTTTTTGCATTCAATTCGTGTATAAATTACCAAGTTACATTAAAGTAGCCTCTAGGTAGGCCCCAGGGCAGGGGTGGGCAACCTTTTTAGACTCGCGTGCCAAAATCGGCTGAATTTAGCGATAAAATTCTTCCGCGTGCCAGCCAAAATTAAAAACAATGCTTTGCTGCTTTAAAGAAAAATTACAAGATAATAAACCTATAAAACATGTATAGACAGATTCACTATTCGGGAAAATATCTGTCCGGCAAATAGACTTTATTACTTTTCTTATTCGATATTGGTGAGACTGATTAGTCCCGTATTAAGAGTAGCCCAAAAGATGAAACCAGTAGTTCGTGTATTCTTTGAAAGTTACAAAATATAAACCCAATGTAAAATTTCTATCAGCGGTAATGCAGCAGCAGAAGTCTCACTGATATAGAATAAGAAAAGTAATAAATCTATTTGCTGGACTGATATTTCATAATATGACAGGAGTTCATAACTGAGAACAGAGATTCAGAAGCATATGAGGATGAAAACGTGAAGAGTAATGCAGTTGCAAAGTTTTTAAGACACGAAAATTTTTCGGGAATGGCACCCCAATCACGCAGTAGTTTGTTTCCTTCGCTTCTCTTGTATTCCCTTCCCTAATCGCTTATATTTCGAAATTAATTTATAAACGTAGGTAAGCAAGTAACTCTCATGACCATCATGAGCTGTACAACTTCATAAATCAAGCAGAAAGGAAGAAAGAGGATGGCTCATACAAACTATATTACGTAAGAATGTATTCAAATGATTGCTGCGCTCTTCTCGACAGCTCACTAATTTGTTATGTCATAACAGATTTCTTTGTAGCCATTTGTCATGGAAGAACAAAAAGTGTTCAATAAATAAATGACGGATTGTGAACAAACGATGATGAAAAAACGAACACCTAGTTTCATCAGATAATTTAGACAGAGTCTTGCAACTTTTTATCTGAAAGAGAAAAATGATCTCGTTTCTAAGGCCTCGCTCGCGTGCCGAATAAATGGGCTCGCGTGCCAAGTTCGGCACGCGTGCCAGGGGTGCCCACCCCTGCCCTAGGGTGAATATTAAAAGGGTGAATACTCACGTTTGAAAAGTAGATTATCACTTATTCTAAATTTTTTCATAAGATATTCAGAATCCAGTGCAATTGTCTCCAATTTAGCAATGTAATCATATTGAATATGACACGGATCACATATATCCTTATACAATCTCCAGTGGATATCAAGTTGCTTCGGATTGCTCAATATACTGTCGACAAATTCTTCAAAGCTAGCTCTACCAGGTTTAAAATATTTTGTGTTTTTATTTCGAGCTGAAAATAATAAATTGTAAAAAAAAAAATTGGAATTCAGCAGGGACTAAAAATTAAGCGTATTATTTATTGTTCAATAAATTCAAACAACAAAGCTTAAATGAGATTTGTCGCCAAATTTAAAATTCCTCATACGTTTTTTTTTAGGGTCAGGCGGAAAGACGGCTTTTAAAAATGACATTTTTGGCATTATTGTATCGTAGTTCTGCAATCAATAGCCAGTTACAATAGGGTCTTCGTGTTATATTCCATACTTTGAATATTACCACATCAAACTATTTGAGAACCGCTTCATAACAAGACCCCTGAACACAAAAACTCACCGTATTTCCCATGTATTTTCTTCGACATTTCTTCATAAAATCCCAAACCCGATCCACCCGGTAACATTTTATCGATATAAGCAGATACAACACGCTCTAATGGTTCTCTTACTGTCATTATGCGATAATAATTATTCAGTCGCTTGTTCATCTCATGATAAGATTCCGGGTTTTGAGGGGAAAATTTTGTCCAGAGAAATCTGTCGTATTTCAAGATAGAGTTGAGGTACATTAACTGTATTTTATGTTATAGAGTGGGAAAAAAAGTATCATCTTGTCATACTTCTTGTCGCATTGTGGAAACTGGCGAATAAAATCAAAGGATGCGCACGGGGCCTGACGACGAGAGTCTTAGGCTACTTCGTCTGTGAGCTCATCCCGATAATGACGACACACAAGCTGTTATGTAATTTATTAAAACGTCACAATACAAATATCTGTAAACTGTATTATGACGGCATAAATGCAAAAGTTTGCATCAATGTATAGTACATTGATTATTTTATTCTAAAAACAAACAGGTCTATGTTATTGTATAGATAAATTAAATTTATTATTTGTTGATAAATAAACATCTAATTATTATCATTTTCTAATCTTTTCAAAAAGGCATTATTATGGTAAAAACTGTTTAATTAATTTAGAGGGTGTTTTGATTTTTTAAGTTAAAATGCTAAAGTTTTTTAAATTTGAATAAATTCATTTATTCGGCCGTATTTAATTTTTTAACTTTTTAAACGTGGAATATTTGGAACAACGGCACTTCACCTGATTAAAAAATCAAACAAAATTGAATGCGGAGGACATTACATGCATGAGTTATTCGAACCAGCAATCGATCAATATATAACTTTACCGATTGTCCCGAGCCAAAGTAAAAGCTTCTTCGTGTCCAATTTCACTCATGGAAGTTACATTTACATCTCCTTCTACGATAAGCAATGTTTTTCTCCATTCTGTGCTTCCGCATTTACCAACTGCACATATTATCATCTGTAAATAAGGGTGAAATCTATCTGTAAACACTTCAAAATATCAGTAAACACTTGAATGGATTCAGATCATGTCTTATCTAATCATTCTTCAAATGTAATTTTCCAGGAAAACGTTACAAAAGTACAGCAATATCCGTACTGCCCCGCTTCAGTTCGTTTACTGTGATCTATTCGACAACCAAACAACTCAGTTTTGCCCATAATTGAAACTTTCCAGCAAAAAAATGAATAAAACTCACCTTAGTTTATCAGAAAAGTACAAATTAGGCCTAATCCGTGTTTTTTTCATCCATGCCGATGCATTCAAAGTTCTATTGCCAGAATACCCATATCCAAGTTTATTGCAATACGTTTTAATATGTGAATTCCGTTGCTCGGCAATCTTCAGCATATTCCATTTTTCTACTTCAGGGGCAATTAGACGTATGTTGATGTGAGATTGCACTGCTCCTTTCTGAAACTTAAAATAACGTATAATAGAATGTTTATTTATACAATTAATTTTACAAAGCAATGTATGTTCAATGTAAAATGTAAGCGATATAAACTGTCTTACTAATGCAATACCCAAGTGTGACACTATCACAATGGATAAATGTAACACTTCTATAACTAACTTGGGTGATGGCCCAAAAGAGTCTTTCATCAGCTGCCTGCGCTAGCGAAGGCCAGAGCGCGTTATCCTTGTTGTTGGAGAGCGTCGAACAGCGCCTTATTGGCCTGGCGAGTCAAAAATTCTGGGGTTGATCCCCATACTCACTACCTTACACAAGATTTTCAAAATTTGATTGGTTCTGCTAAGCCGGGAAGATTCAAATATCTTGTTTGTTCGAAGTGAAGTACTTTCCTATTCTTTTCACATGCGTGCAATACACAATGAGCATGGGTACGATTTTGTGATTATGCAAATCAGATTGTAGAAAACCCTACTATGAATACTAGAATCACCCCTTAATTAATATGAGTGCCATCACCGAAAAAATCCAAACCAAAAAGTTATTGTAATCTGTTATATCATAACTAAGAACTTGAACATAAAAATACTTGATGCATGTAATTCAGTGTTCACTATTAACGCACTATTTTGCGAAAAGTGCGAGACACTTTCGCAGTTATTTAGAAACCACGAAATCGCTATTACAAATTTTATATTTACAAATTATTTGCGTGCGAGTACAAAGTTGACAAAAGGCTGCCTGCGAGTAATATTGTGGAACACCTTTTTCTGCTCGCGTGCCGAAATCGGATAAATCTAAAGACAAAATTCTTCCGCCTGTCGACTAAAATTAAAAACAATGCTTTGCTACTTTTGAAGCAAAAATACACAATAATAAACCTTTCAAACATGTACAGACAGATTCACTATTCGGAAATATATCAATCCGACAAATAGTTTTGATAACTTTTCATATTCGATATCAGTGAGACTTCTGCTGCTGCATTACCGCTGATAGAGATTTTACATCGGGTGTATATTTTGTAACTTTCAAAGTAATACACGGACTCCTGGTTTCATCTTTCCGGCTACTCCTGTTACGAGACTTAATAAAGTTCATGACTGAGAACAGAGATTTACAAGCATATTATGTAGATTAAAACATGGAGAGTAATGCAGTTGCAAAGTTTTCAAGACACGAAAATTTTTCGGGAATGGCATCCCAATCACGCAATAGTTCGTTTTCTGGAATCCTCTTTTGTATTCCCTTCCCTATTGCTCATATTTCTTTCGGAATCAATTTATAACAGTAAGTGGGACATATAGCCAACTTCATAAATCAAGCAGAAATAAGGAAAAAGGGTGGCACATACGAACTATATTACGTAAGAATGTAGCCAAATGAATGCTGCGCTATTTCCGACAATATTTCTCGAGAGCTCACTCATTTGTTACCTCATGTTATATTTCTTTGTAGCAATTTGTCATGAAAGGACAAAAAGAGTTTAAATAAAGACCGGATTGTGCCACGCGTGCCAGGGGTCGCCCACCCCTGATCTAAGCCATGTGGTGCAGACAAGGAAGATGAAGCTATCTGCGATTTTGCTTTTGAACTACAGGAAATTTTGACGGACTATCACCGATTTGCGAAATCGCCAAATACACACAAAATGGTTTCGTCGTGTGAACAGTCAATTTATTCCAATCACGAATGTTAAAAGCACACGGCATTCCTCGAAATTCTGCGATATAAAATGTTATCACCGATAAATCGTACACTAAACGTCGGAAAATGAATAATCCATCTATTATGGCGGGATTTAGGTTGCTTGGAAATAATTACGTTTTGCTCAATTAACACAAATAACATCCGTTTATTTCCGTATAGAAGTGGTACCCTTCTACCGGTATTTGAAATATACTCATCGTCTCTGCCAATTGACTAGCGATAGCACAAGACTCAGCATCAAATATTAAACAAAATTATTTGATATTCATGGTTTCGTTCGAAATATTTAGGCTAAAACTACATAATAAAGATTACTCACGTTTACTATATATGTTGACACGCTTAGCAACAAGACAATGCAAATGATGATACTATTTTTTAAATGTAACCGGCACAGGTCCATGATGCGAGCATGTAACGTTTAGAAAATGCACAAATTATCCCCTATATCTGAAACGTAAAACAACACAAAGGTAAACATATCAGATTGATCTCTGATTCGCCCGACTGCCATATCTCAGATTTATACCGCCTGTTTGAATTGATTAACGGAATTTTAGGCTTTTATAATTTTAAAACCAAAACATCAACTCGAACAGACTAATGTACATTTAAACAAGTTGCACACGCAAACGCTTGAGGCATAATTTTATTCTTAACTGGAATATTGGAGCCTAAGCAACTGTATTTGCCCGGAGGCGATATCATACAAAAGATACAAAATCATGGCATTCTTTTGCAGCCACCGACATCTTTTTGCCCTTGTACCTATTGCACCTAAACAAATTTAAATACGTAGACGTTTGCATCAATGGATAATTCCTCCCCATGGACGTTTGCAGACACCGATATTTGAAACCATGATTTGCATGAACGTACATTTCCACCAGTGGAAATGTTCTGCTATGGACATTTTCACCCACGGTTATTGGATACGAAGTGGAACTATGTATGGATCGTTTTGTTAATATTTTATCATTCTTCTTCTTGTTGTTACATAATGTTGTTACAAGAATCACTTTCCTCATTTACTAATAAACTAATTGCTTTGAAATATCCAGTGGTTTTGGATTGTATTTTTTGCCGGAAGGCTATTACTTTTATTGATTTCTAAATTTTATATGAATCCTATAAGATCTGATATTTCATCCGAAATTTCACTGTATATTTATTTTCCACGAGAGCACGGTTTTTAATCCGCTAACCGTGACTGCCGTTTGCGACTTCTTTTGCTTTGGATTTCGTGTCCATATGTTTGAGCATCGCTCGATTGTTTTTACCCACGGATATTTATGCTTCAAATGAAACTTTAATCACGCTTGACCTTCACTTGGGTTTCCAGGCTCAAAGTCAACAAGGCGCCTATAACATTTGCCGTCGAGTGATGTACATTTAATATTATATCTCCATATTTACTAATGAATAAATACTCATTACAAAACTGAACGCGACTTCCATCCATCAACTTAGTTCACAACAAAGGCCGGTTCAACTATAGTTAACTTTGTGGCATGATTACATTTAAACGGGAATACGTTAATTTTGCTGCATTTACTGATAAAGAGGTGAATTAAATGAACTTTATTACACTATAAATATTTGACAGACATACTCAGCATTTACACTTACCTGCCTACAGTAAAACGGGTACTTAAACTATCGGTACAGCTGCGCCAGACGGGATTCTGTGGCAGGCACGCTCGAGTAGGTTATTGCTCCCCGATAATGCACACGAGCGAAATCCAGGCCCCGGTCTCTTTTCTCGTGAGATTGGCTGGATAATTGACATTGTCAGTGTTTGCTTCCTCAGCGGTTCTACGAAATAAGGCGTCTATACACATTTTAAGAACTGCCACAAAAATCAAACCTGTTGTTGATTACGGCAGCCAATATACCCTCTACGGAAAAAGACCTATAACTGTTTCTACACCTGATTGCTTCACTGGTAAGGTTAAAATTTTGTGTTCACAGCCTTACAGGCGGAACAACATATATACGACTCGTATGATATATTCCCCAACTGTTGCGTTTGTTGAAGCATTTTTAAACATATAGTCCTATTTAGACGAAACTAAACCTGAATATCCATAAATTTAAATATTCATTCAGTTATATTCCAATAAGAATCCCATGGGATGGGACAGAACGGTCTCACGGACAAGACTGAAAATTGATGAATATATATAATATGATCTCGATGATGCTTTCCCAGTTGCATCAAATTTTTTTTATAATAACTGTGGTTGTGATACTTGTACGTGATAACTCCAAAAGAGAGTATTGAACTTTACTTCGAAGTTGGAAGGCGTATTGATTATTGATGCAGAGGAAATAAGCTTGCGATTACGAAGAAAACATTTTGTTTAACGGTTATTCACTCATTATATATTCTCAAGATAAAATACGTTATCATTAAATTATATATATAATGAGAATATGGAAGTTTTGCTGCCTTATCGAGCTAATATTTAAATAACTAGAAAGTTGTCACTTCAGTATTAGTATTCCACATCTAACTGTTTAATTGGAGGAAAAGATTTCAATGTTTGAGAAATGAAAATTAAATCGCCGATAGCTCGCCAATCTTGTTCCATGTTTTTCTCATGCGTCCCTATACATTATCTTGATTACTTGAACAATAAACCTCCACCGTTCATTACTATAAATGTACTTCAAATTAATTCGATATTATTTTTTTCAGTATGTATGTACCAGGAAGATAAAATGCAATACGAGTCACGACATTAAATATTTTTGGCATCATCATCCACTCACAGATAAGTTTGATTCATATTAAGAGTATTCAAACAAATCACACTGAAATACAAACAAATACACAAAGAAAATCAGAAATCTGAAAACTCGAATTGGTATATAAAAACGCTCAAATTGTGATGAAAGGGCACTAATTTCTAATTCGGGAGTATGAGTTTGTGTTCAACCTTAATGGCTCCTGAGGTCCGCCCCTAAGCCTGTGTTCCCATCAACTTGAATGGCTTTTAATTGATATCTGTATCCTCACTTGTTATGGAAATTTTGTTTTCCATGAGTTTTTCATTCATTATACTTCCACGAATGAGGGGGTTGAATAATTAAATAACTTATATTGTTCCCAATATGTTTCATACAAAGCATGCAATTTTTTCATAGGAAGTCCTTCTAAATATGTTCTGTATTTACTTTTCCACTTGTGCCCCAATGACTCCGATAAATTCGAATCGCCTGGAGAAATAAAATATTATATTTTATATTCAAATTGTTTTCGTTTATGGTTATTACCATTCTCGCGTATTTCTAATGTTATTCACAACAAATCTATCGTCAAACAATTTCTAGCTTCGTTTTGTACACTGCACCGCTAGCGTTCAGAGTTACTATTTACCGAAAATAGGAAAGCCATTTATAATTTGAACAAAAAAGGTTTCGTTGGATCTAGGAATATTTGTTTCAGAAAAGTATTGTATTTCAACTTTTTCTCCGTTAATCTCAAATATTTTAAACCTGGATGGGTGTCAAGCGATTGCAGTGTTAAGGATAGTCCGTCTGATTTATTATATTTAAATTCTCTCATTAAAAAAAAAACGTTATTAAACTATGTGCATCTTTTCACAGCAGGAGTGACACTCTCGCTCAACAGGAATACTTATTTAGCACTTTTTAATTGAGGAGACTTTATATGCGGCGTGTGCTGGTCCAAGAACTTCGTAATAGTTAAACAATTCCTAATTCAAAACGCGGTTGCGCTCGTCTGGCATAAACAAGAGGTGTCGCTCCGGTGTAAAATTTCTGTCGGGCTTGAATGGCGAGCTACCGGAGTGCTGTGATGGCGGTTTGTTTGAATACCATCTGATACTCGTCTGCGCGGAGTTGCGCAAGTTACGCTTTTGTATATATTTTTATAAGAAAGCAGCCTTAGGTAGGATCTTATTACCCAAGAGTTGCGTCGCGACAATCGCGCGTTCGAACAATGATGTTTTTATATTTCAAACAATGATGTTTTTATATAGCGGAAATAAGAAGTTCCTGGTAATATAAACGACAAAGTTAGTGGGGGAGGCCCCTCTCAACTGTTTTATATCCCAGTGACGGCTTTGCAGGAATGCAGTAATTTTCAGTAAAATATTTGTGCGCCTAAAGCAAACCGAAGCACTTATGTTGAACTGCAGTATTTACATAACAATCAAGTGTGAAACAGGATTTATATTTTCGCATGTACAATTTCCATATGATAGAATTTTATAATCTTGATATTGTGATTAAAACTTATACAAAGGCACGACAAAGATTTTTCCTCCATTTTTTATTTCAATTTATCTTTGACTTTTTGTGGTCTTCAGTTTATCAGTTTCCACATACATTTTCTCAATTATTGATTTTCATTTTATTTCTTTATTCGATATTTTCATCTGTTGTCTCTTACTAAAACTTTAAATTTTCTGCGTGAGAAATATTTGTCTCCCTACAGGGCACATTGGGATCGTTTTCTCCGAAACAATGACTGACCAATCGTTTTTTAAAGCCACTACACTAGTGGAAGATCACTATTTTCATTGTTATTTGTTCTATTAATTTCCTTCGAGTTTTATGAACAATTGTATTTTTCTAAAAATTTCCCTATTTCTGCAAATATTTCAATGACACGTGGCAGTGCCGGCAGTCAGGGAGATCTCACCGATAACGCTGTGAATTGCTGCGGTGGAATATTATTACCAAGTTACATCAAAGTAGCTGCTTTGATGTATATTAAACGGGTGAATACTTACGTTCAAAAAGAAGATCATCACTTATTCCGAATTTTTTAACAAGATATTCAGAATCCAAAGCAATTGTCTCTAATTTAACAATGTAATCATATTGAATATGACAAGGATCACATATATCGCTATACGATCTCCAATGGATATCATGTTGCTTTGGATTGCTCAATATACTGTCGACAAATTCTTCGAAGCTAGCTGAACCAGGTTGAAAATATTTGTGTTTTTGTTCTTGGCTGAAAAGTAAAGAATTATTCGTCATTTCTGAAATTGAGCTGGAGATGAACATGAAGTACTATTTATTGTTCAGTGAATTGAAAAACCATTACCTAGAGTAGGTTTGTTCAGCTTTAGTTATACCATACGCCATTGGAATGACCAGACTGTATGCCAAAACCTTGTGCTTCGGTAGATATTGAGAATAGTAGTTATGACGCCGCAGCCAATTTCTCAATGCAGCCCGTTGAAAAACAAAATAGATTCTGAATGAATGCAAAGAAACTTGATCACCCATGCAATAGGCTCTTTGGGACTGAATTTGAGCATAACTCCATCAAGCTATTCGTTAACCGCTTCAGAAAAAAGGCATGTAGAAGCACAATCACAATTTTATGACTCACCGAATTTATTATGTATTGTTTTCGATATTTTTTCATAATATTTTTCACCCGTTCCATCTGGTAACATTTTATCGATGTAAGCAGATACAACACGCTCCAATGGTTCTCTTACTGTCATGATGCGATAATAATTATTCAGTCGCTTGTTTATCTCGTGATGAGACCCCGGGTTTTTGGGCGGAAATCTTGTCCAAAGAAATCTGTTGTATTTTAAGATAATGTTGCCGTATTTACGTTGTAGTCCAATTTTCGTAGGATATAGTAGAATGGAAACATCTATTAATTTATTTCTACTTTTTTCAATATTCCATTTTCAATGTAGTGTTTTATGAAAAAGGAAAAAATGCACAGCTACGCATGTGTGATTATAAACAAATTATTATCAAAAAGCACAAGATTAGGATAATGTAGTCGCTGGTGCTCCAAAAGAATTTTTTTACCTAATTATTCAGAATTTTTTTCCTAATTTCCCTACGCCTTGCTTCTGTGTGAAGTATCTGTGATTGAGTACGCGAATGTTATTATAGTTTGGATGATACTCTTTCAAAAGGCTACAAATATTAGACACCATTGATTAGGTACAATTCAATCACCGTGTCTATCGTCTGGTCTCTCTAAAATTTGTTTATTTATCACACGTGACTTTTTTACAATATTGCATCTCCTGCTATGAATGAATCGATTTACCTCGATAACAAATTGGGAGTTAATAAATGCGGCGCCAATAGTAATTTAATACCAGGTTAAATTCAATGTAGCGTTATAATACCAAATCTCCACCCGTAATATATTTCGCGAAACGCAGAATATAATTGAAGTAAGTTTTACCGCTTGTCGCGAGCCAAGGTGAAAGATTCTTCATGTTCAATTTCACTCATGGAAGTTGCATTTACATCTCTTTCCACGATAAGCAATGTTTTCCTCCATCTTGTGCTTCCGCATTTAGGAACTTCACATAGTATCATCTGCAATTAAAGGCCAAACCTACACGCGAATGCTAGATTGTATGTTGCACAATGTCAGTAGCAACAGTCAAATTTTGTGTAGTTATGCAGTTCATATCTTTTTAATTATCAAGACAGTTTTGCCAAAAAAAAACTTTTAAGAACCTAATCAATATCTTTGTCCTGTCCAGAGGTCAAAGCAAGCCGACCATCCCATTTACAGTACCATATTCGGTGAACTAATATGTTGTAGCCACCAACTCGTCTAGCTCGAAGTGACTGTGCAAAAACACTTTACAAAAACTACATTAGGTTGACAGTGCTCTTTTCGACAAATAAACAACTCAATTTCACCCACAATTGGACCGTTCTATCAAAATACGGAAATAAAATTCACCTTGAGTTTATCTGAGTAGTATAAAAGAGGTCTTGAGTAGTCTATTTTGTGCATCCATGTGGATACATTCAGGGTTAAATTTCCAGAATACTCATATCCAAGTTTATTGCAGTACTTACTTAAATGTGAATTCCGTTGTTTGATTAGATTCAACATATTCCATTTTTCTACTGATGCAATGTCAAATTGCAACCCCCGTTTCTGAAACTTAAAATAAAGTATATTGGGATTTTAATGCATATGAATAATTTTTCAATTTGGAAAATCTGAAGCCATGGCTCCAGCTTTGCATACACATGTGCACAGTGCCGGATTTATCATTGTGCAAGGTGGGATGAAGCCTAGGGGCCCTGCGCTTCAGGGAGTGTCGGCATTCAATTTTTTCTAACGATTATTCATTTTTGAATTGGAAAAGAATTCATCTGCTCAAAATTTTCTTATACTAACCTTTTATTTATATTTTTATTTGGGGTAATATTTTTTGTCGCAAATTTTTTCCGTTTACAAGGTTAAATTAAATACCGTCGATTTATTGATTTTTTTGAAATTGAAAATTCTACCCATTAACTTCACAAAATATGCTAATTTAAATTAATTACACAGTTTTTTTACCCTAATAATGTCGTTATTTTTGAAAGGGATGGTCAAATATTAATATATAGCCATACTAAATTATCTCAGAATATTTTTTTTTTTTTATCAGCTATTTTCGGATTTTGCAGTTTTTACAATAATGTTAACGTGATTTTAAAATATTGATATATAGCTATGCTAAATTATATGATAATATTTACTTTTTTTTTTTTGAAAAAAACTATCTTCAGATTTTTTTAGTAGACCCGTTCGATACACATATTATTTATCAGCCATTGAGATTACCAGACTGCTTTAAAGTGCTAAATTTTTCATGCACAAATTTTCAAAAAATAATGAAGTTTCAACTGGTTTCTATTCTCTAGGAGTGTGACACACCTTTGGATTCCTAATCTGAGATTGGAATACGACACCGCAATGAATAACAGCGCCCACTGAAGCATGAGCGTTCAACATAACCGTGTTGTCTCTGAAGGTCAACGATCCCTGCATCGCTAAACCTAATATCTGTCGCCATGGTGTAATAAACTTGGTAGGTTGTGCACAAACCGGGAAGTTTACAGTTTTCCTGTATCTCGATATGCACCAGTGTGTATGCTTGTCCAAATCATTGTTCGACATGATGATGTGAAGGAATATTTATGCTAATTGCTAATTTCACTTTTGATTGAAGAGATACTCTGTGGCCACATTTTCCCAAATATAAAATAAAGCAATAAAAATCATTTTAATAAGTTTCAAACCTGGGAAATCTGAAAGATTCTAGACAAGTAGAATTGTAGCAATAATCCAGCCAGGAAAATTAATAATACTACGGAAAGAAGTTTCTTAATATTTAGATTCAAAGGCATCTGAAAAATTGATATTTAGTATAAATCCCGGTTTGGTTTTCTCATTTGGAAATTATGGCATCCATCGAAAGATCTTCAAATCTGATTCCGAAAGCACTAACTCATTTGAATATGACTAATGGAGATCTGCATGTATTGTAGTGTCTCCCACTGGAAAAGGGGGACTCAAACAGTCATCATTTGGTGAACAGAAACTCTTTATATTCTTACATTTATTTAATAGAACACTTCGGTATAGAATATAAAGCAAACGCCTATTGAGACTATTATAAGGCTGCATACCAAAATGTTTGATGCCCCCCTCAATAACATGTTGATGAACTGTATACAGTAAAAATTTGCGCTGGCTGTTTCACATACCGTTATGATCCGACTGCAAAGCATTCTTCCAAGATATCCTTTCGGGGCATATTGACATAATGAAAAGTAGAGTTTCATGTTACAGTTGGAAAGAATGTTGACATGACTGTGTTGTACATTAATATTAAAATATTGGACGCTGGTCGACCCTTCTGCAGCTCGACACCCATTTTAATAGAACCCTCATTTGACCTGTAGTAATATCTGTAATGGTTTGCCAAGCTTTACAGTAGAGCTGTGCTGTGATTGACATTATTCAACCATTGGGAATAATACATATTATATCCTTACACTTCAATTGCGAAACGCACTATATCGCCAAAAATACTGTCAGGAATAGTTTAAAATAACAGGCATTTTCCGCCCTTTTGATACTCTGTATAAGTCTTATACTTGAAAGGAAATCATTCAAATAATAATTAAAACCATATATTTATTCCTATTTCGGACTCTTACTCTTGTAGGCACTCCTATATATTACAGTTTCAGAATCGCTGTGTGAATCTGTCGGCCCACAAGCAAGTAAATGCGAACAGACAAGTGGGCTTCAAATTACAATTGACGCTTTCGTAATTCTTATTCATCATTTGTTCGGCTTTTGTTAAGGACGGCAATGGGCGCATGGGTCGGGTTTTGCTAAGATAGTAAGTATATCTGTAATAGGTTCTATACGAAGCGGACCAATGTATCGTTTAAACTTGTTCTTGGGGATAGGGTTGTTGTGGAAATATCAATTAATAATAATAATTGAGGTTGTACAAATATGGATATGAGTATTCAATTCATTTTTCTAATATCAAAGTTTTTTTGAGATTGAAGCTAATAAGAAACGTTTTTGGTATTTTTTTGTGATGTGTCTACAATCTTTCTGTTTTTGTGGAACTATCCGCAATCTTAATATCAGGTCTAAACTAAGTAAGTCGTGCTGAGTGAAACAACATTATTTGAAGACAATATATAGCAGCATAAAATCTGAGGTGTTCTGATGTTTTTTACAATGTATATTTTGGAACAGAAATATATAGACATAAAATATTATATTTGTACAATTGTTTTGGCCAATGAATAATAGGCGGAATTATAAAATAGTTGACACGGTCTTATATACATAATGCAATTAACATATGACATGCACCACCAAGAAAATAATAAATGACTACCGTGAATCGGAATTGATTGTCAGTAAAAATAAACGTTGTAAGTCTAATAGTAATTAATTTAGAATAATTTTTTTTTTATCGTTCTTCAAATACGACTTCAAACGCATGCGGACCGTGTACCGCTCCATATATTCCTTCATCAAAGGAAGGTAGCGACTTTTTATCAGGTGGTGACATTTTGTACTTTTGAACAATACTGACCAAAACTAAGAAAATATTGTTCAATGCCAATCGTTTTCCTGGACAAAATCGAGGCCCAGTGGAAAAGGCAATAACTTTGTCACAGTGGACAAAACGGTTGTTGGAGTCAATAAATCTCTCCGGTTTGAAATCATAAGGATTCTTGAAGTATTTTGGGTCGTGGTGAACTGCCCAAATGTTAATGGCTACCTGTAAAAGTAAGTCGACATTATAATTTTTTATAAACTAAAAGTTTTTTTGTAAAATAGTATTACTCATTGGTTCACTACTATTATGGTACGGGGACATACATGGAATCGACGTAGAAATATAAATTCATTCCTGAATGCAAAACTGTTTTTCGAGCATACACGGTTGACGCTAATGATATGTGATTGTCATGCAAAGCTTAAAGTTGTCTAACCACATTAGGAAGGTGTTGAGTTTTAGTGTTAGTAAAATTGGTGCGAACATAAATAATTATTATTATGATTCTATTAATAGTATCTGGTGATTTAAAATTTGAGTATTGACCATTTTAAGCCATTTACCGATATATAGAGTTACGAAACAGGCGGTTTTCTGGTCAGAGGTAATATTTGACATCATAAATAGCGTTGGAGACTAAATTAACTACAACCAGTAACATCGTTGCAATTATAACTTTCGATTCAACATTGCATAATTTTAGAATCATCGCTCTTAGTTGTTTACTTTTTTGTCTTTTTGTGTTTCAGTGTTCACTTCTTTCACTTAATGCTTACCGTACTATCTTTTGGCAGTCGATATCTGCCGAGATTTGTGCTTTCGATAGTTCTTCGTAGTGACAGTGGAATTATGGGACGGAATCTTAAAACCTCTTCTATATAAGCTTCAGTAAACGGCATTTCCTTTCGATGTTCAGTATTGAGTGTGTTTGACCCTGGAACACACAAATGTTTATATGACAAATTTGTGTCTGTTAAAAATATTTGTCAATCTTTGTTCTTTTGAGGTTGTTATGCATAAAAATGTAATAAAATAAAAAAAAAAAAAATGCTTATTTGTTATGTAACAGTACTGTACGTATAACTGAAATATGCACTCAATTTAGAGTACATCAAAGTAACAATTATACCGCACAAACAAATTGAAAATATTTATTTGCAATTCGATGCAATTCATATATGCAACATCAATACCTATTTAAAAATCCTCTAGTTACAAATATATGGCCATTCATATTATAGCCAATACTGAAATACAATTGAAAACTTGTTGCACTTAGTGAGAAAGGGGTAATTGTGCTTATAGCAGAATCATAATTCTAACTACTGAAAAACTATGCGTGAAAAGCGTTCCTACTCACCGATTACTCCATTTATTTCTCTCCACATTCTATCTTGATATTCAGGACAATGCAAAAGCCCGAGAATGCACCAGCAAATTGCATTTGATGTTGTATCTATACTGGCTCCATAAATTTCATGGGCATTTTGAACCAGTTGTTCTTCCTATTACAAAAAATGAATGTACTATATCACGAATAAATATTCTTTAAGCCAGTCTAATTACACTTTCTGGATTATTCGGGAGTTATTTTATTAATTTTTTCAGAATGAAGAAAATTTTCTCGATTTTAATTTATACTAATTGGAACAAAAAAGTTGTTTACTGAACAGTATAACAAAATTGCAAAAATGCCAGTAGAAATTTCTGGTATATTCAGACACATTTATTTTCTTTGTAATTCTAGGGACATTGTTCCACAAAAGTTGTTACGCATTGGATCAGATTAATTGCGCATATTTGGTGCTTCGTTATAGTCGCAAATACTCCGAAAAGTAACCTAAAAATTAGGTTTTCTGTTTCGAGTAGTGTAACTTCTCTTTGAATTATATTTATGAATACTGTATTCTAATTTTGCATCATTGACGCAAATTCTATTCATAGGAAATGGAGAAAATGTCTCAACCTATAAAATTAATCTTCCAGTATTCATTATGCACGTATCAACTATTAATAAATATATTTTGTCTACGATAAAACATGCGTACGTATCAATCAATCACATGAGCGATGTGTCTGTTTATCTATGTTTTAGGCGAGGACTAATGTATAAAAAAATGTGTTGCAAAAAAATATAATTTTATATGAAGGAATAATATAAAGGAAGTGCGGGCCATGCCTGACAAACAAAAATTCCAGAGATGAAAAATCTACTTGAAGATATTTGTTTTATCGATAATGAGGCGAAAGTTTCCGTTCTTAAGAAATTTGAAGTGTATACCTGACAATTGAGCACATACTTGCGGTGGTCTTAATTAGGAACAACGTAAATAAACTCACTTCAAAATATTCCAGAATTTGACTTAATTAGCACATGTTTAAATCAATTTTTTTTCCAAACAATAGCATCCGTAAAGAAAGAAATGTAAGCATGGCTCGAGTTCGGATTGCGATGAGTGTGCTTTTCGGCCGCATATTCAAATTAACAATAAATTTCGATACGGTACGATTTGATCGTGCATGAGGGACTATTCAAACGACTTTAAGCGAAAAGAGCTATGCTCAACTATCCGACATTCGCTGAGCACGAGATCCGCTGATTTGCGTTCGCGAACCGCCACAAGGTGCGCAAATTGCCATGGTGTCATAGCACACAAAAAAATCGAATCGCACAGAACTCACAGAAATATTTGAAATAAATAAAAGTAATACCCTTCGAGCAAAAATACAATCCTTAACCACTAAAAATTTCAAAGCAATTGGTCCAGTAATTAAAGAAAAAAGCGAACCTTTCATAACGACAGGAAGAAAAATTGTAACATAGAGAACAAGAACAACATAATAACAGAACGATTCATAGGTCCACTCTGTGTTCAATAATACCACATGGAATTAAAGAAAGTAAAGGATGACACGATATTTCCTATAATATGAAATTTACTTCACAATAAAATCGAAAGAAAATAATTCTTGTAAATAATACCAAAATACGATCTCATTTCTTGAAATATTAAAATACATTGTTCTGTCTGATGGAAACTTTCATAGGCCAGATAGAGACAACACGTTTTCGAGATATTTCGTAATGTTGCAACGAAAACAAGGGCTGCTGAACAATTTTAAGTGACAAGCGGAATATCTATTGCGTCTCGAAGTAAATTCATAATTTTTGATGCGAAGGGTCGTTAGAATTATATAATGAAGCCCATTACCTACGCTTTAATTTATTGAGTGTGATCTTCCTTGATTTATTCGTTATCTCAACCACGTACTTCAATTAGGCCTCTATTTCGGTCGATTTATTTTCGTTTATTTCTTCGCAAAATATCGTCAAATAGGGAACGTCTTCTATAAACGAAATCGCCGTAAAAACGCGTTACAATGACGATTACGTTCCCCCGTAATGGTTCAACTCTGCAAGTGCGTCTATATTTGATTACAAGCACATAGCTTTAGGCAAAGGGAAAGTTTGAATAAACATCCTCAGGAAATCGAAAGTAGAATTAATGCGGTTTTACTTCTTTGCAATGATTTTGTTTTCCAAAAACGCAATGGTAGAACAGTTACACTATTTAAAACGAGGTAAATGCTTCCTACTTACATTAAATAATTCTGTTTGATTTTCGCTTTGCATTTTATCGAGAAATTTGTCGATATAATTTGAATACGTTCCACGAATTTCTGGCTGTTTTTTTCTTTCTTCTTTTTTCCGACGTATCGATGCTAGCATTCAATATAATTCATTTTTATATAATATTTTGTATCATAAGACATAAAATACACAGAAAATTAGGACACCTGACCACGCAAAAAATAATAATGTCATGTATCTTAGTGCTACGGCTTGTGATTGAATGGCTGCAGAAGGTAAAATTCTGTCATCATAAGGTGAGTTATGAGTATAGTACAATAAAACTCGCATTGATGTACCCGCACTAAGATAGGGAATTGAAGTGCCAGTTATCACTAAAGTACAGTTTTAAAACTTTTAAATGCAAATAAAAGTACTTACTTTCTTCGTAGTGGAAATTAGCCAGAAATTTTTTATAACGTCCGTTGAGTGGAGGAAGAAATCGAGCCCAGTACGCAAAAGTAACCAGAGGAATAAACGGATCATTTCCACTGAGAAAAAAATATTTAAAAATAAATATACAATAAGAACAACAGGATTTATGGAAATTTAGCATAATCTTATTTATTCTACAATAAATTATCGAATATGGCCGAAATGTTCGTTTCTATAGGGTAAATTAGTGCGTTTAAATACTATTTCGTGGAATATTATTACTCCCCATAATGCGAGTAAGGTTACTCAGCAACGGACTCAAAATAAAAATTATTACCCGACACAAATTTATTATTGTTTCCGGTTTTGAAAGCCACGGCATTTTTGTTGAAGCGCCACATGTGGAATAAAACAAAAGTACCATAGTTTTAGTACAAAAAAGGTAAAAACCAATCTGTTTATTAGCTAACACGTGTGTAATAAAAATCTAATTCATATTCCTAAGCTTATAAATATTTTGAACATCATTGGCTCGAACTTAGAATATGGTAATGGGATTGCAAAATTTACAATATTTACCATAAGAAGCACTTACTTTTGCTTTGTGCACTTGTATATAGCATTGAATTCTGGGTCATCGTAAGAAGATCTTTCTCCATATACCAGACAGAAAGCGGCATTTGCAATGGCTTTGTGTATGAGATCCTGTTATTTTGAAAATAAAATTAATAACATATTTCATTTGTATGTTGTTTATCAAATCAAATCTATGTTTCGTTGTTTCCGTTCGTATTATGTATTTATTATTGAGTGAATGAAAAATGATTTTTGGCAAAGGAACGTAATTCAACTGAGATGTGATTTTGGGATCTTAGCGCGAAAGAGGCATCCGGTGCATAGCCACATCTCTTGTACTTTGAGCATTTCAACCTTTTTGACATTGAAGTTACGTATATGTATCACACACTTAATTAGCATGTCCTAACACACGCCTTAATCAACAGTTTCTACTAAACACGATAATTCATTTTAGTTTACGAACCTCGCAATTTACTTGCTTGTTTTTCTTTTCTTTTATGACTTGAAACATGTGGTCGATTTCTTCTTTTATAACAGAGGTCCCGGATGTCATTCTGAATCTGAATGTAATATTTTAACATACAATGAACAGTAATTTTTTGGGCTTTCTAGAAACTAATATTTGAAGATTATATTATATTTGGTAATGGATTCAATTTGTGGCGATGTTTGTAAGTTATAATAGGATAAATCAAGTTACGTATTTATTTTCAATACCCCCGGAAAAAAAGAAGTGAAAACTTAATACTACTCAACAACCCCCCTCATCTAATATAATTTAGTAGCGATTGTTATTTTTTAATTTCATATAACTTCTTCGCTTTGCCCAATAATTGAGCTCTACTTCGTCTACAACATTTATTCTTTTTGTTCAAATATTTATTGCATTGCAAACTCAAATGATATAAGCTAAAACGCAACTGCTATGATATATTTGTGAAAAGTTGGCCACACAAGGTATATATACAATTATCGGACACTCACTCATTGATGGCGTTGATTCCGAAATTTCTGAAAACACTATGTTTCAATCCATCAACAAAAGCAAACCCATTTCCATTACATAGTTCTTCAAAAAATCTGCTTTTTGGTCGACCGGAGAATATTTTGTATTGCTTCACAAGAGCCTGAATTGTAATATATTGAAATTTTACTTTTTGTAGTGAAGCTAAAAATAAATATCTATTAATCGCTATAAGAATATTTACTCACGAACTTAACCAGCCTAAAATGAGTGCAAACTTATTCATGCTATTCATGGAGGGATCATGGGTTTAGCAATCCGCCACCTTGCCTAACAGCAGTTTCATTCAACGGTCACCACATGTCTAATGAAAGCTACACAAATATGAAAAGTAAGCCGTGTGGCAACGTTGCTGTAGCATCCTACCTCTGAGCCGCTACTGGTATAAACATTTTCCAAAACGAGGGTACGAAACGTCATTAAAATGCCCAACTTGACGGCTCACACTGATATTTCACAAAGGCAACATATATAATTGAATTTCATTGACTTACCTCTTTAATTAGGTCATAATCATTCACGACGATAACTTCTTTTGTAGCAATTTTTATGGAAAATATAGATCCATACTCTTCTGCCAATTTTTTGAAAGTTATGAACTGATCTTCATGGAAAAATGGAAGGTATCCAAGTATAGGTAACCCCCATGGTCCAGGAGGATGATCTTTTTTTCGTTTGCGATAGTCAAGAAATAAAAATATTACTGCAATCACGATGAGCGATATTGTGAAGTACATATTGAATATGTAACATGCGAACTTGTAAATATATTACAGAATTAAATAGTACGTATATACTGTAATTAAAATAATTTTTTTGTTATAAAAATTACAATGGTAAATAAATTTGTGGAAAGAAAAATTCCCCTAAAAATACGGGTATATGGGAAAATATTTTATGTCGTGATATTATTCCTTCATACTGCTCATATGATCCAAAATAACTTGCCCCCTTTCAACTATTAAAACACTGTATACATCATTGCATTCTCTGTGCGCCTGTGCCGACTGTTGTTTCCGATGTAAAAGTAGTTTAGAAGATGCTCTGATTTTAGTCAATTCTTTCTCCATATCAAAAACGTGCCTGTACATCACGCTATTTAGGTAACAGATCAATGAAAACTTAGCCTTTTCTAATATATACCGTATTATCCAACTTATATATTGAGCTATCTATTTAAAAATAAATTTAATCACCTTTGAGGATATGCTTTACATGTTGTACAAAACCAAAATTGCTTCACCAGGATATGTTGTCACTGTTATTACATTATTATATTTCCTACTAACTTGTGTATTTGTGTAAAATACTTGACGAAATTATAATAGATATTTGATTATATATATATTATTCACTATTACACTCAATCAAGTCATTTGAAGTTATTTTTACTAATTCATAATTATACATTCTACTTAACACTTCTACCGCGTATTTTCCGGTTGAGATAGAAGGAAATGAGTTTTTAATCTAATCTTAGCTACACATGGACCATGCGTTGTTGAAGATTGCTTTTCAGGGACTTCAAAGTAAGTATGTACATTTTTCTCCATTCAAAGTAATATCTTGCCAACTGCGGAGTACGGAAGAGATTGGGTTGTTGAATTTTCAATAGGAATTCGGAACGTCATAAAGTAAAATGTCGCGCAATCTTCTTGTATTACTCTGTCGCAAGCCTTCTCTTTTTGCTGCTCGGCGAACACCCAAACAAAATCATTTCATCTTAGATTCGAACATATATTAACTGAGCATTGCTAATTATCAACAGTACCTCAGATAGTTTTGTTATTACCACCTTTCAAAAATCGTATTTATTCTCGATCTAAAAATCTATCCCTTAGGAAGAAGTAGCATTATACTCCTAATAAAATCGGTCAATTTCTTGACCTTGTTTTTACTATCCATCTTTTCTTTCCATATTCAGTTTTACAGTAATTGAATAGGTACTAGCTTCGTGTGCCAGTAACTTCTCTGACACCAAACCACATATCGTCAGAAACATAATTAAAGATGGCGGTACAAATTATTCATGTTACCTAGAAGTAGTTTATATTTGAAAGTAATATCTTAATTAAGCCATAATAAAATGATTTAAGGTTTATATTCAATTACAAGTTTCGTCATTTTGACCAATTCGTTCTTGTTTGTTTCTTTGTACATTTCTTCTTAAGTATTTATCTGCCATTTTTCTTTCTAACAGGTACGCATCATGCGTGGCGTGTATATCAATATCGCGCTACGTCTATAAATAATGCTTAGTATATCCTCAATTGGGACAGGAAATTATTTAAAGTGACACGTATTGACGTCCTGACACGAAATTTGAATTGTGTGGCGATATATTAAGAAATGTCTGCAATCAATCAGACAGAAAGTTGATGCTCGTAAATAAACAAAAAAGTATTCGTAGAAAATCCAGTGTTTCAAATAAATCAAGACAAAAGAATGGTAATACTAACAAACGCACGCGTTAAAGTCAGAAAGAGATTCATTTTACTGGACGTCTCAGTGGGATAATATTAATCAAATTGGTTGGTATATAAAAATTTTATGTGAATCGTGTTTTTTATAGTATAAGCAGGGATCATTTTGATCCAAATGAGTAAATTACCATACCTGTCAATCGTCGGGAAAATATATAAGCCATACTCGTAGATTGGCCACCATCAATCGCGATCTACCAGCTTTTGCCCAGCTAAGCATATACACTCGAGATCGGCGTGCGGAGATCTGATAATTTCGCTTTAGACCTAAAATTTGCACTTATACAATTAACGACATTTTGTTATTCAACTGATGCACTATTCCCCAGATTACTCAGTATAGCAATATAATTTTTAATATTGGCAGAATACCTTAAATAAACTCACGAAGTTCATGTGGAAGTAGTTTGAGAATTGAATTTTCTCGGTCGGAATTACCATCATCCTGACTTGAATGGTATTTGGTGTTTGAAATTTTGTCGAACTTTGACAACAACAAAAAATCACATTCGTACCCGTCACTGTTACTTAGCAAAAAGATGCTTGGCACTCGTCCTTCCTATATCATAATGAAACTTTTGTAAAACTGATTAAGAGATTTTTGATAGTTTATTCTTGGTCAAATTTAAGGCATACCCCTGTAAAAGTTTTGGAATTTGTACTGATTTTATGCCGTAAATACTCCCATTTCACGAAAATATAGACATATCTAACATTTTCTATCTCGCATCCCACATATCGGTTTGCTTTAAAGCAGGGGTGTGCAACCTTTTTCGCAGGCGGGCCAGATATCAAAAACTAGGTAAAAGCGCGGGCCGCACCTTCATTTTACATATCGTCACGCTAATAACCGATTGCGTAAGTCATTTTTGGCGATTTTGAGTTTTTTCTATAAAATAGGTATTTATGTAATGCTGCGCACCTGTCTGTTAACTCAGATTTTATTTTAAGAATTCCGAAACCCATAAAAATGGAGATTGAGTATGACATTCACATTTGTGGAATTGTTTCGTCATAATGAATTATCATTGTTAACGCAGGACTATTGTGACGTCACAAAAGCAAAATAACCTCGGCGAAGTATTTTCGAGTTTTTGCATCTCGGATTCTAGCTTAGCGCGTATTAATTTGAATTTGTACTACAGTATAGGAAGACGTGCACTTGTGATATTCACTGTCCGAGTCCAATTCACCTTGGTGGGCTTTTATATTGGGTGCATTGCTGTTTTATTCTTTATATTTAATCTTAGTTTTATTTCGGTGGGTGTGCAGAACGTGTTATATTGATGAAATATATATTTTTAAACATAAAAAATAATGTAATTGAAACTGATTAGCTATTTTGGGGATTGTAGAAACTAAGAATTACATTCGTTTTTGGAATGTTTAGTTTTCAGGATTGGTGCATATAGTAAAGTTGCAAAATTGCGTATGTCCCCAAGTCATAGACACATGTCTGCCTAAGTCACAGTGCGCCATTATGACGTCACTTAACTGCGTCATACAAATTAAATTAAATCCGGCTACGGTCAAAAAATTATGGCAAATTATTGACTCTCAATGGCATAACAATATCATTAGGAAGTTTTTTACGTTTTTCTCAAAATTGCTAAAAATGACTTACGCAATTCGGTTATTAGCGTGACCATATGCTTTCTATTAGTTGCAATCAATGTTCCCTCTAAGTTTTTGTCGAATGTGTGCGCAGAAATTTTGGTGTGTGCGCACTTTTTGGGAAATGACTAATATTTGTGCAAAAACCAATGAAGAAATTTTGGCGTTTTAACCGGGTAATAGGTGGGCCAACAACAAACTTTCTCAACCTGCCAACCGAGAACATTGTTGCATTACATCGAAATACGTCTGTGCGCAGTAAATCTATGCGTGTGCGCAGCCTCTGAAAGCTGTGTGCGCGCGCACACGCGCACACCTTAGAGGGAACACTGGTTGCAATAGTGTCTTTTTTATTGATCTTATGGCATTATTAGGGGTCCTTGCAGAAACGATCAGTTAAAACGCATAAATTTTCGAAAACTGCTATTCAGATGTATCGCCGCAACGAATTTTAACGAATTCAGTGTAAGAAATTTGCTGCTGGATTTTTTTCCACGACTACTTTTATCCAAATTTGCGTTAATGGAAGTGCTTTAGCAATTCGATATTCATTTTCAAAGTCTTAGTCTTTCAGGCGGTTTTAGGACGCTCATTTTAGAAAAAAAATTGTTGAGCTGATAAGTGTCATATTCCAAGCCATGACTCGTTTCAAATGTAAAAAGTTATCTTGGTTGAGATGTTTTTGGTAAAAATCGTCAAGATTCATTTCCAAATAATATGCTGTCAAATGTTATTCTAGATTAGATTTAGACAAAATCATCTGATATGTTGGAACTAAAACTTATTTAGCTTTTGTATCTCTCAATATGAAATTTCTTTCCAATTGCCTAATCTTTAATTGCTCGTTCTTACTATAATTCATTAGTGTCTGCTTCGCATTTTTCTCAAATTTATCGGTGTACATCAAGTGACAGCTTTGTGAATCGCGTTGTTCGTTTTGGTGTTAGGACATTGTAACCTCATAAGTATAGATCAGCGTTTCCCAAACTGTGTTCCGCGAGCGTATTCGAAGTGTTCCGTGGAAAAGAAATTGGAAATACGTTTAAAATGTCGCCATGGCGATCTATGGCACGTGAAGTTGTCGCCCAACTGACTGTTCGATATCGCGTCACCGCCGGCCTAAAGTGGACTAACTAGGGTGGGGTAGTGCGGTTTTCGTGAACCGTCGGCCTAGCTTGTTGACTGTTAAGTTCATTATCAAGTTTACAACAATGCTTTTGATTTTTCTATAGGCAAACAAGTAGGTGTAAACTAAAGAATGAAAGCAACAGGTCAACTCTTCTTTCTCCATCTCTGCTTGGTTTTACTTTGAAATGGTGAAAATGAGAGAATCAATACATTTTCAAATATATATACAAAATATTAAAACCGATATCCAATTACTTATAAGTAACACATTTTTATGCAAAATAACTGCAAAACATAGATCATCAATCATTAAAAACGAGTAGTCGAGATTTATTGCTATCAACTAAGTAAAAACAAAATTTGCGTTATGAACTAGGTCTTATTTTAAGGGGAGGGCTTATATTAAAATCATTTTTAAAATGCAGGCTAGGTCTTGTTTTCCAGGGTAGGTCTCATTTTCGGGGAAACACGGTAAAAGCTGGGCTAAATTTAATACGAAGTTGATTTGAAACCGAGTACTTATCGAGTCAAATATTTGTACCCAACAAAAGTTTACATATAAAGTGTAACATTCTATCAGGTTTTCCCTTAAGGATTTCCCTGCCGTTTGAATGCAGTGTCGTAAAGAGGCTTTGTGGCGCATGTGGTTAGGGCATCTAACACTCGTAAATGCTGGGCTAAATTTAATTCGAAGTTGATTCGGAACCGCTAACTTTACCGAGTTAAATATTTGTACCCAACAAAAGTTTACATATAAGAATATTGTTACATTAATATGAAAAATGAGGTCTAAAGCAAAGCGAATTGACATTATAGACAAAAACCTGAAACTGATAAAAGGGGTATTACACATTCAAAAATCTTTCTCGTTCGGGCGCTCCGGAAGTATTCGTACTAAGATGACGCACAGCCTGAACAACCCTGAGCTGGTACTCATACTATGTTCAGGTTGTGTACCATCTTGGTAGGAATACTTCAGGAGCACCCTCGTTTGGACATCTTTTTATTAGTACATAATACAAGGCATTATCTGAACGCGATAAATTACAGTTTTGAATCGGAAGATTTTATTTTAACCACACAGAATGCTCCAATACCTGTTCTACCATCCCTCAGGCTATGATAAGACTTTGACAAACAAGCAGAATAATTTAATATAGAATTTATTAAAACTTTGTCAGAACCGTGAGGTTTGAATGCTTTTAGATTAATTTTTATTTTTCGAAGATAACACAAACTGTGGTATAGAATAACCAAATAATTCATAATCTCTAGAATAAATATTGAACAGTTTCATCAATTTGTCCTTTGGAAGGCTTTCCAAGTACTCCTGATATTCCGTTTTCCATTTGTGTTTCAGCAACGGTATTTTTTCATCTGATTTAACTGTAAAAGAAAAATCGAACCCAAATGAGGCACAGAAAAAAGAAAGAAAATAGTTTTCGAATATTTTAGAAAACTAAAAATTTTCATTTCTAAATGAAGGGTATGATGAGTGGTTCAAATATTATGCATGGCACTTCCATATTGTATCCTGTAACATTTCGTCTTGTTTTTGTGATACGAATTATTTGAACAACTAAATATATCCGTTTTCATTCTTGCTAAAGTACCCTTGCAGTCAGTACGGACCCACTTATCTAAAATATCTGTATTTTGGAACTATCTTCTCTAATCCAAAGGAAGGTATGAATTACAAATGAAATGGAAAATTATCACAATGCATATCATATTAATTATATCTTCTTCAGGCGGAAATGATATAAAAAAGATACAGGCTTATTCTTGCCAATCACGAGCAGTAAAGATATTGCGCCAAATCTGAGAAAGAAAAAAATAGGGAATTCCAACAAGTAACTTTCTCACTTGAAGTTAAAAGATGGCTGTCGATCCCTGTTATTTTAGACACATATTTCGCATCTTGTGACATCGTCTCCAGCTTGACAATATAGTTATATTGCAATCGACATGGATCACATATGCTTTCATATAAATCCCAGTGAGTGTCGTAAGTGGTTGAAGGTTTATTTATAATTGAATCAACAAATTCTTCGAATGTTGCATGACTACCTGTAGAAAACAGTTTTCTAAAAAAATGATTATGGTTTGTGATGGTTATCGTGGGATTATTCACAAAGACATACAGACAAACAACTGTTTGAACTACACCTTGTATCAAATGGTGTTGGAGCGATGGTGACCTAATTTTTCCTGTCCGACCTGGGGGCATCGCCAGGGGAAATGAGTAAAATAAAACTATTTCAAATCGTTTGAATGTCATGTACTGAAAAAAGTAAAATAACCGATATCATTATTACTCGAATTAGGTTATATTCAAAAATAATGATTTGAATGATTAACTAATAACTCGAATAAATGAGACATACACTTACCAGTTCCATTGTGCATGGAAAGGGCTATTCTAGCATATTTTTTTCTACCGTGAACTATCTTATCAAGATATGCTGAAACGATACGTTCAAGTGGCTCTCGGACAACAATGATTCGGTAATATTCATTCAGTCGCTTGTTTATTTCTGCTCTAGTCCGTGTCGAATTATTTTTGAAGTGTAGCCACAAATATCTAAAATTTCGAATATATATACTATATAACTCCCCAGAGGCGGCATGGTTCATTCGAAGCTACTTCCATTCAAAATTGTCTTTTCCCCTCTCTTCTATCTATTCAATCGAAGTTATTATTGCATACCTTTTTTTCATTCCTAATTTGAAAGCATCTTCTTGTGCGATCTCCTCCGGCGAAGACGCATTTACGACACCATCTGAAATAAGTAAAGCTTTTCTCCAACTTGTACTTCCACTCTTTGGGATCGTACATGCAATCAGCTGTTGTTGATACATGAAATACAGTTTTTGACATGAATATAGCCTTGGGTGTAGTTTGAGGACGCAACGAGTTGAATAAATTTTATTTTTTCAAGGAGACATATTAAGAAAAACGCGTGTATAGTTGTCAAGTAATATGAGGAATGGGAGGGAAGGTGTATTCAATTTATGTAACGCATTCTACAGTATATGTGATGGATGTTAGTCTTTATTCTATGACGTCGAAATTCATTGTTGAAACGTTTGCCAACAGAGGGTGTAAAACAATTTGGAAAAACTGAACAAACAGAAAATCTATATTTTTTTTTGAATATAAAACAATTACAAATATGAACAACGATATTGTCGCAATTATATATTCTTAGAAAATAGGAGTACCGCTGGTGGATACATCCATGGGTGCAATACTTTTATGAATTCCTTTTTTTTCTATGAAGTCAGCAACCGCGACTTTCCTCAACTAAAGACAACGTTCGCTCAATATGCCAATTTTATCAGCCAGTTTTATAATACTGTATCGATTTGCCCACGAAATACTGAAACAAATAAAACCTTTTATCAGTGATAAAATCATCTCACATAACGATTTTCGACAAAATTGGTCAAATCAAGATTGGCTAAAGAAGTTGATCGGACGATATCTATTTTAACTATGTTTACCATATATACCTTATGTTTATCAGAGTAATAGAGTTTTGGTTTACAAAGTGGGGGCAGAGAGTCCCATGTTCCGGACTTGATTGTTCCATTGTAAAACCTGGATCCACAGCGTTTTCTCAAATTTTCGTTCCTACTTTTTGCCAACTCCTCCATATTTCTTTTTGGTGAATATGCCACTTTGGCAGCGCCACCAACAAAATGGTATTTTCTTGTTTCACCACGATTCGTTAAATATGACGACGTTACCTTAATAAAATAGTCAAAATTTGACCCCATTCAAGTCATAGTTATACAGAGCTACACATGTCTTTGAAAATTTGCCTAAAAATCTAATATAAAGTATCAGACTGCATTTAGTAGAATTACAAATAAATCTACGCCATTCAGAGGTATATTTGACTTGTTGCATGAATAGTGTGAGAAGTTTTTGTCGCAAGAAAAATAGCAAGTTATCCTTCGAAACAATAATTGACGCATTGCATTTTCTTATCTATTATAAATAGACGATACTTTGGTGAACGCGATAATGTATTGACGCTCTGGCTTATCTAAGTCTACATCGCAAATTAAAATATCTCTTTTTCAACTATGTTCAGTCTATGGTCTATACTTCAGTGAGCGATAAATTGATTTGGCTTCATCAAACCTGCGAGATGCTGGTTCATCAAAACCAAGTGTTTTTCATATCTGTCTGCCTATTTAGAATCTGATTCGAAACAAAAGTATAAAATCCTAATAAAATTATTTGACCCACGTTTATATATATAAAGAAACCTAACAACAGGACGAAACAGGTGATCGTGCACTTGTTCAGGTGTGACAAATCCATGATTATATTTGGAGACTGCATACTCCACAAAACGTACCAATTACGTTCAAAACATATTTATCATTCCATAAAATTTTTAGTCCATTTTCTTCTATGCCTCAAGCTCATATAACTCGAACAAAAGATTGAACTTGAAAGTTAAAACCTTAGCGACCTCGAAAACGAACGAATTGAAGTAGTCGTTAATTTTTGTTTGTATGTGAATGTGAAGTGATTAGGCCTCGGGGGTATATACATACAACTGGCGACGTTTGGTGACTTATATAGACGATTAACTTTGCTGGAATAAACCTAAGATTAAATATGACTACAACCTTGTGGTTTTTATCTGAGAAAGCTGGAACGGAAACTATTTTTGAGCGTTTTGATCTCATCCAATTATAATATTGGTCGGATGGTGTTGATGACAGTGACTGCTCTTTGATAGACTTCTACTCTGATCATTTCGATTCATTTCAAAGCATTGCAGGAAATTTAAATAAGGGTTTAGTCCCCAAATCGTGGCACTTTGGTGTTCCCACATACCTTATTTGCCTCATATGAATATTCTAATCTGGGAATAAAGCCGCTAGGCCTCCGTTACGGCCTTTTTGATGTGCTGGCCGCTGAGTACTGACTTGATAAAGCTGATGACTTATAAATGTCCAAATGCTGCAAAAACCCAGCTTAGTTATATGGTTGCCAGTTCATGGCGGGTATGCGTGGTGGGAAGAAGCTGTCAGCGATCCTATCGCAATTTATCATCTCCCACGGGATCCGAACCTGCGAACCCACGCGGGATAATCGTAGATGCGACGTTAAGCGTATTCTTAACGCTTAGCATGATCCGCCACTCAGCATGGCCGCGGTTACCTAAAGTGTCCTCGGACATAGCTACTTTGTACATTAAAATACGTATTCTCACCCACCCACAGAACGAATTATAAAAGGTAGTTTTGCGGGAAACAAAGATAACGGCCTAACAGACCTTAGTCATTCAAAATCATCCTACGCGCAAAAATAAGAGACATGAACAAAACAATTCCAACATTGGCTCTTATGGGGAATGTGATCACCAGAGCAGAAATTTGTTATTTTCTATTTATCTTTTGTTGTAAACGTGGGCAGTTTTATATATAGAGTGTTTTCTAGATATTCTTCAATATTTTCATGACGATAAACATGGTCAAAGTTTTTGATAATCGCACATTAAAATTTTATTGGGCGTGGCGTTTCCGCTGGCGTCTCTCCTAGACCATGACATTCTTCCAGCCTGTGAAATATGCGCGCTAACTGCGGCGCTAATGTACCAGGGTACGGTACCGGTACTGGAAGCGTTTAACATTGGCAGTCTATAATCTATACCGATACCATTTCACTCGCGTTTGTTTACTGGTTTTACGCAGTTATAAGTGTACAGCTAGCAACCATTTACTGAAGGCATGCTAACGGCAGTCATGTTATTCAAACTGTCGGTATGGGCCCCAGCGGGGTCGTTTTCAAACGGCCTGGTGTTATTAAATTCCGTCTTCAGTTCTTCAATCTTTATAGTTCTGTATGTGAGAAGATAACATTAATGATAACTAGACCTAATTAAATTTTTATAAATCATTTACTTGTATTGTAGGCTTGTTCTTGGTTCCTTCTGTTCTTCATTTCTACAATATACATAGTTCTGAATCTGAGAAGCTAAGATAGCATTAAATCTTTCCACTGTGGATTATATATTGTCCCCATTGATTATCAGCTGTGAAAACTTTTTAGGCGAGTTTATTTTTATAGTATGTTAAGTGATTTTTATAAACTTTTCATTTACTAAAACTGTATTTTTCTTTCTGTTTACTGCGATTTCAGGTTGTAGATATCGGTCACTAGTTGGCCGATATATCAATATCGGTCGAGCTCTACTCTGATCCCTGTCTCTTTGAAAGCTGGGCAACTGGTGAACTGTATCTGAGGAGGGGGCCTGCACTCTCGTCAGCTGGAGCGCTGTTGTTGTTAAAGGTCCACGAGCGATGTATTGCTCTGTCGGCCGGTGTTGCACCTAAGGCAAGTTGGTCAACATAGTTGGCGGTTCAAACTGATGGTCAGTTTAAAATAGCGAAGATCGCACTAAATCTACACTTTTTGTATCTGTCTAACTTTAGTATGACATGCCCCAAACCTCTATATGTGATATACCTATATTTCAATGGAATACATGTGGCATCAGTATGAACGCAACGCTAATGTTGGTTCCGATTTATTCCTAATTTGCTTAGATCATTTTGTCGAACAGCCTGCCACCAACATTTATTCCTGTTAGTTGTGCAAATTTGACATCAATCGGGTGCGCACAACTTCCAGGATTATTACCTGAGAGTTCAATTTTACTGGAGACATCATTGAATATTTTGCTAATTTCGTTTAAAAAATTAGCTTACATAACTATTGAATGTTTCACAATGTCAATTCAATTCACTAAACGTTCACGAAATATAACATAACATAACTTTTTAAATTTTATGTAGTAAATACATGCACGTGGTTTCACCAGGTGTTTTACTCGTTTAGATGAAGAAATCGAGCAATCGCGCTTTTACTTTTAGAGGCCATTTTGAAATAGATTAAACGTTGTTCCCTATAGTCGTAAGTATTATTTAATTTGCGAGGTGGGGCTTTATTGCTTCGGGATAGTAGGAGCGAATTTCGAAATTTTGTTTAGGTTATATGTTATCAGTGCTTCTCAACCTTTTCCAGTTCGCGAACCACTTTTATTGCGATTTTGTTGTGTGACCCACAAGGCGGTGTCGATATATAAGAAAAAAAAAACAATGTATCCTCATGCAATTTACTATTAATGCAAAACTTGGCTTGCGTATTGGATATTATTCAAGACTTGATAAAATACACACGCAACGTAGCATTAACACTCAACACATTGTGCGTTTGGCTCAAAGTCATTTCCTGCCCTAATGAAACCGAATTTGATGTAATCAGAGTCATATTTCCTCACTAAAACTTTTCGAGCTTTCCTTCTTTTACTTTTTACTTCGCTACCTTTTCTTTTTAAAAAATTATTCATTTTCTGGCAATACGTAACAATTTTTTATAATTGTTACGTAATCATAATGTCACAACTTTCACGATCTAATCGAAAACTGTATGTAACGTTTGAAGTACTTTGCGACCCACCCTGAATGGCTTCGCGGCCCACTGTTTATGAAGCACTGTGTTATACGATAATACAGAATATGCGAACCAATGCTTTACGCCAGTATGGACGTATATTAATGGATCCTGCCACAATCCCTCACCCCGAATACAACACACAAGTCCTTAGTGACAAACAATATTAAATGTAAACAACAACTCTTAAGACATTTTAACAAGGAATGATTAGAAAGAGCATACCGCGCTCGAAGAGCGCGACGGGAAAAAAGGTTACACGCATGAGCGAGTTGATCAGAGTGTTACATGTAATAATGTGAGGGAAACATAATTAAACTAGCGTTGTGAAAAAAAAGGCTTATCTATATGCGCGTTGTGGTTCTTTTTACGATATCTTAAATTGTAATCAAACAGAATTATTTAATGATTACATGGAATTCTAATTAATTATATAAACGCAGGAGAAACGATTGGATCTTGTTGTCTCAGGTGTTTCTCCGACCGAAAGCAAGTTTCTGATGTCAACAGCTAATCACGGTCTATTGGTGGGTAATAGCGTGGTTTTCATTGAGATATTTTTGTCGGCGAGTTCAAGCCATTCTCGACTTTTTGCATTAAGCAACAATGATTCGACTTGATTAAGGACGTAATGCTTGAAATTTCCATTGCTACTCGGCTCGATATTCAGGCGTGATGCTTTACTCAAGGTTTACCGACATATTTTACTTACAGAGCTGTTTCTTTAAGAAAGCTGTTTCTTTTCTATAAGAAAAGTAAATATCGCACTATTGCGAATTATTTGAATATAAAAGATCATGCCTTTTTAGTATTTAACTGTAGTCGTATAGACCTTTTGGGCCAGAACTTCACTCGGACGTTGTGAATTTGTACTACGCTTCTGTCTCAAATATAAGATTTAGTTTTTAGATGACCAAGGTATATTCATCTTTTTTTCACACAGTTCAGCCTCCCGCTTTCTATCAGTTATTTGTGATTTTATTATTTGTTTAAAATTGTCACGATAGTTGCGAATATGTATATATACAGTGAGAAAAGTTAAAATATAGAAACAACCATTCTAAAACTTCACAAAAAAATCAAAAACGTCGACCTTATTATAAATACACATCAATAAGACCGTTCAAGTTCATACTAACTTTAATAATGAGAAAAAAGTCTTTCCAAAGCCAAAGTATATATTTTATTATTGTGGGATGAAATGAATATTCAGACGCACATCTTGTTAATAAAATTTGAAGTTGTTATAAATAGTTTTCATTTTTACTGGACGGGGACATTATAATATAGTGCTCTGCGCTCTGGCCTAGAATTATATTGGCGCCACACAGTTCAGAGATCTATTTTATGCCCTGATTAGTTTAGAACTTTAGGAAAAGACTGAAGTCTTTGAATTCTTCATAAATAACATCAATAACTCGTACTGTGAGTCCTTAACAGGGGTCGGTAACCTTTTGTCGCTCGCGGGCCAAAATTAAGGGTTGCAAGGCATTGGCGGCCGCACATATTTCTAAAAGTTGAAAACCGAACGGATGATACTTTTTATAATAAAAATTAAGCAGTGAATAAATCATGGATTTTGTTTCCTCAATGCATTGCATCTCGAAAAATTCCATTTGAATATTTTCGCGGGTCGGATTATATTACTCCGCGGGTCGTAGGTTGCCGACCCCTGTTCTTAAATGATCAGTTTGATATCGCAGCACCGATTGCAGGGATTGACAGACGTGGTGCGCTGATAATTGCTTCCTTTCTCTTTCTTATAGCACTGCCTGTATTCATTACGCTTCAAGGGTACAACTCATTGTTGACGGCATTTTCGTGCAGTCAGTGTAATGACCATTGAGTATGAGAACCCTTATTTGTTCTGTACAACATGGCAGAAATGCAGCAACACTTTAGCTGGTATTTCCGCAACTTGTTCTGGATCACAGTCGGAATCATTGAGATAATTACCTTGTTGCAATACATTACTACAATCGTCCACCTCTGACCGACTTCGAATTGTTTTTAGGAGGTAATATATACGACGGAACAGGATAACCAAATAATTCATAATCTTTAGAATATATCTTGTACAGTTTTTTTACTTTTTCGATCGGAAGGTCTTCCAAGTACTTCCGATATTTTATTTTCCATTTGTGTTCCAGAGACGATACTCTTTCAGTTGTTTTCTCTTTGAGTATAAAAATGTAAAAAAACGCTCAGCAACAGAGAGAGAAAAATTTCTTAAACAATAAAAAAGTTATTTTCGAAATTCTGCATAGAATATGTATTATGCGCAGTGAGTGAACTTTCGATATAACTAAACAACATAGAAATATTTATTTTTATACTTTTCTATAATTGAAAATCAAGTATTAAATGTTGTATTCGAATTTATTTATTTTTCAATGTTATTTGATTCGCCTAACAACTACGTCGATTTTTTACGAATTTTCTATGTTTTATTCCATGAAACAACCAACAAGAAAAGGACACAAATATCCAACTCACCTGAAATTAAAAGATGACTGTCAATTCCTGTCATTTTTGACACATACTTGACGTCTTGTGACATCGTCTCCAATTTCACAATGTAGTGATATTGCAACCGACATGGATCGCATATGCTTTCATATAAATTCCAGTGAATATCGTATGTAAATGAGGGTCTGCTTATAATCGAATCAACAAATTCTTCAAACGTTGTGATACCATCTTAAAAAATACTCTAAAATATGGTTTTGCAATCACAATGGGAGTTAATATAACAAAATATTCCTATTTTAACGCAGCATGAGTGTTTTTTAACAGCGTAATGCACTAAGCTATATTTCAATAGAAAAGTTGTTTTCCCGTTTGCCTTTAATATAGCTTTGACTAAGATGCAGTTCTGTGGTATTGAAAGTCACTCTTCAATTTCAAAGTATTCGTTCATTGGGGTATACTGTATGTCGGAATGTCTATATACTAAGATTTAGACTCAATGTCATTGTCAAATATTATTTTATGTGAAATAGCGATTTACCACATTTACTACCTAAAATTTCACAAATATCAAGACTTGAAGACTTTTGAAACAGCGTTCTGTTCGAATGTTTTTAAATTGAATTTCTCGAACAACCACTTGTAAGATTTCGCTCTTAGATATTAAACTTGAGAGGAAAATACAGTCCGAGATTCCGTCAATATTAACTTATGTCCGGGACTCTTTGTCCAATTTATCCATCCATGACCCCTTTTAGCAAGAAAGCAGTAGAGTTGTGGTAAGGTATGGATTGTGAGTGAATAGACAACGACGTTTGCGCTTACTAACTAGAGCAGTGGTTCTTAAACTTTTTCGAGCGCGACCCAAATCTGAGTTTTATGAATACTCGCGACCCAATCCTAAACAACGCAAAATGTGTTTTTAATGTTAGTACAGTTTGACTCAAATACAGACAACTATTTATTGGAAACAGTCCATTGACTCAGTGAGATTGATGAAACTGAAATTTCCTTTTCATTATATCTTCAATACACAGCTCCATTTTACTTAACGAAATACGCAAGTTGTCACGGGTATCGAGGCGATTGCGAGCTTAGTTTTGATAACCGCCAGTGCCAAATATCCTCGCTCGCACAAGTGCCTTGTCGCGAATTGTAGCAGAAAAGGCGTCCGCTGTCCGTCGCAAACACGACATCCTAGCTGGCTTTCGGTATCTCTCGCAATATATACAACTTTTTAATCATCAAATGTGCACACACTGCTTCGTTCGCGGTAAATGGTGCCTCAAGATGAAGTCACATTTTCTCTAGATATTTAATAATCTAATGTCGAGAAGCGAGCTTTTTCATTGCGTCGTCTATTACAATTTACATTACCAAAAAGACACCCATTTTTACTTATTTTAATCCACTAAGACGACATTCCACGCGGTCAACACAACGACAAGCGACGTGCATGATTACCGATACCATAAAAGTAATACACGTGACTGGCATATCAGAATTGTGATGTAACAATGAGCTCAAGACAGTTCTTTCCGTGAATGAAATTTGATATTTCATTATTTTTAAATACCAGAGTTTAGAAGCTAAATTGAAACATTGGGAAAGCTGAAAATTCTCCCTTCTCCTCTTAGATTGCCCTTGCATTGACGACCTTGTCGCGACCCATTTTAAACCTTCCGCGACCCATGTTTGGGTCGCGACCCATACTTTAAGAACCACTGAACTAGAGACTGGTAATTTGGTAATCTCTTTCCTCTATCTTTTAAATACAGTCGAAACACGCATGTGAGAATAAGGATGTATACACGGAATCGCCTCTTACACAGAGGGCTATTAACAAATCATTGGAGCAGTCACTTACCAGTTCCTTTGTGCAGTGAATGAGCTAGTTTAGCATATATATTCTTGCCGTGAACTACCTTATCAAGATATGCTGAAACGACACGTTCAAGTGGTTCCCGAACAATGATAATTCGATAGTAATCATTCAATCGCCTGTTTATTTCTGCTTTTCCATGTTTCGAGGTATGGTTGAAGTGTAACCATAAATACCTAAAATATAGCAACGTTTTCTTATTCCTGTCATGGTTACACGTTGAAAATAGTCACAAATAACCCCAAAAATACTTGAGTGAACATCCATCCATTGTATTACGTTGCCTCTGCGATAATATACTTGTTGCCCATTGGCTAATGTGTTGAGAGCGTTTTGTTTTTGCTGTCAAATCCACCCTTTTCTTAGAGAGTTATTGGGATACAGTATAGAAAGCATGATCGATTTTTAAGTCAGACACTCAACGCTATAGTACCACAAAAAGAAGCTCATATGTGGTTGTAGTACTGGATACATGTGGGTTGAACGCGACCCGGCAATGTATAAACAAAGACTCACTTGCCGATGATGTTCGAGAGTCTTCAGCTTTGATAAAGAACAATCAAAAGTGCCGTAACCTGAGTTAAAATTGTCGGCTCATAAAGATATATGGCTATTTTTATTGTTCCCCCGTCAGTATTTTTAGGATATCAAAAATCAGTGATGCTTACCTATGCTTCATGCCTAATTTGTAAGCATCTTCCTGTTCGATTTCATTTGGCGTTGATACATTTACGATACCATCCGCCATTAGTAATGCTTTAATCCAACTTGTACTTCCACTCTTTGGAATTGTACAGGCTATGAGCTATAGAAAACATAAAATACAGGCTTTAACATGATTATCGACTCGAGAGTATATTAGTAGAGGTATTGAGACCGCACTAAAGTGTAAGATAATTTGAATTGATGGAATGCAGTTTTTGCCAAAAATAGTTACAGTTTCAAATTTATTTCTACGAAGTAAAGACAAATATCTATATTTATCTTATTAAGAAAAATAAAAAAGCTAAATGTTTCAACCATAATATTTCCAGATTAGTTTTTTAGGTATCAATTAACTAGAAGAGATCATGAAAAGGATTGAATAATGAGGAAAATGTAACAATGTTTCGCTTTTAATTTTTTAATTATTTATGTATATATTTGCAATTTATACTTTATGTTCATCCGAGAAATGGAGTCTTGGTTTAATACGTGGAGGGAACCTATCCCATGTGTTGGAGTTGATTGTTCCATTATAAAACCGGGATCCACAACGTTTTCTCAATGTTTCGTTTCTACTTGTTGCTAACATCTCGTCTACATTTATTTTCGATGGAGATACAGCCTTTATATCAAAATCTAGCATACGATGTCCCGTACCGTAGAGATTGGCTGAATATGACGATGTTACCTGAACAAAATGCTCAACTATAAGCAAGTAGCGTAATCGAGTTACAGTTATAAAAAGGTACATTTCTTAAACGGAAGTCAGCGATAAGGGCCTGTAAAATCTGCCATATCTTCAGTAGGGAATTGAATTTGTAAATGAGATACAGCTACTCAACAAATTTACTACTTGTAAAGCAGCCTAATAATCTCATATAAACTTGGCTATTCAACATTTGGTGTCGTAAGTTACAGTCCTCTTTGTATATCTTGCACAGACTACCTTTTCATGGTAGGTGACATTGCTCAGAGATCAATCTCTCTATTTCTTAGTCAAGTCACCTTGCTTAAGCAAAATAACATTCAGGTGTATAAGTTGATTTGACCTTCTCAAACCTGAAAGATTCCGGTATTCCGACACGCAGTAGTCTTCCGTGTTTACTTCCACAGAATCAAAAAACAAAAATAAAAAAATTGACTCACGTTTAACATATATGTTGAAACAATCAACAACAGGAAAACACAAATGATGATACTCTCTATCAGATGTATCCGTACCGTGTCCATAATGTGAGCGTGCAGAATTTTTTTAAAGTAGAAATTCCTATTTCTACCTAAAGCATAAAGTAACTCCAATTTCAATTTATCAGATAAGATTGCTTTCTGATGCTATGCTATGTCTTCAACTTATGCTACCTGTTCAATTGATTAACAGAATGCGCTTCGAGAACTGAAATATCATCTTAACCAAACTATAATATATTCTTTGATCTCGAAATTTGTTACAACATTGCCTACCTACACATGCAAATAAGTTGCGCATGTCTTGAGCAATACCTTATTTCTAAGTTGAAATAATGAAGCCAAGCAACGGCATTTGGCCGGAGGCGACAGCTTTTAAACAGTAAAGAATTATGCCGTTGGCAGAAAGATGCAGTGGTGGGAATCAGCCGGTTCGCACCGGTTTCATAGAACCGTCTGATTCTGCCGGTTCGCACCGGTTCTAAAGAACCGTCTCACGGAATTTCATGAGATCAGCGAACCGGTTAGCATTACTGGTAACTGTCATTTGATATGCATTAATTAAAAGTTCCAGCAACAACAGATTGGAGTGAAGTATTATTGAAGTGGACAAACATATCGTTTGCTTAATTTTTGTTGATGCGATAAAAAGATTTTCAGCAACTAACGTACAAATCTACCATATCAAATTTTTTAAATATTTTTTTTTTATAATTTACAGGAACGCATTCGCGTGATTCCCGTTACACACTTTTGTTTCTACCTTTTGCTCCAATTTTCAATTATTAGCTTATAATAAAACTATAGCCCATTTGTCACGAAATTTAATGTGTCCAGCAAGATTTTTAGAACACAGGCTTCGAAATTTTCCATTAAAATAACTGCCTAGACTGAGATTGCCATATAATACAATTTTAAATACTTAATAAAGCAGAATATACGCCATGCTGGGGTAGCCATACGCGAGATCATTTTCATGTTTTCGAGGGTACATTTGACAGTTAGCAAATTGTCCATAGAGGCCGTTGTCTAGTGTTCAGAAAACCACTGTCTCTAATTTGAGACTGCTAATAATGGTGAATCATTATCATAACACACACTGCAAAACTTCAAATGCCAGTTCGCGACCCACTCTTATTGTTATTTTTGTGCGACCCACAATGTTGATATATGAGAAAAGAGACAATGTATCCCCATGCATGTTACTGTTCATTCGAAACCTGAGCTTGTATATTATCAGATCACGTCGAGGCTTGATAGGAGACAAGCTTATACGCAACGTGGCCTTAGCACTCAACACATTGTGCTTTGGCTCAAAGTCATTTCCTGCCTCAATGAAACCACATTTGATGTAATAAGAGTCATATTTTCTTACTAAAACTTTTGGAGCTTTCTTTTTACTTTCCTAGATTTCCTTTTTTAAAACTCATTCATTTTGTGGCTCACAAGAATCAAACGAGGTTGTTGCAATAAAGTATATTAACCTTGTTAGCCATTATTTAAAACGCAACTTATTGGACGTAAGATTACCAATATACCTTAGTCATTCAAAACCCATCCTATGCGCGAAATCTTTTATTGTTGACGTGTGCAGTTTTAAGAATAGAATATTTTTTATATATATTTTGATATTTCTATCATGATAAACATGGTCAAGATTTTTGGTAATCGGTTATTGAAATTTTATTGGGCGTGGTGTTTCCGCTGGCATCTCTCTCCCTATATCATGACATTCTGCCAGCGCGTTGTAGTCTCGGAAATATGCGCGCCAACCGCTCGTACTTCTTATTCTGTGTAGCGTACCGGCAGTCTATGTAATAATTATCCAAGTTCAGAATATCTTCCAATATGATCTGACGTCAAGTTTCCTCTCAATATTCACTTCAATTTATACTATTTTTTAATTACAATCCTTAACACAACCAAACACTCCAACTAAAACAACCACAACTGCACTGATGCAAACCACAGCATAGGCTAACAGGATACCAAAAGACAGATCGACAGTGTCACAGCTCCCTCAGGGTCTTCAGTGTTAAAAATACAAAATACAGCAATATTATCACAAGACATCATCTAAAAGACAAAACAAGGGTCGTCACATCTGCAATAACATCGGGACCACAACATACCGTCGCTTGGCATTTAATAAAAGACCTATTTTTGTTAGTGAAGTTCAGCTGCAGTAATAGTCTATTCACGTTCAGTCAGATTCATTTTACCTTACTGGTAGACTTTTATTTTTTTGCACGTGGCATGGGTTTCGAATGACTAAGGTCTATTACGTGAACCGGCGTATTTGCTATACTGCCTACCCGAATTCATCAAATTACTAATCTGCCAAGTAGCGTACCTACATTTTCCAACATGTAGGGGCGTATTAAATTATTTACGAGACACAACGCATAATTCTAATTGTTACGTTGCCTCATAATTGTAACGTAATCATAATATCACAACTTTCGCGATCTAATCGAAAACTGTATGTAGCATTTGGAAATACCTCGCGGCCCCCCTTGAATAGCTTCGACCCACTGCTTGGGAAGCACTGCAGGATGAGGCAGGAAATGTACGATAATGCAGAAAATGCGAATCAATGCTCCATAAAAAAATGCTTATCTATAATATACGCCTTGTGGTCCTTTTTTCCGATATCTCAATTTGTAATCCAACAGAAATAGGCCTATGTAATGTTTTACATGTAATTCTGATTAATTGTATGAATGTCAAATTCGCGATGACACAATAAAAAAAATGCCAAACGTCTGTGCAGCGTGATTGCAGAAGAACCGATTGGATCTTGTTGTCTCAGGTGTTTATCCGACCGAAACCAAGTTCTTGATGTCCACCGCTAATCACTGTTTATTGGTGGGTAAACAGCGTGGTTTTTATTGCGATATTTTTGTCGCCGATTTCCAGTCAGACTCGACCTTTTTTATTATACAACAGTAGTTCGACTTGATTATATACGTAGTGCTTGAAATTTTCGTTGCTACTCGGCTCGAGATGCAGGCGTGATGTTTAACTCAAGGTTTACCACCATATTTTATCTATAGAGCTGATTTTTCCACAAGAAAAGTTAATATCGCACTATTGCGGATTATTTGAATATAAAAGTCCGTGGATTTTTTTAGCATTCAACATTAGTCGTATTGAACCTTTTGGGTCAGATCTTCTTCACTCGGACTTTGTGAATTTGTACCAGCCTATCCTCAAATATAAGTTTTAGCTTGAATATGACCAGGATATATTTATCTTTTTTTTGCTCCAAGTTAAACCTTTTTCTATCACCTATTTGTGATTTTATTATTTGTATGAAATAACTTTAACAAAGATTAAAAAAAGTCTCTACAAAGTATATTTTTCAATGTGAAGTAATATGAATATTCAGACGTGCATCTTGTTAATAAAATTTGAAGTTGTTATAAATCGTTTTCATTTTTAAGAGACAGTGACAGTATAATCTGGTGTTCTGCGCTCTGGCCTATAATTGTATTGGCACCACAGTTCAGAGATCTATTTTATGCCTTTATCAGTTCAGAAGAAGACTGAAGTCTTTAAATTCTTCATCAATAACTCGTACTTTGAGTCGAAACTTCTAAAATGATTAGTTTGCTATCGCAGCACCGATTGCAGAGATTGTCAGAGGTGGTTCGCTGATAATTGCTTCTTTTCTTCTTCTTACAGCGCTGCTTGTTTTCATTACTCATTGAAGGGTACAATGCAGTGTTGTTGGCATTTTTGTGCAGTCAGCGTAATGATCATTAAGTAGAGAATCACCATTTGCTCTGTGCAATATGGCAGGAAGTCAGAAACCAATTCGCGTGAATTTTTTCAATTTGTTCTGGATCACAGTCGGAATCATAAAGATATATAACTAGTTGCGATACATTTCTACAATCGTCAATCTTCAACCGACTTCGAATTGTTTTTGGGAGGTAATATATAGGAAGGCACAGAATAACCAAATGTTTCATATTCTTTAGAATATATCTTGTACAGTTTTCTTAATTTTTCTATCGGAAGGTCTTCCAAGTACTTCCGATATTTTGTTTTCCATTTGTGTTCCAGAGACGATACTCTTTCAGCTGTTTTCTCTTTGAATACAAAAATATAAAAAAATAATACTCAGCAACGGAGAAAAAAGAGTTCTCCAACAGTAAAAAAGTTATTTTAGAAATTCTGCATAATATATATATTATGTTTCGTAAGGGTACCTCCGATTTCTCATTTCATAAATTACCATATACATACATATAGAAAATATTTATTTTTATACTTTTTGAAAATCAAGTACAAAACGTTAATTGTTTTTTTTTCAGAATTTTTTTTCAATGATATTTGATTTGCCTAACTAACAACTACGTCCATTTTATTACGACTTTTCTATGTTTTATTCCATAAAACAATCGCTAAGAAAATGACACAAATACCTAACTCACCCGAAGTAAAAAGTTGGCTATCAATCCCTGTCATTTTAGACACAAACTTGACATCTTGTGACATTGTCTCTAGTTTTACAATGTAGTGATATTGCATCCGACATGGATCGCATATGCTTTCGTATAAATTCCAGTGAATGTCGTATGTGAAAGAGGGTCTGCTTATAATCGAATCAACAAATTCTTCAAATGTTGTGATACCGTCTAAAAAAATTACTCTGGAATATACTGGAAATATGGTTTTGCATATACACCGGAAGATAACAAAATATTCTTATTTCGACGCAGAATGAGTGCTTTTTAACACCGTAGAAAGATTTTCAGCAATAATGAAAGTCACTCTTTAATTCAAAAGTATGTGTTTATTGATTTACCATATGTCAAAATGTCTATATATATATACTAATATTTACGCCTTTTAAATTTGGCAATCAATATGTAAAATAGCGATTCGCCACATTTTCTACCTGAAATTTCACAAATATGAAGATTTAAAAAACTTTTTAAACAGCGTTCTCTTCGAATGTTTACAAATCGAATTTCTTAAACAACCTCTTGTAAGATTTCGTTCCTGGATATTACACTTGAGAAAAATGCCAGTCAGCGTTTGCGTTAATTTTAACTTGTGTCCAGGAATCTTTGTCGAATATATTCATGACCCCTTTTAGCAAGAAAGCAGTAGAGTTGTGGTAAGGTATGGATTGTGAGTAAATAGACAACGACGTTTGCGCTTACTAACTAGAGACTGGTAATTTGGTAATCACTTTCCACTATCTTTTAAATACAGTCGAAACACGCAGGTGAGAATAAGGATGTATACATAGAATCGTCCCTTACACAGAGGGCTATTAACAAATCATTGGAGCAGTCACTTACCATTTCCTTTGTGCAGTGAATGAGCTAGTTTAGCATATATATCTTTTCCGTGAACTACCTTATCAAGATATGCTGAAACGACACGTTCAAGTGGTTCCCGAACAATGATAATTCGATAGTAATCATTCAATCGCCTGTTTATTTCTGCTTTTCCATGTTTCGAGGTATGGTTAAAGTGTAACCATAAATACCTAAAATATAGCAACGTTTTCTTATTCCTGTCATAGTTACATGTTGAAAATAGTCACAAATAACCCCAAAAATACTTGAGTGAATATCCATTGTATTACGTTTCCTCTGCTATAATATACTTGTTGCCCATTAGCTGATGAGTTGAGAGCGTTTTTTTTTTTTACTGTTACATCCGCCCTTTTCTTATAGAGTTATTGAGATACGGTATAGAAAGCGTGATCAATTTTTAAGTCAGATACTCAACGCTGGTACCGCAAAAAAAAGCTTTTATGTGGTGGTACTGGATACCTTTGGGTTGAACGCGACCCGGCAAGGTATAAACGGGAATATCGGTCAGAGACCGAAGATTTATCGATCGAAAGTTAGGGGATCTCCCCCCAAAACAGCGCTTCCATCACTAATTAATTAATAACTTGCTAATTATACGACATAATTCATCCAAAATCAATAGGCTTCTGTTTCAAACTATGATGAATGCACATGCAAAATCTGGAGCAGATTCAATCTTGCATTCGTGAGATATCGCGGGCATCTAACAGACAAACAAGCAGAAATACCTATCAACATACTTACCGATCAAAATCGATAAGTAATAAGACTCACTTGCCGATGATGTTCGAGAGTCTTCAGGTTTGATAAAAAACAATCAAAAGTGCCGTAACCTGAGTTAATATTGTCGGCTCATAATATATTGTATAGCTATTTTTATCGTTCCCCGTCAGTATTTTTAAGATATCAAAAATCAGTGATGCTTACCTATGCTTCATGCCTAATTTGTAAGCATCTTCCTGTTCGATTTCATTTGGCGTTGATACATTTACGATACCATCCGCCATTAGTATTGCTTTAATCCAACTTGTACTTCCACTCTTTGGAATTGTACAGGCTATAAGCTATAGAAAACATAAAATACAGGCTTTAACATGATTATCGACTCGAGAGTATATTAGTAGAGGTATTGATACCGCACTAAAGTGCAAGATGATTTCAATTGATGGAATGCAGTTTTTGACAGAAAATGTTTACAGTTTCAAATTTATTTCTACGAAGTAAAGACAAATATCTATATTTATCTTATTAAGAAAAATAAAAAAAATAAATGTTTCAACCATAATATTTCCAGATTAGTTTTTTAGGTATCAATTAACTAGAAGAGAGAGAGAAAGAGCTTTAACACTATTATCGAGAGCATATTATTAGAGAATTGAGAGTTTAGAAAAATGTACAAGGCATAAAACTTCATGAATCTCCACAAATTGAGATTTTGAATTGATGGAATGCAATTTTTGGCAGACAATATTCACAGTTTTAAATTTATTTCTACGAAGAAAAGACCAATAGCTATATTTGCTTTTTTCAGTTTCATTGTGTTCAGAGACTAAGTCTTCTTCAGTGTAACATTTCAAAATGCTGATATATGAAATATACCAAAGCTGATAGTGAATACATGCTTATGTTTCAGGATTGATACTTATATAATAACAATACTCTTATGCGTTGTAGCTTTGCTTATGTCGACAATAGTGTCGATATGATATAAAAATGATAATAATTTGAAATGATATGTGGTTTCAGTAGTTCATCAACAATCACAATCGTTTTTTATTTTGTAAATTTTATTTTATTAAGAAAAATAACAAAACTAAATGTTTCTCTCATAATATTTCCAGATTAGTTTTTTAAGAATCAATTAACAAAAGAGATCGTGGATAAGGAAAATATTGAGGAAACTGTAGCAATGTTTCTCTTTTAATTTTTTAATCATGCCTATATATGCAATTTTTTACTTTATGTTTATCCGAGTAATGCAGTCTTGGTTTATGAGCTGGTGAGAACCTATTCCATGTGTTGGAGTTGATTGTTCCATTATAAAACCGGGATCCACAACGTTTCCTCAATTTTTCGTTTCTACTTGTTGCTAACATCTCGTCTACATTTATTTTGGGTGAAGATACAGCCTTTATATCAAAATCTAGCATACGATGTCCCGTACCGAAGAGATTGGCTGAATATGACGATGTTACCTGAACAAAATGCTCAACTATAAGCAAGTAGCGCAATCGAGTTACAGTTATAAAAATGTACATTTCATCAAAAACCGAAGTCAGCGATAAGGGCCTGTAAAATCTGCCATATCCTCAGTAGGGAATTGATTATGTAAATGAGATTAACCCAATCAACAAATTTGCTACTTGTGAAGCAGACCAATAATCTCATACAGACTTGGCTATTTAACATTGGGTGTCGTAAGTTACATTTGTCTTTGTATATCTTGCACAGACTACTTTTCGTTAGTAGGTGACTTTGCTCAGAGATCAATCTCCCTATTTCTGAGTCACGGGACCTTGCTCTGACCTTATCAAACCCGAAAGATTCCGGAATTCCGACACCCAGTAGTCTTCCGTGTTTACTTCCACACAATCAAAAAAAAACAAAAATCAAAAAATTGACTCACGTTTAACATATATGTTGAAACAATCAACAACAAGACAATACAAATGATAATACTCCCTATCAGATGTAGTCGTACCGTGTCCATAATGGGATCGTGCAGAGTTTATTTAAAGCAGAAAATAGAACCAATTTCCACTGTCAGACTGCTTTCTGATGCTATGCTATGTCTCCAACTTATGCCACATGTTCAATCAATTAACGAAATGCGCTTCAAAAACAAAAACATTATCTTCACCAAACTATAATGTATTCTTTGATCTCGAAATTTGTTACAGCCATGCCTATCTACACATGCAAATAAGTTGGACACGTCTAGAGCATAATCATTTTGAAATAATGAAGCCAAGCAACTGCATTTGCCCGGAGGCGACAACTTTTAAGCGATAATGAATTATGGTCTTGGAAGGAAGATGCCTCGCTTTGTGTGTCCACTTTGAGTGTTTCTAAGACTCTATTCAATTAACACTCGCCTCTCGTTCTAAAAAAAAAGATTTCGGTATTGTCTACAAGTGTATGGCGAGTACTTCGTATCCATTTACTGTTGTAGTATCTTTCAACAAAGTGACTTTAGTATATTCTCTTCGAGAAATTTTTTTTGTGAAAATGCATCCACATATCGATATGATCGTGCTTGTTTATTAGTGGTAACTTGCAATTTTCCATCCTAGATCCATTTACTCGAGGTAAGGCTAGCAATGTTTCATTCAACAATCTTATATAAACTTAATTTTCCAATAGCACTGTCTTTAAATAGTCTCAAAATTGATTAAACCATGAAGAATCTGAACTTCCGCTAACTTTTCAATCTTAAAAATTGGGATGAACATTTGAATCGGTTTCAAAAATGTCAAGATGAGTTGCGCGAGTAGGACGAAAATCTATCAATCTGAATGACATTAACTATATCAAATATAGTATATAAGCTAAAGCAATAGAATGGTGGGAATGCTCTTTACAAAATGCACAAAGTGTCGGATCTGAACCTCCATTTTTCTGCCAATAGACGGGAATCTTGTTTGATATGCATTAATTAAAAGTTCAAGTAACACAGATAGGAGTGGAGTAATATTGAACTCGAAGTGGACAGACAAATTGTTTTGCTACATTTTTGTTGTTGCAATAAAAAAGTTCAGCAACTAACGTACGAATAATCTATCTCAAAGTTTAACGTTTAAAGATGTTTATTATAATTTACAAAAACACAATTACGTCTAGTTACGTCCGTTACACACTTTTGTTTCTACCTTTTGCTCCAATTTTCAACAATTAGCTTCTCCTAATAAAACTATCGTTCTATGACATATCGCAATAAAATACTGCCTGAAATGAGATTTTCATATAATTTTCAACAATTAATAAAGCAGGATATACACCATGCTGGGTAGCCAAGCACGAGATCATTTTCATGTTTTCGAGGGTACATTTGACAGTTAGCAAATTGTCCCTAGAAGCGGTTGTCAAGTGTTCAGAAAACCACTGTTTCTCATTTGACACCACTAGTATCGGTGAATCACTATCATAACACACACTGTGAAATTGTAAATAGGCCCCATTTCGCGATTTATATAGCCCTCACGACGAATCAGTAGTATTAGGTATGCAATGACAATTTATAGTTGGACTTTTTTTATATCCATTCTGGTGTTGAAATGAAGTCTTGATGTATCGAAATAGTCGATTGAGTCATAGCACGGTACACATCAGTCTCTGAATGAATTATTAAATATCTTTTATCTTGATGTTCGAAATCGTTAGCACATTTTCACTGAACGTCAACTAAAAGGCCATACATATTTTTAAACCAAAAAGAGACCAATTTCCACTACAAACCAACTAAGATTAGTTGAACGTATGTTATGATACAGCTAACCAGTCGAGCACGAATTTTATTACTGAATTTCGTCACTAGCGGAATAAATTGCGGTAATTAGTTTCATTTTGATGGTGAGATAATATTTATGTCCGGGAAACAGACAAAAAAAATTTTTTGCGACGAAGTCCGTATGTAACTGAAAATTGTAAACACGAGTTATGATATCTCAAGTGTCACAATAAAACAAGTACGCTATGGTTTCGATTGCCCTTTTTACTGGATCTCAAATTTATACAAATACCTAATGCCTCCTGTACAAAGCGGTAGTGATTCGTTTTTAAATTATGAGTTTATTGTTTCCATAAAGTCAACTTATCAAAATATCATAGATTGCATTAGTTTTTGAAAAAATCGTTGACGATGAGTCGAAAAAATAAACATGAAGGAGATAGACCGAGAGGTAGTAGCCGTTGTTGAATCTATGCCGAAACTAGATGATGTAGAAGAATATTAAAATTAGAGGCGACGGGGACGCATAAATTACAATTTTGGGCACATCTTCCTAGTAGAATTGTTACAAAGAAGCTTTAGGCGGTAAAGTATCGTCACAGTAAGCATGCAGAACCTCCAATGCATATACAGCAATAGCGTACATACGAACTCAATAAAATATGTGTATACATACGGACAAGGGATGTTGGATAGTCGATTTTGCCTTCTTTCCGCTAATTCTTAAAAAGATCATTTACCATAACATTAGGTATTACTTCACGCAAATATAAAATAAATATACTAAATGACCATAAATTAAGAAATGTAACGTTTATTGTGATAGTGAACAATCACGTCAAAAAAGTTTCGTCTATATCATCATGCCTCAGAAGCAGTAGTATTGCCACGAGTCACCTATTCATATCTCTATACAAAAAGAATAAACTATGTAAGCACGCATATTTGATTGTCTGTGTAAACATCAGAAAACAATTTTACTCAAAAAAAAATTAAATCGCTTTGATGTATGCAAAATAATTACTCGATTTTTTTTTTATTTAAAAGGAGAAATAAAAAGCACTTCGCAAAATAGCATTTCGTGCTGAACAATGGAAAATATGTCACTCAAATGTTGTGAAAAAAAAAAACACTTCACACTATTCAATGAACATATATATATATATGCTCTTTGCACTATTCTATTGCAGTAAATTGCACACACTTTACCAATTCGCTACAGCCATTTTTTGTCGTCATGGCGTGAACCTGCTTGTCAACAACTCAGTTGTGCTGTCAGTATTGTTTTGATTCTCGGATTGGTAAGTATAGGCATATACGGCATTGGAATTTATTTGTCACAAAAAAAAAGGTGAGTATAGTAATTTGTAATGTGTTCAAAGTTTTCTTCCAGTTTGAATAATGAACCAATTTATGGCATTTCTAAACTTCACCTCATATAGTATGTTTCCACATGTAAATGTTACATTTTGTCTTCTGCAAAGATTTCGAATGCTGGTTCGATATTGTTCATATTTTGGACAGTGTATTAAAAAATGTTCAGTGTCTTCGACTTCCCTGTTGCATTGGTCGCGTATTTCATCTACATTTTTATTGAATTTTGAAAGATGTTTATTTAGCATACCATGTCCTGTTTGAAGTCTAAAATATTTCTTATTTGTATTCTTGATTATTTTATTTTTTTCAAGTAATTTGGTAAGATTTCCAGAAATATTCTTTTATAGTATTGTCCTGATATGTTTTTTTTATATTGTATATTCCATCTATCTTGTATATAATGCTTTATTTGGTCTTTATTTTCAGGTTTTGACAAGTCATTTTCTTCAAGCTCTGTTATAGTTTTGAACGATACAACTTTATCTCCCACATATTCATGTTGCCAGGATTCTTCGAGTACTTTTGCTGAGGTAAGTTGAACCGAGTTTTGTAATTTTAATCGATAATTCAAGCATAATTGTTTTCTTCTTAATGCCAGTGGTTTTCCTGAGCATGCATTCAATACTGCATCCATTGGTGTGCTTCTCATAGCTCCAATGCAAATGCGAAGGGCTTGATTTTGTATTGTTTCCAATTTTGTTAGCAATGTTTTTGATGCTGTGCTATAGATTTGGGTTCCATAATCAAACAACGAGCGAATTGAGGAGCGGTATAATAGTAGCATTGTGTGTAATTGTGATCCCCATTTGGAACCACTTACTAATTTCAAAATATTTAATCTCTGCGTTGCTTTTTTTACGATATTTTCTATATGTTCTTTCCATGTCATTTTCTTATTAAATATCATGCCCAAATATTTTACTTTGTCAAGTATTGGTATGTTGACTCCTCCAATTTGTAACTTAATTTCTGGATTTCTTCTTTTGTTGCGGTATACCCAGGTGTATAGTGGACCATGAGAAATGTATAGAACTGATAAACGGCATGCGAAGGGTGTACAACCTAAGTCAGGGATTCTATACTTTAATATAATAGATTATGAAATAATCAATTGGAGACAACGATGAAAACGTGGCGCAAATGAAAAATAAAATGTCATTTACGCAAAGAACCAACTTGGGGGCATATTGTTACATCATAATTTATCTGGATAAAGCAGGCACGTGTCTGGGGTTGATAATTTTGGCTGCCATGCACGTCGCTTGATTTACGTTGAACACTATACCCGTTGACGCTTGGGCCGTCAGTCAAATTTAGACCGTTTACATATTACAACTTGCACACAGTAGCCCGTTAGATTGCACGGTGATACTGCAGTAACGTTAGTTTTAGTGTTTTCTGTGCTTAAAATTTAATGTTTATTTGAGCTTTAAATAAACATTGGTATTTGGAAGGTATACAAAATTATTGAAAAATTGTAAAAGGTATACCGCGGTGAAAAAAGGTTGAAGAACACTGTTCTAGGGCATCAGCAGTGATAGAAAACGGCCCCAAACAGTCGTAATCGACGAGGCTAAAAATGTATGGTGACCTACCTTTCAGTGGCAGCGATCAAAATATTTCAAAACAAAAATGATGATTTTAAAAAATCTATTATATAATTTATATAAAAAAAACTTGCAAAAGCAAAGATTTATTGCAAAAAAGATTTGTTATATATATATATATGACCATTGTTGTCGGCCAAGAAACTAGCAATTGTTAGCGACCGGACTTCTATTAGCAAAGTTAGATCAAGCGATATGAGTAAATGAAATGTACTTTAAAATGATTATATCAAAAAAAATTTATAACCAGGGCTGGAGACGGAGCTGTGGTAATTTCGGTTGCACTGGAGCCAAGCTTAACATATAAGATGAAGCCGGAGCTACCGAAAATTATGGAGCCCATATCCGGCATTAAAAATGAAGCTCCGGAGTTTGAATATACTGTGACTCCGGAGACGGAACCATCGTGATTTTGAACTAGTTCACCATTCTTATTTACAACATGCTGCATCAAAGTAAAGTTCTGCGCTGTAAGACTTGCGAAAATAAAGTTTGGAAATTTTAAGGAAATTTCGAACAAAAATCTGACCAAAACAGCGCCGATATATATGATGTTAGAAAATCAAATGTTATACATAATCAATGAATCCATCAACTCACCAATTAAAAAAATCAATGTTACGGCAGCTAGTCTTATGAAATTCATTTTTTTCTTTTGCGGCAGTGCATATGTACGCTAGGAACATCAATTTCCAAATAGTTTGAAAATACAAAACTATTATCTATATTTTAAACACTAGGTTATGTTTTTTCTCAATCTTTACTGATGTACCTGTAAAAAAGATTCAAAACTAATACGGTCTGACAATATTGGTGTCGCAAGCATAAGACCTTCACAATTTTTAATTTGCTTAGGAAATATGGCCTAATCACTATCATTATGCACCACTCGTATTAGTTTTTTTTTCGAGAAGATATTAAAATTCGTCAGGAGAACATGGGAAAGGTTAGCTGATGATGACATTTAGCAAAGTAATACAAAACGCCTGTATGAATTTTTACAGTCTAATAGATGTTATATATTTCTGCAATTGTGAATGACTTTGAAACTTCAGCTATAAATTGCTTCTTTGGCGAAATAAATCAGGAAAATAAATTTCGGTTCAAAATATATTTGTTACTTACTTTTGTTTCGATAAAAGTTTAAGAAATTAAATGGCGCAATGCATTGTGAAAGTTGTTTTAAAATTAAGCAAAACTGTAAGACTACCAATTACGACGAAAAGAGTAAAAATACTATTTTGGGCAACAATCATAAGTCTATCATAGAATCTTTAAAATTGCTTAGAAAACTACAGGGGTGAGCAAAAATGTTTAGTATAAGAGCCGCATGCAGCAAGTCAGAAATATGTGAAAGCCGCATAATTTTTGAAATTAATAATATTAGAATAGCGTGAACTGAAAAGAACTTTACACAAACGTATAATAACAATATTGCAAAGTATATATTCTTTAAACGCTTAATGAATTAAAAAAAATAACTGTTGCGCTGCAGTTTCTCTTATTTAACTTTGGATAATAATAGAGCCGCTTTGAAACTCCGACGAGCCGCGGTTTGCCCACCGTTGGAATACTACGTCACTGACGCATGTTCTGAAGTTTTTGGTATGAAGAACAATATTGGGGTTTTCATCGGGAACTCAAAAATCTGTCGCATGCGTTATAATAGTCATCCGTGATATCACAGCGCCATACCACCATACAAAAAGATTTTGTGTTTAATCACTATTTGCTTGATTGTCTGTATATACATCAGAATACAATTTTACTCAAAACAAATTGATGTGAGCACAATAATGGCTCGATTAATCCGAGTTTTCATATGCTGTTTTCCGTAATTCACGAGCACTTTAAAACATGCACGTCCGTTTAAAGTTTGGATTAGTATTAAGTTTGCTTTAAATATAGCACTCTCCGATGCGAAAGTGCTCAGAATATTTTGAACAATTAACTCATGACATTTTTGTTTTTTTAACTCGAGTTAAGTCTTTCTTTTTTCTTCTTTTTTGGGATTTCAGCGTCCTCGTTTTCATTCATTTTGTTCTTTGCATCAGCAGAATTACTGCTGATTTCTTCTAACCTGCATTCGTTTTCACCATCGTCATTTGTTTTCATTGATTTTCCGAGGTTCATGCGATGTTCAGACGATTCCGATTCGGAATTTTGAGAATTATCCGAACTTGACTGCGAATCAGAATTTCCTTCTCCGATTTTAAGCTCAGTTATCTTCGTTTCTCGCCTTCGAGTAATGCAGCTGTAAAATACACAAACGTACAAATAAATAGAAAAAAAGTCGTCAATATGGATAAAAATAAAAAGAATGAAGAACCACAATGTTGAGAAAAGAACGACAGCAATATATAATTGAGTTCATACTTACAAGTAAAGAATTATACTGCATACAACAGAAAGAACGCACAACAAAATCATAAAAGAAAGTTCCAAATTGTTTAGCAGTTGCAATTCATTTGCAGCGCCCCATATACACTGATGTCTGATATCTGTAACAAATATATATTTATTTTAGTATTCGAATTAGAATTGCTTTTATTGTTCGAAGATTTCAATTTATCATAACGACGATACAGAATCAAGGAGCTTAAATAGATATAGGGAAGCAATCATTATGTATTTGACGTGCAATGAATATAGTTTATTATCGATTTGAACGTCGGTGCAACGAAAAAGCTGAGACGCAATTACATAAAAGCACCTTGAAACAAACATGGTAGATTAGATCATAGTCGTAGATTATTCAAGAAAAAACATTGAAATATAGAGTAGTAGTAGTAGTAAGAAATTATGTCGCTAAATTCCAAGATAATGATATCCGAGACACTTCATTCTTTATGGAAAGTATGTCATGAATTTGTGCTGAGAATAAACTCTGTCAATAGTAATTTTCACGGTGATAATGTTAGCACAATTGATTTTATCATCTGGAAATTGCATTCACTATTTGGGGCAAAAACCTTTAACATCAAACTGCAACCCCAAACATTAGGCAGAGCATTCCTCGTGCTAAATTTATTCTAAACTCAAATCTCTTACTGTAGTAATTTGAGGCATGTAGGGTATATTGGTTACCGTACTTCAAAACAACCTGTTCCACCTGGTTTTGAGTCATAACCCAATTCTTTCAACTTTGAGATTTATGCCGACATAAAGTAATTTAAAATGTTTCTACCTTCTGGCCAATTGCACTTCTGCTGACGGAATTCCACTTGATAATTAATTATACCCAGCTTAGACAACTTCAGAATGTCAGGCTTGTGATCGTCACGGATCGCAATACGGATTGTCCGAGAACATTTGAGCGATTCCAAATTTTCACACGGTGTCAATATTTTTTGAAACATAATACATGTGTCTCGTTTTATCTTTGGTATGAAAATGTCTAAAAGGAGAAATTTATTTTATTTCTTTTCAATATCATCGTGTCTTGTTCCAATTGTGCTAATTTTATGCGTAATCGTCAATAAAAGAGTGATTTGTTGTAATTTAAAATAAGATTTGTGCAAGATGTCCCAGAATTAACAGACGAAGGTTCTGTTCCAAACTCGTAGCCGTAGTTGTCCATGGATTACCCATACGGTTATAAGTAAACATTAAAACAACTTTACTGTTTTCATTGTACATTCGAACGATTTATATTGAATACGACCTATATTTTACCTATATTTAAATCATTAAATGATATCGAGCAGTATATACCGTATTTTCCAGCGAATAAGTCGCATTTCTAGACCCATTTTTATGGTCTGATTGGGGGCGTCTCATTAGGTGGGTATAATAAATTTCATTTTTTGGTGTCGCCTTGATATTCAATTCGAACCATACAATACGTTCGGCGATAGCATCCTCTATAACAGGGCTACTCAACTATTTTTACCGAAGATCCGCATACAAAACTTCAAAAGTATTTGGGTCCGGTCTTTCCAGAAACTATATTTCGGCATCCCTAAACACGCACATCCTCGGACGACTAATGATTATTTTCTAATTAAGATTGTTTATTATGACATTATAGTTCTTTCCATATATATTTAAATCTATTAAAGTGATTTTATAAAGGAAACTTTAGAAGTGAGGCTAATGATTCAAAATAAATAATTAGGCGCAGTCCGAATTGAATACCCGAAAGGTCCGGATTCGGACCGCGGTCCGCCAGAGTAGCCCTGCTCTATAACATCCTCATCAGGTCAGTTGAAATGAATCATCGTTCTTGCGCTGTGAATCTGGAATTTCAACGCTGTGATTCTTATTACTTATCGATTTTGATCGGTAAGTATGTTAATAGGTATTTGTCTGTCTGTCTGTTAGATGCACGCGATATCTCACGAAAACTAGGTGAATCTGCTCCAAATTTTGCATGCGCATTCATCATATGTCGGACCAGAATCCTATTGATTTTGTCGTATAATTAGCGAGTTATTTTTTAATTAGTGATAGGACACGAGGTGTCACTATAGAGTCATGAATCGAAACCGCAGTTTCGAACGATAAGTCTTCGGTCTCCGACCGATATTCTCGTATTTGAAGTTGCCGCATTTGTGTGTGCATCACGAGTGAAGGATTATTACCGATAGATACACGTGGGATTGCGATTTGTGAAAATCGTCAATTGTTTTTGTCATTGTGATGTCTTATTTGAGCGGTAAACGTCTTTCATTTCTGTAAATTTTTTGAAATAAATTTTACTCTGTGGAATATTATCGCTGACTCATGATTTTTTCCTACCGTGATATTCTCAAAATGATGAGTGGCAGCATTGCGATGAAGCGGAATAATTGTTGCAGCAACAGCTCAGTTTTGTTTTTGAATTGCAAAAATACGAATCAAAGCAACATATAATCGTACATGTTTATGTCCACGGATTGCGTTGTTATTTTGGAGCAGTGATACTATTTACAATATAAATAAAATTGATATATATATGTATATATATAAAATATAAATTTTATATTCTCGCAATCGCAAATCAAATTGGTCACAATTAAACCAATGAAGCAACACATTTCGTTTCTTGCAGATTTTGAGGTGATGAATATGTATGTTTCATATATACACTTTATATGTATATTATTGTGGTTAATTAAATTGTACTTTCCGTGTTTTTATAGCAGATCTTGGGAATTTTTTAACGGCAATAACATTTCGCAAGAGCGCAAAAATATGTATTAAAACCAAATATACGAGATAGCGATCGGAGACCGCCGACCTATCGATCTGCCCAAAATTTTTTTTATATAATCAATTAATTAATAACTCGCCAATTATAAAAAAAAATGATTAAAAATACTAAAAAAAATAATTGATTAGTTAATTAATTAATAACTCGCTGATTATACGACATAATTCATTCAAAATCAAAAGGCTTCTGGTCCGAGATATGATGAATGCACATGCCAAATTTGGAGCAGATTCAACCTCGCTTTCGTGAGATATCGCGTAACATACGAAAATGTCTAACAGACAGACAAACAAACAGACAAATACCTATCAACATACTTACCGATCAAGATCGATAAGTAACAGTGGCGGCGCGTGGTCATTTTGACAACCGGGGCAAGCTACTGCGGGACCAAGTCACCCCCATCTACGGGGACAGGATGAGCGCTGTAAGTTCTCCCATCATTTTATGAGTATAAAAACCATTCCATCGGTAACAACCAATCGGCAAAAGCGACAATTTTTAACGATAAGAAAGTGTCTTTGAAACCGGTCCAAGTCAAGGGATTAATAAATATAGACATAGTTTATTTTGAAACCTCTTTCAAAAGGAAAGGCAATATTTACCCAGATAAATACAATGACATATTAACAGAAACTTCGGGAAAGCAGACAAAACCTAAAATAAGGTTTAAAACGTTACTATGAAGAAAGGAAAGGTAATGCAAAGATAAGGACATGCGTCGCTCACTCATAGATATATATGCTGCTAGACTTCTACTGCTTGAACATATATGCAACACGCCGCGGTTTCTTGGAAGCAAAATGCTCAATAACGCGCTGATTAAAGTCATGCATCCCAGAAATAACGTCTCTGTGAATGGATAAAACAGCCAAGGAATTTAATCTATCTTGCTTCATTGTGTTTCTGAGATACGTTTTAATACGCTTCAGCGTGCTGAATGTTCGCTCTGCGTCGGCGGAAGAAATAGGCGTCGTCAAAATGATTTCCAGAAACTAGAGTGTTATCTATGAGGAACCCATAGAGTGCGCAAGTTGATGTGATGTTTAAAAAAGTTTGATTGGTGTATATACATCGCAATTCATTTTCCAATTTACCCACGTTTATCATGGGGTAAAATTTGGAGACAGTAGCCAACAAATGGATGGGAAATTGGCGTGCAAATTTTGAAAAATTTTTGGGGTTCATCAAAGAGAACGCGGCAAGGTGTTCAGTGCGCAGACGATTTGATTCACCAGATTGTCACAGCATTCCTTTGCAGACAAAATCAAACGCTGCGTTGTTTGCCCGCGGCGTAAAGAAGCACTCCATGTGTCGTCGTATTTTATTGTTTCCCGGATACGAGATACAGCATCGCAGAAGTCTGAAATACACGACTGCACAGACGCTCCATCCATTAGCCTTGACTGCAATGCGCCGTATAATACATCCACGTGATAGAATATTGTGGAGAAAAAAGCGAGAAAAAATGAAAACTCACCATCTTCTAGCAGACGCTTTAGACCTGCCGCCTCCCTCACAGAGCGTTCGTCCCAAACCGGAGAGCTCTGAATGCCATTGAAACACTCAATGAGCTCAGACCTAATTTCGGACACGCCCTGCACCACGCGTGATTGGAAGTTCCAACGTGTTGGTGCACAAGCTGGGAGACGGCGGCTACATATCTGGCGAAGGAGGTCAGAGCGCTTCGGCGAAACGGAAAAAAATGAAAAAAAAACCCGAAACATTTGCAAAAAATATACGGACGAGAGGGGTATCAAGACACATATTTTTAATAACGAGGTTAAATTGGTGTGTATAACAATGTGAAAAATGCGCATGAGGAAAATCTTCTTTTATATAAACTTGAACACCACGTTTCGACCCACTCATGACTGCCGCGCCGTCATAAGTTTGAGCTATCAATTTTGACTTCGCGTTGTAAGGCTGTAACACTTCTTTCAGTACAGCCGATATCCCGCAAGCCGTGCGATCAACGATTGGTACAAAGCTGTGAAATCTTTCGGTAGGTTTACCATCTTTCACAAACCGAAAAATCACAGCCAGTTGGGAAACGCACGTGATGTCAGTTGTCTCGTCAGACTGAATCGGAAGGAACTGGCAATTCTCAATTTCCAGAGCCAAATGTTGTAAATAAATTTTATACATTGAGTCGAGCAAATCATTTTGGATATCCTTAGATGTCCCTTTCGAAACAGTTGCGGCATCAAGATGATCTCTCAATACTGTATCTAGGGATGCGGTGTATTCCACCATATCCAAAAATACCCCTCTATTAGAAGAGCCAGCCCGTTAATCGTGCCCACGGAGGGACAGCTCGTGACAACCAATGAACTTCAAAACATCTATCAATCGACCGAGAACATGGCGGTTTTTCTCGACGTTTTGGTTGTGCCGACGAATAGAAACCGCGCGTCCTTCATCCAACTGTGCTGCAATATTAACATTTCCGAATGTTCGGTATTTTACTGCATTGTCCAGATGCTCCATAGAAGATTGATGATCCCTGGCACGCTCGGAAAGATGTTTAAGATTTCCAAAACCAAATTTACACCAACGTGAGTCACGGGCGGTAGCAAAAAGTAGGCAATAAAAACAAAAAAGTGCATTTTTGTCCTCGCTGTAACACCACCATTCGTGTTTTTTATACCAAGTTTCTGCGCAGAATGTACGCCGACGCTTTCCTCCGTCATGGGATTGTTCTAGCGAACAATTTTTTGGCTGATAAGGCCCAAGACGTTAATTTTTGTTCCAGCGGCAGCTGCGAAAACGGAGTGCGAAGTAGTGCATCAACCTTATTCATTATGAGGTCTTAGGCTAAGAAATGCGAAGCCGGAAAGAAGTGAGGAGCTCAAAAGGAATGTGGAAAATCGAAAGCAAATGGACTAAAGGTCTCTAACTGATTCAAATAGCGAAACAAGCGCCAAAAACGAAGGCGAGGAAACTATCAACTTTTCAAGCAACCAACGAACGAGAAGGAATGCGTGAATATGTCAACACGTTGTTGTAAGAAACGTCGGCATTGTGTCGTCATAATTTCGGGGCTAGCCCCGATGATTTAGTAAAAGAAACAGAAAACAAACGAGACACACGCGGCGAGTGGAAGATAAAAGAGAGAATACGATATACAATGAGCAACCGGGGCAAAATCGGCGTCGCCCCGTCGACGTTCGGCGAAGGCTTTGCGAGCGAAAAATGAATCATGTCGGGAGAATATGGCTAGTGTAGACAGTCTGTGCAACCGGTATTGAAGTATTTTTCGAATATTTTTTATTATACCGAAAAAACAACCGGGGCATTGCCCCGGTTGGCCCTATTGACGCGCCGCCACGGATAAGTACTAATCAGGTAGTTTATCTCACATTAATATGTCCGCAGATTGCCGTGTTATTTTAGATTGGTAATGTTCTTATATGGTGGACGCAATCGCGAGGTATGTTGAACACAATTAGATTAAAACTGAAAGATAGTTTGAATTCCCATAGTTCTTATGGATTTAATATTACGCTACAAAAAAGTCATTATAGGCTATCTTAACCAATGCGCAAACGCGGCGACCGCTCAAAAGCCGTTGCATTGTAATTTGAGGTTCCGATATTGATGCGATTTTACTGCCCGTCTTATAGGGAGGTATGTGCAAAAACCCATTTTTTCAGGCTCGAAAAAGAGCCTCGTCTTATCGACCGGGTAGACTTATTCGCCGGGAAATACGGTATATATATATCTTACTTAAATAGCGAATAAATATTAAAAACGAAAATGGTATCACGACTTCACATCACCAACAGAACTCCCTAAAGACTTATTACGGAATAATTGCAAAGAATTCAAGTAAGTCGTACCAGATGGAACGTAAACTAATTACGTTTCCAACTGTGAGATAATGGAAAATTTGTTTCTGAAAACCTCCTTATTAAATTTGTTTTTTACAAAATTTATAGTCATTCAAAAATAATTAAGATTTTTCACGGTTGCTTGTTGATGATGTCACTATAGCATTCTATAGAGTTTCTATTGTTATTTACAGTCATGTTGTGAACAGACATTCTTAGACTGTGGATAACATGCAAACATTTTGATCCCATACGAACATCATATTTACCTCCGATTTGCAAATCTGTATCATAGTCGGTGAAAGACCTGATAATAAGTCCAAACTTGTCATAGTTGTACAGATGTGAAATGTCCCATTTCAATGAGTTGCAGTGAATATTGGAACTATACCTACAAGAGTAAAGACACGAGTAAATAAACAGCATTGGGCATTTTAAATTTTTCGATCTGTCCCGTGTCATAAACAAAATTGGGTGCTCCCGAAGTATGCGAACCAAGATGGCGGACATCGGAACGTAACATGGGTAAAAGGTTAGGGTTAGGCGATAATTTTTTCCAATTTTCCTTATTTTAGTCCTATTATCAGTTCGAAGACTAGCCAAGAGCCTCCCGTAGTATTTATACCTAAAATTATCGCCTAACCCTAACCTAGTACACATATTACATTCCGATGTCCGCCATCTTGGTTCGCATACTTCGGGAGCCCCCAAAATTGCATTTACATATGCATATTTGGAAGTAAATGTGTTAAATAAAACAAATATTTTCACTATTCCATAGGTTTGGCCGCTAAATTAATTTTGTAATGCGCTGTGAATTTGGCTCTGAAATTTTGCAAAGAGGAAATGGATTAGATGAAATGAAATATGTTTCCAATATACCTATTTATTCAAAAAAAAAACAATGATAAAAGAAAACCTTGGTTTTTATTATTATCTTTGAATATGCATAAAGAAAACTTGTTTCAACTAATTAGCATATACTTTGAATATGGTGAGACCGTTTTATGTTGCATTCTGTTTTAAAATATTATCTCAAATAATTCTATAGTTTTTACTGAGATAAGTCTTTTCTCAGTATTTCATACGACATTAAGAGTTCCTTCGAATTGCATGAAAGCAGCGTTGGTGGTTTTCGATATGTTGCCGTTTGTGGATATCTGATACAGCCAATCCTCGGAAGAACTAAATTGAAAATATAATTTGCATCAATCGGATATTTTTAATAGTTAATTCAGATCTCGAACGCAAGTGATTCATTCTCAATGTGGTTCGGGTCCAGAAAGTTACAGGCTGATGGTACAAATTTGATGTTGAAATAGCTATAAAAATACCTTAAGTTAGTAACCGAAATATAATTTTTAGACCCCAAACAACGATTTTATTGTATAACCACTGAGCAGGATGGAACAAAGGTCGATTGTATTATTACTTTTAATATTTTTATTAATATTATTATTTTTCCCTTTGAAACTTTCGGGACAACGCGTACCGATAATAATGCCTCATACATGTTTGCCGTGCATCGAATTCCTGTATTTATTCAGGTAGCCATATCCAATCAACAATGAAATGACCTTCACTGAACTAAGCAAACTTTCTGGCGAGGTTTTTATTTTTCCTCCAGTGTCATTTTCTTTTCATGAGAATTCTAGTTTATCAGCAGTGATATGAAACGACCCAAAATAGCTTCAATAGACTAGGCCAGCGGTTCCCAAAAGGTGCGCCGCGGCGCACTAGAGCGCCGTGAAGAGTGGCTAGGTGCGCCGCGAAATTACCAGAATTGTGATAAACATAACTGAAATATGATTGAATATACGCTAGAAACATCAAACAAGAATCCGACCAAAACAGCGCCGATATATGACACTAGAAAATCCAATGTTATGTACATAATCAATGCATTCATCAACTCACCAAATGAAAAAATCAATGTTACGGCAGTTAGTCTTGTGAAATTCATTTTTTTTTGCGGCAGTGCATATGTACGCTAGAAAGATCAGTTACACAAACATCAAATAGTTTAAAAATACAAAACTACTATTTATATCTTAAACACCAGGCTATGTTTTTCCTTATTCTTTACTGATGTACCTGTAAACAAGACTCAAAACTAATACGATCTTACAATATAGGTGTCGAAAGTAGAGACCTTCACAATTTTCAGTTTGCTCATAAAAATAAGGCCTAATCACTATCATTATGCACCATTCGTATTAGTTTTTTTTTAAAGGTATTAAAATTCGCCATGGAAGAAGATCATGGAAAGGCTTAGCTGATGCTGACATTCGAAGTAGTACAAAAAGTCTATATGAATGTCAACATACTAATAGATGTAATATATACGACTTTATCACTTCAGCTACAAATTGCTTCACTAGCGGAATAAATTACAAAAACTAATTTCGGTTTGAAATTTAATTTTCACGTACTTTTGATTTGATAAAAGTTTAATGGCGCAATGGATTGTGAAAGTTGTTTTAAAATTGAGCAAAAACTACCAATTACAGCGGAAAGAGTAAAAATTTTGTTCAGGCTACAATCATAAATCTATCATAGAATTTTTAAAATTGCTTAGACTACTACGTCACTGCCGCGTTCTATGACCATTCATTCCATGAATAAAAGTTGAAGAATTGAATGCAGCCTCTTGTTTGAAATATTTCAACAAAGATCAATTAGAATTTTGTGTTCCTTACCAGAATAACAATAAATCGAAGACATTTATAGGAATTTGACAGTTTCTCTTTTCTACAAAATATAGGCTAGTCGATCATAAGTTAAGTATACTCGTTCTCTTATTTGATCTCTAAAGTAATCGATTTAGCGACGGTTGTCGCTATTGTATCCCTAGATATTTATTTCCTGTATACGTTGACTTTACAAATAGAAGGCAAGCTGCGGAAGAGTAATTTTGTCGATTCAAGTTTTTAACTCGAATGTCAAGTACAGCCTACACTTTTAATGATTTTATTTAAACCATGACCAAAAATTGATATAACAGTTTCATATATGTTTTGTTTATATGAACTGACATTATTCGAAAATGAAACAGGACATGGTCCAAGGTTCAACTAAATCTCAAAGGTATCACCACGGCCATACTCCACCCTAAACGCGCTTACGCATCAACACTGGTCTATAAACAATAAAACAAGCTCATAGTCACATAATGTGACCGACAAGCTTATTCAGCTTTTGGAAGAATGTCAAGTTGTTAATGCTATGTATTTACATGCAAACATACAATCCCTTTCCGTTCGTGGGCAAATAAAAACGCTACTGCAGATGCTGTTTCGCCAATTTTCTGCCTGACATTCTGAACCATTTTTTTCTCCGATGGTTTGAGCTTATATTTTTGGTTTCTGTCGGGTTAAGGATTGGGTTAGTGTATTTTCTCACCGAAATTATGAATCTCGCACAATTCTATGGTTTACCGTATACCGCATCAAAAATAAATCTCGACAGTAGCGTCACAAAAATGTATTTTCTACAGGTTGGTACAAAATACACATAAAGTTAGGCACCATTCGACAAAAGTTCAAAAAATACCATGATGTAAAAGTTACTTTAAATTATTGCACAATCGTAAAGACATAAAATATAGAAAAGTTATTTTTGGAAGGTTATTTGATTGCCTTTCAAGAATACCTAAAAGTAGGGGTGACGAATAACTTCATGATAATATTTATAGTATACTGCAGACGATACAATACATAGTCATAAACAACTTCAAGTTTACAGCAAGTTATTCACGGTAATGCTAAAGCGTCATTCCATTTGCAATTATTCTTCACGCACTTTAATTTCACAGTTTGTTGACTTCCTGTTATCAAATTCACCAGATTCGTCCATACAAAACGTTCGTAATGTATCGTTTTGATGTCTTGGTGATTCAATATCTAAAGTCTCCTCGTTTATTGCGGTCTGGATTCTTGCTGCTTCTTTTTCCGCGTCCATACGCTTGTAAGTCGGATGAAAAAATATCAGAAAAGAAAGTGCAACAAATGTCATGATGCCGGACATAACGTAAGTGGAAACTGTAAACAGATATTGGTTGATTACGAATTATGAAGAGTAATCAACAACATGAGAATTTCGTTTATAAATCTGCAAAATACTGAAATGTATGTTTCAAAGTTCTCAAACACATTATCAATACATTTTAGCATGCTGAATAGGCTTTTTTCGCCATAATTATCTCATCAAAACTTGTTCGTGCAATTTGACATTACAGTAGACCTACTAGGAAATAAAAGCATTTCGTTGGTGTAATTCTTTTGATATATATGCTTTTACAGTGAGAACATTTTTGGAATCTAAATTGAGTATTTCTTTTCGGTTTAACAAATAAACTCGAATTTGTTTTGAAACAATAGACGTTTTCAGGTAGTTTGTTAGTTGACAGACAAGGGATTCAACTGAGCCAACATTTTCAACTATTCTAGAAAATTCCAGTACTTGACTAAGCTAAGGCCTATTGGTCCCACCTGTTAAATCATATGTGATGACTTCAGGAAAAACTTTCGGTAATGCAGTTCCGGACGAATTAAAATATGTAAATGAAGATGAGTGACATTTTGATCCATGATGTATTAGTTCTTCCGGGGTCATAGGTCGCCCAAGAGATTGTAGAAGTAGAATCAACAATATAGACAGTGTCTGCCTACATAAAAATTAATTTTGCATGTGCTCGATTAGTCTTTAATTACCAAGTCAATGGATCAATACATCCGCGGCTATAGACTGTACTAACGTCTTCTTAGGACTGGGTGATTACTATGCCTGTTTGAACAGAGAGCATGGCCTAACATATCATAATCGAACCCAATGAAATGAGATTGTAAAGCTTTGGTTTTTATTACAAAAAAACTTTGATTAGTTTTCCTCGGAGACGAAGAATCTAGCAAACATGATATACATAAAAAGTGTAGCTTTCTCACCCCGATATTTGTAGCATAGCTATTCCAATCGAAACACCGACAGGAAATGTACATTCTGCTGCAGTTTCCATTCCTATTGGGGATATTCCGAACGATAGAAATCCTAACATTCCCATCTCAAGTACGATCAAATATCCCATGTACATTTTATGCGTCTAAATGCAAAATAGAATCATTAACATAAAATAAACAATACTGATAAATAAACAGTTCAGTAGCCCACTGTTTATAAAATGATCCGTTAGAGGGCGCTGTTAAGCCTACCTGACTTGCAATAAGCCTAAGGGTGAATTACAATCGTAATGTGATATTCATTCAAAAATGTGTACTGTTTGCTTCTCGTCTCGTTTGGTTGCTTTACTATAAATAAAATAAAATTTTTCAGTTTTCTGCACTTACCACAGTAAATACGATGGTTGCAACTGCTGCTGATATAAACATAAACTTTAAAGATTCAGAGAAACGCTTAGTTCTGTCCACAATTAAGCTCATTATAATAGCACCAACGAGTCCTGCTAAAGTCATAACACTCCCACATACACCAGCTATCGTCTGAATATAAAATTGCAATGATTAGTTGAAAAAAATTAAATGATTCACCCAATGCTGTCGTTGTACAATGTAGGAAAATAGAACGTGTTTTCTTATTCGTCCATGAAGTGCTAAAGTTATTTAAAAATATTAAATTTAATAATACATTTTGGATATAAACAGCAATGGATAAGAAAGTCTCATATATTACAAAAAGTTAAAAAATCGTTACATTGGAGTAAAAAATTTGTTAGGTGTCAAAATTCTAATCGGTTTCAGTCCTGACCCTACATTCAAACCTTATGGCCCAAAAATAAAACTTTTAAATACGTGTTTGATTTACTGGTTTAACCAAATACTTATAATTGGATTACTATTTCCAAATCAGCAAATTTAAAACTGTGTGAACATGACATAAAAAGTAAATATTTTTAGTTAAAAATTACTTTTCAGCACAAAATATCCGAAATAATTTCACGACAATCAAATTTCGTGATATTTCTCATTCATAATTGGATTAGATTCATCACATTTGTCTATAAACCCAAGACAAAATTAATGCGATAACATCAATAACGTCTATTAACTTAATGGTAATTGTTCAAAGAATTCAGCGAATTTAATATATATATGCTTTTATATTCGAATTTCATATCATCATAATAGGTATCTTGTTTATCATATTATATAGGTGGTCCATGAAGGGTGCACTTCTATAGTCAATATTAACCTAAAGCTATTGAATAACGTATTCTGTAAATGTATTTGTGTAATGAATCGGAAATGTATTTACGTAAAAAAGTAGTTGTTTTGATTTACTATAAAATGCCTTTAATTTTAAGCATATCCTATTATAGTGTACAGGTCTACTTACGTCTGTATACCCCCACGGGCATAGCACTTGTTCCACGAGCGTTGCAAATGAAGAATAAAGTCCGATGGCTGATCCAACACCGATCATCAGAATAACGTATGCTCTGTTTTGGAGAATTTCTTTTACACCGGCAAAAAAGTTTTCCGACGTTGTCACCGTTCCTCCATAAGAAGGTGGACTTGGAGGCCCATCTGACGTCATAATTATTGTGGTCATCACGACACAAAGTAAGGGCATACAGGAATATGCTATAAGCTGTCAAAAGATGTTCCTCAAGTTAGTTGGCGTATTTCAGAATGAAATAATGAGGGAGAAATCAAATTCTCAGCACACCACACCGCCCATCTATAGGTTGTAATCGTAAAATATAATTCGAATCGCAAATATTTTCCTTTACTCCATGTAGATACTGTATTTGGTAGTTATGACACAGTCGCGAATTAATAAATTTATTTTACCCTGGGATATACATTTTACATTTATTTAGTTACGTTGATTTTTTTTTTATAATATTCGAATTAAGTTGTATTATTTGTTCGAATTGAATTTTGAAATGCTTCAATAATATACTAATACTATATAAGTGTGCATTCCTAATAAAAGTTTAATTTTTTTTTTATATAATCATTTTTAGTGGTCCAATTCATATATTTTGATATTTGCAATTTGAATCAAATGTTCCCGAAACATAATTTGCCTTTGTATTTTGTATAAACTTTATGGTTTGTGGTTTGAGATATCAAACATGAGAATCAAACTTGGATGGAGTTCTCGATCGAGATGGAAAAGAGGGAATGGCGTTATAAATTTCATTTTTGTTCTCAATTTATACTATTTATCAGGATAATCAGATAATATCAGGATATCATCTATGGTTTTTGATATTAATAGTCAAAAATTGGTTATTTCATCACTCAAATTTGTTTAAAATCCTCATTAAAAACGATCACGCAGTTTTTTGTCGGACTAATTTTAAAAATTACACCCAGAAAAATAAAAAATAAAATTTAGTACTTTGCTTGTACGGAAATGTTGATACTTTGTACAATAGTAGCTTTGGCAAAGTTATGTTCTATCGTCAGGGCGAGTTTTTGTGATTTTATCTTAGAAATTAAAACACTACGCTAATTAGCACTTTAAATGAATTGATGTCGTCTAAAATCTTCAAAACCGTCTAAAGTTGGGTCTTCTCTAATCACCGCAAGTCGTGCTTTTGAAAAAAATCACCAGATCACGAATCCACGGTATAACAAATTTTCAGTATTTACATATAAACACTCACCATGTATCGCATGTGTATAAAGCCATCTTGATCAACAAACAACGGTGAAACGATTCCAGTCAGTACAACTCCGACAGGATTTGCTGAAAGTGAAACACGATAACAATAAAGTGATGACCCTATCTGTCTACATTGAGTAAGCTTGTCTTGGGCGTCACATTTTTAATATGCCAGAAATTGTGACAATTACATTCTAGTCAATTGTTGATGTATTCAAAATATAAGTATTAGGGTATTTGACGTTGCCGCTCAATACTCTTAAAATATTATCATATTTTCAATTACTTTGATGTATGAAATGAAGTTCAGAAATTCAATCAATATTCGATTGCTCGGTCGACGTTTTACCACACCGAACATTTGAAAAGCTGAGACAACTCTAACACAACGACAAGTTTTATTTTCTGTAAAATATGTTGGCAAATATACTGTGACGTTTGAAAAAAATCTTTTTGGGTGTATACCTTCCACATTGTAAGTGATATAAAACAAGACAGCGATGCTCAAATATACAGACACAAAAACCGAAACAAAGTAGCGTCAAATCTTTTACAGCACCGGGAGTTTGACCACCAGATCGCTGACTTGCGATCACGAAATCATGGCATAGTGCGTATTTTTTAATATGTGAAAGGGGGAAAAGTGAATTCCATAAAGCTCACAAAATATATATCTATTTCGTGTCCAACGAAATATTTGTGTTTCTTACCCATCCCTGACGCAGTTGTCGCAATCGATCGTTGATTTGACGGAAACCATATTGCTGCCAATTTTGGTGCCGAATATATGGCGAGAGGTTGAACAATTCCAGAAATTACCTGACCAATAAATAATAACGCAAGTCGAACTTCATCTGGAATTGTTTCAATTGTGCTGTACAAAAAATATAATATTTTATGAAGATTGGAAGGCTGATAATATATTTTATTACTTGCTATTGTATATTGTGATTATGAAGTATATAGAAAAACGTGTCTATGTACTATATAACGCTATCCCCAAATTTAGTTTATTCATACGCCTTCATATATCTACCAAACGTCTTCTTTCCAAATTTTCGTAAACGATCAACCTACGTCCAAACGAGGGCAAATGAGTTTCTTTACATAGTTTATAAGCAATGCCTAATAATCAATAAAATTTAATCGAATTATTGGCTTATGGATAGGATAAATAAATAAAGGGAAATATTGAATATTCAACAGAACCACGATATTTTATGCTAAAACTGTTAAAAACATAAGAAAAAACTTTTTACTGTAAATAGTATGTAAATCGTGAACTTTGTAAGGTCATTTGACACTAGTGTATGGCAAACACCGCAAATGAATGATTATGTACTTCAACTTAATGTTATTTTGATTCAAATTATTTTATCAGACGTCTGGTTTATTTTTGCTTCGAGGTCGTCAGCAACCGGTCATTACGGGAATTTTTTTTCTACAAATTTATAGTTTATTGTTCTAATTCATTTGGCCTGATGGAGGAATGATTTTGTGTTCAATTCACTTCCACGCCAAATTGTAGTTTACTTGGCATTATTCACATTGAAGTCCCGACCCAACAGAAATCTGCTAACATTGCTGCCACAACATTTTTGCAGTCAATGGTTGCAGTAGCTCTTCCACTTTCAGCTTTCAATGCGCGGCCTGATTTGAATTAGCTTACGCCCGAAAAGCCCGATTGTTTTAATGTATGAGTGCATTGTAACAAACACTCGATCTACAACATATTGTTCAAATTAATATTCAGGCGTTATATATTTTCTGTCTTAGTCTTTATTTTTTAATTTTTCTCTCTCGTTCTACGAGACACCACACCAATGTTTTCTGTCTACTCGGTTTTTATTAAAGGTGTTTATTTCCTAGCCAAGAAAGAATGAAATTTCGGAATTGCGAAATAAATTTCACCAAATATTTTTTCAAAGTAGCAGAAATATTACATTATTACCTGCATATTCGTAATCCAGCGCCAATGAACGCCATCCAAGCGCTTGTCAACATACATGCTCGCAATCCGATTCGATTCATGACATATGACCATACGAATCCAAATATAATTGAAACAACAAGTGTGCTCATAGACAACCAATTAATTGTGGATACGCTTGTGTTGTAGTATACTGAAGCTTTGTAAGCAACTGGACTGAATCCGAGCCATATCTGAATAACAAGAGAGCGATGCCCAAATATATGGACACGAAAATCGAAACGAAGTATTACGGTTTCGGGTATCTAATATTTCACATAACCAGCACGGTATGATACCTTTGTCTTTTTGACCACCAGAACGCAACGATCGTGAATTTTGATGACGAACCAAAAAAAACGAATTGCACAGCTAACAATAAGCTTGAATAAAAGTGACGAATAAAAATGATAGCTTTCTAGCGAAAAATACAATCTTCAACCACTGAAAATTTTAAAGCAATCCGTCCAGTACTTTATGAGAAAAGCGATTTTTTCGTAACATCAATATCATGAATAAGAACATGAAAAAGAATTCTAACAACAACAAATAATAACAAAACGATCCATATGTATTTAGTGTCCAAACATAACATTTTATTTATTTTGTATTATATGAATTCCCAGGGGAGATAATTTTCAAATAAGTTGGCATTTGAAGTAAAATATTGATGTTGTCAAAGTAGTCGTCCGGATTTTGTTCGATGTTGCTATTTTCAGTATTCACTATTGCCTCGAGTAGAGGCTTTGTCGCAAAGTATTGATCTTGCAAAAATATCAAATATTCATAACAACGAAACTAATAACAAAATCTTCTGTTTGGAGGCGTCGCCAAATCATGAATGAACATAAGCCAGGTATGATTTGCGTTTCGTCCTCCTTCTATAAAAAATCAAGTAAACGTGAATGATTTTTGAATATGTCTCATGCTTATGCAATCACAAAAATTTATCGTTATTATAAAAATGTCCTAACCTTCGCAAGAACCTGATGGTGACAATTGTAATTAAGCCAAAACCAAGCGCATGAAAAATGTTGATAAACTTCTTTCAACTCACAAAAATTCATTACATTTATTATCAAACCCCAAATCTTAGATGGTCGCGTCAGGTACCATTCCCCACTAGATCTAAGGTCCTCATAAGATTGTATAATAAACACCGAACTTGTCACGAGTTGTTTTTACTTTAATTTGTAATGTTTGCCCATCTAATTGAACACGCACTCACTCAACAATTCTATGGTTTTATCAGATCAATGCCTCTACATTATACAACTCTTTAAAAATAGTAATTACAGTTATTTTTATTTTATTTCGCGCAACTAACAACCCTCGCTATATTAAATCTTCAATAATTATTTCATCGAAAGCTCACAACGTCAATATCATGCAAAATACATCTCTCATCAAATTGTATCGCATTTAAATAATCATATTTCCTATAAGTCGGTATGGTGTTAACATAAATCAGCTCAAAACGAGAAAGAAATGCTTCTTACCGTTGCAATCGAGAAATTCAGCAGTGATAAGTTGATCATTACGAACCATCGTTTTTTATAAACTCGAAACCGTGGATTAGGGTCGCTGTCTTCCATAGATTTAGTGCTATTATTGGTGTTGTTGTTCGTATCGTTATTTCCAACTTGATTCTTTCCCATTGTTCATAAGAATCGGCTCAGAGAACTCGTATCGTAACTCCCGTCCTGTCTAATCTTGTGCGTATGCCTAAATTTCCGCTTGAGCAGCTGTTGATGTGTATAAGCTGAATGACGATGAACATACCGTTCTCGTACGTGAAGTAAATTGTTTTACGTGCTACTACACAAATAACGTACTGTCAGAAAATACTTTAATAGGATGAATCTCAAAATTAAGGTGTTGTTTACACAAAGTAAAAAGACGGAAGTTGCACTAAAAGTTACACGCCGTTAGCAGACGATTAAAATCTATTTCACTGACACCGTGTGAGTAATGGTTAGTGCGAGAGATAGTGGTTTGTTCAATTCCATCTATAATAAAGTTCATGTCTGCATTTCAATATATAGTACATAAATCATCAGCAATAAATGTGTTCAATCCAAAGGGCGTTTAAAACAAAATGTTCAACAAAATGAAAACAATAATAATTAACTTTAAAAGTAAAGAATGGCAAAGTACTAAATATCACTTAAAACTCGGTTAAAAAATAACTACCTCAATAATTACCTCAAACGTAAAATGCAAAAATTTAGACCTATAAGTAAAAATCAACACGGTTACGGTTGGTTGTTCGGATTGAAGTAGAATTCGTTTCAACACGATGTATATCCCTATATTTTTACTCATATCAACCGTAAAAGCAAATCTCAAAGCAATTTTTGCTGGTTGTCTACTTCGGTTCTGCTATATTTAGTCATGCGTCATTAAAACACCACGTTACTATTGAAAGTATGCAGCAGATTAACTTCAATTCAAGTACCATAACTTCATTTGAATCACGCACGGCACTAAATGAGCGAATAGTAAGAGCCGATATTCGGGGAGCAAGTCACTTGTATTGATAAGACTTTATAAAGAAAAAATGGCGGAGAACAGTTCCTTGTACAACTCCAGGTACTGACTAGTATATTATGTATTTATAGGATTAATCAAGACAAGTATGAGCTAACAAGTAAACACATCAGCTGTCGCCAATTTGTTTGTTCATCAGATTAAGTTGAAATTTGATAAGGGATTTCCTCCATTTCAGTTTCAGTTGCGTTATTACAATTGTAAAAATCTAGTACATTTCATGTACGTTTCACAACTGAATAATTATTCGTACGTATACATCCACTTCAAAATTGGTTGAAAATGGTGAAAAGACAATTTCAGTGTATATACTATTTGCTCTCTAAACTCACATGTCTTTGAGTTGCCTTAAAAATAGGCCTAAAATACGGTTGATCCTTTTTTATTTACATACTATAACGCTGAATTGTGCATGTCTTTTAAGAAATGCATAATTGTATGAATTTTAGAAAAAATGATTGCAATGTCGAGTGATAATGAACCAATTTGAATGGCGACATGTGTTTGCAGACTTTATTATAAAAATGTATCAAGTTGAAAAAAGAAATCGATAGTGATTTCTAGTTTAGTCAATGAAGGTCGCAGCGATTTTCTTATCAGCAGTTAAAGTTTTCTTACATTGTCAGGCTTTGCTAACTCAAGTTAAGTTGATAAATAATGTGATAACGCATAAACACCAAACAAACAATCAGCAACTCTATCCACAATCGCGCTGCTGCACAACAACCGATGCCAAAAGTGTAAAAGTCAAATTTCGTAAAAAAAAAACTCTCACCACCGGTGTCAGAAATAAAAATGATAGGAAAATTACGGGATTTTTTCAAAGTTAAGAGCTCGAAGGAAAAAAGAGATGAACTCGAATTTTACGCGAATTGCTGACGCGGAATAATAACAAATTAGGTAATCGTTTTTACAAAAGTCATTTTTAAGTGTTTTTTATCTTGCATTTTTATCACGAAGTCAGTATCTTCAAAAATTGGCAATTTGCTGTAAATCAGGACTTGACTTGAAGTTCAGAGTAAACTGACTTATGAAGTATCAAACCACCCCCGAACTCGTCACTCGATTATTTCTCAAATTAGATCCGCATGTTCGTCTCTGTAGTCGTCAATTCGACATTGTCTGGTACTGGCTGTATCTTAATCGATTATACTTGTATATGAAAATGACAATATATCAGATGTCATAAATTTTAAATTTTGTAAGTGCTTTTTTAAAATAAGGAGTTTGTTATCTTGTTTGTTCGTTATCTTAGAAAAATAACGAATATTTAAATTGTGGCCGAAAATAAACTATACATGATATAGATATAATATAAATCAAATATATACAAAGAAAATCTTCCTAATTTAATTACACTTTTGAAAATGTAATAAAATTTATTGAATACCTTAATAAGTCAACGTGATTGACACTGAACTGTGAATTGCCATTAGGTAATTAGTTGCCGTAACTGAAAGTAACGGCTACCAACCTAACATTTTTCTTTCCTTGAAAGGACTGCAAGGGTTACATAAATCATCGTAGTAAAACAGATTCAAACTTATTTGATACCTTGTACTGTTCTGGACTATAGGATTCAAGATATAACAGTCAAATCAGACAACCTGTCGACACAACATTTTCATTAATTAACATACGAAATGAAAGGTCATAGCCTTCGTGGTTAAAAGTTAATGCTCTTACGTTTTTGGTTTATTTGGGAAATGTTGCTATTTTAACATTCATAAATCCCTCCGGCAATTATATAATTCAAAGTGACGCCAAAACATCGAGTATTTAGACAATGAATCCTTTAATTTGAAATGATCCACGAAGCAAACTCCATGAAGGTTACTGACCTCATCCAATTTAGATTGCGAATTCTTTATATGGACTAAATTTATTGTTCAACATCCCCAATGCAAGAACAAAGCTTGGAACAGGTTCGCCCACGACCTCACTATTTCGGCCACAGATCGGCCCACACAATACGAAGCTCATAAATGAAAAGTACATGTATCCAAATTATTTACATATTATTGATATTGTGACTACCCGCTATATAATTTAGGATTCTGAAAACTTTAAAAGAAAGTTTATTGCTATAAAATCAACAAAAAATCGGTACGATGATTCCTGTCGGATTTCCAAATATGCAAAGAATCATGATCAACTTATTCCCGGAAGTTATTTCATTTTATCTATTTTGCTTTGCAATTTTAGGTATGAATTAAATTTGAGGCAGTGTATAGATTCCAATGCCAATTCACGTTGGTTATCAAAATCATGTGGTCAACATACGAGGCGATGACTCAAACAGCTGATGTGACGAATAAAAACCAGTTGCCAGGTTTATCCACTGTAAAAAGAAGTTTGTGACTTCTTATCTGCTTTTTTAAGATTCAGGATTGAATTACAGTAGTTGCGGCTGTGAAACAGCGGTTGATATTGCCAGAAGGAAGAAAACGCTTACCAACCTGTCAAACTTACAAGAAATATTTGATGTAGATAAGTATTTTGTAAACTTTGATCGAAAAACAATAAACAAAGAAATATTGTAACGAGAATTTTAATATAGTTTGCAAATTGCCAATCGAAGTGTTATTAAAATGACATAATAAAATATTTAAAATCATAAAAAATGTCTATAAGTAAGTCAACATTTTTATTCATCTATTATAGTATCTATAATTGGAATCAATTATCTTAGAATGACAAATATCCGCGAATTTCATTTTTAAAGATACGTCGTCCAGCAATAATGCAGTTACACAATTAAACCAATTTGTTTGAAAAGAAAAACGGGATACGAAAAGTTCTAGTTTGAAATAGCAACAACTGCGTCGGGTTTTAGTAATTTTATCTAATTAATTTTATAATTCATAAAATGAACTGCGATAACTTGATTGATGAATTTGAGGTTATTTGTCATACAAAGTTCCGGTGCAAACAATTTCATTTTCCCACACTTCCTCAAGAATTAATATGCCGAACTATGTCGTTATCCGTGGATTATCCTGCACATATGAAGACAACATGAGGAAATTATTTCGTTTTGTAATGCCAAGCTGTAATACCGTGGGCACAAGTTGGATTAGAGAAGAATTGTCACAAATTTTTTGTGACACCGTCGACAAACACAAGACTTCTCACGAAATGACGACTGTATACTTTAGTGTGAGACCGAACTTAAGATCTCGGCTTTCGATCTATTTACGAAATTGCATTGATATTTCATGACATGTTTCCTCATCACAGATATTGGTGATTATTAGTCATCTTAAAACTCGCAATAAAAGGACGAACAAACCGATTTGTTGAAATTTCAGATATAACGTCGTTAAAATAGTTGATTAAAATGATTATTTTAACGATTTGTGCAATTTGGTACAATTTTCTATGTGGCTTCATGACTTCAAAATTGCTTTAAATTATTTTCAATCAGAGTTTCTGAATGTATATTTCATGGTAATCTTCCCTTCAGGGGACGTTTGTTTAAATCCACAGATGAACCGCGATATGAAGTTTTCAGTTTTTGATTTATTATTTCAGAATTCATAATATCCCAATTTTCTTACACGCGTATAAGACCTTGCAATAATTTTGTTACCGGTTTATAGCAATAACTATTTTTACTCGAGCAAAACCTAACTTGTAGTTTCTGTCAAGCTAGTGCTATTGTTTTGTGCCCCAAAAAACATTTTTATGCCAATTCTTACTTATCAATTTTTTAAAATCAGTGATAAATTATGGAGAGGAGTTAGGAAATTTCGAAACTTCTTTAAATGTTTATGAAATAACTTTTTGGGGAATTTTGATCAAATTTAGTTCGGAATAACGTTTTATAACCACCTGGTGGCAACCAAAATTAATGCATCTCAACAGCAACTCTTTCTGCCAGAACTTCTTACTTTGCAATGCACTCATTCTGATAGTACAGTTATATTCATTATTTATACTACACGACTTTCCTCAGATGACTATGTCCAGACGACTTCAACTGCCTGCCGTTGTGTTAAAAAATAGACGACCCTAAAATACCATGTGTTATTGCTTCAAATCTATTTTTGTTAAAACTTAGAAAAAAGCGTAGATTTTAATAAAAGTCTAATCTAGATTTCTTAGTTCCAAACGGTTGAACTTTGCGTGCGAAGAAATCGTGTAAAGGTTTTCGTAAACACAAAAAAACGGACAAGTCACGGATTAACAAATTCAAAACAATAATTAAGTTTTATGAACTTGGTATTTTAGTCTAAAATAAGGTTTGCAAATATTATAAAAATGCTACTAATGTGTGCGTGATTTTAAATTATGACTAACAGGGCATATACGGTATAGTTTCCTCATCCGGCGCTTCACCAAAAACACAGTGATGAATATATAAGGTTTTGTAACAGTATTAGTTATTTTCTGCGATATTCATTAGTTCTTTCAGTTTTTTGAGTATTTTTAATGAAAGCTAGTTTATTTATTTAAAATACTTCGTCACGCTGATACTTATCTGTGATATATATAATAATTTTAGGAAAAAGTAAAGGTCAGTCCATCGCCCATGGCATTGACCATAACGTATGAGATCATTATCAATGAGTTAATATCTGCTAACTTTAATTTGATGCTAAATTCGCTACAATTTTGATACTAAATAACTTACAATTCTATAAATGCTATCGCGAATTTCATGGGGAGAAAAAATTCAGGTTGAAATACCCTAAAATCAGCAATTACTGATTAAGATGGAAGATGCTAAAAAGCGGCCGCGCGCACAATTGGATTTCAAATGCAATTTCAAAATATTTTATTTGAAACTGTATTTTGTGTCAACTAACTTTGGTGGTATGCGACTATTCTGACATACAACGATAAGACATTTTTACATCGATCCATATTCACAGCATGGTATCTTGATGACACGCAGATCAAAATTTATTTATTTTCATTAATGTTCCCTTGCATCATTTCATTGAATAACCAAGACCTACAGGACTTTTAACTCACGTCGTGTCATGCACGAAGCTCCCGAATGCAGTGATAGCGTGCGAGGAACAAAGCATTTTGCAGAATCATTTTAATATTTAATGCGGCGTCTTTATATTTATTATAGTTGGTTCTTCTAATTACACCATTTATATATGATTATCCGCAGTACCTTGTCGACATGTAATCAAAAATGTTGGTTCATTAAAAATTTTGAAATAGTACTCTGTAAATTTAGAGTTGGTTTAATTAAATTATTAATACTGCTGAACTCTCATACCGTAGGAAGCAGATAAGAGTCGATATGCTGAAACTTTTTTAGTTTCAAATACAAATCCTAACAAATTGCTCTCATGAAAGTTTATCATTTCCGCTACCTTGTCTGCATTCTACTCCCCCTCCTCTTTGAAGACTTGATTGACGTTTTTGCATCGGATCATCATTATTAGCCAGGTTTTAAACAAATAAAATTATCAAACCTTTGGCAGGACTGTCTGGTTATCTTAGTACTTATTCGTCCTAAATTTGCGTTCTAATTTGAGCTGTTTAATAAATACTATTCGGCAGGCTGATACATTTTTGGATTAGATTAATTGTTTAGTAGAGTATAACAACGGCCTAATTCTGCCAGAAATGATTTGACTACTACCATCTTCGAGCGAGTACCGGTACCATCATCGAGAATATACGTCATTCAAAGACAAAGCAGCTCCACTAAATTGTGAAAAACCGTGGCAGGCACAGTTTTTAAAAAAAAAAGTTTCCTCTGAAATCTGTTGTACCCATACTAGCCCAGTGTAAAAACATTTGTTTCTTACGATGTTTTATCATTTCAATGTTTCGAAATGTAAGCATAAAATCCTGTGCGCATCTTATGAGGTACTAAAATACACACCAAGATTAACATAAACTGCCACAGCATTTTATTTAAAATAATTTATTGCATATAAATTATTATTGAAGCAGAATCAGGATTTGAGTTAAATTGTTAGTTACTTTTATTAGTATTTAGATTAATCATATTATAGTAAGCACCTCCCATTGCAATCAATTCATCGTGGTTTCCACATTCAATAACTTTACCTAAAATGTATATTTGGCAATCAATAATACTCAGCTTGGCTAATATTTTTGTCGAAAAAATTATCGAAAAGAGTGAAAAAAGCTTTTTTAAACATTCCATTGGGTCAAAAATCTCTCTTGCTCATACATGGGGAGTTGCACAATTGGGATAAATTAACTTATGGATAAATACGGACAATATTTTCGGGTGACCATAAGTTAAATTTGTTTAAGTAGTTGGTATAAAAAATGAAACCTGGGTGGCAGATATATCGTATACTTACACTTAATCGAGCGCGAGTGTACACCATATATATACTTACGTGTAAGTACTTTTTTCAGTTTTATAAGACAAATAAATTGAGATTTCAATCAATGAACTGTGTTTCATTTATGTTAAACGACAATTTCCTGGGTATTTCAAATTAAATTTATCGAATTATCACCTTTTGATATAACCGCAATTTTGTCAGCATTTTTAATTGTTGAAAGTCTGTGTGCTATCAATATTGTTGTTCTCCCTTGTCGAGCTCTTTCTAATGCTTCCTGGACAATCTTCTCATTATCTGAGTGTAAAATGAACAAATATATTCACCAAAATATGAAATACTATCATCGTCATCGGAATAAGATCTTGCGAAAACACACATTTGCAACAAATTAAGTGAAAATGTACTTTTGCAAGAACAAAGTTATGTAAAAATGTACTTTCGCAAGAACAAAGTTATGTAAAATGTACTTTTGCAAGAACAAAGTTATGTAACAATGTACTTTTGCAAGAACAAAGTTATGTAAAAATGTACTTTTGCAAGAACAAAGTTATGTAAAATGTACTTTTGCAAGAACAAAGTTATGTAAAAATGTACTTTTGCAAGAACAAAGTTATGTAAAAATGTACTTTTGCAAGAACAAAGTTATGTAAAAATGTACTTTTGCAAGAACAAAGTTATGTAAAAATGTACTTTTGCAAGAACAAAGTTATGTAAAAATGTACTTTTGCAAGAACAAAGTTATGTAAAATGTACTTTTGCAAGAACAAAGTTATGTAAAATGTACTTTTGCAAGAACAAAGGTATGTAAAATGTAATTTCGCAAGAATAAAATTAAAAATGTACTTTTAAAAGAATGAAGTTGTGTGAAATATACTTTCGAAATAACGTAGTTATGCGAAAATGTACTTTAGCAAGAATTAAGTTTAGCTCAAATATACTTTTGCAAAAGTTAAATTGTACGAGAGTGAACTTTTGCAAGAATGAAATTATGCAAAATGTACTTTCGCAAGAATGAAATTAAAAATGTACTCTTGAAAGAATATAGTTGTGTGAAAGATATTTTAGAAATAACGAAGTTATGCGGAAATGTACTTTGCGAGAATGGAATTATTTGAAAATTGACTATTGCTGGAATGAACAAACAACTGTCTTGTTAAATGACTTTGCGAAAAAGACACCACTCCAGAATATAATATATATAATCAAAGTGTAACAAATGTTGTAGGCTGTCGCGTACCCTAAGAATCAGATACTTAACTCAACGGCTCCAACCAATAAGAAAAATCTTACCGCTGTCTAGCGAAGATGTTGCTTCATCGAGTAGAAGAATGGATGGATTTCGAACAAGAGCTCTGGCGATAGCTATTCTCTGTTTTTGTCCTCTTGATAAACGATTACCCACGCAACCAACTTCGGTGTCATATCCCTGTAACGTGGTATTTATTAATCAATTATTCAACAATAAAATATTTCGAGCAAAAAAAATTACGTTTGGTGTTTGAATAATCTCTGAAAAATTGGAAACTAAATGTACTGTTAGTAATTTAACAATTAAATTGATTAATGTAATACAATGATACTTTTAAACAATGATTTTTTTAGCCATTGTATAAAATCATCTTTGAACCATATATCATCACATTCTCTTGCCTTTATATCATACCTTTTCCAATCTTACAATGAAATCGTGTATGTTCGCAAGTTTGGCTGCTTGTTGGACATCATCATATGTGATATAGCGACCACAGTCTCCATATACAATGTTATCATACAATGTACCGTCAAACAACGAAGGATCTTGAAAAACGACGCCGATCTTCGATCTCATGTATTTCAAATTGTAACTTCTGATGTCTTTGTTATCCAACATCTGAAACATTTAGTCATTCCACATTTTTAGCTCTTAATTTTATTTTTAATGTTTTGATCCACTGAAGTGATTCTACTACAAAAAGACCCGTTTGTGTAAAAATGTATCGACTGGGTTGAATCAGACAAAACTTACAAGTTAAATATCGTTTTGGTATGTAGATAGACCGCCATCATCCTGCAGATCTCACTGTTTATTTAATTGTATTCTCACTGAGAAATAACGACGTTGAATATAACTTTCTGCATTATAGTATATATTAGAATATATATTTGCAGGTTAATTTACTGATCCTTACTGAAGTAAAAAAAATCAAAAGATTTTGCATTCCAACAAGTATTTTTGTTGAAAATTTTGTTTATATCTAACTCTTACCACAACGCCCTCGTCCAAATTATAAAATCGCTCTAGAATTTGAACAATTGTACTTTTGCCGCACCCACTTGCGCCGATTAGAGCCAGAGTTTTTCCACTATCCACATCAATGTTAACTCCATTCAGGACCAAACAATCTGGTCGAGTTGCGTATGTGAATTCGCACGATTTCAACTGCAAATTACCTTCAATATTTTTCTGAAATAAAAAACTAAATTTTTATTATAGTTCTCAAAGTAGAATTTTTGCTGTTATACCCAAGAAAAACTGTTCTATATATCACTCATTCGCAACACACCAAATGAGTCGCTCAACAACAACAATAATAACAATTACACAGCTTCCAATTGTCACGTACTAGCCATATTCATTATACGATTTTTTATAAATGAAAGCAAATTTAGATAATAAGTTCACGATTTTGCTGAGTCTAGTTGAATTGGTCTGCCTAATGTTCCCCATTTGTTATGCAAATAGATTGCACAAAAAAAAAAGAATGATAGTTCATCGTTGAATGAATAAAAGACAACATTACAAACCGGCAAGAATCCACTTGTGTCATTTACGTCGATGACTGGTTTTCTATCCATCAACTGAAAGATTCTTCCTGCTGCTTTCCGTGCTTCGGCATAGTCTGGCAAATATCTGTAAGCTCTTCCCAACGCCAGTCCAGCAAACACAATAACGAAATACACCCTAAACAACATTAGTGAATAGTGTGACCCCTTTTTGAATTGGTCAAAAAATGCCTATCTATTCTGAAACGATCAACGATAGAGTCTTGTTTTAAAATTTATTGAGAAAAAAAATTGAATGTATAAACCCTGTCAAATCCAGTTGAAGTTACAGTTTCATCCCCTCCTCAAAACAAACCAAATCTGACTGTGTAAATTGCAAGAGTCATAAAATTGGTGCAAGTTAATTATGATAACATGCATTATAGGAATGAAATTATTTGCAACGACGACTTATGAGCTGTGCTTTGAAACTTGAATTAACCTGAACATGCTTTCGAAATCAATTTCTTCTTTCCTTATCAAATAAGCTCCGAGTCGAAATGTTGCTGCATAGGAAAAATGAATCACTGAAGATGCGAATCCAAATACTATTCCTTGAAGTACATTCAATCTTTTTCCAATCCTGGAAAGAATTTTTGAAACTTTTGAGTGTTCATTTAATATTTTTAATAATCTATTTGACCTTAAAAATATACAATATTCATGATTTTTGTTGTATAAAATAACGAATAAAAAGGTATTGCAAAGTAATTTCAAGGCTGGCCAACATTGTAAAAAAGATTGCTTATTTTATGCTATTAAAATAGGGGACAGAAATAATATATTTGTTGACAAAAAAATTAATACAGAATTCTTCGTAATATATAAGACTACACTACAGTGATGCAGATTTCATTTTCTAGTATTAGTTTCCTTTTCGAAACAAGCAAAATACAAAACGACCAGAGACAATGCTAATTTTACCTTTCTATATCATTTAACGTCTCTTCATACTTCTTTAAAAAATATTCTTCTTTTCCGATTTGGGCAACTGTCTCTATTGAACCAACAGTTTCAGATACAATCTGCAAAAAATGTGTGGTTCAGTGTTATTATGTCTGTGGGCCATCTTAAAAAACCTTATTTTCAACTTAATAATGACGTTGCAGCACACTATAGGCAATTATTTAAAAATTATACTACAATGTATCCTCATTATGTTCTCACCGTTCCCGCTTTTGCCAGCGCTGAATTATCTCTCGAAGCACTCGTTTGAACCATTCTTGCTTTTGCGCCATGTGAAGCAATGAATAGAGGAAAAAAGGCAACTTGCAACAGAGCTAATTTCCATCCACTATAGAATGCAATTCCAATAGCAAGTGCCAATGAAGTTGCTATAGAAACGAGAATTCCTATTTGAATACCAGCTGCCTAAAGTAAAAAGTTTTGTGAAAATAAATGATGATAATTAAAATCAAACTTTTAAATTTTTTTTCTCGTTAGTTACTTACCCCCTGTATTAATCCTGCATCTTGGGATAACCTTAATGACAGCAGAGCTGCCTCATTCTCTTTTCTGTCAAACCACGATATATCTTGACGTAAAATCGCTGAAAATGTTAATTTCCGAACCCTTCTGGTTAGAACTTCTCCAGATTTTGCAAACATTGAATGCTGTTGTTCATATCAATAAAAATAATTCAACGTATTGACAGAATTTTTTGTTAACAAGGAAGCCAGCCAGTTTTGAATTGAGGTAGTGTACTCGTATAATTGGACACGAAATGAACTATCGTTTTGTCATTTCGTAATCTTATTCTTGCTGTATGAAAAAAATCGTTTTTCTCATTAACTACTGGACCGATTACTTTGAAATTTTCAGTGGTTGGTTAAAAATTGTATTTCTAGAAGGCTACTGCTTTTAATTGTTTTAAAAATTTCTGTGGACTCTAAGGGATTCGTTTTTTGTGTGCGACGGCGCAATCAAAATTAAACATTGCGCATCAGGTGGCGGTTCCGCGTTAAGTCGTGAAGGCTGCGGTACCGATAGTCTACTCTGACAGATTGTTAACCCGTACTACTTCGTTTTGCTTTCGTGCCCATATATTTGGGTATGGCTCGTTTATATTTTTTATTCTTGAAAGATTTTCTTATAGGCAGTCTCACTACGCTTCCAATAAAATCAAAAAATGATTTATGCAGTGAATTTCTAACTTGTGTGGGGTTATATTTTTAGAACCTAGTATGACCAAATAAACTAAAAACGTACTTGCAAAAACTGAGCTATAAATGATGCACCAGCAATAATGATCATCATCAAACAATAAAAATTTATTTCATCCCTCTTTTCATCGATGTTTGACAAAGCATAAACCTAAAACAAAATACTTCGATAACAACATTTATTCTTATTAAATTACTGATATGCTCATAAGAATCTCTACACGACAATATGAAGTCACATTTTGTTTTAAGACCTTAAGTCTGGGTGAATGATTACTTCAATTTGAACCACGAAAGTAGTTTATTTATATAAAATTTCGACATGGCGGTACAACAAACACATCATCCAAGTACTCCGATTTTGGCCTTATTTCGTCCAGGTTTTCGAACAGTTTTGTGCAGTGCCGGTTTACATGATTAAACAGTTTACATTTTTGCATGAAAAGCTTGTAGCTTTTCACCATTTTAGTATTCAATATCCAATGTAATGTCGTAAAATTAGTAAATTTAAAACCATATAAGTAAAAAATAAACTTACACCAATGATGGCGGAGAGTAAAACAGCAAATACCGGCTGAACGCATCCGTTCAGTAAGGCCCCGGTTGATCCGAATATTATGTAAGGATATTCGGTTGAATTCATTTTGAGTATACGAGACATGGAAGCCACTTCTGTGTTTTTGTTCTCGTTTATTTTCTGTTTTCGATCAAGAACTGCAGTGGTTGGAACAATGGCTTTGCGGTCATTCTACAAAACATTTTAAAACGTATTTGGAGATTCATGACACATATGATATGCGGATGAAACTGCCTGTTGCAACAGGCCATATCTATACATTCAAATCTATTACCTCCAACGTATTTTCACAGCCGTTGATATTTGAACTGAGATAATCTATTGTGTCATACAAGTCTTCACATTTTGAAATTGTTTCCGTGCCGATTTCGTTTTTTTCTCTGTATACAATAGAAAAATGTATGAAATTGTCTTTACAATAATATGCCTATCAAAAGTACTATGCGATATATGATATAAGAAAGTCGAGTACGGATTTCATGCGAATAAAATAGCGATAGTTTTGTTATTAAAAGAAATATTCGCGGATTAAAAGACTCTAAAACGTTACAGAAAAATAACGAAAAATATTTCTCATCATATCAATAAAAATTTATTTTCCTTGTGAATAAAATATGTGGTCTGTATTCATTATTTTATTAAAGTAACATCTTATATTGCTGATGCTAAGACCTACCTTTCGAGATTTACCTTCACGTTTTTTCCCGAAATTTCATCTTCTAATTGAAAACCATCTGAATTTTGGAGAAAAATATTCATAATATTAATGAGCTATATACTGTATTAAACCATTCTAAAATAACACCAGTAGAAAGTATACGAATCATCTTTCCATTTCAATTGATATGTGCAATTTATATTCATAATAAATTCATTGTAGCTGATTTCAGGGATATATACAATAATCGTTTTAAGAAAGAATAAATTGTAATTATCTAAAAATATAATTATCTTATATGTTGTGGTCAACACACCGCTTGTGTGAGTAAACTATTTATATGTATTGGTGACTTAGTTTCATATCTGTGGTTGATACTGATAAGTGATAAATATGAGAGTTTTCTAGCGTCATTCTTCATTTTGTCAAAGTATATCCTACTATGTATGGGCAAGTGTATGGGCAATTTTTTTCAATTACGAACCATGAAATATGCCGCATCCATCTTTTGGATCTTTTGTTTCCTCAATATTTTTCGCACTTGAATACGGAGAACCGTTGCGTCGCATTGTGTTGGAGTCTAAAGAAAGTACAAACTCTTCCGCATTGATCACTTCGTCAGCTAATTTCATCGTTGATTCTCTATGAGCAACCAGTAGAATGGTTTTATCCCTTTTAATCTAAAAAAGATGTAATTGGGTATGAAGTATCTTTTTTCTGTCTTTCTTTCTCTAATTTCTTTGTTTCAAAGTTCAATGACTTCAAAAGTGGTAATCTAAATAATAGCACTATTGGTTAAAAAGTATCTTTTTTCTTTCTTTTGTACTTTGTTGATATTTTTTTAAACTAAAAATGATACAAAGTATTCCCTTCTTGTAATACGTTACCTATTTCTAGTTGCACTGAATGGCCTTTGGTGAGATATGTATTCTCAAACAACACGATATACGCTATTTTGATTACGTTGTTCATGATTTAAAAACAAAATGCCGTGCTTCTCACAACAAGGTATTTTTAAGGACGCTTTATCAATTACTAACCAAAATCGTATTGAATGTCATATAATTTTAATATCAAATTTCGTTATTCACTGCTTTTCGTATATTTGGTTTCTAGTTTGGAATAGATATATTACTGATGACTTATGCCAAACTGAATATTACACAAAGTTACTTTTTGCAGATTCTCCAAAACTATTGCTTCGCTGTGCGTGTCAAGAGCTGAGCAAGCTTGATCCAGAAGTAAAATTTTCGGATTTCTCACTATGGCTCGTGCTATAGCGATTCGTTGTTTTTGGCCACCGCTCAATTGACATCCATCAACTCCAACAAGCGTTTCGAATTTCTATGTGAAATATACATCAAAAAATAGTTGAATTCAAAATTGCAGTTATGTCTATAATTCTTTCTTCATGCAGTCAAGGGAAATATTGATGAAATCACTGAATTCAACATAACAATTCAATTTTAAAGAATAATGATTTTAAGAGATTATCCAATTGAAATAATTGCCATGAATAGATTGTTTATTGAAATAGGGGGATAAATCTTCCATGTCAGTTCAGTATTTAAGCTTTTTGCTCACGACAAGGGTAAAATATACACTTGCCTCGGGAAGATCCATAATAAAATCGTACGCATTAGCAAATTTTGACGCTTCAATAATATCTTCTTCAAGTACGCCATCGTAACCAAGTCGTATATTTTCCAATATCGTTGTTGCAAATAAAGTCGGTTCTTGACTGACGACTCCAATTTTGCTTCGTAGCCATCGAACATTGATAGTCCGTATATCTCTTCCATCAAGCATAACCTAAGGCAAAGTGTAATCAATATTGTTAAGTTTAAATTTATTTATGCAAAGAATGTTTATAACGAAGGGTATTCATTTTCAGTAATATTAAATACCCTATGCATTGGATCAGTAATTAAAATTCGTTGATTTTGAAATATACAGTATATCACCCAATAACCTTAATCTTTCTCTACATTTCAATGAAACTATCACAATTCAGTTTCTACTCTTTATTTGGTTCATTTAATTCGAATTCATTGAATAATAACTGGATTGCACAATTTACGAATGTGACTTCAAGAGTCCATACGCCCCAGGGATGGTCGTCTTGTAACATAACACCGCTGTTGTATTTACTGAAAATAGGTTTATGTTTACACTTGTAAAAATTAATATCGTAAAATTAATCCATTTTTTCTTTTGAAAGTATAACAATTTTTTAGCTGAATTTTTGCTGCCATAATAACATGACAGATGAGCATCTTAACATATTTTGTTGGTGATTCATTTATTTTGGTTCACAATATCACACTGTTGACAAGTTAATTAGGTTGAAGAACACATGGACGCTTCAATTGTTCACCACATTCTAGAGTACGGTTGGGAATCGAATATTCCAATCGAATCGAATAGTAGATTATTCAAATTGGTGTAGACGAGAATTCGAATCGCAGCCATCCTGCTTTTATTTGCGCGCGGAAGGTCGTGGTAAATCTATCAATAATTTTATTGAAGCCATATTAATAAAATGCAATGCTGACATGTGATTCTTTACTTTCTGGTGAGTTATTAATAAAATAAGTTTCTCACAGGGTGTGAACACACTCAGTGAACTGTTTGGGTGATTAATTTTATGTATTCAGTAATTTATGTGTCTGAAGGACCAGATATGGTAAAAAAATCACATTCAATTACATAACTTCCAAGAATTCGAAATTCGATTTGAAAATAAATATTCGATTCGATTCTGACATCACCAGGTAATCGAAAATGCCCAGCCCTAGTCTAGAAACCTATTTCACAAGCCATAAAATCGAACGATTGATGAGTGTTACTAAATTACTCAGTTAACAATACCTTTCCAGATCGTGGATCGTATAATCTTTGCATTAGTTTCAACAAAGTAGTTTTTCCCGTTCCACTTGCTCCAGCTAGAGCATACATTTTTCCTGGATGTAGCGTAGTATTCATGAAGTTTATAGCCTATAAAGTAAAGATATATCGTTAATAGTTAGCGCATGAATACTATATTTCAGGAATTTGATTTTTAAATTTGTAGAGAATTTCGATACAAACTGTTAAAAATGCACGTCCATATGGAAAACCTGCATGAAAATTCACATATGTATCAAAAGTTTTATCTCACTCTATCGTATAAAACCGCATGTGAACGCATTCTTCCACCCCGTTGTCCTGCCATTATTTAGAAATTTTGGTTTCTGTCATAAACAGAAATATTCGAAAATTCCATTGAAAATGTGAAATGCTATATTTTTTAGGTGTATAGTTCAACAATCAACACGAATACCTCTTTTTGTGACCTGGATTGATAATTGAAATTAACGTTGATAAAACTGATTTTTCCTTTTACATCGTCTGGTACGAATCCCTCATTAGATAGGGGATCTATGCTGCTTTTCTGTAAATAACACAAAGCTATTAAAAATAATAACATATGCGTGTAATAAAAAAATAACGTATCTTTAGTAAAACACGCCGCAGCGAGCAGCATTTTCATATATTCGAATCATGTCATATTATAAATGAGGCCCTTTTTCTTTGTCGGTATTTTATGTAATATTGCACGAGGTTAAAATAGATACCTTTTCAATATCATATTTTGGTTATATTTCATACACTACACCCATATTACAGTTGGCATTTTCATATGCCAATAATTCAATTTAAACGTTTCAGTTTACATTGACCAAAGGGAAAGTAAAGCAGTGTTTTCTTGAATTATTTTTGCATGTAACACCGTTGAAATCATATCATAAAACTGTAGCTCTCTTGTAGAAATGGGCAGCGTGAGTGTTGTAGTCGCTCGTCGTAGAAATAGAAAAAAAGCGGAAATAGTAATTATTAAGAGTACTAATAATTTAAAATACAAGCGAGCTATGCTAGAATATATGGACAAAAAGGCCAAAACGAAGTAGTGCAGCCGTGAAGGTATGCAATCTGCCACAGAAGACTACCGGTTCCGCAGTCTACACGACTTCGCCTGACGGCTTACGCAAACGTGGAACCGCCACAAGGTTAGCAATTTTTCATTTTGATGACGTCATCGTACACAAAACGAATCTTATGGAACCCACACAACTTTTTGAAATAAATAGTAAGCAAAAGTAATAGCAAAAGTAAAATTCAATCTTCAACCACTTTCAAAGTAATTGGTCAAGTAGTTAATGAGAAAAGCGATTATTTCACAACAACAACAACAACAAGAATTCCAACAACAACATATTAACGAAACGATCGGTAAGTCACTTCTTGTCCAATAAGTTGTATGTTTTACCCTTTCTATGACTTCAAACACAGCTGCCCCTGCGACTCGTCCTGTCATAAAAATATCCATTGCTGCTGCAGCTTGTGCGAGGTTGAATGTTGCCAATATAATCGAAAAACATACCTGGCATTCAAAATAAAGGTGTGTACATGTTATTCTATACACCATATAAATTGCAAAATATTACCATCAAGCAAAAAATGTTAGATTATAATATATATCATCTATATATATGAAACTTGACCAAATACGTTGAGTGTAAAATATCGAACATTGAAAGTACAGATTACACATAATATGAATGATGCTATTGAGACATTGCTAGATTAAACTTTTACGTTCACTACAAACTGCATTTTGCTATACACAATACACATATAATTCATGTATCATAACTGAGATATTTACCGTTATGAGTCTCCCAATTGAAAAGTCTAGTTCAGGGTTCAATGCTAAAACTGATCCGTACCAAAATGCAAGTGCGTACGCCAATAGTAGCAAACACCACAAAAATCCTTGGAATGTTCCCAACAGCATCCCCTTACGAACTCCGTGATCTTCTGCGTCGCCAAGTTTTTCATAATATCTTATTAAAAACAGGTATTTTAGGTTGGATTTCAAATATTATGAAAAGCAGCTTTCGACAATATGGATCTTGATGATATAAAAACGATGCTAAAGTGTCCTAACGATGCCAATTTCAGGTAAGCATAGATTACTGCTCCAATACTTATTTCATGATATTGCCTATTCAATTTCCGCAAAGCTTTTTGCTCCTGCTTATAACCCATAATGAAATTTATTAAACACTGACGCTTTTTATGATTAACATTGCTGTTCACTGCTTGTTCTTCTCTCACAGATTTGTATGTAAGTTAAGTTGGACCGGAACCCAAGATTTAAAATAAGCTTTAACATCTTTAATATAAAGAAGGACAATGGACAATACAGGATTGCTCATTAGCAGATAAACAATATTTTACAATTTATGCATATCAAAGGTATATAGTAAAAATATAAAGAAGCTGAAAATTTTCTTCAGTAAAATTACCTGTTTGCTTCCTTATCTTGCGCTCCGTATGCAACCACAGTTCGTATATTTTTCAATGCGTTGTCAACAATAAAACCAGCTGTTGCATAGGCCTGCATTTCTTTTTGAATCCAAGATGTAATAAACTGTTAATAGACCAGATATTTTTTTGCTCTTCTTTTTATTTATAACATTTACCATTTGGACATTTCTTTCTTTTTATATTTTGTTAGGAACTACATAAAATGTACTAAATATTTATAAATATAAACTGGTATGATAATATGTAACCGTATTGAAATGGTGCAACGACATAAGGTAAGGGAGTAAGGTACATTGTACTCGTTATTAAATAAATTGTAAATCTCAGAATATTGGAAAACAAAACAATAATTCGATTCTAACTTGTGCTGACCGTCATAGACTGTATAAAATAAACTAAAATACCTTTCCCGATAGAGCATAAGCACATACAAGAATAGGTGTAGTGCCTATTATAATTAAAGTCAGTTGCCATCCATTGACGAATCCGATTATCAATGCACATATGAATGTTGATATATTATTAATAAAGTATGAGAATTTATCTCCAATCGCTTCTCTGATTTTGGTGACATCTCTGAAATATTATTTTTTGTTTTACAGTAATTGATAATTTTTCTCATACAGATATATTTGTTCAGATGGAGAATGCTGGGATTTAGGTAAAACGAATAAGGAATGACTGAAGTAATGAGCCGCAGTAAAGTTTATTATGTATACAAATATTTGGCAAACCACAGTGATATATTGGTTAACGCGAGATGAAGTTCAAGTCAAGCCGAACTGACAAGTCTGCCAAAAAAGCTCGAAGTTAGGGATTTTACAGAACAAACATTTTCAAAAAATATATTTACGAGGATAAGTTATTATGAAAATACTTACTCGTTCAGACGTAAATTTATTTCACCGACTGATTTATTATCGAACCATTCTAATTCTTGTCGTATAACAGATCTAAAATATTGCTGTCGTATTTTTCTAATCTGCCTTGATGAGGAAAGCAACATTGTATGTACCTGAATGTTTGAAGTTTGAATTTTAAACACTTATATAAATAAACGTATTTGTGCATGAGATATTAGAAATAAAAATGTAAATCTAATAATTTTTTATCAAATTGTATTAGAAAAACTAAGTAACTAACAAAAAATTGATCTATAAATATGTTGGGATTATGATGAAAAATTTCGTAAGCGGTATTCAAAATAGTATTTAACTCAAAAACGCAGTCATATCATTTTAAATATTTGCTATTTTTGAAATTCTCAATTGGTTGATAGGGTCTTCGCTTTTTGACATCTCGTTTGAAAAAGAAAAAAAAAAGTTTTTAACACTGTGCATATTTTAATTCGTGATGTAGAATTTTTAGCGCATTTTTTTTATTCAACATAATTAAATTTTATTAAAAAAGCAATTCAACATTGAGTATATAAACATTGTGAATCTAAACCTGAAAAAATCCGCAAATCATTGAGATACATGCTACTATAACGTAGTAATATGCGAATGTTGTCATAATATCTTCCAAATCTTGTGACCTAGATACAATATAAAACAATTACAATATTATTATAATTACATAATAACTGTTATATCTCGGATAAAAAGTGAATACATGAAAACAAATATATCTTTAATACAAATATACTAATAAATGTGACAGTGTGCTTTCGTGGTTTGCAACACCTACCTATGCCTAATGCATTATAGTTTCTGGGTCGAAATTGCTTTTGGTGGCGGTATCTGTACATTATGTTAACCATTGAACACGTTTTAGCTCTTCATAATATGATGAAAAAAATTATCGAAACTTAACAGTAAATTTCATCTGTACTACATTCAGTGAAAGCTTTCATGTGTAACCATAGGTATCCAAGCGTGTCAAAAACAATAACGTTTCACTTATTCCGTGGTGATTTCATTTAGTCGGAATTTATATAAGATTTATAGCCAAAATGACTAAAACACGAATACCCAAACTTAAAATTCCAACCGGATGATACTGGAGAAGGGGGCAGCAGTATTTAGCGATCAAATATATTTATCACTTGCAGAATACCCTAATTACTTGTATAAACGAAAGAGGGATGATACTGGAGAAGGGGGCAGCAGTATTTAGCGATCAAATATATGCAGAATACTTGCAGAATACCCTAATTACTTGTATAAACGAAAGAGTGAATGCAGCACAAAAACGTGGAGTATGACTGTTTACACATATTTCAGACAAGTAATACAAGTAAAAATAACATACAATTGTTCTTTTTGTTCCGCGATTGAAAAATTAGACGGAGAGGATTGGTTTCCAGAAGTACAGTTTTCATTTTCAACGCAGGATGCAAATGCAACAAATGTGTCAGTCATCTGACCAAAAACTGTAAAAAATGAAAGCTTTATCTGTACCCACAAAACGATGTTTAACAGAAACAAAAATAACACCGTTGCCTATACGTTTCAAAGAAAATCGCAAACGACAATCTCACCTAGCACCATGGCCGGCATAGCCGCACCCAGGATGATTGCGCTCAATATTCCACATGATATCAAACATTTGTCAGTGATGCTGGAATATTGAAACTGTAGAAAAGAAGACGTTGATTTCGATGTTATTATTTCTGTTTAAATGTATCTGGACTTCTTTGAGAAAATGCAAATATGAACATAGCATTTTTGTTGGTCAGAGGAACGTTTGCACACACTCAGAAATAATAAATTCTCAGCTTACCAGGGATAGAAAAGAGAGTGTCACACGTTTTGACTTGTCGTCTATCTTCTCAGTTTTCGAATTCGTCATACTAATTGTATGTTTTCATCGGAATCGAAAGAATTTCTTATCGAGCTAACATTGTCATTTTATCACCAAAAGTATCGTTTTACATTTTCCTCGAAATATCTATAATATCTACTCTACTCTATGGAATAAAATGAAATGTTAATTATTGAAATCATAAAATTTATTATGATATTTGAACTAATTTTAACTATTTCTGTTAAAAGGTACTTTCTCATAGAGTTGGTCAATAAGAATTATTGGGATATGAGTCACGATTTGTTTTGAAAATATTGCGATCATCATTGGGAGATATAAATATGTGGAATATGTGAAAATCGAAACTAACGATATCAGTACTTTTTACGAGACAATTAACATTGTAAAAAGCAGCAAAATTACCGCTTTACAGCGATTTTACCGAATCTTTTTCAAAATATAATTTTTTCGACCGTGTCGAACGAAATAAACGTTTATTGCGGCCATGCAAGTTGGGAAAACGCTCGTTTGCTTATTTCATATTACAGTTGAGCCAAGTTTTATCGACATTATGATACGAATACCACACGAGGCATGCAATTTTCAATAAGCGGAAATTGTTTATGCAAATGCAATTGATCGATATTGTAGTTTAGTATCACAGCCGTATAAATAACATTATCCAATTTATTGTGTCTTGCAGAAATACGCGGCAAAATCGACTCAAAAATCGGAACCGATTGGTTTGTGTTCATTTGCCATTTTGCCACAATAAGAATTTTAAAATCCGAATAGTTCGCGAAGTATATTCATATATCATCAATCTTCTCTGATGTGCAGAATAAATATTTGCGAACAGCTGATTTTGCATAAAAATTGTTGTCAGCTGAGAAAAATACAAAACATAAATGACTTTCCTTGCTAATGATATCCGTACCTTATTTAAGATAAACGCCTTTTATATACACTTATAACCTACTTGGCCACTTCTACCAAAGTTTTGGATTTAACTTCTCATAATATATCCTCAAATAGCATGATTATGATCATGAATCAATCCACCTCACCGAAATTCCAATTAACTAACAATAAAATGAATAAAAATATTCAAATTAAACTGTCCAAAACATTGTCTCCGATCGCCTGACTGCGTTAGTGTTAGATATTACGCTCTATTATAAGATTGAGTCTATCTCGTCCCTGTGCAGAATATTTCTGGTAAACATTCCCTACTCACTATAGTAGTTGGTGACTTACCGTCGCATAGTCTGGAGTGAATCATGCAGAAAGCTAAACACAGAAACAAACCAACGACGTAATCCAAAATAATGGTAATTGAACGGCATAATTGCACAATCGATATGGATAGGAACACTTTATAAGACCAGGTCAAAAATTGCGAGTGACCAAACTTGACTGCTTATCTCTTAATAATATAGGTAAGTCGAAACCTTCGAATTGATGACAGCTGCTTATTTTGATCCGAAAGTTCGCTATCCAATAAAACGAAACAAGATATACTGTTTCACGATACAACACTTCTAAATACAAAACTTGATATATATGATGCAAATTTAACAAATACCCAAGTTATAATCCACGCGTTTTTATTTCGTTGAAACGCCTGCAAAATGTAGCCATATTTGAACACACACTACAAACTCGAATCGATTACATTTGCATTCCTTCAGCTTTGCCTGAAGCATTTGATACATCTTTCAACTGTGGTTTTCGTGCATGGCTGAAAGTCATAGACCATAAACCTAAGACTAAGCGCCGTAATTCCTATTCAGAAAACTCAATCAACTGTTAAATACCTCACATAGAATTACTTTAAAACTAATAAATTTCATACTGATTCTATTCGAAGACTACTTAACTTATTCTCTTGCTTTTTGAGTGTCTGAAAATTAAAACCACTTAAAAATCAAATTACAGAAATTTGATTCAATGCCTCGAAGCAGTTTCTGTTCATTGCAACAAAAGTAGATAACGTTATCTACTAGAGAACAAGGAAATATATTAGACAAATAATATGTCTACATGGTGCCAACCCTCTTAAATTGTTGTTATATTGATGAATAATTTAGGTCATTATAACGTTTATTTTTACAGTATGAAAACCGTGTTGTGAAAACGTGACGTAACATTTTTATGTTAGATTTGAAGCTATACAATAAGTCCATTGATATATCACCATATCCTCGAAATTTCACTATATCATCTCGTAATTCTCATTTATACACTGTAAAGGTTCGCTCTTGTCAAGGAAATTTCTGTAATAAACGTTCTTTCCTTCAAGCCCTTGTTTGAACTTATATACCTCTCGGTTATCTCGGTGGTGGCATAAATATCTTATATCAGTATGCTTTCCATTTTTTATTGAGAACTGAGAACTCGCCCTTTGAATTAGTTTGTGTAAAATTGTGTTGTTGTGCTATTCCTCCACGGACAGCTATCCTAATGAACTATAAAAACAAATGCTATCCATTGGGTTTCTGCCGAACTAACATACTTTTTCTATGCGAGACGACTACGTCTATAATTGTGTTTGATTTATGTAGACGCGCTATTCATTCATAACACTTGAGTTGCTATTGAGCAACTTTCTTTTTAAATGGTTTGTCAGTCTACCGGCAGTGTGGAATTTCTTTGCGTATTAGATTATTATTAAAGTGTTTTATTGCCGTAAATCTATGTAATTCTAGTTATAAAATCATAATAGTACTACAGGTTAGTTGTTCTCCCAGTTTGGCATATCCCTGTTCACCAGTCATCTTGTATTCAAAGTTTTTGTAATTAGTCTACTTTTGCAGTTAATTTCCTGTATGATTTATGGTATTTAATACTGTATTTTTTATTGTTTATTGTGTTATTCATTGGAATATTTGGTTGTATTAAGTTCTTACAGGTGTATAATCAATAAAGTTGAGTTAACTTGGTTACTCTGCTGCAATTGGAACCCCAAGAAGGTTATTTGCGATCTATATCTATTGCAACTTCAGTTTCCAAGAAGCTGGCAGAAAGATCTTGGGTGGTGATATCAATACTGGTACGCTATATATGCTTGGTTTTGTGCCTGTGGATCCGTATGCATATATTGCAAGGATGCTGTAGCAACAGTGAAGATGACTATTCTAAGTGATCCAAAGGCTCTATTACACAAGTATATTTCTGTAACGTTTCGTCTGACACAGATCAGACTTCTTCAGCCATATGATATTTAGCTACCATTTTTGGAGATTTCTTGGGTTACAAACTGTTCTAAGCTTACTTTTTGTAGTTGTAATCTTATCTCTTTCGGGCAATATTCTAAAAATCCTTTATGTGATAATTGTAAATGTTCTTGTTGCAGTTGATGAGTTGGAAATGAGTAGGATCCATTTTCGTCGGTGGATCCGAAGCCGCATAATGCACAGATGCTGTAGCAAGATTGAAAATAACAGTTCAAGGTGATTCAAGAGTCGTGCTACCCACCGACACAAATATATTTATGTCACGTTACGCCTGGTCAAAGTCAGCCTTCTTCGGACACACATAATACAACTGCCCTTGGACGAACTACCCACCCTTGGCTATTGAATCACTTAGAATGAAAACAAACATATAATTGATCGGCAATGACCCGTTTGATAGGTATACATATATATGCATTATTGGTATGATAACTTGTGAAATTGTTTTTGAATACCCCATTCTTGTACAAGTATAAATTTTGTAAGTCAAAATCAACGCGACACCGGGGGTTGCTAACTTTCATCTTGCACAGCAAACAATTCAGTAGTTTGTTACGAAATACACCAAGATGCAGTCTTTTCGTTATGGTGCTGCAGTTGATTTATTATATAGTATGAGTAACTGTTTTAGTAGTTGTGAACTGAGTTAAAAGGTAGATGCTCAATTTGCGATTGTTGAGATACGAATTAAGAATGGTGCGCAATTAATATATATAGCAGAATGAGTGTATAGAATTTCGCGAGTTCGTTCGACACTCGATGGCAATTTTTATTGCGGAAGTAGTTGTTATCCCCAAATGCCGACACGTTTGCCACGAATAGAATATACACCATTCTGGACACTTGCTACTTACATACCCGAGCCTACAACAATTTGGGAATTTTATATAGGTTATCAACAGTGGAAATGTCGGATAAGCGAACATACAAGACAAGGGGAAGGAAAAATTAAGAGAGAGGCTTAGCCTATATTGCAAGGCTTGAACATTTGCAATTTTGACTCGGCTTTAAAATAATTATGTTTAATTTTACCGACAAAAGTTACATGTCTCTAAAAGTTTCAACAGCTGTCACCGACGATCTATGCTAAAAAACAGCATCGCCAATACACATTTGGAACTTGGGGAAGTTATAATGGTGCTATTTTACAGGTTTGCTGTTCTGTCACTACAATATCCTGCCCTATTTTTAAAATTTTAGCTGGCGACGAGCGTATTCACCTTTTAACGGGTTTAAATCATATTTACAAGCGATTTTATAGTGTAACTTAAGCAAGTTATTAGTTTTGATATAGGGTCTATTCCTAAATCAAAGTGGTCTTTGCTTCTGCGTGCCAACTGACTTTTCCCATGTTATTCATTTAAACTCGTGAAGTTCAAAATAAAAATAAAATTTCTGATATCTTAATCGACCAACCTGAGATAATATCAAAAATTCTGCACGATATGAGTTTATTCTAAATTTCTCGTTGAAGCACAATAACCAATGAAGTATAACACGGATGTTATGTTACACTTACACATAATTCTAACCAACATATTTTAAAATTCTAATGTTGAATTTGTTCCTGGTGAATCAAGAAAAAGAATAAAATCGTGAAATTATATGTGGTGACGTGAACGTGACTAAACTTCACAAAGAACACCATTAGTGGTGTCGCGGTCATGGGCGTTAAAGAATCCTTTGTTTGTAGATACTGGGCTTGGACGAATTGCAAGAGCCATAAGGGTTCGGTCACTTTGTAGTGCAGGCCAACCTGGATGCCAATCGATGTTGTATGGAACTTTTGATCCAAACGACATAAATACTTCCTGAAAATCAATTGAACAACAGTTATTTGGTAATCATAATACATAAATCCAATTTATATGATTAAACTATTCTATTGTAAGGCAATAGTGACACAAAGCAAAAATGGCAAGGCTGAGATGATGAAATTATCAAAATAAGAATAATTATCCAAATTTTTAAACTTTCCAGATGCTTAACTCTTAAGATGACGTTTTAAATCGTCGTTAATGCTCTAAAAATAAGTAATTTTTTAGTTGGATTTTTCAATGATAAAGTCAGACTCACTATTTGCACAGTATGTATAAATAACAGGATATATCAAACCTGGGTTGCCGGTACTTCACTCATACCAAGCCACAAGTTGGCATCTACTTCGAGTGCAATCACGTGATCTTCGATCATCTTCTTGTGTTCCTTGCTGTAAACGTTTCCTAATCTTGCTCCAAGTCCCCAACATGCTTTTTCCCCTTCCGCTCTCGTAATTTGAGAGTCAAAGGTGAGAATGGTAAAGCATTTGAATTGATAACTCACGTGGCACAGACCTATACCAAAAAAAAAAGAGAGAAGTTCCCATATATATGTGGGCACAGCGGTCGCGTTTCGTTGCCGACAAGGCCTCCGAGCAGTGGCGTAGCAAGACTCTCGTGAGCCCCCCCGCAAAAATATTTTGTAGAAATGACCCTAAAAACTCTCGGACATAAGCTAAAACAACGCTTTTTTATTTCATCAAAAAGCATAACATGCCGCTATAAAAAGGCAATGGTAACCTAAAATTTGCCGTTTATTTTGGTTACTTTTTTCATACGTTCTTCCTCTTCTGCCCTTTTTCTGCGTTTCTGTGCGCCACTGAGAGGTTTTGCTTTCGACATCATTCTGACAGCCTCCGTAATTTTGCCGCTGCGATCAAACCACAAGACGCCAAAAATCGACGACTTCCTGGCATTGTTACGTTACAAAACGATTTGAGCAGAACTAACATCAACGTTATAAGATGTGCATTATTTGTTTTGCACTGCAGCTTTTGGTTTGCGGCCTCAAATTTCTAAATTCTAACCGCTTGGGCCCCTTTGCGCTGTGGGCCCTCCCGCGACCGCGGGGGTTGCAGGGGTGGATGCTACGCCACTGCCTCGGAGTAGAACCCAGTTTGCTGGGAGGATCAGCCGACACGCGTGACAGAGTAATAAATTGAATCAAAAAAATAAAAATTAAACTCTTTTCCGTAGTTCCATTAGATAACGTCATACCTTTATCTTGAAGATTTGCAATGGGAATATCGTTCAAAAGTTCTTCCAGTTTGTTTATTCTTTCTAACAAAACTCCAACTGAAAATGAAATATAATTGATAAATCACATTTTCGCAAAAATATATCTTGTTGCCTTAGCATTTTGGGTTAATATCAGCGACTTTAATAAATAAGCCAGTTATTTGGATGTATGCTTCAATTTGATAATACTGAGTTTAGGGTAAGAGGCAAAACTCAATGTCATAGTAAAGTTACGACTTAGTATTTTTTCCGAATTTGGGGAAATCGAACTTGGAAATAAACCAAGCTACTCAGGTATATATAGAAAAAATATGATATTGAAACATTTGAAGATTGACTAAATCTTGCCATATTTCAAATAATGACACATAATGTATGGTTCCGAGAATCCTCATATTTCCGAATCAGACCTTAATAAATCTATCGAAGTGTTGTATTGACACATAACCGATCTTCCTCACAATATCAAAAGTTTTCACTACTGTAATTTGAAAAAAAATGGCTTGAACATTGCTTATGAATCTACAGCACACCATAAATATGTTATATTTGCTCAATAACAGTTCCTGCATTAACATAATATATACATTACCCAGTCGTATAACAAAAATTGGTCAAAACACTTACGTGAGGCACCGGCATCCGAGGCATGCGATTGACCAACTGCAAACGAGACGGATAAAATAGTCAAGATGAGAGCAAACATGGTCCAATGTTGACGTTTTTCTTTCAATCGGTAAGAAGGTCGAAACAAATGTAGTATTGAGCATATTTCACGTGCCTATTTATAGCCTCTCTGCGAGAAAAAAGGGAAACATGTGGCGATTCTCCGTACTTGCTTTGCGATCGAATTTTAAACAAATATTTGTGAAAAAATATCATCATGTTTGTCAGTGAAACGCGAGTACCGCATTATCAAGATATTTATAGCTTTCTGAGATTTTCCTACGTACCACTATGTACTTTCCCAGCACTCCTTTTTATAATATATATATGAGCGATCAATTCCTATACAAGTACAATTCCATTTGCTGTCCAAAGCGTTGTGGAGTAATTCAAACATAAATCATTGTACATGGATCTCCGTGTAAATATTTATTCCTTCTTATACTTATCAGAGATAGTGTTTGTTGAACATTCGTTTGAAAAAAATATTCAACAAAGATGGAAATTTTCAAACCATATGATTCTGTACCAGATCCCTAATACTAGTCTGTATAAGGAAGATATTGATAGGATGCTTGATGGCCGATCGCCAGTAAATGAATAAAAGGTTCACTGTGTGAAAATCACAACGTGCTATCCTGTGAGAAAAATATCGATATGCGCCTGTCTCGAATTGATGTGGTATAATCTACACATCTGCTGACATACAAATGTTGTGCAAATATTACTCACATTTTATGATCTTGGAAATGACCTATCGCAATAGATTGGTATAAAGATGAATGCGAAATTGTTTTTCATATTTGTAAGTGAGATAAAAAAATAGATATGTTGGTTTTAGCCACTAGTTTTTACGAGATATTGATTTCTGGGATGTATGGACAGAATTGAGAATAATATAATACCTCGATGTAATTGATAAAGTAAGCTTTTGGGGTAAGGCCACAATAATATTTACAAATAGAGTACAACGTTTTTTTCTGCAAATAATGCAAACCAACCAAAATTTTCAATTCACTGAAGCATAATTATATGATTGACACAGGATTATTATGAGTATTTTCAAAACAAATATTATGATTAGTTGTGACGATATTGTACGTTAAAATCGTTTTGCTTTCTGCTTTTACCTAGACTTTGAATACCAAATCTTTTAAATTCTATTTTCGCGCAAAATAACAGATTTAATATGCATTGACCAAGAGAGTAATCTATGTACGTCTCCTCCAAACGTCGCTACACCAAAACAGAAAACAATATTGTTTGAAAATTATGCCTTTTGTAAATAAAATATCGTCACGCTAATAACCGAATTACGTAAGTCGTTTTTAGCAGTTTTGAGAAAAACGTAAAAAACTTCCTAATAATATTGTTGTGCCATCGAGAGTCAATAATTTGCCATGGTTCAATTTTTTGATCGTAGCTGGATTTAATTTAATTTGTATGACGCAGTTATGTGACGTCATAGTGGCGCAATGTGACTTAGGCAGAAATGTGTCTATGGCTTGGGGACATACGCAATTTTGCAACTTGACTATATGCACCAGTCCTGAAAACCAAACAATCCAAAAACGAATGTAATTCCCAGTATCTAAGATGTCGAATCCCCGAAATCGCTAATCTGTTTCAAGTACATTTTTTTATGTTTCAAAATATATATTTGATCAATATAACACGTTCTGCAAACCCACCGAAATTAGACTAAGATTAAAAATAAAGAATAAAACAGCAATGTACCCAATATAAAAGCCAACCACGGTGAATTGGACTCAGACAGTGAATATCACAAGTGCATGCCTCCCTATACTATAGAATAAATTCAAATTTATAAGCGCTAAGCTAGAATCTGAGATGCGAAAACTTGAAAATCTTTCGTCGAGGTTATTTTGCCTTTGTGACGTCAGAATAGTCCTGCGGTAACAACGATAATTCATTATGACGAAACAATTGCACAAATGTGCATGTCATATAAAATCTCCGTTTTTATGGGTTTCGGAATTCTTAAAATAAAATCTGAGTTAACAGACAGGTGCGCAGCATTACATAAATACCTATTTTATAAAAAACTTAAAACCGCCAAAAATGACTTACGCAATTCGGTTATTAGCGTGACGATATATAAAGTGCATTTCAGTGAAATGACATAATATATTTTTCTTAAATATCAAACGGGTAAAAAGCAAAACAGAAGGCCAATTCAGCACAATACGTATGTAATAAGCAATCACAGTCTCCAATATTTATTTTAATGACTTCCCTCGATGAATGCTATTATAATACTGGATTGCCTTTTCGTCGAAAAACTGGTTTCCACTGAACAGCCATATAGGGCAACAAAAATCGCTTTTTCGCAAAAATCGCAACAAAGTTTTTTTAATTTTGATTGAATACGTTTGTATTCTTAAACTATAGTGAGCATTCACTCTTCCTACTGTCACTGTATAAATAAATAAATAAAAAAAACAGTTGAAATCGAATGGACACTATCTGTACGCTGTAACTAAAGTTTCCAACATGATTACAGCGACAACGTCGTTACTTCAGAAAACTATAAGCAAAATAAGCATTTGAGATGCATTCGTCATTTCTCTTCATTCCAGATTCGTAAATGCATTCATGCTTGCATATATCGAGCTATTTCGCAAACGACCATTAATACAACATTTTTCAAAACAAAGCCAAATTATAATCAATGTTTTTTTTTTGATTCATGTTAGTATTATTTCCACTTGTGTTACAACGAGTATTTCTTGAATGTTTGCCGTATTACTGGGCGTTTTCTTCCTTCTAGTAATATGAAACCGGTTTTCTGCGGCAAACCACTGTAGTTTAATCCGAATTATTTAATAGAAATGAGTAAATGACAATTCGCAAACCTTTTCTTTACGAAAATTTTCACTTTAAAGTTTTCACCTTAGCGTCATACACATTGCCGCATATTGTAAGAATCTGGTTCCAATAACCGGTTTATATTACCAGTGTCACATGATAAAGAAGAAAATAAAACTCTTATCGAAATATAAATTTGTATACATCTGATTTATGAAAATCAAAGCAAAATCGATGGAAATTTATGTAAAGATGGATTTTATTTCATTTACATTTTCCGGTTCAGATCATTTTGAGCAATTTTAACTACTGATGGCCACCAATAATCTATAACGATATGACTTTGATTTCGATACCTCATCGTTTGACAGTATTCAAGATCCTCATATAAATATGTTCTTATTTCGTGTATGTTCAGCATCCACGATTCGCGTTCGACATCAGTAAATAGTGATTCCCCTTGGACAACGCTGTTCCGAGCTTTTCCTTTATTCATTGGACAAGTTGAACAATAAATTCAAATACATATAAAATATCGAAAACCAAACCGGTTTTCATTGTTTTCGAAAGCGAATTATAAACTTGTTTCGGCGTCACTTTGAACCACAATATCTTATAATTGCCGGAGGGATTTATAAATGTTAAAATATCAACATTTCCCACACAAACATAAAATATAAGAGTATTAGCTTTAACCACATAAGCTAGTCTCGTTCCGTATGCAAAATAATGTAAGTGTTGTGTCGACAAGTTGCCTAAATTAACTCAGGGTGTTTATCAACCTGTAGGGTACCTGGCGAAGTTTTATGAGATTCGGAATAACAAGGGAACAACAAGTTCTCTGGCCAAAAACTTGATAAAACATGGTAATTTGGTAGTTCCCGTAGGATAATACTGAATACGGAATAATTGAAATTTCGTATCTTATTTTGTCTGTTACAACAATGTGTGTTTCTAGGTACCGTATAGGCATTCTGTGATTTTACAAAATGGAAATCATGTTGAAATCTGCCACTATACCAATTTAATTGGTTTGTACGCATGAACTACTGAGTTAATGTAGTCATATAATAGGAGATAAGCCATATCACACCTGCTTAAACTATGATTCTTGTACAAATTACTTTCTTAGAAATAAAATATGCTTAACGACGATAGGAAGGACATAATAAAATACTTTCTCCTGCTCTATTTTTATTATTTGAAACAAAGTGGACCTATAGGTTATTTTGTTGTTGTTAGTATTTTTAATGTTGTTGTTGAAAATTTTTCTCAATTTTTTTTTTCTGCGATCCCAATTTTCGTAAAATCTACAGATACTAGCGACCCCACAACGAGAAAGGATCAAAAATCTTCTATTTTATCATCTCGATGAAAACGATGTGTATGTATTTCGACTGTGAGTTTGGGGTCGTTGGTGTGACGTTGTTGTAGGTAACTGTTTAGTTCAGTGGTTCCCAACCTTTTTTCCCCAGCGGACAAGCAAAATCAATTGAAATGACTGTGTGGAGCGCTACGAAATTATGTATGAAATACAACACGCGGTATATTTTTGTTTAATTAAGGAAGATTATTTAGTTTAGATGTTTAAATACGATCATATTGCAATCCCAAAATTGTACAGTTTCTTACGAAGGCGATGTGGACAAAAACTGTACATTTATATTTTAGATACTCGCGAGAATTACCATATTGCTTTCGCGACATAGGGAAAGCTGAAAAGTGTAATTACACGGCCAAGGCACCGCCGAGCAATCATTATCACGCAGGTCAAAACTAGGGATTTGTTCAAAAAGAATTGTTTTAAAACAATTGTTTTGTCTGTTTTGTTCAAAATGGCTGTACTATTTGATTTTTTTGTATTAAATAGGTTGAAGAAAAATGGATGTAAAAACTTGCCAAGCGCTTATTACTTGCAATAAATCCTTCAAAACGCCACAAACATCGATAATGGCTCATGCACACCTTCTCAAGCTGTAGTTCAGTGGTTGGCGCAGTAAAACGCAACCGATGAGCCATTACGTGAACGACCCTGCTGCGATAAAACCATCTTGCGAAAATTGAAATGCGATCGAATGAATGAGTTTGTATGACCGTAAAAACCAAAATATGATAAGCATAAATTAACCGAACAGTATTAACCGTAACAATGACTTCATTTTGTGAGAAAAATGTCAATACATGACCTCGAAATCCATATTATGGCCTCATAACAGATTAGTTGTGGCGTCTTTGCATCAGAGGACTATTACAATTAACATAGGCTAGGTTAGAGTGTCTCATCGTTCATATTAGTAGATTACCGCCGATATAAGCATAATATTCTTCGTTATCGCAACCCACTCGTTTTGCCGAAGGGCTGCACTTGATCGAATTGCTTTTGTAGTAGGCTCGTGAGCTAATTTTCCTGATTTTTCTTACTCAAAACGTCTTTCTGATATCTCGGCTAAACATTCCGGGTAAAATCTTATGACTTTGGTGGAGATATAAAGTGGCGATAAATGTACGCAATAGTGGTAAAAGTCAAAACAAAAAATGTTACTTACATTTTCCAAATTATAATTCCGGCTGCGTGTGCAGCTGCCAGGATGCAACGTTTTGGCGTAGTTTCGCGGCGATGCAAGATTGCATATGCAATATTTCAATAAAAAATACAAAAAAATACAGAAAAAATTTGATTTGAAAAAAGCCCTCGTTTTAAAACACGATGTTTTTTTTTAGAATTGATGAAAAACAAAACCCTAGTCAAAACCCAATCACTCATCGAGGCAAGGTTACTTTGAATATTCGGTCTCTAAAGGGAGCAATGGCAGTTAAATAACAAAACAACATATCGTCACGCTAATAACCGAATTGCGTAAGTCATTTTTGGCGATTTTGAGTTTTTATTAAAATAGGTATTTATGTAAGGCTGTCTGTTAACTGGGATTTTATTTTAAGAATTCCGAAACCTATAAAAATGGAGATTTAGTATGACATGCACATTTGTGCAATTGTTTCGTCATAATGAATTATCATGGTTACCGCAGGACTATTGTGACGTCACAAAGGCAAAATAATCTCGGCTAAGTATTTTCCAGTTTTTGCATCTCGGATTCTAGCTTAGCGCGTATTAATTTGAATTTATACTACAGTATAGGAAGACGTGCACTTGTGATATTCACTGTCCGAGTCCAATTCACCTTGGTTGGCTTTTATATTGGGTGCATTGCTGTTATATTCTTTATATTTATTCTCATTCTCATTTCGGTGGGTGTGCAGAACATGTTATATTGAAGAAACATATATTTTTAAATATAAAAAATAATGCAATTGAAACTGATTAGCTATTTTGGGGATTAGACATTGTAGATAGTGAGAATTACATTCGTTTTTGGAATGTTTAGTTTTCAGGACTGGTGCATATAGTAAAGTTGCAAAATTGCGTATGTCCCCAAGTCATAGACACATTTCTGCCTAAGTTACAGTGCGCCATTATGACGTCACTTAACTGCGTCATACAAATTAACTCAAATCCGGCTACGATCAAAAAATTGAACCATGGCAAATTATTGACTCTCAATTGCATAACGATATCATTAGAAAGTTTTTTACGTTTTTCTCAAAACTGCTAAAAATGACTTACGCAATTCGGGTATTAGCGTGACGATATTTACCAAAGAACGACGAACATCTGGTTTGCGGATCAGCCGTTGGGACCACTGGTTCAACCTGCAAGATGATCATCTACTAATTCGGATGTAACCAGATCAAAAAAGCTATATACAGAGAAGTCTAGGCGAGTGTACCACTATCAATCAAATGCATTTATTAATGAACCAGCGCAAGTTTCACTTTCCAACTTTCAAATCCTAGTGACTTGTGTGTGCATGTTCAACAGAAGTTATGCGATCTCGGGAAAATCGCGACGCGACCCACTCCGGGGTCGCGACCCACAGTTTGGAAGCCACTGTTTCAAAAGTTTCATAGGATATCCGCAAATTTATGTCAACAGATTCTCACTACAATAGTACTAGTTGATACCTCGGAAGAAAAAAACGTGTTGCGTTCAATCATAGAATACTAAAGACAGCTATCAAGTGCTCAAACAATTTGAATTAAGCAGATATAATTCGTGTTTGTTTTATGTATAAGTGATAGTCATAACAGTGATGGAATATAACTGTTTTCATTTGGTGATTGTATCGTGAAGTAAATACAACATGAATTCTCCTTGGTCTGTAGGTACCATATGTCCTGCATCAAGAACCCACCAGAATGAGAAGTTATCGATTTCTTTTGAAAATCCACCAGTGTCAACACCTGCATGGAAAGAGTTCATTCGGGTACGACTTTTAAAACCAGAGGAACATATGCAGGGTAGAAATACAATACGGGAATTTAATAGTAATTTACATATACCACATCTTTTGCTTAATACAAATTCTCTTTTGTTAAAATGTCGGGCAGCTTTGAGATGCGTCATTAAGCACCAAACTCTCTTTTCAAGAGGTTAGCGATCAACACGGGTACAGTGCAAAATAATATGAACTAACTGCACACTTTCATATATAAAGTATGATTGTATGTGTCACGTGGTTATATTGCCACCATGAGTAAAATGTGCAAAAACGAAATGATAGTTGCACCTGCTGTATAATATCTTGGTTTCCATTTAGAATTATTAAATTCCTCAGTTTTATCCCATTGTAGTTTGGCAAGCCATAATTCCTGACCTAAAAAATGGGGAAAATACAAAATTATTTCACACGGCTTCAATTATCAAATTATATTTCTTTAATAATACTTATATATACATAATTTTTTTACCTGGCGTGTCAACAATAAGATCCAACATTCCATTGTACACAACAACTTTTATTCCATCGGCGATATTTGCATCAACTATTAAAAAAAAATTATAGTTTTTAAAAGTGGTCAACATTGATATTCTTTGTGAATACCTATCTCATAACATGTAAAATTTGATAAAATCTACAAATTGTCATCGAATTAAAAAATCAAACTTCAATTTTTTTTAATTTGTTGGATATCGTAGACCTGGACCGTGGGATAAGTTAATTTGCGCAATATGATCTTTTTGTATTAGGTCCGAATTGTTTATCACCCGAAATAGCAATTTATTGCGAATACGAATAAAGTTTTGCAATTTCCGATATCGCCAATACATATATCGATCAATACATCTCTGAAATACAAAGTTAACAACGTTACACTAACCAATATCAATCGTTGGTTTCATGAAGTCTCCCGTCATTGCGTCCCAGACAAATCCAGATTGACCGCCCCAAATAACGTCTTCAGGAATAATTCCAAGATAATCCTTGAAATAACCATTCATCAGATCATCAAGGGAATACTCAGCAAATGGTGCAACATGATGATCAAATAGATGACCTGAAAACGTTTTATTTACAAGTGGAAATACCTGGGTGTCGATAATATTATCTATGCTGACGTGTACGAGTGTGTGTAATTATAGATATATTTTGCTGAACATTAAAATGCTTACCAACATTTCCTTTCAAACCGAAGTAAGTTGAGTTTTTCAATGATTTGACCGTTGATACTGCGTGATGAGGGTATAGGATGTTGTAAAAATTGACATTGTCGGCTGCTACAAGTATCTAAATTACATAGTTCATGTGAACATCTTGTCTTAGATAAAAAAAAAAAATGACTATACTGCAAAACTTTTTATTGTGCTGGAAACACTAGACTGTCGTTCTCTGGGTAGTAGAGTTAAAAAATGGAGTCGCTTTGGAGTTTGGAAATGTACAATTTCCTTTCGGATGATTGATATTTTTTTTTTCGTACTGTTCTTGTATTTTATGATTATTTGAAAAATGTGTTAACGATTTTTGTCAGCACATGACCAAACATCGCGGAGAGGGTAATTGGAAGTAAACCAAAATTTCCCCAAATCTTACCGCTATTTCTGTTGCATACCACAGATTGGTTGCTCGTTCCCAATTTCCATTGTTTACTGCTTGTTGTGTTGCGTCGGCAAAGCTTTGAACTTGCTCGAAACCATGTTTATCCAATAGTGACTGTAAGAGCCAATTTATTTATTAATTAACATTGGCAAATATGAAAAAAATTCCAAAGATAAAATACGAGTATATCGAAAATGAATTTGACACTTGATGATACATCCTTAATCTGTGGAAAATAGAAGAATGAAGTCAGAGAGAAATAGACGGAAGTTTTGGATGTATCTCTCAGTCTACGTTTTGTTTTCTCATTTCTTAAAACCCCCTGGTTGATTAAAAACTGAACACCTAATACCATCTGACCACTAATTTTGAGCGTCCATTCAAACAACCAAAATGCATATGAAAGTATCACAATATGTAGAAATGTTACGATACAATTACTCACTGCTTGGTACAGGTAAGGTGCCCAAGTAATTACTGAATCTATTGGAGAAATCCATGCATCGCCGAGACCAACGCCTTTGAAGTTGGATTCTAATGTTCCTGCATTGATTGCCTAGATAGAAAATAATTAAACATTGAATTACAAAATAATGGATTGTAAATGACACGAAGACAAACCAAATAGGATACTAAAATGTTTAGTTGATTATTAAAACACAACGAAATTAAAGCGTTTAGAAATTGGGCAATAAAAAACATGTAGCGTAATTTTAAAACTTGTGTGAAGAAATATTACTCTCATTTTGCTCAAATAGGAAAATGTTTAAAATATTTCTATGAACTCATAACAGATTTTTTCGTTTATACATTTATAACATGTACCACACCTAGTGCCGTTGGAAGAACAGGAAAGGCTAAAATCGTTAATGTAACTAATCAATCCACAACATACCTTTACAATTTCTCGTCCGAAGACTGCCGCCATTTTTCCTCCATAAGATTCACAGAATATGTACAGAGGATTATCCTAAAATACAAAATAAAAATATCCAAATACCTAAAATAATATCAAGTATATTTAAACAAACATAGTACCTGTAGACCAGTTTCTGCGTAGAAACCTCTGAGCAACGAAACTAAATCAACTCCTACTTCGTCGATATTTGTAGCATATGTTCCACCTTCCCTAACATAGCTGAATTGAAAAAAAAAACTTTAGTTGAATTGAACACAACCTTAAATTTATGACCAGCGAATATTTATTCAAAATATACAAAATTGTAAGCAAACTTGAAAATTTATTGGGCCACAATATTGAAATTATGTGAAAAGTGATGGATTTTTTAAATTTGGAAAAAATAATTGAAATTCGTATAAAAAGAGCAATCGATTATTATATTTGCCTTCGAAGGTTGTTTTGCTACATTGAAATAAAACATTGAAAACCAAGAACGTTAACAATTCTCATACTTATGGCATAATACACGGGTTAATTTTGTACCTGTAACCGCTTCCAACCGGATTGTCAATAAATAAGACATGACCTAATCCAGTCCATGATGTTGGTCTTCGAGTCAGGTTTAAATAAAGCGGCCCAAGTTCCTCAAAATTACCATATCCAGTAGAAGATGCTCCCGGTCCGCCCTGTCGAAATTTTTATATTTATTCAATTAAATATAAATATGCATTTTTATTCAGGTAATAATATAATAATTTTTAAGCAAGAGATTTTTTCATCGGGATACGTAGGGTGAATGTTTTTTATCGATGGGCAAAGTATTACAATCAATAGAGTCAAATTTTTCCTACCACTTGTCCTAATGAGTCAACTGTGCCTGTTATTAAGACATAACCAAAATCACCACAAAAAATGTCGTACGAGCGAATAGCTAAAGCACGCCCAACGCACAACAACTACCTAAATTCACGAATAACGGTTGGTATGTACTCCCGCCCCAACAGAATTATGTACGCTGAAAGAAGGGTATGGAATATACCGGTCTATCACGCATCTTTCAATACAGTTCAAGGATGATGGAAATAACATAGAATATATCTCCTATTTCTGATTAGAGTTACATATAAAGCTAGAACGCACGTTGACATGTGCTATTAGAAATGTGATTATATATATATACAGGTAGGCCCAAAAGTATGTATACAGTTATTAAACTATTTTATATGCTTTGAAGCTACTTGCAGTTCACTATGTTACTTGTTAAGTACCACAAAATTGCTTATTTTTTTTAGATAATAAATCTAGTGTGAATTTTACATTAGTTTTCTAGCTGCTTGGAAGGTAATACATGTTGTAAATCTATATTTTATTTGAGGGTTAATGGCGAATAATTTAAATGAAGAGCAAAGAAAATGGATATTAAAGAATTATTGGAAGTATGAAAATGCTGAGACTGTACGTAAGGAATGGCAAGAATGCTTTCACACTCCTCCGCCTTCACGTCTGACAATTTATCGCTTAAGGAAAAAAATTGATAAAACAGGTTCGGTGAGTAATGCATCAAAATCTGGACGTCCTACAACTTCTACGACTGAAGAAAATAAAAAGTTAGTAGCTGTGACATTTATTAATAGTCCAAATAAATCTACACGACGTGCTTCCGCTGAACAATCCATATCAAGAACATCATTGCAACGCTTATTGCATAACTTGAAGTTAAAACCCTACCGACCACGATAGTACATGGTCTTTTGGAGGACAACCCAGATCGCCGACTACAGTTTTGCGAAAGGATGCGTGATAAATTTGTTGGAGAACAGGTTGAAACTTTGTATACGATCATCTGGTCGGATGAAGCTTGCTTTAAATTATCTGGTCATGTGAACAGGCATAACTGTGTGTATTGTGCTGATGAAAACCCTAATTTCAATTGACCGAAATTGATGAAGATCGAAATTTGTGCCGTACTGTGTGTCAGAGTGAAGAATGTTGCCATGTTGGAGGAGGACATTTTGAGCACTTAAGAGATTAAACAGTTTCTGTCTACGATATAGCTAGCATTGAACTTTAAAAGTGCCTAAATGAGAACTACAAACCTACTTTTAGGCCTAAATCCTACTTTTAATAACTGTATACCTACTTTTGGGCCACCCGTATATCAAGACTAAAACACCTCACCTGTAACCAAACCACAACGGGTACTTCGTTTAACGGGGTAAGATAATCAGGTGCAAATGATTCGTCTTGATAATACAGAAGCCAAAACATAAATGCGTTTGGTCTTATTTCAACATATCCACAAGCAGTTTCAATGTCATCCATGGGATCTTGTGATCGGCAAAATTTGACTCCTGAAATGAAACGTGGTGCATATCGTGAAAGGTAGAAGTGCATGATTCGCACAGTAGGAAGCCAGAAAGTATAACCAATAACTACATGTTTATCTTTTGATTCAGAATATTTTTCGAAGACCAAATTGAACATATTTTATTCCATTTATGGATCCCTAAATGTGAGTTTTGTAATTTTTAGGACAATGTTGATGAGACTAGACAACAATTATAAATTTACGTAAGTGACTATTATATATACAGTTTAAAACGTTCAGCTGTCACTGGTGTACAGTGAGTCCAAACAGGATACATCTGGTATTGTGAATGTTACATAATTTTGAAACTTTCTATGATGTTTTATTACGTGGATCTTCGTTCTACTTGGCTTGGCATTATTCTCACCTGATATCATCAATAGAGAAAGTATGACAGACTGCACACCCGTCTTCATTTTAATCTTCAATAGTCGTGACCACTAATAGAATTAAAATCCTATTTTACCTTGACCTAATTCAAAAAAAGCAAAGGAATCGGACACTTAAATCCCAGACAAAATAATTCGTTCGAAGCAAAGTGGTTGTTGCCAAAATACTGGAATGGACCAATTATATGAATTGAATAAAACAGCATCGTTAGCATACGATAAGTTTTCCAATGATGTTTTGAACAAAAAAATTTCTTCACTCTCACACGAACATCTGACTCATTCAAATTTTCCCACATCTTGCTGGCGAACTCGGCGTGGATCTGAAGTTTTTATTGAGTGAAAATTATGTATAGATTGCAGGTCGTCGATTGCACGCCGTTTTAATTTTAAATCTAACCACTAAAATTGTTTTAAATAAAACTGCTATACAACATATTACTAGTGAGGTGGCATACTATCGCCTTGTTGAAACACCTTTGATGCCACACAACTAATAAAGCTTTGTTCGAACTCCACCCAACACAATCTTAATTATCAGTAATTTGCTATTGGAATCATCTTATTCAGAAATACAAAATATTGATACCTAGCTTGCTGATGTAGTTTATAACCGATCATGACGCATTTCGCTGAAAAGTACAAACTGCACTCGTGTTTGATTACATCAATGATTGATTATACTTAGGCGTGCATATCAAGCCATAAGAGTTGGAGACTATCGTGCCATGACTTGCTTGTTTGGTCAGGCTAGAGAAAAATATTGACAGAAATAAATACCTCAACAAGTGGCATCTAGGAAATGTTATTTATGATTCGACTTCCAATCTTGGTTTTCAAAAGTATATGCTTCCATGAATAAATACATCGTCTCTGAATCCACAACCCCAGCGGAAAGACCAAGCTAACATTGACTCACCAACAAAATCAGTCCCAATGCTTCAATGTTTAATCAAGTATGCATAACTGGTGTTTTTATATCTGGTAGTATATTAGTCGAATGAAACTTTCCGTTGGATGATCTAATGATGTAAGGGTTTGCGGAAATAATTTCTAGGCTTTAGGAGGATTATGTTATCGCGGCATAAATTTTTTTTTTTTGCTCAATAACGTATCGAGCAAATAGAGACTCGAATTACAGGAATATCACTGGGTATCACCCACTCTCGTAGCAATGCTGAAACATTGAAATTTACGCATTGGTAACTAAATGAAATCTGTTCATGAAATTAAATAACGAGATTGGCCTATCGCATGTTATGCAATCATAAACGTACCCGTCTCACTTACTTAATTTATGGTATCAAAGTTTGGTTATTGCGAATCACTCACGACAAATATTTGTTGTGCAATTTGACGGATTGTGGCCTCAGATTGTCATTAATTGTCAGTTTGTTCAGCGATAGGACTAATGTTGTGTGTCATCTTGTGTCAAACGCATTATGTTGCGGACAAAAAATTACAACCGAGTGTGTTGCAAGTCATCCTGCTTGTAAGTTGAGGCGCGTTTCCGTCAACAGTGACGAAGTTCAGAAAGATTCTTCAAAAGTTAAGTTAGTACTCGTCGTTAATTTATCTTTCTTTTATAATTTGGATTCTGTAATTGTTTTCGGTAAAACATGTGTATTCAAAATGAAAAAGAGCTTGAAAAAGGATATATTTATATAAAATCAAAGTGACAGGCATTTTTAACTGTTTTATTTATCCTGATAGCAATACGGAGTTCCGTTAGTGGTATTGTACGATATCATTATATAATTATTTCAAGAGATTGTAGGAATCATAAGGTATATTTGTTGCATTTCATTTCGTATTTCTCCAGAACATAGAATTGTTTATTTTTGTTGGCAAACTTGAAGACAATACCATGTCAAGCAAGGCGGACAATGAAAACAAGGTAAGAATAGAAATTACTTTTTAAAATATGTTGCACCAATTTAGCAAAACGATATGGGTCAATTTCGTGTCCATTAAAACTAATAAATAGCCTTTGACCGACTGATCTGCTATATAAAAATTGATTCGTTGACTTCATCCCTCGGTTAGAACTCACCGAGTTTAGAATTTTTGTCTAAATACATTTAATCCGATATTATAACTCAGGAAAGGGATCAGAATGACGAAGATAGCGACGTGAAAAAGAGCGGAAGCAGCAAGACCACCCTGATTATATCTGGTGTAGTCGCTGCCGTTGCTGCTCTGGTGTTGGTCATTGTTCTACCAATATATTTTACTAATAATGGTGAGAGAGAATGAATGCTTTAGCATTTGTGAATAAATATTATCTGATTACCGCGTATGGGCTTTGATAAGAATAAACCAACTAGAATTTTCTCGCGACTTTAGAATATTAAAGTTTGAGAAAATAATGTATATGAATTGGGGTCATATGTTAGCTTGGGCAAAATCAAGTGATCATGTGCATGTAAAACAAATATAATATTAAGAAATTAATGGCCACAGAATTATCACGCAAATTGTCTAACTAAATGAGCTCACATTAACTTAGAGTAATATAGCAACCCGACGAACGAATCGATGATCGTTAACAGCAAGCATCTTAATAGAGGAAGCACTGGAGATAAAGAGAGAGAGAAATGTGCTTCATATATGATTTTTCGAATTCCAAACTCGCTAAACCAATTTTTCTTCTTCAGACGATACTATACCTGTGACTGAGCCCAACAGCATTATAACTGAGCCACATGTACACAGTCCGTTGGATCATGCAATGGAAGATATTGAAACAGACAGTGGCTATGTCAAAGTCCGAGACAGTGCATTCATGTATTGGTTGTTTTATTACCAAGACGATAGCTTTGCACCACAAGGAATGGCCAAACTCGAAAATACTCCTATCGTTATGTGGCTTCAGGTAAGGGTTTTTCCTGATTGTTGCTTAACATCAAAAGCACAACAAACCGTGCAAACCTCTGCTCGACTTATTCAAAGCTGAGGAAGTTCATAGGATTGGAAACTTGATGCGTAATTAATAATCAGGACCGTTTTTGCCAGGGGTTTGCAGTTGTACAGTTTCGCACGAACCCGTTCTTAAAATGTCGTGAAAATCAGCGAACCCGTTTTTAGTTTTTGTTTTAGACACTAGATTCTAACGGTTAGTAGACGATTGCAGCAAATGGGCAACGTGCACTGCAATTGACTACTGGCGTTAGGTCGACGTTGATAAAGTTATGTATTAAATATACGCTCAGCTTACGTTGTGGCATGCATATATTTCCGGGGATGAGGAAACCCATTGTTACCATATCCGATACAAGAAAGAAAAATTTTGTAACGTTTTAAAGAAACGATGTAATTAAACGTTTATATTTCAAATTTTATCGACATTTAGTATGTTAATATGCAGCTTCCAAACACTATATTTATTTTGTAAAAATAATTTTGTCCAAAGGGTGGACCTGGAGCGGCTTCAACAGGTTATGGTTTATTTGAAGAAATTGGACCTCTCGATCTGAATTACAATAGAAGAAACGCATCATGGACAGGATTAGCTCATCTGCTTTTTGTTGATCAACCCGTAGGAGTGGGATACAGGTAGGTCGAAGCGAGTGAATTAACGAATAATGCAGCATCATATCAGAAATTGACTTAAGTTTTACAATCTTAAGAAATGAACGAATTTATTTGTTACTATAGTCTGTGGATTTGAGAATTTGAAAATAAATGCAAAAATTACGAGTACAGTAGATCGTGATTTTGATTGCATCTCCGGTCAAAACAGCGGTCAATAGGCATATCAGTCCCATATATAAAGCTAGATAACTCAATCATATTGTCATATCTTGCTTAAAAAAATGTAAAATGATAATAAACTTTTTCAAATGATGTTTAATTTGATGTTCTTATCAGCTATGTTACTGACAACAACGCTTATGCGACGGATTTCAATCAGGCTGGGTTGGATTTGGTTACTCTTCTGCACGGGTTTTACTCAGAAAAACCTGAATTACAGGTAATGAAAATACTGTAAAATATTACTTTGATATTGTAATAATAAAACAAGCGGACATTTCCTAAAATTTATTTACACGTAATGAATCAGCTATTATTTTCCGATACAATGTGAAAAATATTATTGAAACAATTGGTGTACTTCAATTTTGCTGCCTCTGCGTTGAAAAAGACATTACAGATTATATGCTTTTGAAAAAGTTACTGTTTTGAAATACCACGGAAAAATTAGCTTGTTTCTATAAAAGCTAAGCCAAAAAAACAGTTACTACATTTATATGCATTCTATCTGTAAGTCATCGTATCAATATACCAAAAAAATAAATAAACGTATACAATTTAGGAAATTATCAATTGAATTTAAATATTCAGAATAATCCTCTCTACATTTTCTGTCAATCTTACGGAGGAAAATTTGCTGTAGCTGCGGCTAATCATATCATAAAGGTATGCCATTATGATTGTAATATGTAGCACATTCATCTGTGTAGTCTTTAGTACTTCTTAGTATGCTTTATACTCATAATGAATATTTTAGTGAAATAATATGCCTTATTGCTGATATTCAACCATATAAATTTTATTTCGCAAAATTAAAAAATATGAATATTTTGAATCAAAGCAATTGTAGTATAAATCAAACCGCTTTGGACAACGTGATTTTGCTTTTCAACAGAACTCCATTTCCATTCAGTCCAGTGGCGTAGCATCCACCCCCGCAACCCCCGCGGTCGCGGCAGGGCTCACAGCGCAAAAGGGCCCACGCGGTTAGAATTTAGAAATTTGAACCGCAAAACCAAAAGCTGCATTGCAAAACCAGTAATGCACATCTTTTAACGTTGATGTTAGTTCTGCTCAAATCGTTTTGTAACGTAACAATGCCAAGGAGTCGTCGATTTTCGGCGTTTTGTGGTTTGATCGCATCGGCAAAACTACGAAGGCTATCAGAATGATGTCGAAAGCAAAAACTCTCAGTGGCGCACAGAAACGCAGAAAAGGGGCAAAAGAGGAAGCACGTATGAAAAAATTAAAGTAACCAGGATAAACGGCAAATTTTAGGTTACCATTGCCTTTTATTAGAGACATGTTATGCTTTTTGACGAAATAAAAAAAGCGTTGTTTTAGCCTTGTGTCCGAGAGTTTTTAGGTTCATTTCCATGAAATATTTTTGCGGGGGGACCCACGAGAGTCTTGCTACGCCACTGATTCAGTCCGACTTTCAAATACCAATTAAAAAGAATCATTTCCATTAAATATTAAATTTCATCAAAATTATTCACAATTGATTATTCGTATCCATCAATCTGTCTAAACTCTAAACCAAAATGCTTCGTTAAATTTTGAAAATTATTTCTTTCTGCAGGAAATAGAAGGTGGAACGTTGAATATCAATTTTGGTGGAGTCGGACTTGGTTCCGCATATATTTCTCCTATTGATTCATTGCTGTCTTGGGGAGATTATCTACATCATTGGGTATGTTTGAATGCACGATTTCACCACATGGTCTGCCAATAAATATTACATGGTATTCTGTTTTGAATACTCTTTATGTTATAGCATATACCAAAAAGTAACATTTGATATGGCTGAAGACAACGATTCTGAATCAAGACTGAGTTACTGTTATATATCACATATCGTCCGTCATTGGTGCTTCCCATGCTAAGATAGTAGTTATAGGACCAACCATATACTGATGATGAGAAACAATACCAACAGACCTATTCAAAAAGCTATGGCATAATTTTTAAAAATTATCAAAATTGAAAGTCTCACGAAGAGCCAGGTGAAAATTTGACGAACGGTTCAAGAAATAGTTTTCTTTAAGACTTCCCCATCTTAAGAGTTTCACTTTCCACATTGCCTCACTTCACTTCATGTCCGATAGCAGTTTCATATTTTTTCAGTCCTTGTTAGATCAACAAGGACGAGAAGAGGTGAATGCAAACGCCTTGCTAGCTAAAGAAGCCATCGACAATGGCGAATGGCTGGAAGCATATAACATAAAAATGGAAACACAAGCTATGGTGAGTTGAAATGTTATATTTCGTTTGATTCATTCTGTAAAAAGTTTCATTTATCAACATTATTGGACACGAAATGGACCTATATATCGCGTTAATATAATGTTGTTGTGGCGAAAAAATTGCTTTCTCTTTAACTACTGGACCAATTGCTTTGGAATTTTCTGTGATTGAATAAAACTTGTTGTTATCCTCAGAAGGCTATTATTTTCATTCATTTCAAAAATATCTGTGGGCTCTATGACATTCGTTTTTCACTTTTAAATGTTGTGTGGTGACGTCATGCCGTCGTCACATCTCAGTGATCTGGTGATCAGACTACCGGTACTGTAAAAGATTTGATAATTCGTTCTGGTTTTCGTGTCCATAGATTTGTGCATTGCTTTTATGTTTTTGTAAGCCATTCGACACGATATTCAGTCACTGTGTTGCATTTGGTAAACAAATCTAAAATTGTTTAAATCACAGGCCGTGGATCTCACTGACAACGTAGATGTAACCAATATTTTGTACCCGCATAATCCTCCAACGGAAACTGATCCGTATAATCAGCTAATGAACAACGAAATGCTTCGATATCTTGGAAATATTCCAGAAAATGTGGAATGGGGATCCCAACGAAGTGCAGTCGAAGAAGCCATGAAGGAAGATATTATGAAACCAGTTGTAGATTTGGGTAAGATAAAACAAACATATAGTCAGTAGGCTATATGTTTGTGCTATCGTACCCATTTAGTATATACATGAATAATTTTATTATACTGTCTGATATGCATAACTCATTTGAAGTATACAAGATTTACAGCAATTTGACAATACTAATTATAGAAAAACGAAGCAATTTCGGTTCTAACAACATATCCCGGTAACATCAAAATTTATATTTTATAATGTTCATATTTGAAATCCAAGCCGTTCTCACTCTGATATTTAACAGAGACGATTATCACGGGAGATCCTGCATCACAAAAAATAAACTGTATTTAAAATAGGTTTTCTTTGCTTGATATATTTTTCTCAATTCCGTTCTTATTCAATTTCTTTCTAGTTGACTCTTTACTAGAAGAGGGAATACACGTAGCGGTATATAACGGGATGTTGGATATGATTGTGAGCACACCAGGTTTGTCCCAGTTTGATTTATATATATATTAATATATGTGCTTTCTGTGGCCACGTAACGCCATGACAAGCGGCCGATGACAATTGGTGAGCAACTAAGTCTTTAAATTTTAAAAAGAACCGGAACTTTTGCGGTGTGTTAAGGTTCAGTCAATTTATTAAGCTATCGAGAAGAGATTGACATGAGCTGAATCTTGAAATCCAGATTGCACTGCTTACATTAAGTTGGGGCGCGCTGACGACCCGCCGCATGATATTTAGCGAAGTTTTTAATCATTTATCATAAAATAATGATATACATATTTTCAGGACAAGAAATGTGGCTCGATAAATTAACTTGGAGCAACATGCATACATTTAATGGAAAAAGGTGGACGCCAGAGCACTATGTGAACGGTATGTATTTTTGACGTTAATAGCATATACCAAACATATTCAGAAGTCATTCGATTGCGGACCAGAAAAAAATATGATGCATGTGCAAGATACAATCTAAATAGAAAGTTAGAATGACTAATTCAAGCACTTTCTTAAATCAAAATCCAAGAAACCGTACATGCAGAATTAACATGCATTTAGCCCACCTTATCAGAAAACAAACAGCAATGTCCAAGTATATGAAGTCCATATGAAGTCTATATGAAGTTGCGATAAGTCGAATGTTTTTGGAACATTGTTGAAAAAAGATTCCTATGTTGGTGTACAGATAAATTTTATATACACGAAAAAATGGACTTTTTGACTTAATTATTACCTATTATGTAGACCTTTTGAAATAAATATATTTTTAGGTGACACAGGAGGATTTTCAAAACAAGTTGGAAACTTTTATTTCTGGTGGATAATTGACGCAGGACACAGCATACCAGTTGATCAGCCGGATTTTATGCTTTACGTCTTATACAAAATATTAAGTGCAGTTTGAATATTACGAGATTGCAATATATTAAATGATATAATTTGTAACAGTTTATGACATATTTATGTCATAATATGTTAGACATATTTCAAGTGTTTCAATTCAATAAACTGAATCTTAGATTAACAGAAAAAAGTTACCGGAACATTTTCATTCTAAACTAGATTGTGACTTTGTATTCAGTAATTAAGTTTTTGATAAGAATAATTTTGTATGGTGCAAATTTTTATCTGACTTTCAGAATCGCCATTGTTGGAGTAATTTTTATAGAAATAAGCTATAAATACAGGAATTTCAACCAAAGTGTGAATTTATTATGATATGAAATAACTTCGCATTTATATATATTGTTTTCATTAGCTTGTTTGCATTTTGGTCTGCCTCAACCAACCAAAAGTCACGGGTAAGCAATTCAACAACAACACAAAATCTAAACTTTTTCTGTAATTGCTTATCAAAGAGCGTTTCAATCATGCATATATAATATATATGATAAATCAGAGTATATAAGTTTAGTGGAACAAACAAATTGAAGCGAAATTTTTCTCTTGAATACCACCAACCAATGGACATATTGAGTTTCAGTCGCCATAGACTATAACAGGGGTGGGCAACCCCTGGCACGCGTGCCAAACTTGGCACGCGACCGAGGCCTCGGAAACGAGATCATTATCCTTCAGATAAAAAGTTTCAAGACTATGATTAAACTGGGTGTTCGTTTATTTATTATCGTTCGTTAACAAACCGTTGTTCATTTAAACTTTTTTTGTTCTTTCATGACGTATGGCTACAAAGAATTGTATCATGACCTAACAACTGAGTAAGCTCTCGACAAATTTTGTCGGGGAAAGCGCTGCATTCATTTGGCTACGTTCTTACGTAATATAGTTGTACAGCTCGGTGATGTGGCGCATCGTGCTAAGCGTTAGGAATACGGTCGCCACCGCACCTCCGATTGCCCTGAGTGGGCGAATCCAACGCAGGGGTAGTTATGTTCGAGAGAATTGCTGGACTCCCCGCCGTCGCACGGTGTTTACGTAACCGCTAGTCGGTTACGGCTTCCTCCACTATCATCAAGTACAGTACATGCTTCCAAAAACAAATAACTAGCTAACTACCAGTAATCACATACCCGACATGGACTGGTAACCGGACGAGAGGCCGTGTTTCGCCATATGATTAAGCCGTCTTATCGGCTCTCTTCTCCCCCGGGATAAATATGTAAATCGTACCCTATTTTGGTTAGAGTTACTTGCTAACTTACCGTTATAAATTGATTTCTAAATGAATATAGGCGATTAAGGAAGGAAATACAAGAGAGAAGTGCTAAAAATGAACTATTGCGTGATTGGGATGCCATTCCCGAAAATTTTTCATGTCTCAAAAACTTTGCAACTCGATTACTCTCCATGTTTTCATCTACATATGCTTGTGAATCTCTGTTCTCAGTTATGAGCTTTATTAAGTCCCGTAACAGGAGTAGCCCAAAACATAAAACCCGTAGTTTGTGTATGTCTTTGAAAGTTGCATATATAAACCCAATGTAAAATCTCTATCAGCGGTAATGCAGCAGTCTCATTTATATAGAATAAGATAAGTAAACAAATATATTTGTCAGACTGATATTCACCTGTATAGTGAATCTGTCTGTACGTGTTTAAAAGGGTTATTATTGTGTATTTTTGCTTTGAAAGTCGCAAAGCATTGTTTTTAATTTTGGTCGGCACGCGGAAGAATTTTATCGTTAAATTTAACCGATTTTGGCACGCGAGCCGAAAAAGGTTGCCCACCCCTGGACTATAACAAGAATCGAAAGTCAAATGAAGTTTTTGCTATATTTTATTTTATACAGAATTACAATTGTACAATGAAGCATTTCACGACATACACAGTCTAAATTTAAGAGTGAATATTATACATGCATTTACCGATTTCAAGTAATTCTACATAACAACAGCATTACAGTTTCATGAAAATTATATTATGCACCCTCTGCTCAACTGAAACACTAATTTCAAAATACATTTTGGATACAAAAAAGACTTGAACAATAAATTGTTCATTTATGGTTCTGAAAACGTAACGTCAATCTTTTTCTTTTCTTCTTGTTTTTCAACTTGTACTGGAGCCACTCTGGGAGCTTCGATTTCTAGAATCCCGCCTCTCGATAAAGCCGACGTTAGATTTTTCTTATCCACTCCTTCGGGAAGTGTAAATGTGCGTCTGAATTGCCTGAAATGAGACAATATTATCCAATACGTACATCTATATACAGTAACATGATTGTTTGATCGTATACAATAACACATTGGACATAAAGTAACACACATGCTCGTAACAACAAATATACTTATTTTAAAGTCATAGTTTTTTAGTAGAAACGAGGTATGATAGACGAACAATAAGGTACTAAAATGAATTGGGGATTTTCGTATTGTGAGTCATAATGTCTCATCTACACAAGCTTCATAAACTCACAATCAAGATGAAAGAGACGTAACATTGAATCATTTATTACTCAACAGAACGTATCCACCATTGAGCTGACCCTGGATTGGATTTCATTATACGAGCAACGAAAACATTTCTTCGGATAATGTAGAAACAATACAGAGTGAAAAAGTAAGATAACACAGTTTAAACTTTTGTTTTGTTTACTTAAACTGAATATACAAAGGGGAGACACCGTATAGATATACAGATAATATTTACCTGAAACTATGAGCTAGCATTCCACCTTCTTCTTTTTTCTCTTCTTTTCTGGCCTCAACAATCAAATCATTGCCTTGAACTTTGACTTTAAGATCTTCTGGTTCAAAATCTTGTACAGATATCTTCATTTCATACTTATTCGGATTACCATTGACTGAAAATAATAGTTATCATCAAAAATTATATAGTTATAAAGCAGAAAATATTTTGATGATTTATAAAAGTTAGTAAAAAATACTCTTGGAACGCAAATACCTTCTTGGCCTTCTCGTTCAACAGTAACACTAGACGCATCATCAACGTGAGCGAACATTCCAGTGAATCTACAAACAACACATACATATGTTTATATAATAGTTATGATGAGTTTCCTGTTAGTAATGTAGGACAAAATTCCGAAGGATTTTTAAAAATAGGAACGAATGCGATTGATAAGTGGAAAAGACGTAAAATATCAATATAACAAATGAATTTCCAAGATGGTAATTTGTTGGCTGAACCGTCATTTACGGATACACTATGCTGGCATCATGGCATGACATGTTGTAATGCTTACATTTCAGTCTAGTACGGCCATATGGTATAAAATGGCTGAGGAAAATGGGAAAGCCCTACCACCTAAAAGATTCCAATTGATTGTAAATTCCAAATCCAATACACATGGGTCTTTTGCAGAGGTCTGATTAAAACAAAATTGTGTACCGCACAAAAATTCGGCATTTCGCCTTAGTTTTAAGAGACTATCTAATTTTAGGATAATCATACCTGTCGTCAACTTGTCTCACAAATTTGTCAAACTCATCTTCAGATTGAGTTCTTCTCACAGTTGGCCATGTGAAAGGTTCCCAAAAATTATGAAAATGTGAAGGATACAGACGCATTCGATGTACCGGTCGAACAAATGACTCAAACAGCGGTCGCAGAGACATGTTGATTAGTATTTTTTATTACGATATCTAGCCTATATTGCTGATATATAGAGCTAAAATATATAGAGCTAAAGAAATAATATTAGCTATAAAACTGCTCTAAAACTTTGATATATACCATAAGGTTAAATCAGCTTCCTCTGCTGGCGAAGATGATATAACGTTGTCAATACGACCTTGTGCTGTCGCTGTCTCGAAGGCTTATTATCGATTGTTTTTCATCGATTGCTCTAAACATAATGAATATATATTTATGCACCAAACACCTACCACGTTTCTGTATAATATCTGAGATTCATGAATAATTTTATATTTCACGTTTACAGCCCGTTTCGATAAACAGCAATTTTTGCAATATACCATCCACCTGTCGCTCACACACCCGTTTCAAACCGAGAGGATATTAATTAGCAAACCCATTTATATTTTCTGCAAGAAATTCTGCGAGACAATTCTGAATATTTCTAGAATAAATGCAAAATAATGGGTTTAATAATTCGCTACCGGTCATTTGACCAGAATGTTCCAGATATTGTTGAATTCGCCAGAAGTATCAATAACTCTCTCGAATCGCTTCTCTCCTATTCAGCGTTTCCGCCGACACCTGCTACGTGACCATTCGATTCTGTTTGTCACGAGTTACGATTGGGTCTTGAAGATTTATGCTATTGACTGCAAAAATGCATTAACTCAATTAAAAAACTTGAACAATTAGTTTTTTATTATTACTGAGATGAAATTTTCGTCAGCATAACTTCCAGGTTCCAGCCCAAGTTCGCTTTTTCGATTTCACCCTTGGAACAATGTCTATGGATTGCATCATTTGCTAACGTAATCAAGCACGAGTTTGTGATCACATTCGTTTCAATCAAGGGCATCTTTATCACCCTGAGCAAGAATCCTACCTCATTAACCGATAAATGTTTCGTTACATAATATGAACTTAACGCTATGTCGTTAGTCTTGGACACAACCAGAGTGATTGAAAATTTAATTTGTATTGGGGAACATTTGCAATATTTTCTAACCTGGTTCAAAATCATCGAAAAGCTCTATTGATTAGTACTGAGCTTCCATGTAATCTTTTGGCACATTAGTTTATCATTTGTATTATGAGCTTTGGCAACAGCATCAGAACACCACCTAAAATGAATTTGATTCATTTATACAGTACATGCATGAACTAGGCTTAAGTTAATGAAGCAATGATTAAAATAAGTTGTAGTGACAGTTATATCGACTGTGCAGTTTTCATACAAAATTATAAATCCAATTTCATTGAAAACAGTATTCAAAATGTTCTAACAGAAATTTGCTATAGCTGACGTGGTATTTTGAATTGTTTTATTATATACGGTGTGGTTATGACTATGAGCAATATCTATTCAAAACGATACTGATTATTTCAGTAATTTTATTGCATTGAGGAAACTAACTTTCATTATACTCTGTGTGTACTGTAGGAGTGTAGGTTATTACTTGCTTGACCAAATTACCGCGCTCATTTCAGGAATAACATATGGTTCGTCGTTGCAGATATGCTGGCATTAGGGTAACCAACGGATTGTCTTCCAACTAAGTACGAAATTTCTCCTAAACAATAAAAGCGTTTAGTTCTGCCATTTCAGTGCTATTGTTAGTGTTCTTAAATATCATGGCGAGATGATCGTAATTTTATATCCTTTGATTTGCGTTTGCGACCCGTCGCTGATGTACGTGACTGAACGGGCAAAACAAATGGCGCAGTTGTTACAGCCACGCTTGGCTGCCATCAACACAAGCAAGCTAGCAGGAACAGATATATTCAAACTCAATAAAAAGATCGAATTTTGTTTGTATCAGAATTCGCATTTCACCATTTTGTGACAAAACTGTGTTCAAGGTACAGTACGTGGATCTCTAAATTGTTGTGCAGGTCAAATTTGTAAAAGTTTAGGCCACCAGATTCGAGAGAGTTCATAAGGGTTCGTTTCGTCACGTGCTTTCGAGAGATTTCGCCGACAATCAACAAAAACGTTCAGGGTGAAAAACAAAGTCAGAGAAATTTCTCGAAACGTTACAAACACTATATATTGAAACGACTGACTGTGGCCCAGTTATGCGACATACAGTCCCAAATTATGCTTGTTGACAACGTTTTGTTGCGTACGAGACGTGGTGCGAGTTGCACTGCAAAATCGTTCGAATGAAAACGACTTATTTAGCTCAAAACAATAGTCGAAAATGAGTTTGGGCAAGCTCAGTCAGCAAGTAGGCCTACAGAGGTAAAGAGCATGGAAGTGATATATTTAGCTGGGAACCTAGCCATTTAACCATGTTGCCACTGCACACAGCAAGTGGTAGTTTGAAGTTGTTGACGTTCCTACCTTTTTCAGATACTACTATTAGTCTGTAGCCTGTTTCTTCATACAGTCATAAGGGTTTTCAAAGTTAACCTGTTGAAAAATGTCGTTGCGACCATTCGATGCTTTTTTCCACCCCCTGGTTCGCCACCGGCCCTACCCAATTCATTTCATGGATCCGTTTCATTGGCCGATGTCAAGTCGAACTACTGAAGATGACGAATTTGACGAGTTCATAAGGAACGTGGACAGCAGGTAGTATCTAAAATATGCTTTTTTGCCCAAGTTTATGTGATTTGGCAAACGTAAATTTGCTATAGACTATTTGGGCTGTATTTAGTTTTGATTTAGTCCATAAATATGACTAAATTCATTGTATCTTTATCAAATAACCCTTCAAGGATAAATCTCGTATAAAATTGATCGTAGGTTGACTCATAAACGACTTTTATCAGCAGGACTTTGTGTATATTGAACCCTGTGTGTGTTGAAATGTAACGGAGAACTAGCTCAAATAACGCCTTTTTATGTTCAGATTCTCGGGAATATTATCCAATCTCAACAACTCCCCGTCAAGCGTTCGCATGAAAGAAAGTAAGTGGTCCTAAGCTATTCTAAAATATCATAAAACGAATACCATAAACGTTTTATAAAGCAGCGCCTATTGTTTTTATGATGACGACATTTCTATGAGCACACTTAAAGACACCCAAAATAATATATTATATCAATGTTTATTTAGGTGCAGGCGACCCATCTAAATTTGAGATGAAAATTGCTGTTCACGATTTTGGGCCGGATGATATCAAGGTTAAAGTTCAAGGCGATAACTTGCTGATTGAGGCGAAACGAGAAGAAAAACAAGAGAAGGAAGGAATGTATGCGCACAGCTACCGGTAAGTGTTCTAAAACGCACATAACTGTGACTGGTGCTTTTAAAGTCAAGTACATATGGTTTGAACATATTTCCTCATTTTCCATTCTGGATTAAATGCTGTATTTTAGATAGGAATTACTAATAAACATCAAAACTACACTCAAAACTACCGGTAGTGTAATAAAAAAAAAGCATTTGCGAGTTAGTACGTATGGTAGTGTTTTCTACCATCATTTTATTTTATTCTTTATTTTCATTGCAGTGAGTTTCGAAGAACCTTTCCCATTCCAGAAGGTGTGGATAAAAAGAAATTAAGCTCTGCATTACATGGTGGAGTTCTAGAAATAGAAGCTCCAAGACTTGCTCCAGCTATCGAAAAACCGCCGGAGAAAAAGAAAATTGAAGTTACTCACATGGAAGAATAACTCTGATATCGTATTCTTTTATTGAAGCAATTATGTGTGTCTATAGTTTAGCGTATAAATCATTCGTTAATTTGGGCAATTCATATCCTAAGTTCATATCTTCATCGTGAAGGGCAGCAGCACAATGTTAACAAAGTGACCAAATCAATTTTCTGAAATGAAAAATTTTGATCAAAGCACGCTTCAGATGAAGTATATGGAATTGCTTTCACACTCGCGTGCGTGGTGTGTTTCATTATTGTGACTTCTTTTGCATAAAATGTAATTATCTGTCACATGTACATTGTCTATTATTTGGCTTTTACTGGTGTAATTCCTGTATATACATGGTAATAAACATTCAGATTCACATTGTTTAATAACAGTCGATACCAATAAGCCTGAATGCTGTTTTAATACTCTCATCAGCATTATAAGTTTGTGCATTTGTATGGTAGGTATATATGCGAAGATAGGGGGAAAACTGAGAGTTATAACAATTGATTGGTGCAAGTTAAATCAATTGTAGTCATAAAATTTGGTTACCTCTGGATGTGATGTTGACAGAAATAGCATAACACTGCGATATTTTACGCCTCAACTGAATATATTAGAATGTCATATGGCAGAAGATATTATTTTCGAGAGTTCTAGAACGGAGTTGAATTCTGGTTAATCATTTATCTTCGGTATCTCGTCATCGACCACTAAAACTGTTCATTGTTAACTTTTAAGAAAAGTAGTTTAATCACAACATTCGACGAACTAATAAGAGCATAATATTATATATTGATATTCTGTATCCCACCATTCTGGCCTACTTGCAATGCAAATCAAAAGAAAGATTTTTTCTTCGTACTGCCAATGTTTTAGCTGATGAATGTAAACTAAAACACGTCAAACAAAATCTCGTCAGTCGAATGAACAGGGTTTTATGAACTCCCCGCTTAGAGATATGCGCTGTGGAGGTGATCCAACTTTTGCAATGTTCATAATTCAATGTATCAAAATAAGCCTTGTTTGAATACCTGGGGTCCTAGGCTTTCTCGTTCGTTTCGGGTTTATTTTGATGTAGTTATACTATTTGAATCCGTCTTGAATTGAAATCTTTAGCATTTTCTAACTTCTTCGTTCGTGCGGTGATTTTATGCCCTACGAGATATGAACGTACTCATGGATATTACAGAAATGATTTTGTTCAAAGCCCATAGACATTACAATATTAACTGAACAGACTTCCATTACTGTAGTCCTTTTTTATATTTATTTTCATGAAGTGTTTTTTTCTGTTTGGTGAAAAAATAAATTACTGATTACTGGTAGTTCCCTACTTCGACAAATATGCAGGTAAATGTACCACAATTCCTACGCTCTCAATTGCCAAAACACTTTCAATGTAATAATAATTATAGATATCGTGGCGGTAATATTGAATAACATTTTATTAATCCTACCGTTTGTGTGTACATTTTTGGTCGCTTTTTAGTATTATACGTTTTGGTAATATCGAGGTAAAACGATAACAAATTAGTTTCACTCCGTCCGTAAGGTTGAGCTAAAGAGTTGTCTGAAAAATGGAATCTGATTCCGGTAAAATGTCAGTTGAACATCGCCGGTCTTACGACGTTGTCTACATTCGCTATTGTTTCGTGGATGCCGCGGTGCGTCCGAATAAAGCATGTTAGATATAGAATTACAAACCGTTTTATTAGTGATAGATTGGTAAGCAGGATCATAGTGACAGGTTTTATTATTTTACTTTAGACGTATCGTTAGTAAAAATGATTGTCTTTGCGTCATCTTGTTGTAACTTCAATTTTTGCACCATGTCTTACGTAAACTGGTGGATAAATAGTACTGTAGTACCAGGCTACTGTAATCATCTGGTTTTCGGCATTGTATACAAAATGCCCGGTTCCGAATGCCTGATCCCGGGTACTGTACATTTATTTTCGTTAATGTACATGTTATTGCGGAATGCCATGTATTGTTTTAACTTTGTGATACTGAACTGTCAAATTATTCTCAATATGATGGACGGTCCAACCTCAATGCGTCGGGGGTTCTATATTCAATAAATATGTTATTACTTGCTTAATAATCTTACTTTGACACTAATATGGAAAACTTCTCAGGGAAGGGTTAAAGGGTAACAGATAAGTCGTCATTTCAATTTTCGTACTTCGTATTTTCATTATTTCCGGATTATTTGCATGTTTTTTTTTATTATGGACTAGTTGACTGTGAGAAGCGTATAACCAAAGATATATTGATTTGTATTTCTGATACAAATAAGGATTATCACGACCTAATTATGCTATGGATTTCTGTGTGATTATCTTCCTCATTTCTACAATTGGGATTACATCCAACCAAGTTGCGGCAAAGTCAGGTAATTAAAAGTATAGGGCTTGTACTATAAAAAGTAAACGTTTGTGTGATGATTATTTTCTTGGTATGTTCTTTCCTACTTTACTCAAAACGAAGAACTTAAGACGGCGATTTGAGTCCGGTCCGGTATGTCGAATTCTCGATGCCAGCGTACTTGAAGTAAGCGGGTAACAACTATGCCACCGCTGCCATTTCTGATATATAAGCAGACATATTGAGTATTCGACAACTATGCCTGAAAGCTGGGCCGGTCGATCAGTCCATTAGGTTCAAATGAAAAAAGAATTCTAAGTTTTGCAAGATGCTTGCATATAAGTATATCATTTAACTGCCTTACGACAATATCGATAACTTGCAGTTCTTAAGACAAAGTAAATATCTGAGAATTCGTTTTTTAATTAATTCCATTTATTTATTTCAGAGGACTTATCAAATACAAGAAACGAAACAACGGATTTGAAATGGACTGCGTCACCAGCACGTAATGGGGTTAGTATCGTTTGTTTATTTTTAAACGAGCCAGTAATGATTGACTATACAACTATTCCGACAAAACTTTCATTATTAAAAGATTACTAAATCACTGACGCACTTATAAAAGCACATAGGTATTGTTATCAATATATGTCGGTATTTCAAAATTAGGTTTGTTATAAATATATTTTGATTATATTAAGTCAACGGATTTACTTTGAATAGACGTTTATCATTATAAGGACCCAACATACCTTTTAAATACTGTCCACTGGCCCAGAGATAAAAAATAAAAAAATAGGAGATTGGATGTAGAAACAATGCAATGAAATTGAACACTACGCGTCTCCATACGCATGTTCTTTTGGTGTACCTATATATTACCTCAATTCAATTCAAAAATTATGGGCACACGCGCCCTTAAGCGACTGTCGAAAAAATATGCTCACTCGATATCACTCTTATTTGTATATATGCTTTTCATTTTTTTATTCATTATATTCATAGTGGGAAGAACTAAGTGGTTTAGATGAAAACCTCCGACCCATTCGATTTTATCAAGTCTGCAACAGAAACGATCCGGATGTTGATAACTGGGTTCGAACCCGTTTCATTCCATCACAGTGAGTTTTTTATGTTGTTGATGCAGAAAGTGTTTTTGTTTGACATAGACGTTTTTACCAGATTTGGATTCAGAAATGGTAATGTTTTATGATTATCCATTTACCTGTGTCTGTATGAGCTTCTTCCGTCCTTTTATGAGCGTCCTTTGTCTTTTTATTCGACATAGGCTGTACTGGCGGAGCCTATCTCGTCGAAAGTCATGGCCACAATAACATTTAAACCAACTAATCTGTATATTCTAGCGTGTTCAATATCGTTTATCGTTTCAGTGGAAAACAAAGACTCATTGTAACTATTTTAATATACGTTATGATTCATACGACTCCAGCATAAACACTGTCTATAAATATAAACATGGCAGGTATCACGCGATGTATAAAATTTGTTCATACATGTTATGAACTCGTATTTAAATTCCTTATGGTTTGGGCCAGAAAGAGTATCGACATTTTGCAGGTTATTTTCTTGTCAGAACCATTGGCCAAAAATCGCCCTGTTTTGATAATTTTTTTTTAAGTGTTTTGTTTATACGCATATCATCTCAATGCTAGATGTGTTCATGTTTTTGGGCTCGAATATACGAATATTGTAACTTTCGTTTCAACTAATTTTGATAAAAAGTTTTATCTTGTGACGTTTTGGCGAATTCAATTTTGTGAGTTTGCATTTTGGATATGGAATAATTTGAACCATTCGTTTTCTCGAAAGTTAAATTTTAACCAGCAGTCAGTTTTATATCATCTATTTACTTCTGAAGATAAAAAATTGCTCTTTATCAAAAACTATCATCAGCCTCTAATAATGTGAATAGTATTAGTTAAATCCAATGATCTAAAACAATACTGAAGAATAAAACCTAATTGCTCGTGGGAAACCGAAGTAGAGTTTTTCTTATCCTAATAATTTGATATTATAAATTTTGATGTTGATTATTCCGACTTGGAATATTCCTCCCATCCATTATTTATGACAAAGTCCTTTAATTAACCATTAATTTAATTTAACAATAAAATTTAGTTTCATTGAAATTATATATATATATTCACATCCTCTATAAAGAAAAGCTTCATAATTTGCTTGTCTTTCTGGTAAGCAATTAGAAAATTTTCAAAATGCAGACTTGTGACGTATATTTGCCTTCTTGATAAAATTTGAATGAATCAAGCAATAATTTTTTGTGGGAGCGGTGGTTAAACCATGCTGGCATCGCAGATTAAAATCTCTTTTTCGAATCCCATGCTACCACCTGGCGCAAACCAGAAGCATTCCGTTTTGTACCAAAATAAAGTAGCTTATTACATGATAGTGGTTGTTGTGCAGAACCTTGTACGTAACGAGAGTTGTGTAAATACAGTACATTGCATAAATACATATTTTGTTAAAATCTTCGTTAAAACATTTTCCCCGGACTGTCCTAGTTAGGACCCAAGTCGGTGTTTTGTCTTGAAAGAAGATTTAATAAATTTCGTACAATGATGTTTTCCTTTCCCTGCTTCTGTGTGAAATATCCGGCTCATGGACGAGATCGATAACCAAATGTTTAAAAATACAAGACAATGTCAGGATTTCAAATTATCATGGCTGTTACTATCTGTTTCGGAAAAGGATTAATCGATCTTAGACTAATTGCAATATCGATCGTACTAATGATACGACTTGTAATCTCTTGTGAGGTTTGGGGGAAAGAATTCGGACATACATATTGTATTTTGTCGAATGGCTGCCTTTCGTATAAAGCCAGATATGAATATATTTTGGAATTTTTTAATATTGATGATGTATTGTATATTATCCCGTAACGTGAACGCGACACCCTTCCCAAAGCGTTGAAATAGGCAACCGGAAAGTTTATAATTTAGAATTATTCTCTAAAATGTGTTTTACGATTTTTCATTTAAAATATTTTCAAGTTCACATTGATACATTGTAGTCAAAAAAAAAACAGTTATTTGAACTTAATTTAACTTCCAAAAAGCTGAATTCCTCTGCTCTTTCCAGTTTAATTGCATCTTAAAATCGGTGATTTATTTACGGTATATCAACCTCATGAAACAAGTTTACGAATATCGATCGACCAATAGAATTCAAGCAAACATCTAGACAATTACAACCACTAACATGAAGCTTAGTTCTCTCTTGTAGCAGGAAATAATGACAATTGCCTATAATCCTTGGACTAAAGTTAAACAAATTGAATTGTTTCTCACCAAAAGTTCTCATAAAGATAACTGTGGGCAGCCAACTTTATTTACAAAAATACTCGTACTTTGCAAGTCTTCCTCCAATGCTTATTTGTGAGCATATGGAGCCCAACTTTAATGGAAAATCCCGACATATAATTTCATCTTGTTAAAAAATGATGACTAATCTGTGGTGTCGTTTAATTCTAATGAATCCGATTAGACGAAAAGTGTAATCCTCTCCCGAATCATTGCACTAATATATAAGAAGGGATGTGCATAAGTGGGATTAAATGCAAAGTAGCGAAAAATGCCGTTGATGATTTATGAAACTATTGTGAGTTCTTGTGGCAGTATTTCTTTGGAAATAATATAAATCACGGAAATTTCGGTGAAAAGTTAAATTGGTTACTTCACATTTACGGTGAAATAAAAACCAGTATATACATTGTGAGTAAAAAAAACTAAAAATATCCGTTCAACGAACAGTCTGCTCAGCTCGCCACATCTCCAATATAAATGCCATATTATATTATGCTATATAGAATTGTCGCTGGAAGCTTTTCGATCGTTGCACATTAGTAATCATTTGTAAAACCGATATTAAAACAATTTATCTATGTGTGGGTCCCACATTTGAGAAAACATATATATAAAGTCCTGTAGCACGGTCCAATTTGTCAAACGTATATTAGGTTTGGGCCTCTATTATATTGTCAAGCGCTTGAAAAAATAAGATCATCAAAATATAGCGGATTTTCCAATTTTAATTCAAAATCAACAACGAAATCTGATCTCTACGACAAAACAGATACCGGATATGTTTGTAAATGCATAATTCATGCAAGGTGATATTTATCTTGAAACGACAAACGCTTCAAGTCGCAGTAAGGTATCATTTAAAGGGTTGAAGAAATAATTATTTTGAAAACAAGTCGTCTGATTTGAAGTTGGAATATGAAATTTGTGTCATCTTATCAAATGCTTATTTGAGTCTTGAAGAAGACTGAAGAGTTGAAATAACCCAATCAACTGAATAGGACTCGTGATTCAAAAAAATTTTGTTTTTTGTTTTGCAATATCGATGATTGAGAATTGGGTTGTACTCTAAGGCCCTGACCCGGTCCAGTCCATGGTGTAGTGACAGGTTAGGACAACGACGTGAGTACCCTGGTTCGGTTTGACGATTGGTCTGCCGGTGTTGTAAAATTCCGAAACCTCCGACTTAGTATATGGTTCAACTTGGATTGTAAGTTCGATTTATCGCCTCATCTGAATATTAATATCATAATGAAACCGCTTTATATAATTTAGTGTTTAATGATGCAATATTTAGCTATATAGAGTACACTGAGCTCTTTATAGTTCGGGTAGGTTCATCTATTCTAAGCTTCTATTTTTATATTTCGAGTCAAGTTTATTGGCAGTACAAAATACAAACGCTTCCTTCTGGTTTCGGCCATCTGCTTTCACCATTCTTATATAAATATTAAAACATAATTATACACTTGTTAATTGAAATTGCTTGTTATTATACAAAGCTGAAACGTCAAAAAACGTGATCAGTGATTTTATATTCGACCAAGCATGAAACAATGGATAATTTGGTTTTTAAGTTAAATTTATCAATATGCCATGTTAAGTTGCATTTGTGTATGTGTAGACGCCATTTTTGCGGGATTATTACATTGATACCGATGAACGTAGCCTTGGGACTTTTGAACAAGAAATATGCATGGTATTTGTGACGTAATGTTTTCAAGTGAGAAGTGGATTAAGAAATGTATCGAATGTTTTACTGTTTGATTTACACTTAGGCTTAGAAATCCAGCAATTGAGATTCCAGTTTTTTTTTCAATAGAGATAATCTTTAACTCCAATCCCATGTCCAATTCTTGAACTCCCGGTTAAATCGGATGGTTACTTTAATTATATATGAACCGCCTTGTAATCAAAAATCTAATTGGTTCAAATTGTACGCCTGCGTAAGCGCCCCTATGTCTCTGCGTTCGATTGGAATATCAAGAAACAATGATACATTTTTCATGTACTTTAAAATCCGACATCAAATTTCTCAGATTTGAAGCTTATGAAACCGTGACAAATCTGCACACTTTGTACACAACAAACTTAATGGGAGCACTGATTTACGAGACATATTTCTCATTTTTGAAAAACCTATTTTTTTTATAGATTAACAACTTGGAAATTTGTCTTGGTATTCAATTCTTCAACCTCTCTAGCTAGTACCCTAAGGTGCAGTTAGTTGCACTGTTTTGTTCTGTTGGTTGTAATTGTTCAAATTCCGATTTGATTTGTCACGGTTATCAACGATATTTGACCTCGGGGAGAAGAATAAAAATATTTGACACTTTCCCTGGAGATGGTATAAATATTGACGACCAAAAACAAGATGAACATCATGCTTCCTGTATTTCGAAATATTCATATTTCAACTTCGATTTTTTCAGCCATTAGATTTTAAAAATAACATATACGAAATATAAATTAAGAAATGATGAATTCCATCAATTATTGAAACTAATTTATATTCTATGCAAAAAAATTAGCTGCTATGATGGCGTTTTTTGGTTTTTATTTTGTAAAACTTGAACGAGTCTTGGTTTTAACGAAAACTTGGTTTTGTAAAACTGTCTTTATCGTTATTAAATCTTGAAAACATTTTTCTAACAACAAACTTTCAACGTGTCCAGATAAACACGGAGTATAATTGAAGTTCTGGTATGGTAAATAGAGATGTGATATTGAATAAATGAGCGAGACTAATTCGGATAGAGATATAGAAATGACAATTTCGTCATGTGTATATTACAAAAATATCTGCGTAGAAATATTTTGAAATTTCTCAGTCAAACTCATCTTCCAGAATCTATGATTCTATACGCCTTACCTTTTCACTGAATGTCTTTTATATGCAAAAAGTTTTATCGACTGTGATGTCCAATCGCGAACGACTAAAATCCTACGAGCTTCATGGAAACTCTGAAATATTATTTTGCTTATAACACTTGATCAGTTTTAAGAGGAAATCTTCATGTCAAAATAAAACGGATGTCAGCAAGCACATTATGTTTTTTTTAATTTTTAAAAGACCCAGGCCTGGAGGGTTATTGGTGAAACATATCTCAGAGTTGACTCGTATTCAGATGTACATTCGTTAAACATAAGCAAATCTTGAATTAACATAGCGTTTATGTATATGTTATTTTAACCGCCAAAGAGTTCGCTTCTTGCGCAACCATAAAACGAACTTACGCTCAGTTTTCATATTTTCAGGGGAGCCAAGAGAGCGTATATCGACGTCGAATTCTCAATGATGAAATGCGACAGTGCGAAAACGAAAAATTGCCGTGAGACTTTCAATTTGTATTATTACGAAAATGACAAAGACGTCGCTTCAAGTACATTTCCACCATGGCGAGAACGACCTTATATCAAAATAGACACAATTGCTGCTGGGAAAAGATTTATAAATGGAGATTCGAATGAGAAAGGCATCAACAGAAAAACATGGACTTTGGGACCACTTAAAAAGTAAGTAAATCAATTTTAACAAAATAGTATAACAAATGCATGTACGAAATTTTGTATGCGGCAAAAGGTTTTGGATGTTCTATTATTAGTTCCTCAACAATAGCTCCTAACGAATCTGTGATTACCAGACACCTGTCTTTTTGATGCTCGTTTTAATACTTTGTAATAAAGTCAATCGACGTAAAGATGTTGATTTAAAAAGTTACGCGATTTCAAACGATGGGATGTTATGTCGGACAGTAGAAATTTCCATAGGTTTGATTTATTCCACAACTAACGTGTTACACATAAAAGGACCAAGGATTCGGTTTCATTCAAAAAATGACTGCCTTATCGTTGTTGTCATAAACAGTTATTTTCCCGTCTTACGTCTTTCAGTCTTTTCATCCAGTCAATATACCACTACGTTAAGTGTAGATGAGCCTACTATGGAGTAGCTAATGTAATGGAATGAAAGAAAGAATATTAACTTTAAAGTCAGGAACCAGGTTTTCGCTCCATTTGTTTCGATTACTCTTCAATGTTCCTAACCGGCTACGGCTGGCGTAAAAAATATTTGGCGAATGTTGCCGATTATTACAGAGGTGCAGAGAAATCAGTCATCCTGTTTTCGTTTATGTGGAATTGTATCATACTTCATCCTATATTAAAATGTATTCAGCTGTTAAAGAATAATATTTCTCAAATATAAGCAAAATGTTAAAGTTGGGATCTGTACCTAAATATTTCATAAACGGACATGTTGGTTACTTAAGCTCTCACGATTCATTGCGTTCTCCCGAGAACATAAATTACGTTCAAAAATGCAAATCCCAAAGTTCTTATGGCTTATAAATATTCATATTCCTAGTGTTCTTACTTTGCCAACTAAAGCCGAAATAAATAGCTGAATTGTGAATTAATAATCCACGATTTAATCTTTGCAAAATAGAGAAGAATAAATTGGCCCCCTGATGGACGTTTAACGATTTTACGCTGCTAAAAGCTACGACTTTGAAGCGCTGTTTGACAGCTATAGGGCGCCTTTCGAATTTCAAATTATACCGTCAAAGGCCCATGGGACGTTGGATATTTAGTTGAATATTTGAACAAAATGTCGGTCGTTTCTCACGTTTGTCAAAAAGTTGGCAGGATGAAACTTAATTTGTTTTGTGTGATGTGAAATTACTATTTATATTATATAAACAGACGACCTGAAATGACCGATGTGGTAAGGTCGCGTAGATATTTCCACATTTCTTAAGCTTTTTTCATACAAGGAACAATACCGCAATATGCTTACGCCGCACGTATCAGCGGAAATACGGTCGGAATTGAATAGAATTCTCCTTGTATCAGAGTAAACAGACATTATGTCATTGTATCGCTGAAGTCATCATTATACGCTTTTTACTAAAAAAGCTGATTTACTATATGTTGGAAGTTTTATCACATCGGGGACTGAAACTCATCTTGAAATGACAGATTAAATAATAAATAGGCCAAGTGATCTACCGTATTGGTAACCAATTTTGATAGCAAAAAGCAGGCCGACCAATCAACCAGTTTTTTGGTCGGTGATCGTTTTAGAATATAAAATGCACATCCCGATTCCCGACCCAGTATATTCACTCATGAGCAGTCAAGGACACGAATCGGACCCGAGTCACATTTTTAAAGACTCCTAATTTTTAGTGTCAATGTGACTCATATTTATCAATTTCACTGCTGTTTATGAACCATACATTCTACCATAACTCTTGGACTGACCTTAACTTGACTCAAAATCGTATACCCGTGACTCGGAATTTGGGAACTTAGGAACCGAATGATTTAAGAAAACAAAGCGCCTATTCTAACTAATTTTGTTCTCTGCAAACTAAATAAAAACTAATTTATACCTTTCTGCATATCGTTTTTTTTTTCAGAAAAGGGTTCTATATTGCCGCTCATGATAAAGGAGCATGCATGTCGCTATTGAGTCTGCGAGTTTACTACTACTACTGTCCCGAGACTACAATCTCCTTGGCAACGTTTCCGAAAACAGTGGCTGGGAAGAATGTCGCCTCATTGGTCACCATACAAGGAGAGTGTGTGAACAATTCAAAAAGAGCATCTGCCGAAGGTGAGGTTATAACAGTTTACCCAACTTGTCATAGTCTAATTGAAGTTAGCATTTAGTCGTATATCCTTACTGCTTTGGTGCATGAAAATATAAAGCAGGTGGCCTGATTTCATCATATACGCATGGGTTTCAATGTTTCAACACTCAAACGTTAGCATGAGGATAACAATGAAGAAGGGCTATTGCGATTTTCAATTGGCTTATTTATGAATGCCACCAAGTAGTTGGTTGTTGATTGGTCTTGTTTTTATCGCAAGCATAATTTTTCAAAACGAATTGAGCATATGATTTTTTTAAACTAACCTCCAAACCTGATTATGGAAAGTTCCGCCGACTTGAAAAGGTTTATGTTGCGTGTACAGGCAATCGGTTATAATTCTTCAATCATTGATACCTGGTACATATGTGAGAATCGGGTTGATTATTTTGCTATCCCATTTCTTCATATTTTTTTTAACAAATGAAATACTTTTATGTTAGGAAAAGAATAATTTCAAACATAATTTCAGACACGAATTGAAGAATGGTTTTACAAAATTATTGTTCTTGTTTGGTCTACTGAATTTTTCGCCATGAAAAACCTATTGGATCAATCGATTTTAAATTTTAAGTACTTGGGATAAGTCTCTTTGAAGACAATTCCCGTTTTATCAATTTTATCCGTATCCCCCGGTGCCTGACATTTGACCCCAATTTATACCTAGTTCCGTAATTTGCGGACACAACGTCATGTGACATTCTGAACAATTCTTTCAACATTCGGCTGAAGTTTGGCAAACAATATAGTGGCACATATAGTATACAAATACAGCCAAAATAGGCATATACAGCCAATTCATATATACATATGGAACCAATACCATATACATATACAGCCAACTCAGTATACATATAATGAATATTAATACAGAAATGACAATGACTGTGTGAACATTATTGCATCCACATGTTTGAGAATTGCTCTCTTGTTTTTATTCAGGGCCACGTTATCATTGCAACAGTAATGGTGAATGGAGAGTACGAACTGGAACTTGTCAATGTTTACCTGGATTTCAAGCAAGCGAGAATATGAAAACATGTCAACGTAAGTTTTTTAATTGTGCCCTATCAGATACCTTTAGCAAGTTTCAGTTTTGAGCCTATTAACGTAAATTGATCAAAGTCGATCATGAGTACAATCTGTTCATTTTTTTATCGATAATTTATTCATATTATCTAATTTATTATATTTACCTTATTGATTAAAATTTTGGGAAACATAACAAAATACCTCATTCTGAATGTTTTGATAAAAACAAATCATTGTCATGATTTCCATATATAACATTAATAAAGCCTTTTCAATTCAAAATTTTCATATTTGGATCAACATCTTTAATCGATCTCTTTTTGATTCACCTTTTAATTTATTTTTCGACTACTTCTATCGTACCCGGAAAATTTCGACACTAATTTGACACCTGAAATGCGAGCGAATTTCGCGCGCATATTCCTTAAGGGGTTATGATTCAATTCTGTGAATTTTTGAAGGGTTTTTGGACATTATCCCGTCACTTTTTTGATGTATATAAATTTTCCAATTGATTTCCTACAAGCTTAAAAAGTTTTCCCAAAAGTGCAATCCATGCCGCAATTATGATGTGAATCGGATAGTAGATTTATCCGGTTTTATGAATTATCCATTGCCACTCATAAAATAAAGGTAAAACAGTCTTAAAAATTACATTTTATCCATACTTTATACTTGGCAGATTATGTTTTTTCAGCTTGTGGTTTATATGAATAATTTATGTATGTAATATCGCACCCCAGGGTAACCTACAAAGTGTCTCAAAACTGTTCAATATAGTGAAAAGAACAATTTGAAGTTTTCGTTGGTTTTTGCGGTCCGCGATATACGACTTGACCTTTTTATAATCTGTAAATTTGTATAGTTTTAGATATGTTTTTTTCAAAGATAGAATGACACCTTTTCTAATCTTGATAGGTCTGACAAGGATATAGATGCTGTTTCTCTGTACAGATTATTTTGTCGCTGTACAAGTGTCGATGTTTGAGTACATTCGTCTTTGATATCTTTTAAATAATTATCGATTTTGTATTTAGTATTTAGTATACCCATACTCAAATTTCGTTTTTAAATTTCGCTTTTTTACGACGCTTATTCACGCATTTCGCTCCGACTAAGGCTCCGTGCAAGCACCCATTGATATTTGAAAATACGGGATAAGCTACTATTTCAGGAAAGGGCCAGAATTGGACTGGGCCGACTCAAACGAATATTTATATAATTACCAAAAATATTATATTCCTACAATTAATAATTCTCAATGTTACAGATATAACTGTTTTAGGAAATTTTCGAGTTACTGTCTCGCAAAAAAACTTTAATAGGAAGCCTCGCGATAACAAGCCTTCCATTTTGCACAACTCTTGTTTGTATAACTTGTCAACATTTTATCACAAAATTTTCGACATTCCGCATATTTCATATCGCTACAAATGTCAAAATAAATCTTTTATTACAGTTTCAAGATACCCATTTCACAACACGATATGGCTACATCTACATTCTAACTGATGAAGTCGCCGTATACAATTAGTTTCTTATCGTTGGCAATGTCAAAATAAATTTCAAGATATCATTTCAAATTCAAAGACGTTTACTCTTATTTCGTAAATTTATATGTAACAGAATATGCGTTTCGTATTGTATTTATCGGTACAATTCCAGCGGACTCAATCGGTGCGAACATAGGATTTAAAACTCAAGTTGTGCGCTTTCTATATTAGATGGGTATAACATGTTTTACGACTAATTTAGAAATGTCTCAAGCTTGGGGCTGCTATACATACAGAGTTGGAAGAAGTCTCCGGATTCAGGGATCGGAGCCGATTTTCAAACTTCATAATTTCTGAGTTATTAGGTCGTTATTTTCTACTAAAATAGAATCCTCTACACCCCTCGGGACTATATTCTTATTTTTTTTTTGTAAAACTTCGCCCAGCAGGAAGAAATGAGTTAAGTGCTGGAGACTGCTAGAGCTTTAGCTATGGTGTAGTAAGAAATGGTGTGATATCTGATACTGACCCGGCCATTCTTGTTGTCAAATTTAAATTATTCACAGACCTTTTGCTGTAATTACATGACGTAATCGGGATCAAATTGAACCTAAAGGCCACTTCGGAAATTTTAGCAGGCTGTATTTTGCACTCTATTTGCTCTGGTACTTGCACTTGCAGACAATTTCGACACATTGGGTGATGATATTTATTTTGCCTGTAGCGTTGATGTTGTAGGCGTTGCATCTGCTGTCTTCTGCTACGGATTTAACGGTAACACTCTATCATGTTTAAAATCAACGCCAATAATCGAAGTATGTACACCTCGTGCTTTTACTGGGTAATAATAATATTGTACATCAAATTTAATTCAAACAAGTTCAAGTATATACACACAATACTGATTACCAATGTGAGTTATTATTTTTAATTTTATTCTCCAAGTTTTTTATATATAGTCAGAAAAGTAGGCAGGAACAATTGTTCAATTCTTGTCAGTGATATATATGCATCTCAATACCGCCACCACCTTCGCAATAGCTCCATTGTTCGCATTGGAATAATGCGATGGGGTATAATATACAAATATAGGAGAGCCAATATAGGATACAAATACAGCCAAAAATATGCATGTACAGCCAATTCATATACACCGGTACATATAGAACCAATTCCATATACATACACAGCCAGCTCAATATACATATAATGAACATTGTTGTAGAAATGATAATGGCCGTGTGAATACTTTGGTATTGACCTTTTCGTGATATTTTTAGTAACCGACCAACTACCTCGTATAACACCCATTCAATTAGTCACACGGTGTTAGGCGGCAACCTTTTCTCAGATTCGCTCATTAAATATTAAAATTTAACTTTGGAAATGGTCGATTTTTGCGATACATGAACAACACCTTGCAGCGCATTAATAGTTTGAGATAGATAAAAAGGCATCGGCATTCACCTACGTACGTACGTTACGTAATGTATGTATGTCCCGTGTTTGGCAGTTGTTCGGTTATTTAATAATCATGTTTGATCGGCTATATTTTACTTTAAAATGTTTTCCAGACATGCTTTCAAACTGAATGGGTAGTGTCAAACTTTTTTTTATACACCCAAGTAGGCTTGAACTTGTCTTATTATATATTAATGCCTTGTATGATATGTTATAATCTGAACAAGGCAATATTTTCTTCTTCTTTTTTCAAAAGATAGGTGGTTTAATTTAATGCAGTTGTATACAATTTTAGATAAATAGGAATGATAAAAAATTGAAAATTCCGTTAGAAATTCCGACTCCGCATCACACTTTTAATCTCGTTGGCCAAGTATAAAGCAAACAATTTCAATACAATTTCAAAAGGTTTTGACCATATGGTGTTGTATATATGTCATAATAACATAAGGGTTGGGACCTGAGGTCAATGAAAAGTGGAAAATAGTCTGATTATAATCGTTATCTAGTTTTAAATCTACGTGTGTATCGCAAAACAAGATACTGTGGTTTCAAATGTGTTTTCTTTTGCAACATATGTGGTTTGGGATGTTATTTTCAACCGACATCCAAAGCGGGCGCGACCGCGCGATGGTCTAATTCAGTATTCCTCAAACTTTTTTCATCGCGACCCAATTGGCTCGGCCACATTTTTTCGCGATCCTCTGGAACTAAAATAAAAGTTCATTAAAAAATAAAATTATACAGAAATTATTGTAAAAAATAATAATAAAATTGACAATTCGATGTGCCTACATGTTCTCGCACAAAAAAAAATCAAATCTTGGCTGAATTTTTCAGCAATGGTGGGTCTCAGTATTGGATCCAAATTTTTCATAGTCATCGTACTTGTAATAAGTAATTGTCAAAAAAGATTTTACCACGCCCCAATTGAACCCTCCCGCGAAAAAACGGAGTAAGGACCTACCCCAAAAATCTCGTCTTATGAATGAATCTATGTTGGCATCTAAAGATAGAAAACTCGGGTATAAATCCCATGGTAACCCCATTACCCAGGATGTAATAGATTGGGTATAGGCAGAGCCAAGCCGAGAAGATTCTGGCGATCCTTCAAAAATGGCAGCTTCTTGCAAAAGCCTTGTTGAGAGTGGAAGGCGAGCGTGAAAAAGCGCTGTATAAAATAAATCATCCACCGAAGTTGTATTTTTGATAAATCAATCAATTCAGTAACGTTTTGTGCTTAAATGTAATTAATTGTGAGTTTGGTCACGCTGAATCCTTGGACTACATAGTCTCTCGATTTATTTCCATTTATTTTATCTTGTATTATCATCATCATAGTAGAACCATCGGTTCCGAAGACCTATGAATCGTAATGTAATTTTGGAGATTGCGCCAGACTCGAACCTTTCATCTTTATTGTCGGTTTGAAGCTTATTGATCTTCAATCTGATAATCATAATTTAAAGAGGTTTGAATTATCTGCAATTTTGCTTCAGAATAACAAAGATTGCATTTAATTTTACAGCTTGTAGTGACGGAAAATACAAGATAGGACATGGGAATCATGCTTGTTCAACTTGCCCTCGGAATAGCATAAGCAGCAATACAGAATCGGCTTCATTGAGAAGCGTTAGTTCTACCATCGATCGGATAGAAACACCAACTTATGCTCCGGATTTCTGTAAATGTCTACCCGGATATTTTCGCACTGAAAGTGAAGACGTTCGCCAACCATGCACAAGTATGTTTTGTTTATTTTGAAGATTTAGGAATTTTACCATTACGTGATGCGAAATTAATATCTAGCTATAGCTAGACTGTCACAGCGTAAAAAAATTCATAATTCATTCCGAATACGAACAATTTATTTGAGAATTTTGACTCAAAAGATGATAAAACTTTGTCAGTTGATTAAAAACAAAATTCATTTTGTCAATTTTGGGCAAATAATTGTAATGCCTTTGTGCAGTTTGCCTATAAGTTGAAACGACTTCGTCCGCTTATGTAGCAATAATCATCATCTTGTCGGTTGTCTGTTCTGAAAAAAAATCTTGGGAACGGAATCATAGTATGTACCTTTTCAACTAACGCTCAAAATGCGTCTGTGGCCAGTATTAATATCATTAAAAAAGGCGCTCCCGAAGTATGTGCACCAAAATGACGCACAACCTAAACCCTAACCTGGTACACATACTATGTTCGAGTTGTGCGCCATCCTGGTGCACATACTTCGGGAGGTCCAAACAAATATCCCACAATGTTTTAGACGCCATACTTTCTCTTTTTAAATTGCATTTCGTATCTGTTCCCGATAAGCCTCTCAGCATCGTCGGGTGTTTTAAATTGGGGGGAACATACCTTTCCAACTATCGTACTCTAACCAGCACTGGTTATCGAACGATAGGCTGTGGTTCGCTATATGAGTAAACCGTCTTATAGGCTTTCCTCTTAGCAGCAACTCCTATGTATAGAGCATCTTGTGAATACGACAAAAACTCAAAATAATACTGAAAGACGTTCTGTAGCAATTTCTCGACCCAAAGAAAATAAATCAAATAGATAAACATCTTTTAAATGCATGTTAAATGTGCAGACATAATAAAGCTAATGCATCTTGCGGTTTCTTGTCCGGAAAATATACCGTAATTCCATCCGTGTACGAAATGAAATTCGAAGATAGACCTGTAAATGATACCCTTTCATTTCCGTCAAGAATAAGATAAAGGGTCGATGGCATAGCGATTTAATTAGACTGGAAAATTTGAAAACTATACAGTGTATTTTTCTAAAAATTCTGGGTGAATACTTAGAAATTTCTATAGGCTTGGAGGATGTAACTACAGACTTTTCCCTATGTATGATATCATGATTTATCTATATTATTTTATTAGATAATGATATACATTTTACCTCTACATCATGAAAACCGTCAAATTTAATTCATAACTTTCGAAATGTATAGCATGGTAAATAGATGAATAGGTAGATAATAAAAACTATCATTACATAATTCAATATATTGATGCATATGCAATTTGTTAATAAAATAAAACAATAATTTGTATGCTGTCTAAAAAATGACATTATTAATAAAATGTTCACTATGTTTTAAATTGGATAAAATACTTTTTGACTCGAATTTGTCACCACTTCGCTGAATTATGCATACCCATGTTTAGTGTCAATAAACAATGATTATCAATACTGGAATATTTACGGGGTTAGAATTCACTCGAAGCAAAGCTCTTTACAAGCAGCAAATAAAAAGTGGAGATATTCAAACTCAGCGTGGAAAGAAAATGGTTGCCCTACAACCATATTCAGCTGAAATGCATTTTTCGTAAGACAAGTTGAGTAAAATTGGAATGCCAGATAAAACTAGTTACGAAGAGATAACCACTTTAGTCTCACCCCGACTAGAATTAATTTCATCATTGATGGCGGAACAAGAGAATATTCGTTCTTCAACTTGTTGCTGCTTATGTCAGAGACATTACCAACTTATGTCAGGAACATACATGATCTTATATATTTTTCAGTGCCTCCTTCTCCACCAACAAATGTAAAATATATTGTGAACGAAACTTCGGCTTCTATCAAATGGGACGAACCGTCTGAGCTTGGTGACAGAGTGGACGTTTATTATAAGTTAGTATCATATATGTTTACATATATATTATATACACACTTTGCAAGACTAATTAGGACTTCATACCTATATCCCCATTGGCTTCGTTACGATGAATGATACGCAGAGGTGTTGCCAGGGGGATCCTCTTCCCTTTTTTGAAATGTGAAAAAAAAAATGTCCATCATACATAGCAATTTTTGTAGCTTGGAAACCCACGTTTCCAGACCCACTAGATGTTGCGGCATAACGTGGCAATTAGAAATTTCAGATCCCTACATTTGAATATTCCTGGCTATACGCCCCTGCCAATGTGCCATCGCTCCGTGCAAGATTGTACAAATCGACTAAATATATATTTTGAATTAATATTACCTTTGATAATGAGCAAAAAAAAAGTATATGAATATGAATTAAATGGTCGTTGATAACGAAAGCTGAACAAAACCAACATCGAAAATAAATTTGTGGGTTTGTTGTATCATGTCTTAAATCTTGCTTTGTGAAGAGTACAACAAATGACAATACGATAGAATAAAGGCAAGCACTGTTTTGTCACATAAGAATGAAATAAAAAATATGAAACTTTAATAAATCTATCATCGATGCAGTTATATAAACTGGTTGGATTTAGGATTTTTTTTACCGCCTCCGAAATTTCTCACTAGATTCACATCGGGGGTTATGGTGTTGCAGCCATCATCTTTTGTCGTAATCGGCCATGGCCCTGGCACTGGCAAAACTACTACACAATTCTTGTTGCAGTTGGAATCACATTACAGATTGCCCCAATATTTTATATCATAAATGATCTCAATGTTGAAGAGATTACCAGTGGTTCTTGCATTCTGGTTTTCAAATTCACGTTGATTAATTTTCATTTGTCATTTTTTAAAAAGCTTTTATTCATTTTCAAATTGGCGTTTGAGGTGTTGTTCCATTACCTTTTGTATATTGTCCCAGTAGGCACGGTGTCAATCACTCAGTGTCCAAAAGTATTACTAGCTTATCTTTGGCCGAAGATAAAGCCTTAATTAATTTCTGAATATATCCCACAAATGGGATTCGCGGTTATATATACACCTGCCCAGATCCCAAAGTGGTTCTCTGAGACCTCCATAAATTACTCATCGCATCTGGCATTCCCGCTCAAAATATGATCACGTGATTATCCCGAGCGAAAGAGGGCGACCAAAAGTAAGTCTTATTTATGATCCATGCTAGGTAAATTCTGTGACAGAATGATTCCAACGGGATTCATTTACTTTTTTTCTTTTGCATTCCAAAGGTGATTATAAGCGGAGATAATTCTGTTTTTGCCTTGCCTATTTTCCCAACATGCCATGTCATTTTTTAATGTAGTTCATTTGGTTAATTGAGAGGATAGACTGTAAGGTTGGTGTCGAGAACTGAACTTTGCGGTATACCCCATCCCGTATACCCATAACCGCTTGGCTAAAATTTGTCAAGGACAATTATATAATTTAAATACCATTGTCGATATATTAATTATATCAAAATTCGCCAATTGACTCTACTTCCATACAAGCGTTGGGGGTAAAGCTTAGCCATGCTTCACCACTTTTTTTTTTCTCATATTTTTTTCGATTTTAATTATTTTATCAATCTCAATGCGAAACCTTTTAAAGTCTCGCATTCATAAATGTAAAAAACAAGGTATAATTGAATCTCTTACTAGTTTTTGAAATGTTGTGTACCTTTACAACAGACCTCGTGAAAACAATCCAATTTCCCCATAAACTTGAGACGTTATTTTTAAACAACTTTATTTCTGGTTCATTCTTTTCTAATGGAAATGTGGTTTCGTCAAAAATCGGTCTCAATATGTCGTGCATTTTTCAACAAATTGAAAATGCCATGGTCACAGCTGGTGCCACTCAGAGATTAGGGATTTATTCCGACTTTAAAACACTCATCGCATATTGCTTAGAGATCGATACTGCATCTATCTAACATAGATTCTGTTTTTATACGATTTTCTCCAATAATATTCAGTTGTTTTTGTTAGTTTCTGGCATTTAAAATTATTCTGTTACCACTTTCAGCATATCTTGTGAAAAATGTTCGACAGACTCTTACACCAAGTGCACAGAGTGCGGAAGTCGAGTGATCTTTGAACCCGGAAATAGACGACATATTACAACCAATCACATTCGAGTTCATAATTTGGAAGCATACACTCATTACCAATTCAAGGTAAAGTATTTCATTTTTATGCAGCAAAGATATAATACATACATAAAGACATACACTTATATTTCACAGAATTTCATACGCGGGAATAATAAATGATCCCTCATCTAGAAAAAATGTTTGGTCAATTTTTTGTCACAAAATTTATGGTCCCCTTTTTTAATTTCCAATCGATGATATATTGTAACGAAACTTTAATTTTGTAAAAAAATTATTGGTATTAATTGCAAAACGTCCATGGTTTCTCACACTCAAGCCAAAACCTGTATGTCCGACTTTATTCCAATTGGGATAATATCATGTAATTGCCAAGAACAATTTTCTGACAGTTTGTTTTTCTTTTGGTTTATTTTAGGTTTATTCAGGTTATTGAACCATCTTTATCTATTTATTTTAAAGAAAAGTGGGACATTAACCTGGTTTATCATAACCTAAAATAGTGGCAACGCAACAACACAGAACTCTTTTTCCGATTTCAAGTAAAAACTTGCAATTTGACTTCTGGAGTAATTTTTTACACATTGTGATATTTATAAGCGTATTGTTGTACCCCGATTTACGCAAATCTGATTTGACCCATGCACAGTGAAGTATATTTGACCCTTTTTTAAACTTTTACCCCCTTTTCCAATCGTTGATAACATGCCCATTTTAATTACGGAATCGGCCACATGAGAAAGCCTTCAAACCTCAAGATGTCATGTACCCTGCCAGTAATAATAAACTTCTAATTATATTTTCACCTTTGTTCTTTTAGTAGACGGTGTTTTTGAATAATTAATGTAGACTAGAACGATAAGTGTAAAAATTGGTAAATCGATAAGAATTTTAAAGTAATTTTAAATTCAATACACATTTACTAAGTGAAATTACATTTTTTTTGTGCAATAAATAATTAAGATCAAAGGCACCTTGGTGCAAAATTCAATCGTCATAAAATTCAACTGAAATTGGCTGTCGTTTTTAAAAGTGTGACGTAATTTCAAAATTGCATTTACTTTGAGATATTTTCTCTATTCTTTTCAAAACACTCTATTTCGATTGGGTCAAGCGTGAATCATACACCAACATATACAATTTTCTCTGTTCAATGCGAAAGCACTATGTATCGGTATAAATTAGTCGAATAGTTAAAAACTCGACTTGATGAAAATGAACGTTTTGGGAGCTTCATTTTTGTCCCAAGTCTTGAGTTTTTATTTTTGGACGCGAAGTTGACCTATAAATCGTTTTTATAAATTGTTTTTTGCCTCGATTTGACGTGGCCCGATATTCCCGACATTTTTACTGTTTTTTCTCATGGGAACACGTTTTATTATGACGTATACAATTCTTCATTTGGATGACATTTTTTTTCTAACATCACGGTAGGCATTTGACTTATATTTGAAGATTGCTTAATTATTAAATGATAACAGAGTGTATGAATATAACAAATATTGCCTGGATCTTTATAAAATAAATTGAATTTCTCATTGTTTCAATAATGGAAATATGCTTTTAAGATATTCTTCTAATAAGAACGTAGTTCTAATAGTTTTGCTGCACGAAATGGTTAGTGACAAACTTTCGATAATTTTCATATTTAACAATACAAAAAAGTTATTTGTTGAATAAAATTGTTAATGTAATTATTATAATTCAACAACTGATATGTTAAAATTATTTGATTGGTCGGTAATAATTAGCTCCACTAATTTTTGAAATTTTTTATATGGCTCAGGTACTCTTGGGCCTGTGGATCTCCGCATGCAGTATATATTATAATCGAAAATTTTAGTTTTTCCCAGACTTCTTCCTCATGAGGGTTTTTATTTTTATTGTCAATTTCTTGGTATTCAGTTTACGTACGTACATCGAAAACTTTCTGCCTCAGTGCGATATGTCACATCATTTGTAAACAGACGCAAATAAATCGCCACGTTTTAGTCACAAGTGTTGTACAAAAACAAAATTCTGTGCGCCACCAATAAATAAAACTTTGTAGCGTGTAAATCACAAAGTAGGCTGTACTAAAAACAATCTACCTAGAGATTTAAAAGTATATTCGCGTTATATATGACCTATCTCTGATCAAGTATACGTTCGATTGAACTCAAATTAGTGTCAAGAATATTTTTGTTGACATCACACACCACAATCGTTTTATCGTTTGAGATCTAATACTCTAGCTCGCTCTGTTTCCAATACGATAAATAAATAATATTTTTTCCGTATAGATATATTATTTCGAGGAAATCATAGGACAGCGATTCCAAACCGGGGGGCCCGTGGCCTCCTAAGCGGGCCACAGAGCCGTTAGAGGGGAGCACAATGCTAGGCGCAAAACTGATGATTTTTTTACTTTACAAGAAACTTCCATCTTTCCTAGTTTCATTGTTTGATAAGGTTATTTCACAGTATGTTTCACCTTGTTGAACATGAATTGTCTGAACATAATGGGATTTGGAATACACTAATCAAAATAACACTACAAATGCCACTGGAATGATAAACAGAGACCATGAGTACTAAAAGTGTCTGGAAGCTAGCCATGAAAGATTGGGAACCACTGTGACAAACGGAAAGATAATTTTGACACTGGGACACAAACTTGAATTTCCATTCGAATTGGCCTATTACGCAGCTACTTTTCATATAAGTATTATTTGTAATAATTACCTTGTTGGTATACGAATGTCTAGCTAAACGTTTTTGTATGCCAAAATTATGGAAGTTGGCAAGATTTCGATTATCTTTCTCTGTATGTATATATAAGTATATAAATCCACCGCACAACCTTTCAACTCTGTTACCGCATTCCAGTGATGTATTTTTCCCCGAGCATCGACTTCCTTGTTCATATCCGTAACACTGACTAATCGCCAAGACTGGTCAGATTTCCCCTATACAGGCAATTGTAGATATATAATACACGGTCTTTTAATTTTGTTAGGATATTTTATTGATGAATATTTCCCCTGGATTCCCCAAGCATAGACTTCCTTCGTTCCTTGTTCATTTCCTTAAAATTGGCTAATCAGCAAGATATGAAATGTGACGTAACAATTGAAATTTTATCAGTTGCTGCCAGACTTTTTTCACTCAAAACAGATTTCTGGGCATAATTCTAAACATTATCTCAAGCAAAAAAGCTCCAAAAATAGGCCCAAAACAATTTCAATGGTAACGTATGGGTGTCGAACGTTGGGGAGATATCCATTACATTTAATTTGTTTCTGTTCTGCAAACAAATCTGACTTCGCGTACTGCATCTTTAATTTTTGCTTTCAATCGTCATAGAAAAAGATCTTTATACCGAATATTTGTTAAGTTTCAATTTCGCAAAACTGTCACTTTGACTGAAATATTTATTTTTGAAACGACTAAATTTTATTTTATCTTCAGTTCATATCGACTTTCCTTCATTCGAATAAAAATAACAAGATTTTCCAGTCGCATCCATCCTACTAATTAAACTGTAATCTCAATCTAATTAGGAAAGTCAAAATCTTATCCGTCGTGTGATGTCACAAAGGATTATCTTCCTAATTGTGACGCGAAAAGGCGATTGCGGTCATTAGAGTACATTCAAGAATATGGGGTTAATTGAATTTTCAGATTCTTCCCAGTTTTTGAAATGAATATATTATTATAAGCTTTATAGAGAATGCTGCACTTATTTACCTTCAAATCATGTCAATTATAATTACGTTCTTAAGGCCTTCTTCGTGGAGGAGGCAATTCAAATAGCGATTGGGGGCATATGTCCATTCATATCGCTGATTAAAATTAATATAGAGTGAGTGTATTATTATTTGTAAGTCTGAAAGGGAAATTATTCTGATAGAAATTGTTGCATCAATTATTATGTGGCGTATCAAAACATACGGAATATGATTTAACACTTATCATTTGTGTTTTAAAAATCAACATTTCAACATTGGTTGGAAAAATTGTGTCCAGTGTTAAGGTAACCTGGACTGGTTATTAAACTCAAGACGCTATTTTGATATATTCGGTGCAAGACTGCGAAGATTTCCCAAGAGCTGTTGCTAAGTTCTGTTTGTTTTCATCTGTTTTCCCGTTTGTTTTAATTTAACCCAAGAGTAGCATCTCACATTAACCAAAATCTACAGGCGATTGATAATTGTAAGCCTTTGCATTGACAGCCTTCTATTATTTTATTTTTTTTTTTGCTTTTACGAGTTCTGTGCCTATGAACGCACTTCAAGCTTAAATTGTTCCAAACAAAATATTAATTTTTTCAGATATCCTCAATAAACGGAGTAACTGCAGCGTCCCATGCTCCAGCCCGGTATGCTCTCATACAAGTAATGACAAATCAAGCAGGTATGGTATTGGTTATTTAATGTAAACAAGTGAGCAAGAGACCCAAAGATCACATAGTTTTAATCATCAATATCTGTGAAATTCCAGCCAAATGTTAAAAGAATTGTACCGAATTTCATATAGAACTTTAAAATCTTTATAAATGCAAACTGTAGGTTTAGGAAAAAATGTCCTTCTTTCGTGAAATCGATTTGTCTAGTAGTTGTGAAATGAAACGATTTTTCACGACAACAATAACATTTAGAAAAATGATCCATAAATCCATTTCGTTTCCAATAAACGAAAAATCTCGTGCAGTCTCATGGAAGATTTTTACAAATCATATTTTGAGAATACAACTGGGATAATATCATCAAATGCAAATTATAACGCAGCGTGTTTGGGTATTCACTTGTGTCGGTACTTTCATCAAAAATGTTATGTTTTTTTATTAATCCAATAATCGTAACCATCAACCACGCAACTAGTTACTCGACTCCGTAAACCATGTGAAAACTTTTAGAAGATAAATTCAATCATTATTTGATAGTCAACACTGCGGCGACACGGTGGTACTAATCACATATTTTTCTGAAAGCTGTTCTTTCAAGTATATGGTAATATGGTATACCAATTCGAAACTTGTTTAATGTGTAACAAACAATCTAGATTTTCGTTTTCACGTTTTGTCACGTTGAGCCCAAGGCTGTTACAAGTTTTATATAGTACAAATTAAAAGTTTTTATTTCCCTTTGCATGATTTGGCAAACCACGCATTGGAATCTGGCGGAGTGTTTTGAAGGCAAACAGAACTGTGTGTTATTTAGAATTTAAATCGTAGTTTTTTGTAGTTTCAACCAAGTCAACCTTCAAGCGATGACAACCCATACAAATTGAGCTCGTAATTATAAACAAGAGAGCAATTCTCTAAAATATGAGGCAAAGATAAAACGACTTTCACAATGTCTTAAAAGAATTTTACCGAATGCCGTATGAAAGTGTGATCGTGAATATAAAAAAAAAGAAAAATTTGGGGTAAAATTTCGAACTGAAGAAAAAAGTGTGAAAATATTAAAACGATAATAGCATTCTAACGACTTTTTCCATCTCTAAACACTAAAGATTTTGAATTGATTGGTCTATTAGTCGTGTATAAAAAATGATTTTTCACAACCTCAACGAAAACGGTTCGCAATTCATTAGTACGTGTCCAATGAATAGTCTGAACATTTGGGTGAATTGCATTAATTCCAATTTCAAATATCCAACTCATTTTGAACAAAGACCATTTCCAGTCTTCTCTCATAATATCTCATATTTCTTTCTAAGTTATTATTTTCTTTTTTATATTTTTATTCATGAGTGACGAATTCGAATCCTTTTCCAGTGTAGATTTGAGCTAACTGTCAAACCAAGAAGATTCTAAATGCATTTTGAGTTAACTAGGGCGTTTAAAATCATAAATAATACATTTCTATTGGCATTTTTTTTTAATTTGGTTTAAAAGTTTAATTCGTTATGGTGATCGAAGTAAAAAATATGTAACAATGTATTTTAATTGTTCTCCAACTCGTAATATTAAAGAGATTACATTCACGCGGCATAATGCAGCACTAAATTTAATTTATATTTGCAAATAGGAATGTCAGATTAACAAAACAATCTTCGCAATGAAAAAACCAAAAATATAATTTCGGTTTTCTGATAGACGTGATTATATTATTATCTTACTTTGTGGATTTAATGATAAACATCCGGTAATGAACGTGATATTATAAAAACCACGATGGTAGCTCTCTTGTCTCAAGCTTATTCTAGATTTGGTAATATCCTGTTATCGCTGTCTTGGGCAAACTTACAGAGAACATTACCGGTGGGGGTATATTAGAATACTACCTTTTAATATATTTTTTATGTAATTGGAATAATAGAATGATAATTTGCAATTTGCAATAATTTGGTTTGCAGTGAATTTGCCTGTAAGACGCGTTGTTTTCTTCGCCAATTTTTCGACTGGGAAACCAATAAATTGTAATATTGCATGTATTGCTAAGTTTTGTAAATCGGTTAGGTTTGTCTATTATAAATTCCGATTAATGAAGTGTGCAATTACTTTTTTAAGCTATATTAAAATATCTACACCACGCTGAGAGCACCTAACTGCGGGAGTGGGGAATGGCTTTTCTTGTCATATTACTGAGACTAAAAGAACTGTTTCACTTCTATTTAAATCAGTTCTTCTGCGCTCATTTATATGGTAACAACCCACTCGTATTTCTATAGTATTTACTAGTGGGTGAGATTTGAATAATTGACAAAGTATATTTGATTTGGCTTTATAGCGCAGCATTAATAACTTGATGCATGATTGATTGATACATTATGATTATACTTTTTATGAAATTCGCATCTCGTGGTCTATTTCTCTCGCCACCGGTGCATGGTTTTTAGTTTGCAAACCGAGCATATCACCCTGGTATAAGTATTTCATTGTGAAACTTGATCCGTAGATTATTTACACATAGCCTTCGCGGTGCATCACTTCAGTGGTCCATACTAAACCTTGTAAAGATAATCATATTTTATGATTGAGATTCCGATAAATGATGCCGTATGTGCATAACCTTTAAAAGATTAATCCAAAGTTTAGTCAACAAATATTAATGAAAATCGTGACACGGTCTAATCCAAATTTTACTTTTCGCGGTGGAAAGTAGAACGCCGTCAAATTCTTTGCGTTACGTAAGGTATACAAGTGTATTCGCGGTTTTCAATCTTAAAACTGGATACCTCCAGTTTGATAATGTTTGATTTGTTTATATCAAAACTGAACGGATGTATTTTTGCAAACCGCCATTTTAGTCTGTTCGCTTTCATCTCATTTGACTGTGGTGGAAGTACGGATTCTCAACCGCGGATGATGAACGTTTAGTATCTTTTACAAGATTTCCTTTCGAAGGTGTTTTTGTAAAGTCTTCTTTTCCATTTGTACCACACACGCCAATTGTTCGGCTTGTTTTGGATTAAGATAAATATAAAACTCTAGAGAATGGTTGGAGTTAGCATATGAGGTGAGAATCATACAATTGCGATAAGTACAAGGCAAGTGGGAAACATTTTTGAGACACTCTTCGAATGTAGGATTTTGCTAACCTATCCTGATCAGCCATACGTGGGGCCCTGTGGGCAATCAGTCGGTCGAAAATGCGCAATAAAATTGTTTGTTGAAATATTATTGGAATTTTCTAGGAATCCAAAAAAGATAGAAAGATGGACTGTTCAGCTATTCACTAAAACGCAATTAGCTTTAGTGAATAGTTCAGTACATCGGCTAAAATTGGAATATCATGAAAAATTTTAATACGCCCTGAGTTTCAGCTATTCCGGTACTTCATTTGAAGCAAGCTTTTAATATCGGAATGATAAAGTCATTTTTGAAATGAACAATACGAGTTTTGGTTTATAAATTCCTGATTCATCTTTCCTGCAGCACCTTCTGAAGTTCTCAACGTACGAACGGTGGAGACATCTTCCTCTGGTTTTACTGTCGCCTGGTCCTTGCCGAAACATCCGAACGGTAAAGTCCTGGGATATGAAATTTTAATCCGTGAAAAAAATTCAGACGATGAAGATAAAGGAGATTTGAGTGCATTTCTATTGGAGCCAAACAATCCTGTCTTGTACGAAGTAAGTTTTTAAAACATAAATTTAACCTGCTAGATTGGTAGAGCCCTGCAAAGGAGCTTGAAAATCGTCACTGTCAAAATAGTTTGATGACTCTAGCTTCCTCCCATGCAATTTGATTAGGTACCTCAAAAATAGCGTGTCTCACTTTTCCTACACTTGTACTACGTTCCCACACTTGTCACACTCGTCTAAATTGTATGTAGCTTATTTACAATGAATACTCGAACTGTCAAAGTATTATATTCATCCTAACCCAGAGGGCAACATGAATTCGACCTAATACGATTACTTTTACAACCATCTCCCCCACAATATATATCTGCCCCAAACTCTGGACAGTTGGACAAGTGCGACAGGTAGAAAAAGTGGGAGACGCGGCGTTTTTGATACACTGAATTTACTTTGAACATATTGCTTCAAGATATCTTAAAAATCGTAATAAAAATCGTACTTTATATGGAGTGCGAGGATTTGTACAAGTAATGCATTGAAATCGATTGAGCTTGGATTCGTCAATCAAAATACCCTGACAACTTGCACTATGATTATCCAGTCACAAGCTTATGCAAAAATATCTTATATATAAAATATTCATTTATCAGTGTGCATTTCACCATTTTGAGTAAATATATTTATGTCATCTTTAACTTTTAACTTTCACTAAAATGTTTATTTACAGACACAAAATCGTTCCATTGCAATATCGGACTTGAAGCCAGGAAAAAATTACGAAGTTCAAGTTCGCGCTGAAACGGCGGCTGGATTCGGTGGATATAGTCACATGATGATTACTCAAACAAATGAAGACACGGGTATGTTTAAATTCTTGGTCAGAAAATATATATTGGTTTATTTATATTATATAACTGGGAATGAATTAATATGTTTAAGGCTTAATATACATAGATGTCTAAGGAAGCTCTACAATATGACACAAAGAGATAATATTTTAATACTTATCTGAAATATTAAGTTATCGGACTTTTATCACACTTTTTGCAGAATAGAAACCTCTGAATACCATGCATGGGGTTCGCAGAGACAATTCCTGTGGGTAAATAGGTGCGCGAGGATTGCTGGACTCTCGCCGCCGTAGGGTGGTTCACTTAATTGATAGTCTGTTACGGCTTTCTCCACCATCAAGTCCATGCATCTGAAAATAACCGGCGCCCGACATGAACTACTAACCGAACTGGAGGCGTGGTTCGCCATACCATTAAACCGTCTTATCGACTTTCTGCTCCCCCGGGGTAAATATGTAAATCGTATACTATTTTAGGCCCGGTCACTTCCAATTCACCAAATTCAAGTCGACTTGCGGTATTGATCGGCATCGGAGCAAGTGCAGGATTGTTGTTGGCAGTCATTATCACCGTTTATTTGTTATATAACAGGTTGGTGATTGCGTTGAAAAGGCGCTATTTTTATCTTCCTTGTATCTCAATAAAGGTAATTCGAATAGACGTGATCATTTGATCGTGTGACAAAAATTTTCTGTGAAGAAGATATTGGATTTTGAATATTGCAAACTGTCACATTATTGCAAACATATGCTTAAATCGCAAAGCTTATTTCCATTTTTTTCAGACGTAGGAAAGCACATGCATCTGAAAGATTCGAAGATGGTTCATCTGAAAACAAAGAAGATTCATTCGAGGATGCCAGACATTTGATAGGTAAGTACTAACTGAATCACTTTAGTATTGTGTAAGAAAATGCAAATACAAATTGCATCGGAAAGAAAAAATATTGGCATATTTGTGACTCCGACCTAAACTTCTTATTCATTCGAAGACACATAAGGTTGTCATAAAAATGTCATGTACCACACCTGTCCCACTTGCACGAATTTAACTCCAGATGCTTTCTTTAACTCTTTGCTTTCCACTACTAGACCAATTACTTTGAAATTTTCAGAGGTAATAGCTTGTTGTTGTCACTAGAAGGCTATTACTTTAATTTATTTTAAAATAGCTACGGGCTCTATGGGATTCGTTTTTTAATTCGAAGTTTTGTGTGACGACGAAATTGTCATCAAAATTGAAAATTGCGTGCCTTGGTTCCATGATCACGTGTCAGTGATCTGGTGGTCAGACATACCAGTACTGTAAAAAAAATTGATACTGCTTTGTTTTGGCTTTTGTGTCCGTATATTTGAACATATTCTTTTGTTTTTTCATAGTTCAACTTCCATCTTACTCGTCTACACAACGTCTATACGTTGATTATCCAGACCCACAAAAGGGTGTTCGGGAATATGCATGCGAAATCGATCAAGCTTTTGTCGAAATAGAAGATACAATAGGACAAGGTACTTTTCATTTATTGGACACGAAATGTACATATGGATCGTTTTGTTTTTATGTTGTTGTTGTTTATTTTATTAGTATTTTTTTCGTTTTCTTTTTTTCTTTAATTTCTGGATCAGGATTTAAAAAATTTTGTGGGCTCTATAGTCTCTATACGATTCTTTTTTTGTATGCGATGGCGTCATTAAAATTAAAAATTGCGCACCTTGTGGCGCTTCCACGTTCGCTACTATTTGGGGGTCAGGCGAAGTCGTGAAAACTGCTGTACCAGTTGTCTACTGTGACATATTGCATCCCCGTACTACTTCTTCTTGGTCTTTGAGCACCGCTCTCTTGTTTATATTATATGAGTTTTACTCGAAATGCCTAAGGATAACATTGTGTAGATATCGCGTCGTGTAATATAACAAAAATGCGAAATAAACAGGAACATTTTTGTAACATTTACATATTTTTTCTTGAGCCGTTTATATATTTAAATGAATTATCATCCAGATAATCTATGTCAAATACTTCAAATTTCGTATATGACCTTGTTCTGACAGGAAAAATTTGAGACATATCCCCCATCTCAACTAGCAGAATAGGGACATTACTCTCGATTACGAGACTAATAACAAATGCAAACTATTTTAGGGGAATTTGGTGAAGTATACCGAGGAAAACTAGGATCGCCCTCATCTGGCAATACGGAACAAGTTGCCATCAAACGATTAAAACAGGGAGCTAGCGTTAAGGATCAACTCAACTTTTTACGGGAGGCATGTACAATGGCACAGTTTGACCACCCAAATGTACTAGTATTGAAAGGAGTCGTTACAAAAAGTAAGTACACCTTACATTTTACACGAATGTATGTTAGAAACCAGCTCTTTCAATGTTGTTTGGCACTTTTTGAGGCGCGTTTCTACCATGTACATATGCATATATTCTTCGGTTTAAAAATATAACTTAAAGATTAAATTTTATCATAAAGTAAAAACTGAAATATCGACTAATATGGCTTTCGAAGATTTCAGTTACAGGCAGTATAGTTATTGTCAATCGCGACGATTTGATGTTGTTCTATTTCTTGCGTAGATTCTTCTTATATATATTTTGAGTATACCACATCGTATTGCTTCATTCATCCGTCATATCTATATCCACTATTTCTTTGTCGTCGCTATCGTTGTCATCTGCAATTATGTAAACAAATGAAAGCCAGCTTTTTTTATTTAAATTGGCTTGTAAAATTTAAAAGTTTGTTACATTGTCAGTTACTGCAATAGACATTATTATACCATTATAAATTGTAGGTGGTGTTATAGTTCCCCAGAAAAGTTATTGTATGAAAAGTAAACAACTATATTACAAGCTATCTAATATTTCAATAGTTTTAACTCAGTTGGTAATAACATTGCACCAAAATGGGCGCTCCAGAAGTGTGTGTATCAATATGGAGGTAACTAATTTTGTTCGCCTACTTTACATCAAGTTGTGTAAAGGCCAAAGGGACGGAAGCCTATGGCAGGGCGTATATTCACTTGGCTAACACAAACAGTCCACGAACTCGTAATGGATTTAGAACTCGTAAGGAAAATCGGAATAAAGTTATGGCCTAACCCCAACCTGGTACACATACTACAGGATTACACCAAAAATAGTGTTGTGTATGTGTACTTATGATATATATACATATATGTACTTATGGTCGGTTCGGACCTTAAACTAATCGTTATGCATGTCAGGATAGAAATCATAAATCAGTATTTTATTTTTTGACTCACTAAAAATAAACTCTGTATGAACAGAATATAGAAAATAACATAAAAAATGGCCCTTCATGATACATAGAGGCTCGAAAAACCAATACTGGTCATCGATGAGCGACACTCGTGATCAAATCTAAAAGTATTTAATAAAAAACAGGGATGTGTAACAAGCGGCCCGCGGGCCACAACCCGGCCCGCCAAGTCATTCAGTGTCGCCCTGAAGTTTATGTTTAAAAAGACGCACATAGGTAAAAATTAATAAAGTTTTTTTTCCATGTCACTGCGTTGAATCTTTCTCCATTTTGCCCGATGTGCGACAGACAGCCTTTTCTTTGTGAGAATTTTTCAATTCGCAGTGTACATGCAAAAAAATGTTTTTGTGGCCCTAGCAGATGTCGGAAGTTGGTAATATGGCCCACCTGCTATTTTGAGAATTGAAAATGAAAGTTTCAGTCTGTTATATATCAAAGTATTTGTAATGTAAATCCATACTTGTTAAGTTTGAACCAGAGGTGAATCATATGTACATAACAACGGAAGCAAAAATACCTTTACGTTCCAATTGAGTCATTTCCATAGCTTGTGCTTGTGTGTCTGATTGAGAAAATTCCGATGCACCTTCCACGCCACGACATTCATTAACAGCTTTTCGTAATCTTTCCAATTGAGTGGCAAGTTGATTTCGAAATATGAACAGGATTACTATTACTATGAATAAAGCGACGACAGCTTGTAGTCCTCCTATTGCTGAACTTTGACCCTGTAATATGGAAACCTTCGTAAACTATGTTGCAAACAGGATTTTTTATTTCTGAGTGTTCGTTTTTTTCGGCCGGCAATATTCTCTGTCAATAAAACTTTTTAAAATTATTTTTCTTCAAGTAGTAAAATTCAAGTTATGACAAGCAACTCTCTTGATGTGAAAAAAAAATCCGATTCTCATATAAATCAAGAAGCTATACGAATCTCTTACCTCTATTTCGCTTCGTAAATCCGTAATCGTGTCAGAAACACAGGTTTAATTAGAACAAATGCCCGATGCTTCTCTGATAACCGAAAATAATAAGCCAGTTTGAACCGTTCCTTGGCACCTTTATAAACGTAGCAATGGAGTCAATAAAAACAATACACATGTTTTCTCTTTGTTTACTTCTAAATGGTGGGGAAGGATTGACAATTGACAAATCCTACAAGTACAAACTACCAATACGGCTACCATATCTCTGAAATCATGTTACTTGAGAAGCATTGCTACCATTGTTCATCCTCACACGAGACTGCATATTGTTTCATACATTCAATATGGGGTGTCCATGAAGTCTTGAAATTTTTTAAAATTGCTGAGGGTATTTATCGATTCCATATATTGTTTTGGCCCTCACATATGTATTAAATGAAGTAAAATTACTGAACAATCACTGAATAAAAAACAACAAACCTGGTTAATATACATTGAGAACTGACTTCATAACAAAATTGAAAGTGTAAAAAGACTTTATAAACACCCTTACACAATTACAGACGTTCCAAAAATACATTTTTTTCGCACACCTGGTAATGGTCAACAATCTTTACTGATTTCGATATACCATTGTTACATATATATAAAATATTCTTTGCATATATGTAAAAATACAACACAATTGAATTCTTACTTTTCCATTATTAAATATAAATCTTCAATAACGTTGTGGAATGTAAAAATTTGTATTCTCTCTTCTCTTGTACCACTTTGGTCGATGTTTCTTGGTATACATCTGATTTCGAAATGAATCTGACTCCGACCCTCGCAGTATTTATAAGTTTCAAGCATCACTACAACGCCAGGCATATCGGCATTTCAGTCTATATAAAATATATGGCGGTGGCTCCTAAAGGGTATGTCCCACACTCTGTCCCTCGCACAAAAATAAATATAACGCCAGTGCATTTATTTTCCGTCAATGGAGGATACACAAAGCGCTCGGGTTTTATTTACTCCGTGCGTCATAGTTACGAGTCGCGAGGTGTTGCTAAAATTGTAACATTAATTGCTATTTCTTGTCTATCGTGTTTGGTCTAATGCCACTTGTCGGATACCACTTGTCTAATTCATCAAGATTAATAAGGTAAAATTTGCTTGATTTCCAGCAATTTGATTAATTCGAATCAATAGTAATTTTCTTCTTCTTCATGTACCAGGTCTGTTACAGACATTGCCGATCATGGCCTTCCATTTCAACCATTTCCATAAGTCTTTTCCGGGTGGTGTTAATTAGAAATCTTTTGTACCCGGTCATTTCCATTGCTTTTTCGTTCGACATTTTTCGTCCATGATCCGGTCATTCTCATAATTCTTTTGATATACTACATTTCTGCTGCTTCAAGTCTTCTTTCGAGGTCTTTTATTCACATCTGTACAAAAGGATGACCCATATGTAACCCTTCTCATGGGAATCGTCCCATGGGATGGGATGGGACAGCACACATTTGTATTTCCCATGAGACACAAAACACCGTATGGTTTTCGGGGAAATGATGGTGAAACATTTCATTGTGGACTTAGTGTACTTGGGCCATTCCAAGCAACTATTGAATTCCATCAATTGTTTTCAAAAGTGTGGTGAAAGTAATTGTTCTGTATTTTTTTTATATCAAATAACACTTGAATTGTATTAGACTGCATTCTTTTCACCGAAAAAATCAAAAATTTAACCAGGTTTTTGATAATTCACACAAAGTGGCCTGAAATATAGAAATTTTGATATAATCGACATGTTTGTGATGAATCGTAACACAAAGTGTTTAATTTTCTGATACAATTATTTCCTTTCAAATAGTGTTTGCAGTGCTGTAGGACATGGTTTCACCTATCTAACGATTTATTACCCGAATTTTAAGAGATGATGGAGGCTGCTGTTCCAAAGTGGACAAATGTCCCGTAGTGTCCCGTAGATTGTGCTCATTATTGGCATGGGCCTACAGTGTTACATTAAGTTACTTGAGCAACACATAGCGGTGTTCTTCAGCTACCGCGATATAAAATAGTATGGGCTCCTGTTTTACCACCGCGACAATTTACAACACAACACAGTGAAACGTTAATGGATGGTGGAATTGATGTCCCGTAGTGTCAGGCTAAATTTTACTACATATTTTATATCCACTACGTAAGTCTTGTGTGTAAGTTTTGTGCAAATTTGTTCCAACCCCGTGAAGCAACTGATTGGACAATGAAACAAAACATGTAGTTGGAAGTGTAAAAATATATTGAATATAAAAACATGCAAAATTTCTGTAAATGTCGTGTAGGGTCACTTGGAATAACCCATTTGAGCATAGCGCTCTTGTTAGTTATAAATAGCAAAATGTATATACTTTGTGAAGGGGATGATAGACACATGTATAATAGTTAGGAATTTTGTTGTTTTGCATATCTCTTCGTACATGTAGTCACGAAATATACATCCATCACACATGTAAAAATTGCAATTACGCGAAGTATCTTCTCTTTCCTGGTATTATGGTTGTTGTGAAAAACTACTGGACCAATTGCTTTGAATTTACAGTGATTAAAGATTGTTGTTGTCGCTAGAAGGCTATTATTTTTATTCGTTCCAAAAATGTCTGTGAGCTCTATGGGATTCGTTTTTTATGTGTGTTATGACGTTATCAAGTTAAAAAAAAATTGCGCACGTTATGGCGGTTCCGAGTTCGCGATCGTTGGTCTGGTGGTCAGTCGAACCGTGAAGGCTACGGTACCGCTACGGAAAACATTAGCTACCGGTACCCGTACTACTTCGTTTTGGTCATTGTGTTCATATATTTGAGCATTGTTGTATTAGTAACAAACAAATGTGTTACCTACTTATGTTTCAACCCAAGGCAATAATGACCATACTATAGCCTGGGATTCCCCACGAGTCTACCACCTGATTTTTCTTCATTTCTTAGGTATCGTATCGGACGATCCCACCTTCGTAATGTCATTCTGACAGAATCTTTTGTCAGTTACACATAAAATACTATATCTTGATATGCATATTATATTTATCTATATTTTTGTAGAACATGAAAAAATAAGAATTTTTTCAAAATTTAAAACAAGAAATAATGAATAAATACAAAAACGAAGAAATATAACGAATATTCACTGAAATCGATGTACTTAAATCCTTCTATTTGAAAAGAAAGTGCCATATTTGCTCCGGTGCTCCAAAAAGAGTTATCTTTAAATCGGGGAGATTTGTTCGGATGAGAACAGTTGGTGGCAATAGAAAATTCATTCTGGATTGTGCACATGTTTGAAAACAAACCAATCAATTTTAAAAAAGATTTCACCGTAAGGTAAATGATTAAAATATAAAATGATTTGTTGGGACCCCCGCAACTACAGCCAACTCCATTCCGAAATTTGAGAAAAGGCTTTTTGTATTTGTCAAAACTCACAGGTATTGAATTGTATAGGAGAATCCATTGTGCTAAAAGCAAGAGTTCCGTTTGAATTTCGTTTGTTTTTTCGTTTACCCCTTCACCTCGTTTTTTATTATCTTCACTTTCACAAATGCCTATTGAAGGCGTTAAGAGGACTTTGACACTGTTAGAGCCTGTAACAAAGCTATTTGCAATCCTAACAATGTTGTAATCTGTTTTGCGGTCAACAACCACATTTGGTCATTACTTTAAAAAAATGGTAGCGTATTCGTGTAGTAAGGAAAGTGCGTGCTGTTTCAAACATCGTATTATCCAGGTTCGTGTACCATGTCGATATCTTCTCTTACATCTTTTTCATTTTCTATGACTCTCATAGCTAGGTGTAAAATCAAGTTATATTCAATAAACAACTCTCATATTCTGGGAATAATTGAGATAAAAAAATGCATATGAAAATATACTTCATGCATAAAATTATAATGCCTTTATGATCCATATGCAAGAGTTGAGTTCACAAAGCGCATGGGACGCTGTCGATGGTTAAAGATGTCGATTGTCCCCAAGGTTACTTTATTGTACTGGTACGTGTAGCCTATGTCGAACCATGTACGCAATATCTATTCTCAAATATATTTTTATTTGTTTGTTTTTTCGTGAGGCAGGTGAAAACCCATCCTGACGTTTGTAAAAAATAGGTATCGAAAAAATAATACTCATTATCTAATTTGTGTTATTTGTTTGGGAATAAAAATCTTCTATCTAACTACCTATACTTTCTCCGTATACATTTGTGTCATCAACAGGTTGCCAACAAAAATTTCGTCGACGTACGGGACCGTTAGGTTCGAACTTTTTTGAACCAAAACACATCATTATATTGTCTCGCTTGTACACCAACACGACCAAGCACATCAAAATCATTCCCACAAATATCAGTCCAAGTAGAACGCTGTTTGCCTGAAGAATAACGTGATGATCATTGAGGTTTTAGATAAACTTGAAACGCTTTGAGAGAATCAGAATTTTTACATCAGGAAAAATACCGATGTGCTCTATACAATTTTTGTAATAGATATGACAATACCTATATATATATATATATCTGTTTTGGCTATTTAAAAAGTTTGCTATAAATTTTCTATTTCTATGAAAAAAGTTCTAAACAATGGATTATACTACTTATACGTAACTATATGTTTACCTCCAATTTCTGCATTATTAAATTCAAATCCGCCGTCTGGATGATCTCACTTGACTTTTCCGGCATTATGGCAGATCTGAATTGAAAGATATGACTTGATATATTAATAAGTATTCTAATCTTTTGTTCATAATTATAACAATTATCTCAGTCATTTATATGTGCCAACCAATAACTCTACCGAGATGGATATTCGATATCCACGACACTACGATTGTTTTCAGACATGGTATTTGAAATGCTTGGTGAATGCCGTATACGAAAATATGTATTCATAAAATCTTGATTCAGTTACGACATGTGCACAAGTCGGTCCTGTACATACTATACTATAGTATAGAGTACTATAGGCTCGGCTAAACCAAGAGTGGGCAACAGGCAGGCCACACCACGACCCGCCAAGCCGTTTAGTTCGATTTTTTTTCATCAGGCACAAAATCCTAATCCGACATCTTGTATTTTTTTTTAAAAGGCGTTTACATGAGTAAAATACATCTTGAAGTTAGATATATGGCCCACCGCCAACATTTTCACCCTTCTGGTCTAAACTATATTATCATCGCTATTCCATCTCGGGTTTCATATGCTTTACCACCTGCCCGGAATGCAACTAGCTTGAAAGTCATTCAATACTGTCTGTAAGTGACTGGCTTGTGGAGATTCTTTTTTGCAGCGACATAAAATCTCAAATAAGAATGTTCATTACCTATTGGTTGTCATTTTTGACTATTATCCTTCCCTTTGGTCAGTGTCAGCTCAGTGTCTTCTGCTCTATATATAGTTGTGTAAAGGGTTTTTTGAAAAATCTACAATTTATATGCCGGATTGTTTCCTAGCAACGATTACGAAGTAATCATAGACTGTGGTTATTTCCCCATAATTAGCATATATATATTAGTGCTTTTTGTCATGGCCTGATATGTATTTAAATTGAAGAACTTCCGTTTTCATCGACGGTAGCTAATGATAGTATTCATTAGCTTCCACAAACAGACAGATCGGATTACCGTCAGGAGAGCATTGCAACGTTATGTCTTTGTCATGCCCACAAAGACAATCGTTTTTGTAGACCAAAACAGCGCAATTTCACACATGCGAGTTAATCTCCGGTTTCTGGCCCTGATGGTAGATCTGTTAGATTCTTCCTGTTTCATCGCCTCATAAAGAAATGTTAGAAAACTAGTTTACATTTCCATGACGATGAACAGAATACGCTGTCCACATCAGAACTTCCTGTGTTTTCTTTCAATGGCGTTGTCGAAACCAGGGGAAGCATTAAGAATCGTTCTTGTGTGGTAATGGGCAAGAAAATAAAACAAAAATTGTCCTGGTAACCCTTTCAATTGTGAGAGCCCTGTGGGGTTTCACAGGGGAATAACTGGTTAAAATAGACTTTTTAGTTCAGTACCTTTTCCAAGCACGGTGGGGGAATTGCAGGTCTTATATACCAGTGCTTCCCAACTTTTTTCGATAAAGTACTCCCTAGGCATGTTTTGGAGCAATATTTCTTCCTCGCATTGTTAAAGACATTGTTTCCGTTATTCGTTAATCCTTTAGTTTAAATGGATCCTTATCTTGCCTTACGCGCAGCCCGCACTCTACCTTTTGTGCAGTCTGAATAGTTCATAACGTGCCTAATTAATATGTGTGAAATATTACTAAACAACTAAACAATATTAGTGTACAAATAAAAAGTAATATTTTCCCCCCTAAACCATGGCTACAACTATTTTCACCAAAGGTCCGTTTACGAAACTTCAAAATTACTGGGTCCGGACATTACAGAAAATTTATTTCCTCAAATAAACGAAACTTCAAATGCAATATTAAATTAAATACAAGAGCAATAAATGACTCGCAAATATGGACACAAATAATATCGCACATCGGTACCAGTACGACAAGCTGTATATAGCTGTGTATTTAATTTGTATCAAAATCATCTAAAACCATAAAACGATGCTTATGCTGCCAAAATAAACAAGCAGAGTGGTCCAAATTTCATGGTCGAAAGGTCCGGATTCGGACCGCGGTCCGCCAGTTGAGTACCCTTGCTCTAAACAACTAAATCCATCTCTGGGAAAATTCTTGCTCGATTGGGAAACGTCATCAGCTATCCAGCGGATCTCGATTTTTTAAAGCCGCGCCCCCTTTTTGGTCTCGCGCCCAACATCAAAAATAACTAGATAACGATAAGCTAGAGATAACGCACGTAGTAAGGCGGGAGTATGTTTTTAAAAAAAAAACTCGTTGAAAATACGTGGAGGGAAACGCAATATCTAGAAAACGAAAAAATGTAAATATCCTAAATAAGGCGAGCAAAATCAAATCTACCAAATATTTTTATTTAGCTTTACGCCCCTTCAAAAGTTGTCTGCACCCCATTGTCATTGTTTTGACAAATTCACATTTTTATTCTATCAGCAGATTAAAATAGTCGTATCTGGAAAAAAATTATGTTTTACATATGGGAAAAAGATGTAACATATTATTTCGAATTAGTTTGGGTACCATTTTCATTATTATGTACATACCTACTGTTTAATTCTAGAATTTTACATGCTTAAAACACGTAGATATAATTATGCACTGGCTACTCCATACATGCAAAATGAAGTCACAATAAAAAATTAACAAACAAAATGTGTAACAAGCAACAAGAATAGAAGACCTAAGCAATATGCCAGTACTGTATATATATACACAAAAGCGTGTGCATATAGTTGTACCAAATAGCACATGGTGTATTTAGTTTTGTTCAAATATTTTCGATTCATCTTTGCGTTGATAAAAAGTCTCTTTCAAGAGTTTTCAAGTTGAAGATTACGTCTTAAATCTGGTAGAGTAGAAACATCACGAAAATAATTTGTCCGTTGGATTTGAAATTCAAAATTTTTTAATACGAATATTGGTGATTTTGTCATTGTGAGATTCAATCAGTCCCTGTCCTGAGCATTTGGCAGAAGATTAGGAGCAGAATCTGAAAATGTAATCGAATGTGTTATATCGCCATTATGTTTGGATGATTTGAATATTGTCTTCTTGTAGCAATGAACAGTTACGTTTCTACGGGATAATATAAATATTTAGAAAATATTCGACTTGTGATTTTGCTGAATGAGATTATTGGGTGCCCCTATTTTGGCCCACTTTTTGTTCATGACGCCACAGCATGGGGGGCATGTGGACAAATCAATTTGCATCCAAACACGTACCCAAACTCTCGGGGCCTCTGGTAGTCCAACATGTCTCGTTCATTTACTCAATAAATCACTTCCTATTATGTTGCTATGGCCATATGATATCACGTTCTTATTTCATTTGACAGTGATAGAAATGTTCCAATAGCTTTACTAGTTTTATTTTTGGTCAAACAGTGGCAGCTAATGGAATTGAACAAACCCAGATTATTAAATTACGACTCCATTGTGATAGGTAGATCCGATGCCGCATTGACTAAAAGCTATTGTCATTGTGACGTCATCTTTTTCGCATGCGCTCTAATATCCCAAACGAATACCTCCATCTCCGCGGTCTTCCTCATTGTAGCCGCAATCTTGTGCAGTTGCTTGAATCAATTTTTTGTCGGAATTAGGTGAGTCTCGATTTCTGTCTTCCATGTCTTTTAATCGTTTTCCCTGTTTTTTATATCCTTTCTGTGTCGAACGAAGAGAACATAACAAGCCAATGCAGAGTATCGCAAAAAGTAACGCTAATCCAACCCCAAGTCCACCTATGATCATGTTCCGGTCTGAATTTTTTTTGTTCTTTTCGTTTTCGAAGTAAGCTGATGAATTAGAAAAATATACAGTTTACAGCTTTTGCTGTAGGGAAAATCACCGTCTTTTTGTATACAAGTAATTTTATTTTTGAAATTGGGTAATTTGCCAAAAGCCCCGGCCTCTACAATACAAGAGGACATAAAAAGTATTTAGAAAGATAAGTACTCGAAATTAGAAATTTGATGAAATGAATGAATGAAAAAATAAGGTCGTTAACTATGACAGTCCTTTAAAGAGTTGTATTGTTTGCCGCAAATACCTATATTGCAGGTGAAATTTTAGTTGCGTCTGCCAATGTGTGTGTGTGCCAATGTGGGCCGTGTGACTATGATTACCTTTTAATTAAATACTTTGTATTTCTTATACAAAGCCCCCGCCAGTAACGCAAAAATGTGGAATTTTAAACAAACGTTTGAAATAATATAATAATAATAAATAAATAAAAAAAATAGTAGTTTTTTAGTTAGCGTTAGGAATGATTTAAAATTACCATCGAAAATCTACATTTCTATTTCTAACTTAGTAACTACTATTTTTTCATTTTCAGCGTTGGCGGGGGCTTTGTACAAAAGACACAATACCTTTATTTTGACGTACTTTCGCCAGTAACCCTCCCCTCCCCCGCGCAGGAGGGGGGAGTATACATAAAAATATATACAAATTAGAGTAAACTTAAATAAAAAATAAAAAAAATTGAACATGTGACGAGTAAGTATTTACACCTCGGTATATAAACTGTATGATCACCGCCTGATCGCTATATTCGTTATACATTTAAAGAGCACGCAATTATCACGACATGACGGCTCTCGTGGGATTTCCCGTGAAAGTTTTCATGGGCTAGCTCAATTTCATTATCCTTGGCATGTGACTATAGTCAAATATCACACATACCAGCACATCCAATTCCGCATAAGTCTTTCTCGAATTCACATTGAGGGTAGCACCGTCCACAATCCTTCGTTGTAAAATCATAATATTTCCCCATTCTCCAGTCACATTCTTTTTTATTAGATTCTATGTGCTGTGGAAAAAGACAAATGTTTTAAATATTCAATTTACAATTCATATTATTGTGATATATAGATGTGTAGAAAATGTTGAGCTGTGGTGTAAGAACGGTATATTATTTGGTCTACCTGGATTTTTTGAACGATTATGGCATTCAAGTCTTCCGATGGAATTCCCAATTTGTTTTTCCGTCTTCGTGCCTTTTTTTTCCTTTTTCTACCAGTAAGTTGCGTAGTCTGCAATGGACTGGTAGGCTCGGAGGGCAACGTTTCTGGTGCTAAAATAGTAATGGTTAATGGTAAATAATGATTATTTTTATCCGAGTGTTGAATTTTGACTTTTCCATTCTATTGCTTCTCTCAATACTGACGTATTCAGGACCGCCATATTAGGTAATATGACATTAAAGTAGAAATTTATCTAAGTGTGACGTCATGATACAAAAATGTAAAGTTTTAATTATTACTATTTGTAGAACAGGTATAATTCCGCACTTATTTAATTTTGGTATTGATTTCTAAAAATATTAGTCTCAACTAAACACATATATTTACTAAGTTAACTATTATAAAATCAATTTGAATACATATTTCGGATATTTTTAGGTATCTTTTTCGTTTTAATAAACTTTCCAATGATGTTTTTTTTTCTATAATAACAATCAAAAATAAAGATATTATTTCTGTGTATATTAATTTATGTATTCAAACGGGCGTTGTTGTTTCTGTTGCAACTAGTCTTACCTGTTGTTGGTACATTAGTGTTTGGCCGGTTATCATTTCTGTCTGATGTAATTTCAACGGTTTCAGAAGTATGCGTTGTGCTAAATGATAAGAACATCTTTGTGGTATTGCAAAATAATGTTGGCGAACCGAATAGCACTAGCCATTATATTTCTAATATTTTTTTTACTGAAAAGCAAATGTTGCGGTCAAGTGGTTATCGCGTTGCACTTAACTATATCTCAGTCACAGATTCTTAGTTTAGAAACGTCAAGTTTTAATCCCGTAGCAACCATTTCATTAATGATGTGAGTTTAGTATACCTATTGTTTACCGATCTCATATAATCACATTTTCCGAGTTCTCGTGTAGTTTAGTACCACACCTACTTCTAGTGGGCGTGGCATAAACATTTTTGCATATGTTATTCCTAACATTCTTATCTGACTGTTTCTTCCAAAAATTGCGTCACTGCGACCTCACGATTACTTTATATGCCTTGCCGAAGTATATCTATGACCGCCAGAAATGGCGTCAGCGCCGATGATAACAAGCGGTTTCCCGCATATCAAAATCGTTACGAAGAGAAATCGATACTGGGTGATCGTCTGTGCGTTTTGGACGACCGTCCGTTTTTTATAGCGGACCCCATGTGACGTAATTTTTGAATGACCTAGTCAAGTAGGGTTATGAATGACATATGGAAATATAGTTGAGCCACGCCCACCAGAAGTACATATTATACTAAACTTCATCAGACCCGGGTCTCATGTATTTCGTACCTAACATACTTCTAGTGGGCGTAGCATAACATTTTTTTACACGTGTCAATCCTAACCCCCACCTGACTACGCCATTCAAAAATTACGTCACTACGACGTCACATTGGCGTAATAGAGCCCTTGGAATTATACGAACTGCCATCCAAGACGCGCAGACGAGCACCCGAAATCGAACAGCTATTTCTCTCGTTTTCTCGTCGCTAGGATCCCGATGGGAGAGAGATCGATGACGTCAGTCGGTTCTATATTGTCGACGCAGATGCCACTTCGGGCGATCGGACGTGTATTTAGCAAGCTCTATGGCGTGATTGTGATGTCGAAGTGACGTAAATTTTGGATGACCTAGTCATTACGGGTTAGGATGGTCATATCAAAAAATTGTTGTGTTACGCCCCCTAAAAGTACGTTAGGTACGAAACTACACGAGACCCATCAATTTTATACCACATAGAGCTTTTTTTAATATCAGATAGTAGTATTATCATACCTGTAATCTCCAGTCGGAGCTGTGAGACATCCACCGAAAGCGATTAGTACGGCCACGAACAATAGTCTGAAAAGTCGTTTACATGATGATTTAAAATCAGATAATATTTGCTCGACTGAACCTTGTGAGAAAGGGAGACGACTATTCTCTCCGGCTGTCATTGCCGAGAACAATGGAATCTTATTTAGCTCGTCTCATAGCCATGTATAACACGTTTTAAAGGCTTCTTTCTATTGAGATAGTTTCGACAAACATTGGCCATTGAACAACGAATAAACCGCCGGCAAATTACATCATGTTAAACGAATACTGTAACATCGGATGGCCAAATATTCCCAGCAATATTAAGGAATGGTCTTAACAATATTGTTTATATAATCATTATTTAACCCCATAATAGCGAAACTTATTGTCAAAATTGTCATGGCATCATCATTGAGAAACTCAGCCTCGACTTATTTTTTCGGCGCTATTTAATATTAAAAACAGTTTTGCTTGGTATTTTATCATACATTCATTTATCTGTTTATAGTGATATAAATGTAAATATCCAAACCAGAAACCGGTACTAATTCAATAATTATTGTAGCCTGATATAAAATACTGCTATAGCTAAATAAATATCACACTTTCGGATCAGATTTCAATTATTCTGTCAATTGAATAATAAAACAGTGTATAAAAGCTTTGAACTATAGTACTATACATACCACAGGGCTACTCAACTGGCGGACCTCGGTCCGAATCCGGACCATTCGAATATTTGATTCGGACCGCACCTAATTCTTTATTTTGGATCATAGTCGCACTTTTTAAATTTCTTTTTATAAAATGACTTTCATAGTTTTAAATATATATATATATGAAAATACTTATAACACCATAATAAACAATCTTGATTACCTAATAATTGTTATCCGGCCGAGGAAGTGCCGAAATATAATTTCTGGAAAGACCGGACCCAAACAATTTTGAAGTTTTGTATGCGGACCTTGGGTAAAAATAGTTGAGTAGCCCTGCTATACCATACAGAAAAGAGTTTAATTAATAAACCATTAAAACAATTTAATAATAAAAAATATAAATTCACCTCATGTTGTTTCAATGGACCTTTCAGCTAACACGATAATCTTTTTATACTTTTCCGCGGAGATTGAGTCCTTAAGTCTAACTGCTTTATAATGTACCGTGAGCCACCTCTTGTCGTAAATGCGCGAAATAATGAATTCATAGTCACGAGCTAGTCTGCCGTGTACCATAAAAACCCGTTCGCGGCACCTGGGGAATACCCCATAATTAATATTATATGTGAACCGACGCGTCAAAAGGAGCGTATTTACCATAGCTTCCAACTTGGTGATTTGTTCGCTTGCTCGAATATAAGTGGAAAAATACTGGTAATAAAAGACAACTCCACTGTCAATTCACATTGATTACACTGGCCAACACATTTTTTGCTGCCCAAGGTTTCTAAACTGATTTAGATTAATTTGGGGGTGCTGAGTCCAAAAATCATACTCGTTTTTCTCATCAGGTCAAATTTTTGAAATATTTGGTATTTTATACCTTTTTTACCTTAAAATTAGGGGTTTTTCTATATGGATTTTAGCGTTATAATTAAAAGTGTAAGTTTTTATTGTGATATTTTGTGATGTATGCCAAACGATTATTACATCACACGCCTTGTAAAAATCAAATTTTATATATAAAGAAGTCAGACATGAATAATAAGCTGCATTGTTTTAATTGAGCTGCAGATTTTTGGAGCAAAAATTAAGTATGGCTACATCTTCTCCTAGGCGACATTGTTTAAACAATCCAAATGTATTTTGCTATATTTGCGGAGAATATACATTGCAATCCAACAGAAAAGGATCAGTAAGTTTGCAAAGTGTGCTTATCTTGCCTACTTCAATATAATGCTGGGTGATCAAGATAAGGTATGGGCACCCCATATTGTATGCAAGCAATGTATTGAGCATCTTCCACAGTGGATCAAAAAGGATAGAAAGTCTCTCCGCTTTAGTATTCCAATGGTCTCGAAAAATTATTTTTATGACTGCTATTTCTGTGCAGTAAACACGAAGGGAATCAATAGGAAGAACAGGAAATCGTTGGTTTATCCAAACCTCGAGTCTGCAATTATACTAATCCCACACTGCAATGAAATTCCTTTTCCAGTGTTTGAAGGCCTGCCCGAATTGGAATTGTCTGGCTCTGAAGAAGACCAAACCGTTTTGTCCACTGATAGTAGTGAATACGTTGTATCAGATGTCGGTTTGTCTTCTTCGCTTCCATAGCTATTTTCTTGTGGAGAACTTAATAATCTGAAAAGAGATTTCAATTTTTCCAAAGAATCTGAATTTCTAGCTTCAAGACTCAAAGAAAAAAATTTACTTCAGCCGGGAACTCTCATAACATTCTATAGAAAATGCCATATTGAATGCTTGTCATATTTCACTCAGGAAAAAGACAACGACGTTGCCGGCTTGCTGCGACAGCTTGATGTCCAACATTGAAGCCTTTTTACAACCAGTTCCAAAAAAAATTAAATGTATTTTTCTTCACAATTCTGGCTCCTCCTTTGGTTGAGCGTTCCAAAATTGTGTTTCCTCCTCTTCACATGAGGTTTGGCAGTTTGTTAAGGCTCTTGAAAAAGATGGCAACTGTTCCAAATATATTAGCAGGAAATTTCTATCAAGCGCGATGATACCAGTTCTCCAATTATAAAAAATCAGTAAAACGTCAATTTATAGCTGATGACATCTATTAGTTAGCATTTATTACAAATTCCAGCTTTAATTGTCAATATTTTGGTGAGATTCCATGAATATGTTCCATAAAATTACAGAAAAATGTTGTTTCTTCAATTTGCCTATCTTTATTGTAGCTATCGGCATCCTGCAAAGAGGGATATACAATAGAAGAAAAACTAGACCTGATAAAGAAAAAGTAATAGCATTTCTGGAATCAGCGCCATCAAATTTGCTAAAATCGTTTAAAACATCTTAGGCACCATGAAAAAATAATTTTTTTGTCGGCCAGTGTTATATATTGACGGATTATCGAGAATAGTTAACAGTATCGTACTGATAATATATCGATAGGTCCTTCCGTGGTAGTGATACTCATACCGGCCCGTTTTCGGGGTAATGGCGGAAAATCTCATAAAAAATTAATATAACCATAGAATCGTAAGTTGGATGCTATAAAACTACACTATGATCACAAACTTGCAGCAATATTTACTTGCGGTACGGATGGAATTCGGACTTTATCATTGAATATAGGTGACGTAATTCTAAAAGTATCGTACTGTATGCTTAAAATTGAAATACAAACTCAGCGCCGACCGCCTCAAGTGCTGCCGTTTTGCGAATGTCTGAACAATTGATTGAATTTTTCATGGTTATCTGGTCTAAAATGTATTGGCCGCTTTACTTTTATTTGTTTCTGAGATGTGCCATTTTTACATGTTTTTCAAAACAAACATAACAACTTATATTACACGAATTAAAATTGTGCTGCTTTTCGAGAACTTTTGTCAACATCAAACGCCTGACTTTTGTGGTTATTCCCTATATACTTTAGAATGACATTGGCTGAACGCCCTTTCTGTTGTTTTTATTCAATTGAATAAAAGTATTCGAAATGTACACCTACTAATACACAACTACTTCCAATTACAACGTGCTCAAATGTGTATATCTCAGAAAAATTTAACGCTGCAATGCCAAGAGCAATCATTTATTGACTAAAGTATCAATAAAATAAAAGAGAAGCGCATTATAAATGTATAGAAAATATGAAATTGACATTGATCTCGCCCAGGGGTGGGAAAGGTTTTTGAACCAGGGGCCAACCAAAAATGTTGCCTACCTGGACTGGCGGGCTTTGTAAGTGTGGCGTAAAAAGTTACATTTTATTATCAATATTTACATTGTTACAAAAGCAACAGTGGAAAACAATAAGCCTCGTGCCAAAACTAATCTTAACCGCAATTTCAACAAATTTCTTGAGTTATTTTTAGCTTCGGTTTCAGTTTTGTTGTGGCAGAATCAGGTGAACCAGATTTGGCCTGCGGGCCGTACATTGCCCATGTCCGATCTTGCCTCTAGCCTTTTGATTCTAAATGAAACATTTAAAAGTGGTGATATGTTGTCATTGTCCCTGACTTTATATATTTACAAATCTAATTTTCTGGTATGTTTTTTTCGATTTTGTTCAGTATTCATTAGGCCAGATGATTGGGAAAATTTTTTTTTTCAACTTGGTTCAAGACATTCGCCGAATCCAGTTAAACTAATCAGAAGATTTGTGATATAAGGATATATATCAGGATCGTACCAAAGTATGATTTAAAAACCAATACAATAATAACACAACAATATATTATCAGAGCTGACAAAAGCAAAAACAGTTTGAAGCGATGCTAATATAATATTCATTCATATATCAGGATTGCGGGCTTGGCGAGGCGGAGTGCGTGGGCCCAAGTCTTTATCGCGCACACCAATTCACTTATTGGATTATAAAAAACATATAAAAGCAGATCCTGAAAATGAACAGTCTTTTGTGTAAGTAAAGGATCCTTCTCTTTTGATGTCTTTTGTATTGCCTTCGATACACTGGTCGATTAAACCCTATTTTTCAGAATGTCTTTAACGGCACTCAGATCCACTTTGTTAATATCTCAAACAATCCCATCACGTTGCTGCGATCTGCTTTTGTTGATAATTTACTAATTGCTTGATTAGATTGGCCAGATGTTCTCTTATTGACAAAATACTCAATACTCAACTATATAACATAAAATATGTGTACAAGTCCAACAGAACGTAGCCGTAAAACTGCATATATAGTGGGTGCATGTTGCCATAAAAAAAAAACAATCATAAAGTGGATTAAAACAGGCGATATTTTGCGAATTGATGCATATGTTTTTTGTATGTTCTAATATTTGTTTCGTGCGATATTGCATAATTGTGATGTTCTGAATGTTCCATCCTTGAAGAAGTTAACTTTGTGACGGCGGGATGAGGGGAGTATTCGATCCTGTAAATGAGATAAATACAATGTAAATAATTCAGTTAATATACAAATACCGAGCATGAAATATCTTGAATTGCATTCAAATCCACGATAACTGGACATGAGTTCATCTGCTTCAAAGATTATGATTTTTTTTCTATCTTTGGAAACTCTTCGGTGCTGTTTCCCCATACCTTCAATCTCAATAACTTTAATGATTCCAACAAGTTACGCCACCAAATTTTATGGGAATATGTGATCAACTGACGTATGTTCTCTTATGTTTACCCGACGTTTCAATTTTATATTCAGTGGCTTACAAGGAAGTTATTTTTCAAACTAGATTATTCCATCCATGGCCAGTACGATACTTGTCTATTCTGTGTAATTGCTTAAAATGGCCTTGTTCAGAATGATGAATTCCGATTTTACCTGTCATATCAATTTGTCCACCTTCTTGGTTTTCGTTTTCCATTTCTGAGTCCACTGGAAATGGCTTCTTATCTCCATCAGGTGCGCCACGGTTTCGATCTTCAATCGTTTTTATTCGTTTATTCAGTTCGTGAACACTTTTTAGCAAAATACAACAACTGACAGTCAGGGTGATGGTTAGGGCAAAAGCAACACCACCCAGGCAGCTTGCGATCAATAGATTCTGAGCGGATTCGCTTTTTCTGTCTTCATTTTGGAAGTATTCTGTTGTGTGAAAAATAAAAAAAGATAATTGGATTGACATTTGAATATTGCTATTTATCTATTCATTGACCTGTCTGATATTTTACTTTCAATAAAAACGTAAAAAAAATTTCCATTTCATTTCACACAATGTAGCGATTTCGTAGAACATATCCAAACAAGAGAGCAATGCTCAAATATATGGACACGAAAGCCAAAACGAATTTGCTCAATTTTTAATTTTCATGACGTCATCACACACGAAAAAAACGAATCTAATAAAGCCCACAAGTATTTTTGAAATAAACAAAAGTAACAGCTTTCTAGCGACAACAGCAATTGTTATCAAGTGTACGTTTCAGAGCAAGTGGTCTAGTAGTTAAGGAGAAAGGCAAGGCGATTGTTTAACAACGTGAAAAAAAATACGACAAGATATCCAACAATACCAGAATGATATCGTAGACTTAACTTACCATTACACTCTATCCCACACAAATCCATATTTGTATGATTCTCGCATTTTGTTATGCATAGCTGGCAGGTTTTAAGAGCGAAACTATAAAACTCTCCATAGATGCATTTTCTTCTTGCTGATTCCACTTCCTAAAAAATATGGCCGAATAAGTTCGTTACAAACTAGGAATTAGAACAATGGCTGTATAGAGTATATGGAAATCTAATGCCAGAGGTGCCACCAACAGAATAAAAGTTTATAACTTGGACTCGGACTAACATGACGAAACGAAATTCAATGAGATGCCAAAATGCTGTTGTATCGTACGGTAATTATGGCCAATATCTTAATCTGTATCAGAGCTTATATTTGCATTACTTACACCTCATAAAGCTCAGTATATCGGCATTGTGAACAAGCTTACCTTCATTTTTTCAAAAATAATGTCATCCAATTCCCCCGGTGTAATTGGAGTGTGGGGTGTAGTTTTCTTCACATTGTCTTCTTTAGTATTACTGGGTTCTCTCGTTTCCGTCATGGTCATGGTTCTCTCTATTAATAAAAATTTCGCAATAGTGTCGCAATCGCGACTTTCATTGTTTAACAAACTCAGTACAGTTTTTAAGCGATTCATAATGTTTGTGCATTAAAGTCTGGATTCACAAAATAAGATTTGAAATTGATCGATATTACAGCAAGCCTCCTTTACTAAATGGCTTCTCAGAAGAATTGAAAATAAATCTCAACGTTGTTCTATTGAGCAATAAACATAATTATTTTTTATATTGTGTAAATCTTATTAATCTATGTGAAATTATTATGATTTGTGACCTCATTCAATCTTTTTGTTGCAAGAAACTGACAGCGTAACAGCAAAATATCAATTTACCTGTATCGACGAGAGTAGTATTTTCCGGGACATTTTCGTCATGTAGTGTTGTGGCGACAGACGTGCTTAATAATATTAAATAACACATTGCTTGGGTTTTATACTTCAACAGTCGAAATATGAACTGTAGTCAGAGCCACTGTAATTTCAAACCAAATCCCCTGCCCTGGCTCTGACAAATGTTTGAAGCTCCACAACAATTTAAGTATTATCTTGTTTCTTGGTAGTAATAATAATACATTTACACATACTATTTTTATTTGTACGCTTTTACCCAGTGAGAGATCACATCAAGATAACCACTATCATCACCAAATGTATTCGAAACCACGCGACTTTACTTGGGGGCAACATGAAGGGTATTACAGTACTATCATATTATTTTTACAGTGTAAATTTTCTGATCTTCTTTATTGTGTTTGTCATTAGTTAGGTTAGGATGAGTTAGGTTACCGAACTTAAGCCTGAGATAATATTAAAAATCCTAAAAAACAAATCATAAAAGTAATGTCGGGGTACCATTACGGTAGTACTATGGGGGAGTACCCATCAATAGCAAACGTCTGTCAATAATTACCAATGGCCAAATTTCAACAACGTATAGGAATACATTTATCTATGTCGAAGTTTCATGATTTACCGCTTTCAATTGCATTTCATTGTCTTAATATGGTATAGTGGCCAAAGTATGCTTAATATACACATACCTGGGAATCTTATATCCGTATGACAATCCACCATACAATGAGACGAGCAAGATGATTATCCAGCTAATTCTGAAACATAAACATTTAAAATAATTCATTGATGTGGACAATTTTCTCAAACACAGTTTAACTTAACAAATCTGATTGAAATACGAACTCACCTTATCGCTGTGCTTATATCCATCGCACTGTCTTTATGATTGTGATTGATCTTCGCTCAAATAGATGATAGCTGACCGTGATAGATCAAATAGAGAGTTTAATGCTGGTATACTTAATATTAAAATAATACTTACGAATAATATAAGTAGGCTACTATAATATGACAATTCTCTAGTACCGCCAACTGAAATACATTTAACTACAGCTTATTTTTATGCACCAAAAAGGTATTCTTACGACATTTTCAGAAATGTAAGCGTAATGATTTTTAATTCACCTATAATGCAGTACACACTTAATCGCTGCCAGCAGTTTTGACGCTTATAAGTCGTCTTGTACAACGCCGTACTTTTTTTCTCCCGAGAGTTTCTGGGGATTTACCCGGTAGCGCTCGCGGGTGGTTCATGCGCTATGCTCTACTAGCTCACAATGGTCCTTTGTTGAGCAAGCGTCGATGATATTAATATCATAAGATGTATAAAACGAAATGAGAGTTACCGCTCGAGCTTGATGTCGTATACCAAGCGTGATTTGTGCTACTTGTTAGATCTGGAAAAATCTAGTTTGATGCCGTTTGTTATCATTCAAATACACGTCGTTTCCGTCGTTCGCGAAACTTAGCGTACCATTTTCAGTCATATTAGGGAAATCGGAATTATCACATTCAAGTGTTACTCGGGTCTTCATTTTCAATGGCGTCGTATGGGCATGGAATTTTTTTCTACATATATCCCCAAATATATATCAGAGCCAGCCTTGGTTGTCTTTCGATTTTTAAACGTTCCATGTTTGTTTATAATAGTTCTTGAGTATTTTTGATTTTGTTTGTTTTTGTTTGTTATCAAAGATCAGTAAAAATAACTATAATATGCAACAAGTTTATCATGATAAAATACAAAACTCATCTCGGAATATATGAATACCCCCTCTCGAAAACCTACTTGTGGATAAGGGGAATGGGGGATTTTATATGATCTAGCTTGGGATGATCTTTATATGATCAATCCTGGATGGGAGGAAATGACCTGCCATGTGACCAAACCTGACCTGACGTCACTTTGTCCACATTTATGTTTATATCTCTAATATTGTCAGATTTTGCCATGTACTCAATATCAAGAGCATAATGGACCCTGATACTTTCAAGACTGTTGTGCTGGCTGTATATTGTTCATTTATAATATGTAATAACTGGGGGTGAATCTTCAGATAGATACTTGTTGGGGGGAGGGATCTTCATATGTTCCCTTTCTTATTTCTAACTCTTATAAAAATAAGATGGATGTCTTTTCTGCAATGATCTAACAGCAGTAAACTGACTCATTCTCTCTTTTTCTTTCAGCTCGACCACTTATGATATTATCAGAATATATGGAAAACGGCGCACTCAACAATTTTCTAAAGGTTTGATAATTATTTGATGTTTGCATGATCAACTCTGTATTGGTATGAGCAAAATAAAGTGAAGAATAGCAAACTTTTAATGTTTTTTACCGCTTGGCTGTGTAAAAGACACATACAAAATCAAAATTTTACCAATATTAGGCTTGGAGGTCGAGTCAAAAATTGACCCAATTCAGGTTTTGGCTCAAAGAAATATGGTTGGCCTCACGAACGTACAAGAAGTTGCGTTAATCAGCATTAAAACCATTCCTAGCTCTATTTATGAAACTTAACTGCGTCTATAAGTAAGCTTAACTCGCCAATGAATCGTTGCTTGTCTTTCATTGTCTTATTAATCAGAAATTTTAAATTTGCTGAAAATGCACTATTCAATGTTTTTCAAGGTAACAAGTGGATGAATATTTCTGCATTCGCGTTTTTTCCGATATAACTGTATAATTTGATAGTTCTTTCATTTCAATTAATACAAAATTTGATTTTTCAAATTTGTCAACTAGCTAACACGTGAACATATTTTTCAGAGACACCAAGGCGAATTGAGCATTCTTCAACTGACTAATATTATGCATGGAATAGCTCATGGAATGAAATATCTTTCTCAAATGCAATACGTTCATCGTGATTTAGCTGCAAGAAACATCCTTGTCAATTCCGATCTCATTTGTAAAGTTTCTGACTTCGGTCTCTCAAGAACTCTTGAAAATGATCCGCATGCTACTTACACTACACAGGTATGTTGGTGGTTCTTTGGGTTTAGTACGTAAACTCACTGAAAGTTTGAAACAAATATAATTTGACATCAATTAAGGTCGGGGACAAGGCGTAATCAGGGGGGGGGGGGGGGGGGGGTCGTAACCCTCCCCTTTTTCTAAATATCAAAAAAAAATCAATTTTTTTTATATGATACATAGCAATTTTTCGTAGCTTAATGAAACGCTTTTCAGACCCACGGGAATCTTGAAACCCCACGTTTTCCGGTCTTCGACGACAGAATGCGGATTTCGCTGGAAATTCAAATCATTCAAAAAAATTTAAAGATCATTTCTTATCCTAACCCTAACTGAATATGCACTATTTTTCTTATCTCAAAACGTGGCGGGCATGTTTTTCTTAAATCTCTCATTTTTGCATTAGTGGCGGAGGCTTTCTACGAATGATCTGAAATTTTTATTTTGACCCCAGCCCTCAACCCTAGGAAAACTAAATTTAATCACGAAATCTGTAGCGTGCGCAAAACACTTTTAATTGTCTCTTGAAATAGCTCAGTCAGGTATATGTGATTTGAGTTTAACTGCGATTGCCACTATTTGTCTTAAATTGGGAAAATTCAAAAACATTTGATTCGCCTCGACCTCTCGATCCCGGAAAGCCTTAAAATATTTTTCCCGAATATCAATATCAAAAAAAGACGCACCCCGACGTCCTGAAATTAACAGACAATCAATTCTTTCATACAGGGTGGTAAAATCGCTCTCCGCTGGACGGCTCCAGAGTGCATCCGCTTCAGAGAATTCACTTCTTCAAGTGACGTTTGGAGTTATGGAATTGTGATGTGGGAAGTTATGTCTTACGGAGAAAAACCTTACTGGAATATGCCTAATCCAGATGTACTCAATTCCATTGACGAAGGATATAGATTACCTGCTCCATATGTGAGTGTTTCATGTGCTACGCTGTGAAAATAACTTATTTCAGTGAGCGGTCTAATTCAAGTTCCTATTAAAAATAGGTTGGCAACGGTTTCCTATGTATTAATTTCAAATACCGCATGTGCACTCCGAAGAGTAGTTCCCGCGTACAGTCACTTATATTCTCATCAATATACCTACTGTTCATTATACCTATACTACTATTTTATACCCACTAGTGCAGAGGTCGGGAATCTTAGCCATAAAGTTACATATTTTCAATTTCATTTCCGGGCGAGCCATACAGGATTTATCTTTCCGTAATCATGTCTCAAATTTTTACTCAAACGTCAACACGTACAATGGCTCAATATGCATTTGATGTGACTTCGATGCTGCATGTTGTCGCTGAGGGCCCTGAACGACTGCTCACACGCAACACATGTTGAAATCGTCGATACTCATCGCCTTTCTTTCCCTTAGGCATCTGCGTAGTGTTAAATATTACAAATGAACAGTACAAACGGACGGAAGGGTTTTTATTTATTGTTCCGCAGCTCTATCGCTTCGTGGTGTCACAAAAAATGTTTCAGAACTCCCTAGTTTTGTAACAATCCCTGTCCCGCAGTCTGGCACTTCTCTTACCATAACATAAGCGGGCGTGTTCGCAAACGTATTGGCTAATGTTCTGCCAAATTTGGCAATAACTTCCTAGTATAAGCTCTGGTAACAATAGTAAGCTCAGCCTTATTTTAATTTTTCTAGGAGCCATATGCCGTCACCAAAAGAGCCATATATGGCACAAGGAATGTACATACGGATCGCTCTGTTATTATGTTGTTGTAAGAACCCTTTTTCGATTTCTCGTTGTTATGAACAAATTTTGTTTTCTCGTGACTGCTCGACCATTTGCTTTAAAAATTTTAGTGGTTGGAGATTGTATTTTTCACTAGGAGGCTATTACTTTTATTTATTTCAAAAATTCCTGTGGTCTCTACGGACTTCGTTTTTTTGTATCTTGACGGCACTAAAATTAAAAATTTGGTGGCGGTTCCGCGTTCGCGAGCGGTAGTAAGGCGCAGTCGTCCTGATCGCTTTCGTGTTCATATGTGCGAGCATTGCTATCATGTTATTTCATATAATGCAGTTGCTGGAAATTGGCCTAATTTTGCTGTTGAGTGCAGCTGTTGGGAAGCGCTTATAGTATGACTATGATTATAGATTCCTGTTATCTCTGCTGACTAAACCTTACCCGATGTAAGCCCTATTTGTTCCATTAGTATAGTCAAGCAATGAAATGTCACTCTGTCTAGTGTTTATAAAATTGATATAAACGCTGTTTCCTGCTTGATTCCTACTTTCAATATGCGAATGCGAACTAACATCGCAATGAAAGTTTTGGCTCGATTCAATTTTCAACCTCATTGAATTCTATTGAACTTCTCTCAGTCATTTAATTCATGTTTTGTAGGAGCCTCCAACCCATATTCTTCAAGCCAGTCGTTCAAGCAAAAGCTTTTCGAAAATGGAATGCTAGTATTTCAACTAGATCACTGGGAAATTGAAATACTATGCCACAGTGTTAGATTTGCTAGAGTCATTTGAATTTTCATAACCTTTACGTCATTCAGTTCGAAATCTCAACACAACATCAAAAGCTCACGATTCAAGATATGTATCACTCCCACACCCTGTAGATGGCATCTTGAAATTTGAATTTCAAAGTTGACCGCCATAACTTGTCGACGCTAGCCAATGGCGTGTAATTCAAATTTTTTTGCTCGTCGATGTTTATAATGTTCCCAAACTTCTTAGTAACGTTACCCCTAAATCGGATTACCAAAAAACTCAATTACCCCGTTCATAAAAATACGATAGTCAAATACAGTAGACCAAACAAGGCGATAATACTAACACCGTGGCATATTCCGATCCGGCTTCAAGTTGCTTGCGCTAGCTAATCATTTTAGCCTACAATTTCTATATGGCCAAATCATGGTACTATATCCCTACAAAACTCATGACTAGTCGCAGACTGGTCGAAAGTACAGGGATTATAAAAGAAATTGTTGTGACTGTGAACGTCTGGATTACCCCCTAAAAATTAATTAATTTTTAAATCCCCCCAGTTTGGAAACACTGCTATAGACTAACTTCGAAATGTTGATGAGCTTCATCAATGGCTCACACCTTACAGCATGAAATGAACTAATGTATGAAAAATTTCATTTTTGACCTTGTCTTGGTAATTGCTCATTCAGCAACTTGTGATACGTGAACTTGAATGAACAGAGCGACCTATCAACCGGGATATTTTTTCTTTTCGTCACTAAATTTTATAAACCAACTGCTATTATGAAGGTCATTTTGTTATGACAGAATACATATTTTCACAAAATTCCGTCACGATATCACGTTTATGTTTTTATAATCAAACCCAAAAATGTATAACACGACCTCAGTTGGAACTGAAAGTTTGAAAAAATGGAGGATTTACTTTTATTCCAATGTAAATTTGTTCAGTATCATAATAAACATGAGGTGTTGGTTAAACTTGCGATTGATTAGATTTTTACAGGGTGTTCAATATTTCCTATTATATAACGGGATAACGTTAGAATTACTTCTCTATTTTGGATAATTTGCTGAATATTCTTCATTGTATTTCTACTTTCTATTTGTTATTCATATTACTCCGCATATGCTCATAGACTAATACTTGTGTTGCCATAACAGTCGAACGTTTTACCGTCGGTTTGTCTGAACTCCAACAATACTTTCACGTCTAATTCTTCTTTTTTTTTGTCAATTTGTCATTTTAGCGTGACCCATACGTCAACTTTCTTTGCGTGATAACTTGAAATTTATTGTTTTGCATTGGGTTAACATAAAAATAAACAAGAATTTTTCTGTTTCAAGTCATTAATGTTGTGGTCTGTCCTAATTGATTTTTTTGGTCAGAAACGTTGAAAGATATATCGTTGATGCGGCGGGGCAATATGGCGCTCATTTTGGTATTATGTGGTCATCGATTGTTCCATATTCGAAAGTTGAAATAAAGTACAAAACTACTCAAACTATAAAGTAGGCATAAAAACTTTTAAGAACTCAACCAAAAAAATGAGTAGCTTTGATGATTTTGAGTGCCCGTGATTATCTCATCTACAGATATGAGTGTCTAAGGATGTTTTGATCAAAAAGTTCATTTATGAGTTTTAAGCCCAAATCCATGGCTGAACCAAAAAGTCCTATCAAATTGGTCTCATGGTCTTATTTATCGTCTATCTTTATATTACATGACTACATGACTATTTGTAAAGAACTGTTTTTTTTTGTCTCGATCGATATTGCTCCTCCAAATAAAAAGGAATAATCTCGGTAATGTCAGTGTATTATGGTGCTATCAATCTCCACTTTCAATTGTAATGCTTTAGGACAATTAGTTTGATATAATAATCCACCAATTGTCGGCCATCAGATTTTTTTTCGCTGAATTGCACTAGCTAGAACCAACGATTCAACTGACCGCCCGGGCTGATCGTGAATTATACCATCATCCTGTTTCTCCCGTAGAATAACATACCATGATGCTTAAACATAGCAGTTACTGATACATACAAAATTAGAACTATTGATAAATCCGCAATTATCGTAGGTTTGTCTGCCCTACGCAAGCAAGGTCAAGTTGATTTTTCTACGTGCCTAATTATTCTCTCTTTTATCGAATTTTAACGTGACACATACATTGAGTAATTTTTCGTGATTTTGCGTGTTGACTCCAAATTTAACTCTTTTGATTTGGTTGCCATAAAAATAAACAGGATTTTTCTTCGAGTCTTTAAAGTCGTTGTCTATCTTAATGGATATTGTATGGTCGGTAATGTCGAAATTATTAATGTTTGTTGTTCTGATATGGCGTCTATTTCTGTATTATGTGCGCGCATATGTCTGCATATTTTTCGGTAATCGAAACTGAAAAATTGCCCGATATCCTATAGAACTTTGAAGTAAGCATAAAAAATTATGTATTAAACTAAATACGTAACGTTGATGATATTGACTGCCTGTGGCTATCTCTTTACAAATATGACAGTTTGAGGGTGTTTTGATCGCAGAGTTAAACTCAAATCCGTGCCCGATTTGAAAACCTGACTCGAATTGGAACAATGGATCTATATATTTCCTCTTATAGTATATTACATGACTACAATTTTTAAAGAAGCAGAACTCGAGCAGTGTTTTTGTCTTGATCGTCATTGTTGCTGTAAAAATTTACAAAACGGTATTGATCGAAATGGTCTTTTGAATTCGAAACATTTGGAATGAACTAGCAATTTAAATAAACTGTCAGGCTGGCCGTGAATCATTTTATCAAGTTTCCATCCTGTAGTTGTAACACATCGCACTTACTAATATATACAAACAAAAATGAAGTCTCAATAAATCCGCAAATTATTTAGTAACGAAATCGATTGTATATTTATGATAACATGCCATCGAAACGGTTTCGAAACTTGAACTTCGCTTATTCATGGAATCTGAACGTCGCCAATGGGAAAGGTGACATAAAAACCACCCATACTAATAATATTATATGCTTTAAAATCCATTATTTTTTCGAGTAAATCTTTTATTTAAAAAAACAATCTCTTACTTTTTCAGGAATGTCCATCAGTTTTGCACAAAATAATGATAGAATGTTGGGCAATGGAACCCAAGCAACGTCCAACTTTTGAACAACTTGTGCAACGGTTAGATGAAATTATGTCATCACCACAATTGTTTAAAGACGACTCACCAACTTCGGAAAGCGTGGATGCAAGGTTCGTGAAATATTTATAAAAAAAAAAATTCATCCCTTACTTTATTGCGTTTAACGCTAGATGTCGCCCACTCTGCGCATATTATGCTCGTCAAACTTATCACAACAGACAAATAAATGCTATATACCAGTAATTCTCCAACTTTTTGATTCATTGTCTCCTTCCAATTACTTTCAAACTTTGTTGCCTCCTACTCGTCTATAAAAATTCCTAGTTTTGCTTTTAACTCGTTTCCGTCATTTATTTTTTGCGACACGTTTAATACCAACAAACGAAAGCAAAAGATTAAATGTATTCAGTTCAAAAATTACCAAATGAATGTCAATTGACTTTTAATTAACTCAGTCATTACTAATTGTATCTGGTGAAAATCTTTGATCGTGAACCCTAGAAAATCGCTCTGCTGCTTGCTAGTGTGCAATCATTCTTATATGATCTTTATCATTATTCGCTACATGGTGCTGAAATATCCGATGTTCAAGTTACGTGCGTGGTTCAGTAACCGCTGGTCGGTTACGGCTTTCTCCAAGTCCATGCATCTGAAACATATAACGGGCTAACTAATCCCTTACCCGACATGGAATGGTAACCGGACTAGAGGACGTGATACCATGGTTAACTGAAAGCTTGTGATCAGTGTATTTTCCAGCTTATGTGAATGAGATGATTACACTTATAGTCCAGGTCATTTGCGAACATTTTCAAACAAATAGAATACCATTTACTTGAAACTGTATCAATAAACAAATATATCGTGACCTAAATCTAGGAAAATGAAAATTATCATATTTCTATGAAGATAATTTGGGTCGAATGAGACCTGTATTACAACTCAACTGCTAGTTGAGTATGCCTTCGGGCATTTCTACCTTAAACACGTCAATGTGATCAAACAATAAGACAAAAAAGCAATGCTCAAATTTTTGGACACGAAAGCCAAAATGAAGTAGTACGAGTATGCAATCTTTTACAGTAGATTACCGGTACCAGTCTTCACGACTTCGCCTGATCAACCAGTTAGCCACGAATTCGAAATTGTAACCGCCACGAGGTGCGCAATTTTTTCAATTTTGATGACGTCATCACACACAAAAAGCGAATCCAAAAGAGCCCACAGTAATTTTTGAAATGAATAGGAGTAATAGCCTTTTAGCGACAAAAACAATCTTTAACCACTGAAAATTGCAAAGCAAATGGTCAAGTAATTGATGAGAAAAGAGAATTTTTTGCAACAAGAAGAAGAAGAAAAATACTAACAACAACAAAATCAACAACAATAACATAATATCAAAACGGCCCATAGGTTCATTTTGTGTCCAATAATATATGAACACAGGTCTTCACAAGTTACGAAACACATTGCTTCCAATTGCCAATGGATGGAAAATATCTTCGTGAAAAGTGACATTTGTACGATTTCCATGACTTCTAACGCATAGTTCTTTCGTTAAGACCCGCCACAAAGTTGGCTTGCATCGATTTTAAGCATTAATTTTAAGAATCATTTTAAGAATTCCAACCTGATTCGGCCCTCCCAAAGTACTGTCAATATTTCCCCCACTAAACCATAAAATTCCACCTGTTTCATCAACTTCGTTTTAGCTATTTGTAGGTTGTATGTCCTAGCTGAACAGAGAAAGATATGGCAATTACCTAACAGACTCAAACGAAATCAAAGAATAATATTTATAAAAATATATATTAATATTATTGTATAAAAATTATTGTTAGGGCTAGGACAAAATGTGACTAGGACAAAAGTTAATTCATGTCGTAGCCTGGGCTGTCTGTTTTTGGTCATTAATTAATATTTTGGATTCCTATTTTTGCATTCGAAAATGTGCCGTATTTGGACGAGGGCAGTCAGTGAGCAGTCATAAAACCTTGATACACAACTTTCATATCTCTGGTTGCTAACATGGAAAAAATATACCTCTTTTGGAAACTTTTGTTTTCAATTTTATCATTTATTCGATCTTTTCAAATCATGTTTCCTGAGTTTAGGAGTTTTTCAATCTAGAAGGTCCATAATCTGATCTCCCCACCACGATATCTGTATAATAAATGCCTTTTTGTATTCTATCACGTTTTATCCAACCCGCCATCTTTACCAATATTTTTGTATCAACACTACTTTCAATATCATATTTTTGTCCAAAAATGTGGTGCTATATGTTTCCATTGTCTCATGAAATAAACAAGAAGAATCATGGGGTATGACGTCACGAGTTCATCTTGGAAACACAAATGTATATTATACAGGTTATAGTTGCCAAATACCGCTTTATTTCGATGTTATCTTATTGATAATGCACCGCAATAATAAATACTGTCAGTTTTATATATATATGAGCTAATTTATGTATTTATCAAGCATGTTTCGAAATTTTTTGTCCAATTATTGTGTGAAAAAAAAAGTTGATGTCTGGGTCATGACTTTTGAAAAAGTGCACATATACGTGTCGGAAATATTTGAGGAGTGGCCACTAAAATAATTGTAAATTTTCGACACGGTATCTAGTATTTGTATAATATGTTTGTCTGTTTTGACATATTTTATGAAATACCACGGAAGCGATGTTTAATGTTACTTTCCGAATAATTTAACACGAACTTTTGCCGAGGTCATCTTCCATCTATAATGAGAAGGTATTCGTGCTATGTGAACTAAAAAAAACGCTTGATATAGAGTTAGCAGTAATCGAATAGCATTGTTGTTTCAAATTAACGTTTGGCTTTTCCGTGCAATTTTACAATATTTTTATTTGACTAAATAATATATATTTTATCATAGGGCAATTTTGTTTGTTTATTCGTTGTTTTCGAAAGCAATAAAACTTGTAAAATGACGTAATCCATATTTTTAGTTCTGTTTTAAAATGCTTTGAAAATTGGTAATATTTTCAACTGTCCCGTAAACTTAAAAATAAATTTATACTAATTGAAAAGTACCCTTTTGTTAACTTTAGTATATCCGTACTTCAAAGTAAAGTGGCTTCTTTAATAATAAGAGGCGGCAATAGGTTTCAAAAATATGATTATTCTAGAATTTAGATAGACAACGCACTGTATCTGAACCATCCGTTTTTGTTAACAAAATGCTTATTTGTGATGAATTTTACAGCAGAATATGTAGTGACAAACGTTGAAAAGACCTTGAAAAATTCTTACATATTCTGGCAACATTAAAAAATAATTAAAATGTCCCTATTAAGACGACGCGTTCAAAATATATAAGTAATACATATAATTGTTTTAATTGTTTCAAGTGTCTCACTACTTTATACTCATTGGCCTATCCCAAACTTAATGCAGCCACAAAGGGTCATATTCTACTTTGCCATATAGTCGACTTCAAATAAATAGGAAAATCACAATATCCCATGAGAATACATTACGCCCTCTTTAATTTACTTAAACTAATCACACAACTCGATTTTAATCTGGTATCAACTTGACTAATCGCACGTAAATCGATGCTAATCGACCAATCACAGACTTCTAATTAGAAAATTCAATACATTAATAAGTGTCTTCGACGCCGATTTAGTTCACTTGTTTGAGATTTACAATATGGTGGAACCCTCGGGAATTGATACAGACTTTTTAGCTCGGAGTTGAAAATTTGATCACGGATTTTTGCGTTTTGTGCGATCGTTTTCAAAATATCACATTTTATATACACTGGTCGGATTGTGATGAGCAATATGATTATGATGAGGAATGAGGCTTCTGCAGGCAGCAAGCGAATCCGAGAAATTTTTACCGTGGCTGGACTGGACACCTATTATAAATGGCAAACAACAGTTTGCACCCTATGTTGCTGAAATATTGATGAACTATTGCGTGTTTGTTGCAATTAATCTGATATGTTTTCAACTACTTCAAGTTTGTGTCATAAAATGATGTCTGTTGTATATTGTAACGTCACATAAGCTTAGTGGGTGACATATCTCCCGTAACTGTTCCGTCTTGACCCAAGATGTTCCCACGTGAGCCTACTTTAATCAGCTGAAACTCGTAATCATTTTGCACGCGATCCCTAGTTCAATGACACCATTCATTAAAAATGGGTAAATTCAACTGAATTTTCACTACACTAAGGATATACTCGTATATCCATTGTAAACTAATACCTGTAATTCCACATCTATTACACACAGATCATATATTTACCATGCTTCGTTAATACATAAATAATCTATTTGGATCTGTATTTTGAACCACGTTAAAATTTCATTATTTTACAGTATTTTTAATAGCTCACCGGCACAAAGTTTGAACACCTGTTCGCAAAATTCGAATAAACTTATCAGTATGAAATAATGATCGTAAAAACACATTCACGGATAATTTATGGCTGAAATTCTTCACCTGGCGTTGTGTGGTTTTAAATCGAAACGAGATAGCGGAATTCGTTTATATTTGTAACGTGACTTTTTGGTATGACTGACGCCATGACATGTCAACGAAAACAATATTCCTGGACTTCGTTTTCAATCTTTATTAGGCCAGTAATCAGTCAATTCACAAATTCCACATACGGACACCAGAATTGGATGTTCAATGTATATACTCAAAACGCATCTATTCCGGACATACGTAGCATTTTAGAAATCTTGATGGAATTCCCGTATTTTGTTGGAAATTGTGGCATCATATTTCAAAACTGTGACGTTTTAACACCGTTTCGAGGCACATTAACAAAAGATGGCGCCGTTTTATGACACGAAAATGTATTCAAATCATTTCTACCAATTCATATTTTTCGTTGTCTTAATTTTTTTATTCAATTTTAGCTCGAACCAAAGCAATAAGTCTGTTGAAGATTGATTTTATGTTGGATCAAAACATTCCACGCGGAAAATATGGAAATTTTATTATGAACCGTACACACTTCCCACGCAGAAAATGGTTCGATGGAAAGAAAACCTGGATGGAAATGATACTTATCAAAATATACTATCGCGTGGTATTGTCCATAATTCTGTGTTTGATAAAAGACTGCAGTAATACAGTTTGATTATCAAATGATATATATTACCTCGTGCATAAAGGAATGTCAGTACATATACCAAAGGTAATCTGAATTATATTCAACTTTTAAGAATAGCCCTCGAATAAAATGTTAACATTCGACACAATATAAAACCAAACAATTTTTTGGAATACTTATACTCCAAAACTATTACGAATAACCAAAATCTGTTGTCTTCCAAAAAATCATTTTTTCTTGAGCCAGGCGGTCCTTGCACGTTTTATTGCACAATACTCGCCTGTCATTCATTTCAGTATAGTACTATAGTATATACATTTGTCCATTTTATTGTATTTTATTACACAATGTTCCCCTTGTTATTATTTTGCGACTTTTTGGTGCTGACATTATTTGCATTTTGTGTAAGCAGAGTATTCCTAAAAATGCTAAGCTATGATCAAATCAAACGAAATTATTTAGAATTTTATAGTTATTGGCGATAGAATTGAGCGCTCGTGATTATTCATTTTGAATATCGTTATAGCGAAAATTACGATTTTTCAGTAGCATATCTTCGGATTATGCACTGCATAAAATTTTGAGGATTTGGTCATTTTTACTGCTCAATTTTTCAACTCAGTCGGTTTTGTCACGCTTTTCTACATTGAGTTATGATTGCTTTTTACTTCTTTTGTGCTAGGTATCACAGTTGTAATTTTGCATCGAGTTTTCTTGCACTGAACTGACCCTCTTAGCAACAATCATGATTTTCTTTGAAAAATAACATCCATTTTTATTTTATTTATAATTTTGCCCTCTTAAATATTTGTATTCATTCCATCTTACTCAAAATGGGATTTCCCTTGTATGTACACAAAATCGTAATGTAACTCTGTAAGGAAAATCACACATGCGAATTTTCTCTCCTCAAAATTTATGATCAATAATACAAGTGACAAATTCTAACTTCTCTACAAAAATGGCAGAATTTCCAAAACATAATATTAATTTTTATTATTTAGAGTTTCGACGATCTTTATACATGTTGGCCCCACAACACTACATAATATTGTTTGAATTGTAGCGTGCTTTGTTGCACAAAGAAATGTTAGTATGCCTTCGCTGTATTGCCTAGCGCTAAGTACTTATCTGTTCGAAATTTGGTTGCTGAAATTCCATCAAGTTTTACAAAGCCTTCACGGTTTTAATACTTCCTATAATTTTTTTTATTCGAGGATATTTTTTTTATAAATAATATCCACTATTTATGAAATAATAAAATTATTACCCAAAGCACATTTTACAAAGATATTTTTCAAATATTTTATTTATGCTTTTATTTTATTAACATCACAAAAAATATCCATTCGAAGGATAATAAATTTGATAATTAATTCAAAACAACACGTACCAATGCGTTTATCTCACGCACTGACTCTCTTTCGCCATTTTGTATGTAAGCTGTGCAGTACTTTGTGTACTTTTTGTACTTTGTGAAAGTTTCTTTGTCGATTTTCGTACTATCATATTATTATTCCTATTATTGTACATACACTTTCTTTATATTTCTTTTAAATAAAGCATTGCTTGCCATTAAAATTGTTTTGTGTATATATTCAGGCAAATGTAGGTGTTACGGGTAATCATGGCGTAAAAACTTGGCAACATCTATATTTTGCTCAGGTAAAGCCACATCACGATTTTAAAAGCTCATTGATGGCAAGCAAACGCATCTCACTTTGAAGTAATTTCCGGAAAAATAAATGTTATGTAAAATGATTATTTTACATTAGTAATTAATTTTGGGGCCAGAAAAGCACTACATGCCGTTTAGTATTTGAGCATATCTTTGGGTCGCGAGATTTTACAAAATTTATTTTAAAAAAAAATTTGGGTCGCTTTGGACACCATTGCATAACTTCGCCCGAAACCGGTGTCTCCCTTCCTCTTATTACCTTGATGGACGTAATGAGTGGCCGGAATTTTTGAAGGTTGTTCATAGCGTGTGTATGAAAAAGTTGAGGAAAATATGTTCGCCCGGTCAATTATGCTCCCGAATGAAAAACTGCGCAGAAAGAGCTCGGAAACGTATTTTGGCGTTTGAGTCATAGCAATAGTCGTAAATTTGAATGCTTTGGAGCAGGAGATAAAATTTCTGTTAAAATCCCTTAGTCATAATATTAAACATCGAACTCCGCAAGTCGGAATTTTCGTCATTTGTAAATACCACAACGGACTATGTTTCAATTTTGATATTTCGGAATCCTTCAAATTGATTTCGACGTGAATTTATGTGATGTCATCGGAGTCGTTTCCGTCACAAAAATCATTTTCTACAATTCGGTGGGAACAATTTTTTTAAGTGAGTTACTGGCTTATATTTCTTAAGTTTAATGTATATTATTCACGTACAAAGGTGCCGAATCAGTTGAAATTGATCCAACAAGTTTTATTCTTGGTATTACAGCCCAACTCGTCCGAAATTACGGTCGGGTGTGGCATTTAACCGCAATATTATACACATGGTATTTATCATATCAAAGATAATTTAAGTTTCCGTTAGATGGCGCGACAACGTGTTGCGAAACCTGTTAAGCAAGTAAAGTGATTCCGGTATAAACTGGTATTTTCTGAATCAAACAGGTAGGGACAATGTATTTTTCTGTTATGAAATAATGTATTCAATTTAAGGCAGTGTATCATCTATGATATATACTTTATGAATAGTCAAAAATAAACCACGAAAGAAAGCTTAAAGACTGAAAAATCAGTTTCCGCATAGCCTTCCATCTTGCTTTAAAACCTTCCATACAAATCTTAGCGATTTAATGGTCAATTTTGGCTTCAAATATTTGTAGATTTTATCAAATCTCATCCGTCCGAAAACATGTATAAATATAAAATGTGGTTGGTGGCATAAGGTACGTGAAGTGGCTTATCCTTGACTCATCGGCATAAAATTTATTGCGCATAAAGTACTTAGATTGTCTTATTATATTTTTTTGATGACAGTGCTTTTCAAAGTCTGAAGAATTCAACGCTTTGTATAAATGAACATTTGACATCGCCATTTAAAACCCAATCGATTTTCTTTAATTAAAGATCGCTTCGACATAGTGATAATCGGCGGGACAATCAACAGTGGTATATTTCTTATCTTTCTAATATTTTAATATGCAACATTGGTATGCTAAACTATATATATGCTAAACAATTATCGTTGTGACTAACTATAGCTTACTCGTACTAAGACGAAATGTATGTTATTTCGCTACGGAGAAAACAGATTTGAAATACAAAGAAAGTATCTGAACAGCAGATGCATAATTTGAATTCTGCTAGGCTGAAAAGATTCATCTTGGAAACTTGTTCAATTTTATTTTCATGTATACTTTCATGTGTTTGTTGACTCACAAATAACGATGATGCTGTTGGGGGCGAATGTCACGTGCCTAACATAAATCAACGCATTTTGTAAGTCTTTATTTTATCCTAAATTAATAAAAAATGAAGTAATATTTCTGATGACGCAGGGTATGTATTAAGTGTTGCGTCACAAAGCATTTATCGAGATAGGTTGCGCAATTGGAGTATTATTATGCGCTGTTAATGCACTTTTGATTTGAAGATTCTAGCAGCATTTTTTTATGGGATGTCGTTAATAACTTTACAGTTTAACTTTCGTTCCAGCCATCACTTTGAACAAGGCATTGCTGTCATTTCGAGGTATTTACAAATTTTTGAATATTCAATATTTTTGGAATCTCATAGATCGATGTATACTCGGATTGTACCAAAACTTATCACAAATATACTGACGCAACTCGAAGATGAGATATGAGTACTTTTTATTGAAGATTTAGTGTTCAAACTGGCCTACAAATTTTCCTAAGTTTTGAAATCAGGGGGCTTCGAAATCAAAATCTTCGTGTTCACGTGTACGTTTTATTGTGTGTTTCTACTGAACATGAATATGCAGCAACTTCAGTAGCATTATTTAAATTTCTGCATAACAAAACATTTTGGATAATGATTAATGCCAGATGTAATGATAATTAAGTAAAGAAAAACATTTAAAGATGAGTTCTTTGTTGCAAGTAGAGTTGACATAGGATGTGCATTGTGCAATGTGCATTCTTCTCACGAAGGTGTCATAAATTTTATCACTTTGCGCAACTAAATTGTATTTTCATCACGACCCAGACGACCGAACGTGACATAAAAGCCACATTCTTACCTATGGTCACTGGTACATTTTTGAATATTCGTCAGCACACTCAAGGGCGTGACTTTGTAGCTTGGTACCGTTTATAAACTTTGCGTGTGGTAAGTCTGAGGGTACTTTTTATAGATCCAAAGCATATTTTACCACCCTTTTAATCGCTTTCTTCCCATATTTTGCCAAGTGTGGCTCTGCTCTGACATAATATATTAAATCAGGACTAAATATGGCTGTTACGTATATTCAGAAATACCTACGTTTCAATAGCTTTTAAAAAGATTTACCATTTCAGTCAAGATACTTAGGTACTTTCCATTGTTCAAAATCGGAATTTACTTTTCATATGACCCCACACCACTTTTCTTTATTATAAAAATGTCGGCAAATGCAGGGTTACACAGAGTTGGTTGAAGTCTGTTGGTTATTATCTTTATTACCAAATTATATGTAGTATGCTATATTTCATGATAGAGTTCTCAATATGTGAAATTGGAACATACAGTTCCATCGACACGGTTGTTTTCTATGACTTTTTCATAAATGCAAGCAGACGTTGGAATGCATGGATGTGCAATCTATAAAAAAAATTGATGAAATAAATCTCAATTTGAACCTATATGATTATACTTCAATGAATTTGACCTCAATTATATTCGTATATTAATAAAGATTTTGTAAATTTGTTTTATCAAGCCTTTTACGCGTGGCATGTTGTCAATGGGACACGCCTTGGCAATGAATCAAGTATGAATATTCAGTGTTTTTTTTTTATTTCGTTTGAGCGTCTAATCGAGAAATCATGCACAAAACAGAATTTTATATGGAGGCCCACTATTTAAAATCTTAAAAAAAATTTTGCATGTTCAATCGTTTATGCCTAAAATAAAGATATTATGGAAATATTCCCCAAAATGAGTTGGCATTTGGTATCATTCCATTATCCGCATACAAAATGGCCGTCGTTCTACAAAGTCAAGTCACGTAGGCAGAAAATGTTACGACTACGCAAATATGAACTTTCACGACCGACAGGTGTCTCAAATTGTGTCCACAGAATGGAATTCATCGCAACAAAGTTTATGTTTGATTGTTTTACTGTAGAATGACGAACATCGTTTTCGTCTTAAATCCTTCATGTCATCCATCAACCTATCTTTAAGTGATCCTTTCAATATAGTCAATAAAAATTGAATGTACGTTCGTATGTATGTGAGTGAGTTCAATACCGTTAATCACAAAAAACTTGAACGCTAATAGCTACAAAGGTCGTTTACCGTGTTTAGGTGTGCTGCTTTTTTATCACGAACCGACTTATTATTTCGGCGACCATGATTATATAAAACAAAAACAAGCGTAAATTATAGGCTCACTTATTAGTATGCCAACGGCAAATAGTTTCATTGTCACTCCTATCAAGACCAATATCTCACAAATGAAAGTTCATGTATAAAACTTAACGCAATGGCTTGGGCGGATTAATGTAAGCAAGCGCTGGCTATGATACAGCTTTCCATCGCGTCCATTTTGTTCCATCATGAGCTACATTAACAGATTTTCTATTCTCGAAATTATTATCGAATTCTGCTTACGCAACCACCCAGGCGAGGAGGTATAAAATCAAAACTGTTTTATATCGTTTATACTCCCATTTTGCGATTAAATCGTGTCTATATATATAAATTAATCGTAATTCGTAAAGTTCGTTACTTCTTAATATCAGGATAAATCAATGGTTTGACCTCATAGTTGAATCTTTCGAAATTTGGTATCAGCTTTGACTTTTGTATGCATTTAGACTGATTTGTTAATTGAATACCATGTACGATAGAACCGCATAATTTTCTATTAAACTTCGCACAATAGAAAATTCCCTACTTCGTCATGATTAATTAACGCTGGTGACTACAATCATGGCATAGAAATTGAACAAAGGATCGCACTTGAAATGGAAACAAGTGTATTTCGTAATGCCGAAGGACCGGTAATTATGGTGTTCATCGTTTCTTAAGAAAACATCAAAAGCCCAAATGACACTTGTGGCTGTTTCTCTATTGCGCTTACGTTGCGTAATTGTCAGGCGGAAACGTGGACCATTGTCTGAGAGATTGGTATATACAAGTATGTATGTTCTTCACTAGGGGAATGACTGCAGATTCGATATTTTATTGAGTTTACGTTCATTTGCTTTTCAGGTAACATTACCACACAAAAAAGTTGTGCCAAAAGCAATAATGAATCAAGCGTATGCATTTTTATTACCTAATTACCCGTTTTGCGAGTGTCATGTGAAGTTGAAATAAATACTGGGCCGTAAATTCAAGACTATGTTGGTGTGGCACGGTCTCCAATTAACTGGGCTGTAAACTAAGTGTATAAATTGGTAAGAGGCTTCGGTTTAAGTGAAGGAATATATATTTTGCGTGTAAGACTAACTTTTTCGGGTATAGTTGTCAATCCTTGCCTATTAAAATTACATGAGGTTTTAGCATGATTTTATTTTTGATTCTACTGTCTATACAAAATGGCGATCTATAGTTCTGTTCGCGAGATTCAGGAATTACTAAAATATTGAAAAGGGAAGTTTGCTTAGTAGTTTTCAATAAAACCTACTTTTAACGGTGTTTGTCAAAAACACGATTTAATATCTTTTTCTTCGCACACACCCAATTAAACAACCTCTACTTGTATTAATGATATTTCACAATACAATATCGACAAGATGGCGTAAATGAGTCAAATTTCTTAAGTAAGGAGAAAATCACCTCGTTGCTCTCGAAGAGAGCCGATCGTCGCCTTTTTCTTTTTACATATTTCATCGCGTATCGTTATTTGCCGTCATAACTAAACTGCGGTGACGGGGGTAAGTTTGCTCTGCTGAAGGTCTCAGTTTCTCTAACGTTTACGGATATTAATGAATATTATAGAAACACATACGCTGGAATTTGGTATTGTGTTTTGCGTAATCATGACGAGGAATAGCGCTGATTACGCTTGCATTTGTGAATGAAACGAGTGATTTAGGAATATTTTTGAGGGGTATTTTGGTGTTGTATTTGATGGCCTATCGCAAGTACAGAGTTGAAAATATCAGTGATAACTCGCAGCGATTAAACCTATTCAGGCTTAGTTAAAAATTGCAGATTTGAGGTGCAGAAACGTCTATATTTGTCTTGTAACGATAGGCACTATCGTACCGGTACAAGATAATATTGTGACAATTTAATCTTTAATCCGTCTATTTGAATCGGATTAATTTTGTGTGAAGGCTTCGCGCCTCTGCTTTGGGGTTGGATCTACCATTAATTAGACGGTTAGAATATGTAATCTCACTAACATGTCAAATTTATCCCGCAGAGTGTCAGTTTTAAAGAGATGAGTTCTTCCAAATGTTTGCTTTTTTGATTACGGAATGCTGTCGAGGACATCGCCGTGTGATACAGTATCTGTGTATGCTTTGTTTTATATCGGGAGGAAGACTCATTTATTAAAATGCTTATAGACAGATTTTTAATAAGCCTGTGAAATATTTTAAACCAACTAATACTGGGCGAATATCGGTTAAGTGGTAGGTAGTATCTGTTCTTGATTTATCGCAACTTTTGTCTTCGTTAGAATGGTTTAGTTTTTTTTTTTTGAGTTTGGCCTATTTTTATAGCTGTATAGTTACATTTTGTACTACAAACAATGATTCAATTGGTAGAAGATAGGCAGTTGTTTCTGTATAAATGATGTTTTTATGTAACTGAATTAGCTTTTTACTTTTTAGATTACGAAGCATTAGCATTATCTCAGAGTGTTACATTTATTTATAAAACTTATCAACAAGTTATAAATCGATTGGAGAATCAGAAGCACAAACGGAACATAACGTTATTTCTACTTGACACCCAAACACTGACGACAACTTTTTTCCATCGAGTATTATTTCACCGAAAGACTAGTAATACCGTACGGCAACAGAAGATTACATTTGCCGGGAAATTATACAGAAAGAACTGGCAATGCACTTACTGCCATATCAACATTGGCTGTTATGCCTGCTAATTTTTATTACGTTTATGGATGTTGGACAATCAGATATCAGTAAGTAAAATATTTACAGTATAATTTGTTCAGAATTGTGTAAATCGAAGGCTACATATCTATCAGGTCGCAGCAGATTTTTATTCAAAATTTGTAGTTAGTTCATTAGTCGTAAATTTGGATAGCCGTTCCATGTTAGTAACAAAGTCGTAGTCTGCGATATATTTTTGTCCACACCGCGGGATTAGCATAATTAAATTAACTCAGTATCAAGCGTGCATAATCGCTCACGGTTGGGTGGTGTCAAACTTTATAAAAGTTTTGAAAATCAAAACACGTCGGTTTTAGAAACCTGCTGAGATCAAATGTAACCACGGTACTATGATCTTCCATGCGACGCGCCGAGAATGCGCGAACATTTTCACTATACTGGACATGAAAAAATAGGCATGCTGGTTTGAAAGTGGTGAAAAATCGTGAAACAGCTGAATATCAAAGTTACCGGTATGCAAAAGCTTGGAATATTGAAAGTTCAAGGACCACAAATTACTTCATATTGAGTTATATAACACTATCATAAATTCGGTTTTCGGCGTTACTTCACTTTCCATAAAACAACGTATTTGATATATGTAGTACGTATTACAATTGAAATTTAATTAAATTGAAACAATGGTATTATAATATTGTGTTCGTTGGTTTAACAATCGTAAAATACCATAATTACTGCATGTTGTTAGTAGACTTTCGGTCGCCATGGTTAATCAGTCAAACACCGGTAGTTAAATACAGTAACTTTTATTATATTATTTCGACTTAGTTGGAAGACCGATAATTATTTTAAAATCTATGAATCGAAGGCTTGTGTCCATGTCTCACGCAAAATATGGTAGCACATCATGAAATGTTCATAATATAGACTTCTAGTAAATAAGCCCGTGTTGTCTTTTACTTGAAAATGATAATAATTACATGTATCGCATTGCGCGATTTCTCCATATTCACCACACAAGCGAATCTTCGACAATGTGAAGTTTGTTTTATACCCTTCGTTCATAACCAATCAATCTCAGAGGTGTATCTGATAGCTGTAAATTGTTCAGATAACGCATCACATTTATGACGTTAACATTTGATATTTTGTGCGAATACGCTTCTTCGAGCTTTGTAAGAAAGTGCCAGCATATCTAAAAATAAATATCCTTTGCCGCAAATCAAATATAAACAATATATTTCCGATGACATTAAACTGCATCAAAGCATGAATCGGTTAAACGGGCCACGAATTGTGCGTTTCCGCGTTCGGCCCAAATCGCCATTTCGTTTGGTTGAAAATGTTGATCTAAGCACGGTTTTTGTCATATTATTTTCCGATCTAAGTCACGCCTCCATTTGTTAGTGTCCACATCCCTAAATATGAAATGTTTTCTTTATGGCATAACGTAATGGCAACAAAACATCCAAGGAATTCGATTGGGTTAAAAATAGCCGTGTAGTTCGACCTACGCCTATACAATACGTCTAATATATTTATTGTGTATCTGACGCGCATCGCCCGTTTGATTATATGGGAATCGTGATTCCGTATTGTTTGTCCATTGGGTTGGGCCTCTATTAAAAATAAGAGTTATTCCGTTGTCTCTTTTGTTATTTCGACATGAAAATGCTGGACACCGACGTTAAGAGGGCTTATCTTTGACGCATACGTGGTTACGCGCGCTTTTTTGGAATTTCTGACAAACTGAAAATATATAGGAGATTTATTGTCCAACTTTCACTTATTAATTTAGACGTTCATTATGTTTGGATTGGTCAGTCGCTAACAACAAATAACATTTTTTTACGTTATGTTCTCCCCGCTTGCGACTGGACGCACCAGATCAAACAAGCTTGCCACGAGCCGTTTTTGCAACTCAAAATGTATATTTGCTCGAAATATTTATTTACGTCATGATAAACAGCCTCGGGTCGTCCTCAGAAATTGAAAATTTGATAACTAGCTGGTTATATAATTCCCGTAATCATGCACGAAAACTCTATGGAATTTCAAACCCAAACCTTAAAAATATGACATCACAACTGCAAACTGAAATGAAGCAAACACGCAATCACGCAATTTAGTTGATGAAAGAATACGTTTGTACTTGGGGATGAATACTTTTTCACATGATGTAGAATATGGATAGACTATTCGGAGCATATATTGCGATAGCGCTAATATGTATATCTTCTTGTGCTTTTGTAATGGAATCACACCAATTAAAATTATAGAAGTGTTTTTTGCGATTTTTCAATTTAGAAAAGTTGAACTAGGTATAAACACAATTTCAGACAAAGAATCATTTCTCTTGGCGAATTTACATATTACCTGCTTATCAAATTAGTAAGGTCATGTGACATTCTTTAATAATGATTTTATCACTGTCTATGTCGTAATCAAGTTCTCTTTTAGAAGTATTTTATTCCATTTACTTTACAATGAATCATGTTTTCTTAATATTTGCGCATTTACCAATGACGTATGGAATTCGACCAGTCCCAGTCTGGCTAAATAAAATAGGGCGGGGAAATGGAATTTACATATGTTCACATGTTTAGATAATTATCAAAAAAAATGAAAGAAATTTGAGTTTCAGCATATTAGCGCCCTTATATATTATGGATTCGTAGAATGGATGTCTTTCCCCAAGTTTAATATTTCATTATACCCATTCACTTATTTATGCACTGTCATAAATTTGCCCCAAATTTACAATTGTTCTAAAAATACCCGATATTTTTATTGGATTATACATAAAACAAAGCGCGCACCTGTTCTTGCTGCGTCATTTGTGGTGATCATAAAGTAAAATCATTAATTTGTCACAAATTAGTTCAAATAATTCCTAATATTGATAATCTATTTGAAATTAAATTTTTGGTTAGACATTAAAAGAAACTGATTCAAGAGTATAATAACCTAAATTTGAAATTTATTCCGAAATTAGATCAAAGACGCCGCCATGGTTAATGGTTCAAATTTTATCTTCGTGATTTGTAATGTTACTTAATGATGAGGCGAAACCGATTGGTGCTAATTTTTACTTAGCGATTTACTTAACGACCGGTCTTCAGGTATAGTTTGATGTATTTTTAGTGTCGAAATTCGTCAAGAATGTTACCGGAAGTGTTCTACTTCAGGAAATGCTTCCGGATAAATGACAAATCCAATGCCAGTAAGAAACCGCGCTTTTAATTTAGACTGTCCCTGGAGATTTGTGTTTCTCAAAACCTCTCTGATGGGTTATAATAAGTTCTTACTACAATCAAAGCTTGTGTATTTGTGGCTCAAATTTATTATTTCGGCGCACTTGGCCATAAACGATCAAATTTTATCTAGAAATGTTTTCATTGTGGGATAAAATTACCTATTATCGAAACCCTCGCTTTGCCACTAATTTCAGACAATACTGTATTCGCGGTGGATGTACAACCATTTTTAAAACATGTATGCTTATACACGGCCGATCATGCGCCATTATTGAAGAACACTGGATGTTCGAGATTTATCTACGGCACGTGTTCGACAAGAATAATTACTCATTGGTAATACACAAGTAAAATTGCATTTTCGTTTCCTGTCTAAATTACACGGCTGAAAACCAAACGCAAAATTATAAGTATAAATCATACAATGAAATTGCGCCAATTTTATTAGAAGATCAACAGTTTTCTCTCATTTTGTTCAAATTTTGTCTAGAAAAGTTGTAATTGGGATTGCTTTGTTTTTAATCGTCTATGAAAATTGTATATTATACCGAAATCCGTGTTCCTTAAATATATACAATATATTAGAGGCTTTACAAACCGCCCTTTTTGGCGGAAATTAGTTTTCAATTGAGACAATGTCCTCTATTGTCCAATATAATTTATTTTTATTTAGCTTGCGAAACTTTTTTTCAAATCTAAGTTACTTGATGAAACCCGATGAGATATCAATTAGCCAGGTTGAAAACTAGTTCTAGAACTTCAGGCGACTGGTTCATTTATGTATTCATCATCATAAAACATGTCATCAAGATGCCTTCCGTACCACTAAGACTAAGCCAATGACACAGAAGATTTCTATTTATTTCATCGTTTATCATTAATACCTTGTCTCGTTATTCTTATATTTAATATTATCCAAAATTTGGCGAGAGATATCTTTTTATCATCGATATCTCGGTTTCATAAGCATAAATAGAAAAGGGAAGTTCGTTCGTGGCGACGGAACTAGAAACGCGTTATCATTGACGATGGTAATACGGAGAACTGTTGCAATAAACCAACGACAATCCCCATTTCTGAAAATGTTGTAACTCACTAACAGTATAAAGAATATGTGTAAATCATATGATGTTGATTGTACAATTTATCGGCCGAAAATATCTTCGACAGAATAAAAATTATTTCATCAATAGAAAATTTTTCCAAACTTTAATTTCATTCGTTCTTCCCAATGTACAGAAAGCATCCATTAGGTATGTAACGTGCAACACGTTCGCTTCGTTGAATAGCCCGGAGGGATACGAACGGTGATTATTTTACAACGCGCATATTTCTAACTTGAGTCCTGATAAAACGCCAAAATGAAACATGCTATCATATGAATAGATGACTTTGTCATCCTTACAGTTGTAAACATTGATACCCTTTTTACGGATAAATCATGAATGAAAAGTGTGATTTATATATGGACCACGATTAAAGAAATGGGGTTATATTTTAGCGTATGGTTTTGAACGTGAAAGTTTTCTCTATTGACATTGGTAGTTACTCACAAGAATGAAATCACAATCTTGTTTTTCAACATGATGATGCGTGAATTGTAAAATTCAATCAAAAATATTCACGTACGGTCATTGAAACGCAGTTTAATAAAATGTAATAAATGGTTAATAAAAAGAAAATTGGGCAACCGTTTCAGTCTTAAATATTTACTGCTGTTCTTAGTTCCCTGACGAGATAATAATTGATAGCTTAACCCTTTTTTATCGTAGAGACAAGATACTTTGACTTTGAAGGAAAACGCTTTATTTTATAAAATGAAAAATTCTTTGTTATGTCACCTTTAAGAGGACTGAACATGTGCACAAAATATTTTCCTTGCTGGTCAAAGATGCCAATCAATGTTTTGCTAATTTTTCGTCTCTGGGTCAAATGACGACACTGTAAACGTTGTAAATTTTGTAACCCTTGTTCGACATTCATACCAGATGGATTTTACGACTCCTAAAACGGGACATTGTTGAAATACCTGAGAGGCTTACGACAATCATAATGTAATAATATCCCTTTCTCTTTTATACTTGTTTTGAATAGCTTGAATTCACATTGTATACTTTATATAGGAGTTATTACTCAATTCAGTCATATATTTGGCTATATTATTAGGTAATGTGTTAACGAAACAGCATGATTTGTGTGGTGTTTAAATAAATGTATGTCAAACGAATAATATTTTTTTTTAATTTATTTCCAGACGAATTGTTTGACAGACATGTTTTGTCTGATAACTCAAGTATCAAATATGCATTACGTAATGAATATACTTCTGAATTATAAACCAATTTCGTGCCAAGGCGTAATCAAGCCCAACATTGGCCTGTGTTTATCTAGCCGACAGGTAGTTAGTGGTGAAACGATGCATTCCGTCAACATTCCGCGGTCATAGAAACACGAATCCATCAAAATAAATAAATAAACGTGAGGGAAAATGCAGGTGTAGAAAAAGTTTAATGTCTCATGTATGGGGGATACTATGTAAATGCGATTTATCCTCGTGCCATAAATGATGTGTTGTATATCCTCGTGTTTCTGATCTGTTGATCAAAGGCGCAATACACAAAGAAAATCGGAACACGCAACCGTAACAAATGTTTCATTGAACGTTTGAACCATTGTCTTATACGATCGCAATCAGTCAAGTTTAAATCCTGCTGTAATCGACTCACAAAGATATCTTTACCCGGCACTGTACCGATACCAAACACCAAACATTAGTTCAGTTTGGTAGGTACTGCATTTCAAGGAAAATCCTATTCAAATGGCAATTGGGGGCATACATCAATCCCTATTTCAATTCTAGCTACTTCTAAGTTTTAAATAATGTACAGGAGTTTCATTCCACCTAAGTAATGCAATTACTCCACTGGAGTTATAGTCGGCTTCGAACTCCATGGGTTCCTCCTAAGGGTGATATTGTTCCGTGTTATTATAACGTGATTTTAGTCTAGACTAGTGCGTGGTGATATTTGAGTTGATATGCGCTATATTTGTCAACATGGTAAAACATGAAAATATCCAAATTTATCGTATACCACGCAAATGATATTAAGTAGGAATTCGTAAAACGACGTCACTTATCAAGGTTTCAAAGTGGATCGGAGAAATTCTTTTTCTAATGACATTGCCGTTTTTTTCATCATATGACATCACATTTAGAAATTTCCTCTGGTAAAAGTTAGGTTATGAAAATATAATTATTTATAAATAACATTTTCGTGAGACATCTCGGTCTTTCGGCGACCGAAAAATATTTTCCTATCTCGATATCGCGCGTAGGTTTACAGGTTTATATCGTCAGAGGTATTTATGGTTTTCGAGTGACGAACATGCGACCGAAAATTCACTCACACTTTCTGTCTTTTCTCCAATACGTCATATTTTTATCGAAAACTCATGATCATTTTGCGAACAACACTATTCACTAAATATTACGAAATGCAATACTTCCTAGATTATTTTAGTCAGATTTTTTCGTATGTGTAATTCTTAAATTGACAACTCAAATTTCAGAAATATATCCGGAAATATTCAGGAATATATATGTAAGGTAGATAGCACATGCGTCATTGGTTACCGATGGATACCAAGAAACAGTCCTTTTATAATAAACAATTTTAAGCTAGTTGGAACCCATTTGCCAACGATGTATACGCGTTTCGTCTTAAATCAATCTCTATTCTCCGTTCCCTCAATGCGTCTAGTCATCCTCGAAGTATGTTATTTTAAGATACCCTTAACAATTAAATCAAGGTCACCATGGGTAATACCTACGATATATTATACATTGAAAAACTATGGAAGTTGTCTAAGTGCCTTAAAATGTTGTGGTATTTGAACAGCCCCCTGTCTATTGGATTGGCGGTCTAGTTTATTGGGGTGTTGAGCATTTTCAGGCTTAATTGTGGTTTGGCTCCTAATTTCGAAATTTCCCCATCAGATTAATATGATCGTTTTTAACTGGGTCGGAGGGCTAAGTCGATTAAAAAGGGTATTTTTATGGGTTATAACTTATAAGGAATGTATAATACGCAAAATTTAGTTTCCATTACCGGATGTTTTCTTTGTCAAATATTGTTTCAGCCCATTCAGCTGAAAACAATGAGTCGCCTTTTTCATTTTGTAGTTTCATATTTAGTAATAACATACAAATAATATTAAATCTGCCGAGTTTTCTTGAATTGCATTATTTTTATGACAGTATCACTTGTAAGTTTGCAAAATATCAATAATATTACAAGCTCATTTTTATTATTGTTTAATAATTCAAAACCTAAAAAAAAGCTTTTTATTTTATTGCATCACTCTGAGGTAAAACATTGTCATTCACTCCATAAGCCGTAAAGCGAGAGCATTAAAGTCAAGTGCCATGACACTAAGTTGTCTCTGGGGACGTTTGCAAATGACACTTTAAGCCCATATGGATACCGATCGATATATGGCAGATTTTGTTTAATAAACCATGCAGATTAAAATTTATCGAGTTTACGAAAATGGTAGTTGGTATCAAAAAGTTTCAACGATTATAGTCATGGATGGTATCGACTTAACAGCGGGTAGACTTCGTACAATTCTCGATTACTGACCCACTGTTTCATTTCCGCTCGTGTGATCAAATTTAATCAATGCAGATCTCTGAATTTGTTAGTGGCTTGTTAATAGGGAGAACATACACCACAATCAAAGAAAAATTGATTTTATATCGGTTTGGAAAATTCCTTCCACGCGGAAGCGACATGCGGATAGGTTAACATAATGACAATTTTGAAATGAGGACATGTTGATTTTTTGACGAATTTCTGATCGGGATGTCATCTGTCAAACGGAAAACAAATATGTCGAGATTCTAGAATTTTGTGACGATGTGTTTGCGTCTGGTTTGTTTACTCCGTGTCCGGATTTGAAATCCGGTCTAGCGCTCGGAAATGGAGCAATGCAATGCACTGTTTATTTAAATAGTGTCATTGGGTAGATAGCGAGATATTTTGGAGATGAGAATACTATATTTCCCCGTCCTATACTTTGGAAATTTACTGGTTATCAACCGACACGAAGCAAGGTTAAAGGCAATGACTGTTACTGAGTATCTTACATGGCATCAACTATTAGTATTACATTGAAACATACCATCGTTGTCTTGTATCGGAGATGCTAGAACGTCCAGCTAAAAATCAAGGATTAAGGCCTTCAAGTGCAATCACCCTATTGCTGAAATAACAACTGACGATTATATCCTAATACCTACTTACTTTAATAGATATAATTTACACAATTCAAATATGGGTCGGGGCTAAATTAATCTCAGCATATGATTGGGCTATACATGATTGAACAAATATATAGGATTCAATAATATTCATATAACCTTTCATATTACGCATCCGCTCGAGTGCTGATTCGATGATGCTTTATATTGGCGAGCGATTTTAAAAATTTTAAATAGAATATATAGTAAATAGAACCCATTCAGAAATCTTGTTATGAGATTTTAAGTCTTTTATTCTAATCGTCAAGTATTATTAAGTGATGATTATTACTTCACCACAAAAATAGGCCTCGTACTGATGAAGCAACTTTCCATCTGCTATGAAGCAATATTTTATGCACTAAGTAAAAATTCAATCTGTAAAAAGGCATTTTTAATAATTTATTGTTTGTGAGTGAGTTTTTTTTTTCTTTTGAGTGGGTTCTGACTGAGTAACTTGTCTTGAGAAATTATTTGGAAAATATTGCTCGCCTCAAACATCTTTTCCGGCTAAAAATTTTATCCTCTCGCGTGTATATAACACATATTATTTTGCATTAAGAATGTTAATGTATTGTCAGAAAATCTAAAATAAAAGTCGGTCGACAGAGGTTTTAAATACCATATATTTGTTTCCTTTAACAAGCCGCATTGAAATGCCAATATGCTTACTATGTCTAGTCGGTTAACATTATTACCCAATCTATACCGGACTAAATATGATCCAATAAAACATATCATGGGTCTTTTGAACAGCGTTTCCGGCGACAGATATAGAATCATAATGATGCGGCGGGTTATGTAGACAAAGCCCATGCGCGCGTGTGGAATTTCATTGTGTTATGATATTTTATATCAAAATTGTAATAAAATACCTTACACACGCCGAAACTATTACATGCCACCTATTTAACCTTTTTATGTGAACCATGGCGTATAAATCGTGAATTTTTATGTTACGTATATATATCGGTTTTGAAGGCATGAACAAAATAGCGAGCGAGCTCTTTATAATTTTATACACAAATTTCCAATTTTAATTTAAGTAATAGCATTGCATATTCTTTGAGCTAAAGCACTGTTTTAATTCAAGTTCGTTTTACTTTTGCAGGAGTTCTATTTGATACGAAACAGTCGAAAAGTGACTTGAAATGGGAGAAACACCCTTCGAACGGGGTAAGTATTAAAAGCCGTTAAAGGCAGTTAGTTACATACTCACAAGGTCCGATTCTAATTTCAATCCTCTGTTCGATATAGGCCATTTATGTAGCGCACTTTGATAGTATTTATCAATCGCCAGAATGTAAATAACATGAAAATACTTTTTTACTTGGTATGTGTTTCAAATGCCAATGTAATTGTTACCCATAATTTGACATAACTATAACTATTTTGCGATATCATCAAAAAGTCAAGCACTGACAGGTACCATGAGCTGACGACAATCGCTTTCACCTTAACAAAATATTGTCATCGAATTCTGAATTAGATACGCTTTTATTTTGAAGTCAAGGTAGCTAGCTATACTGTGAAAATAGAATTATCCCACATCATAGGAAAACTGTCAAAATAAAGCAATTAACAATTAACTGGATCAGATACAACTACGCCTAATATTACAATATATTACAATTCCGATCTCTATTATAGTTTCGATTCCTTGTTTTCCACCTGTTTATATTCAGATATTTACTTTATACTTTTCTCCTTGGCATGACACATTCAAATTTCTTCTATCAAATCCTCATTCCGACCGCAAAATACACAGTGTTCCCTTTATTTTTTGAATGATTCATGTTTAATTTCTACTCTCAAATGTTGCAAAAAAACGTAAAGTGGACAATTATTCCGCTCTGGTAGTAATGACTACCCTTAAGCCTACAAAATAGGTTGCCCCTATCCGGCCCTTATGCGTGATTTTGGGCAATGTCAATAAAATAGGACAGTGTCATCTTCACTGGGGTTCAAATCTTTGCGCTTTTACTATTCTGGCTCACGAAAACACGATGTTTATATCGAAAAAAGTCTTATATTCTGTTATTTACAGTTCATGTCGATTGATCATTTTTATTTTTGACGAAATCTGCTCATATTGTGTCAAGTTTATTTGACTGGAAATACATTTCTGAGTGGGCTATCGGCTGTAATTATCATAGAAAACTATTTGGACAACTGGTCATTATGTTATTGACTTTTGATAATAATGTCTTCATATGTAAGTTTAAAACGGAACTACTCCATTGACTAAGAAGTGACATCATGAAATTTTAAAGTCTTCATGGCGTTATTCAAATTCTATAGTTTCAGAATGCACCAGAGTGCTTCAACTATCGCTAGGCAGTATTATGCCAATGTCAAACTTTCGAAGCTTTCATGACTTGCTAGTTTATAATGAGATTTCCTAAAGAATTAGTTGTTCAGTGGCCTCTTGGCGCCTCAGTTGAAAGTGCATATACTCAGTTTTTATTTGGTGTATAGGTCTTTGTATTGAAATCTTTAATTTGAATTTCGAAATCCGGAATCGTACAATATTAACGAATGATGAAATCGGAGGATAAACTCATACCATTAACATTATGGTACTATAGTATAACACTTGGCAAGGTTAGTTATTTATTAACGATCACCATTCCACAGCCAGCGTGGTACGTATTCGATTGCCCAGCAGTACGTTAGGATGACAATGCGATATCCACAATGGAATGAGGGTGCGTATGTTTGAATATGGTTTTTATAGTAATTATGGACATCGCACGTTTTCGTATGTGATCTGTTTACCCCATCGTTCGTTACGTGATTTGTGACCGCTTATAGTTAGTGTGCAACACCACATTGTGTACATGATAAATTTAAAAGATATAATATCCTGTTCGTTTATTAGTTTGTCACTTTTAAATGGAGTAGTTAAAATTTAATTTATTTTTAATGGCATTACTGTTTAATGAATTTCTGCGCTGTAATCATGTCAATACAAATTTCCAGTCATTTTTTTTTGTCTACAAATTTTGATTTATAACATTAACAGCATTAGTTTCGAACGATTGTTGTTATTTTATTTGGAACGGGATAAATTTTCAGCTTCCATTACGATGTCACGTCGCAAATCTTACGTCAATGTTTCCGTTAATTTGATCCGTAGTGTTTACGTTGCGTCGAGGTGAATCGGAGTACGAATACCATCGGTGTTTGATATCCTACGCATTTAGTACCCAACGGACCGTTCGTGGTCGATTTACATACCGAAACCGCGTCACAAATGTTAAGTTATTACGAGAGGAATCAACTGCTTGAAACGCTATCTGACGAATATAGGAGATTTGCTGAACATGACCCAAATATGGAAGCCTTGTTTCCCTCACATGAAATTATGTCTCATGCTGACCAGGCAGGCCATAAGCACAATTAGAAAAAACTGTTAAATTTTTTTGGATTTACACACAGTGGTGTTATTCAAGAAAAGGATGTGTTTTCTAGTGCTTAGTTAGATTTTATTTGTTGAATCTGAATACCCTATAAAAGCGAATTTCGTGACCTAAAATCGACATAAGTGAAAATGTAGAACATCACCTCCTTTCCACATCATTTTGTAAACATTTAAATGATAAGGAAAGCACTCGAAAGTCAGGGAACAACAATTAGCTCTCATCTGGAAATCGTCATTTCCAATTTCCCATTCCTCATTCTAATCTTACAATATATGAAAACCGATGTCATCGCTGATTTGTCATACATATATCAACACAATTCATCAATGATAAAGATTCCGAGTCATACTGTCTAGGAATTTCTTCTGATATGTAATGTAATTGTCATTGCGGGTTACCATTCACGAGCAAGGGCACGTTGGCATCAAATGTTGATGATAGGATAGGGCCTTGTAGTCATCCCATAGACTTAATACAATTTGGTGGTACATCTTTTTTTCAACCAAGGCCCGTGTATATATCTCAGATTCATGTCCGAATTATATTTAATGTGGTTTTAGTGAAATATACTTTTGGGGTCAAGGTACAATTCACCATTTTATTCAAATCTCTCAACGGAATCATATTTATTTTAATAGTCGGGTATGTTGTGACGGTATATTCCGCGAGGATGGTTTTGAATTGAAATCGGGAGCTTATAGCTCTCTTCTCCTTTCTTGAGTCACAACTGTTGGGTGCGTTACCTGAAATTATCGTTTCGGATTTTGTTCGATCAAAATTGCGAAATAGATAAATCAATCGCCCAGCCAAAACCAATTTATTGATGTGTTAAAAGGAAATATGAACAAAGCGTTGCCATGTATTTATGATTCATATATGACTTTTTGTCTAACATCAAAATGAGTATTTATACCACGCGTTTCTATGGGATTTATGACCGTTCTTCCCCCATGGGGAACGTTTTATAGTCCTTTGAGTTTCACATACTGAATAGCATAAAGAAAATATGGTTGGTCATATCCTCTTGAAAGATAATCGCGAATAGCGTCCGTCGTGCCGACTACCACTCAAGAGACATCGCTGTTTTTATCTTGCCGACAAGTTATGGCCAATAAATGTCGTTTCATTACAGAAATATTTCATTGGTGCATCGCGATAATACATGGGAGATTCAATTGAAATTTGCCCAAAGTAAAGCAGTAAATGTCTAATTAGAATCACAAAAAATTTAACGTCGAATGCAATTATAATTTAGCTCCGAATAATATATTGCTGATGCCAAATACCAAATTACTGCTGGATAATAATCGGTTACCTTGAATGGGATAAGCATTATACCAGCAGGACTACCGGAATGAAAGCGAGAACCGTGCAGCTTCCGTTAAGCTCACACTGTTTATTATTAATCAGTTTATTGCGGTAGCGAGAAATATGGAATTGGTGATATAATAGTTTAATCCAGTGTTTGTGGTAAATAAATAAATGGTTTAAAAGCGTTGTACGATGCATGATTTTTTTCAATTTTGTCACTAATTCTAACACGTTTTTTTGTGGGAGAAAAATACACCTGTTTTGTTACTGACATTCATGGAAATATATATAATAAAATAACCATTTATGGACATATACACCGTTTTTATATGGCCATAGATGTACGAAAATATGTATCAGTAAACTTGGTACGTGCAGTAATGCACGCTACAGCTATCAACATATAACCTAAATAAAGCAAAATCGTGACAATATTTCTTGTAAAACTGCATCGTTCTCAGATTATCGGGAGAATTATCGCAAATATAAATATTACATAAATTAAAGTATTTAATTGTTGTCAATAAATAGAATTATGTAAAATATTTCAGTGCAGACTTTCTTTTGTTCTTTTAAACACGTTTCCATATTTTAAACAGAAATGGAAAGGTACAATTCCGTTTCGATTTACCCCATAGGCAAAAGCGCTTTGATGTAGTGATGACGTTTTCCGAACGTACACACATTGCTTATTGTACGTTGGTGGCGATTCACAAAGTCATAGATTGTAAAGAATTATGACTTTTTTTTATTAAAGACTATTTAATAGCAAAAAAGCATAAAATCGTAACTTTGGCTGCTGTTGATGAAATGAAACTTGAAATACATATGCACCACAGTATCAGTTAATCTTAAAAGGGAGCTTGAATAAGCCTAATTGCTTCATTATGACATTTCGTACACCTGACGCTTTTCACGTATATGTCGCATTAAATTCCAATTGTTTATCGGATTTTTATTTTGATATTTATCCTATTATATTATATCGTAATTTTTTGTACGAAATTGACCGTAGAATAGAGGATTCGCGTTTGAAAAGGCGGGATTTATCTAAGATCCATATCTGATAAAACTTATGTTTTTGAAACTATAACTCGAGGAGATAATCCGGATGTTTTTATCGCCTGTCGGTTGGAACGTCACGTTTTTGTTCATATTTTATCCACAAAATTTAGTTTGGTGACAAAAATGTCTAATGTGCTAAAATTTGAACGCGTCATATAATTAAAATGCGTAAAATCGAAAAAAAATGCTTGACCTGTCTTAGAGTTTGCGGCCGCTTACACAAAAGTTCATACCAGTACATATTGAAAACACGAAATGGTATGTTTGGGCTGTCCCGAATTATATAATATATATAGTATAGTGAGACTATTTGATTTGTTTGTTATATTGATTTCGATATATTATTACCAACAGAAATATCGTTGCGAAGACTTACTTTGTAGCGAAGAGAATTTAATAAGAAAGATTTAAATACAACTCGAATGTTTCATTATTATTATTTTTTTTTTTCATTTTTTTTTAGTGGGAAGAACTTAGTGGACTCGACGAAAATGCCGCGCCGATTCGATTTCATCAAGTTTGCAGAAACGATATTCCAAATCAGAATAATTGGATCAGATCACCGTACATTACAGCAAAGTAAGAAATGAATTTTTATTATCAAAATACGAGTCGAAAACTCAAATTATATATTTGTTTTGTTATCAAATGGAAAACTATTATGGGAAACGAAATTGCCAGTCTACCAAAACATTTTAAAGTCAACATTTTTTTACAGCGGAGCTCAACGAGTCTACATGGATATTACATACTCCATGATGAAATGCGACACTTGTAAAGAAACATTCACTTTATATTACTACCAGTCCAACTCTGACGTGGCTTCCAGTACTTTTCCTCGTTGGCAAGCACAACCCTACATAAAAATAGATACAGTAGCTGCCGGAACGCGATTTGACGCCTCATCTAGTAGTAATGGAGGAATCAACCATAAAACATTCAGCATTGGACTAAGAAGGTATGTCTTTATAGATTTCTGGAAAGCTAGTGAAGCTGATACTGCCACAGTGATATTTTAAACCGAATTGCCCTTTTTCTTTAGAAAAGGCCTCTACGTCGCCGCTCAGGATGAAGGCACTTGCATGTCATTGATAGCTACCAAGTTATATCATTACTATTGTCCAGAGACAACGCACGGCTTAGCATACTTTTCAGAGACACTTCCAGGGTCGGAAGTATCATCGCTTGTCGCCGTCGATGGAAAATGCGTTACCAATGCAGTGTATACTAATGGAGAAAGTGAGTATATCATAGAAAATTGTAAAATTAACTGGCATTTTTAAACACAAAATTTTCATTGTTTTCCTGATTTTTTTTTCAGTTCCAAAGTATCGTTGTAACAGTAACGGAGAATGGAAGGTACCAACCGGACTTTGTCAATGTCGTGGTGGATACTATCCGGATCCGGACTTGACCGCGTGTAATGGTAAGTCGGTTATATATTTGACTATGACGTCACATACAGCAGACTATAAGGTTAATTTTAACGCACACAAGGATAATTATATACCATGGTTCTTTTATCCTCGCGTGTGAACGTAAAACTTTTTATAAGTATTTCGTTGTAATTGCGACTTCCTTGGAAATTCTTCATTCCCTTTTTATGAGAAAATACAAATGTATGGCTTCATATTAAAAACTAACTCTAATTGGTACTTTCTATTCATATCAAGAAAACCGTTCTCTTTTTGTATTTTTAAAACCAGTGTACTGTTTTTCTCGGGCATGTATCATACTTTTAAGTCTATTGGAAAGGTAGAGGGTTAACCCGATGTAAAGAATTTCGAAACACATTCCAGCCAATTCAAAAGGCCTTTTGTTTATTCTATATTTTTATAATTCAACTAACATTCATTTCGTTCCATTGGAAACGGCCATTGTTTGAAATTCACTCACGGTCTGTCGGCGACACCATTTTTGTGAGGAACGCTTCGTTTTATCGTTATTTTTGTTACATACCAACCCGGCTAAAAAGGAGTATCAAACGGTTACCGACCGGCGTGATTTCAAAAAAAAATTCAATTTTAGTAATCGGCATTTTTTTGTTGTTGAATTTTATGTAACCTGTTAATTTTGACGTGCTTTCGAAATAGGTCTGATTTCTAAGGTAAAAACTGGAGTTTGAAATTGGTAAAATTTGTACTGCATTTGGGTCGTTTTTAAATTTCATTTAGTGCAAAAATTGGTTTTAGAGTTTTTTTGGGAATTGGATGAAGAAGGACAATAGGGGTTCACCATAAGGCTTCCAAAAAGAAGAGAATTTTGTTCATTATATTACCGTTTGCTCGTTTAATCGGGTTAGCGTTATTCCGTGTTTGCATACACAATTCACGGGATTTTCCTTTGTCGTTGACACGGTTATACACACCTTTATCCGGTCATGTATATGCTCTTTTGACCTTTTTGACCTCACACACACTTGGTCATGTATATGCCATAGAAAAATAGAGAGTTTAAGTTGGGCACAAACTTGGAAAAAATGAGTTTTCAATATACACTGGAAATATTAGGCAAATAGTAATACCTTTCTCCTCTATTTATAACATTATGGCAATAAACCGTAATGTATATTGAATTATGTCATGAAAATGGAATTTCGACATTTTCGCTTTTCCAGCAATTTTCTTTGCGTAATATACAAAATTCGGTTAATTTTACGTGATTTACTATATACCAATGTTGAAGTTGGCATTTATTAGATGTGCTTATACAATTTTAACTAATATATAAATATGTAACTTGCAGTTAATGTATATAAATTATAATCAGCGATCCGTGAGTTCGAAACCCGCAGAAAATTCTTGAACTGTCATTGCCCTGTTATTTAATTATACTCCTCGTTAACCAATTTAGTATATTTTGCTAAAAATATCACGCCAAGTTGTCAAAACTTAAACTCCAAACCCTTTATTATAACAGCCATTAAACGGGCTATTTCGTCTTTCATGGTACTAAAAGTATAATTTAACACCAATTAACAGGTTATTTTTTTGTGAAAACGACTCCGCGAAAACGTGGATCGGTTTTGTCAGGCCAGTGGCACATGAAAAAATTAAAATTTATTTGAACTGACAGATCGCGTTATTTTCATAACAAAGTGGCAGCCAATAATCCAGATACCAGTTTATATAGTCAAAAATTGTAGCTCTTGCATGGCTTCTCTAAGCTTAATGTCAACAATTTCTAAAAATTGAATATTCCTTGCCTGGAAACAAATTATTTCAAATATGATCCATTTAATTTAATTAGGGAATAGCGGAAACATATACTCAAATCTATAATCTTTCGTCATTTTTATCAATTTGAAATGATTTTTTCCGCATTCCTGATTTTCAACCGCAAACGGAAGCAAAGATATATATGTTTTTCCGTTTTTAATGATATTAACCAAATATTTGTTAAATATCACTTGAGATTCAGGTAATCATATTAATTATTAGTGATTAGTGATAATTGGGAATTTTTTGACGCTGGAACTTTTTTCCTTTTTTGACTTTGTAGAATTTTAATAGAAATTTAATAGAAAAATATATTAAAAAAAAATTCTCAATTTATAAATAATTTTTAAAAAGTACGTAATTTGTTGTTTTGTGTTATACGACAATACTTATGACGCAAAAAAAAAGAGATAACAAATTTTTGTCCTGCGATTATTTGCAAAATACTCCGTAATCTTCATTTAAAATCTTCTTTTCGTTCGTATCGGTTGTCATCATGAAGAATACGCCTTAATTCCGTAGGTCTTAATATTATATTCGATCATGCTAGGGCAGTAGCATGTCAATGTGTTAAATTACACCTTTTCTAATGGCCCATCTATGTTTATATTATAGCCTTTAATGACGAATCCGGTACTGAAAAATTATCATTTTCTGATTCTCAAGTGCGTAAATATTATTACGTTTTTTGTATTATTCATAGCATATACAATAAAAATAGAAACAATAATATTTTTATGTATAAATATCATACATGTGCGTGCGTGACAACGTCGCCTACGTATGTAGTACTAAAGAAAAAGTACCTTGTATTTATATCCCTAACGAACAAAAGCATATTTAGTCCAACAAAAGCAAAAAATCTCCCTTTTTGTTGGACGTAAACCATTGCGTGCCATTGGCATAAGATATATCAATATGGACTCGATATTTAGTGCTAATTTTACATCCTAGTTTTAGGCTGGGTATCAATACCAATCCACTATCTATAAAACATTGCTTAAAAATTCTATTTTTTTCCATCCACGAAGTTATGTTAACACAACCACACTACTTTATATATTATTTGCTTGCTTAGTGCCTTGTATAGAGAATGAATGTAGTGTCTCTATATACTTAGAGTCTCCTTCACGAATCGTTGTAATACTCTTGGAAACCTTTATTATAACAAACTGCGCTTGTTGATAAAAGTATAAACCAAGCGCATCCTGTTTTGGTTCATCTTAGGCATGTCATTCTATGATTTGTTATTATTATTACATATACTATATAGCACATGCTTTGCCACGCATAAAACATAGATGAAATACGCGTGGTGAAGTATGTTCCATATTTGGTATCTGAACCCCTTTGGTAAAATATAGACCACACGCGATTATCGTTATGCTTACAAGTCCGCAAATACAACAAAGAAAATTTTTGTCAATTTTTGTTTATGTGTACGAAAAGCCTTTGACATGGTTATTTTATTATTTGTCAAATATAAAGCCCGTCTTAATAATTAGTAAAATATCATTACATTTCGTATATTATTATCATTGGCCAGATTTGACTGAAACATGCATTCTTCATTTTTTTTGAAATTTTGGTTTATCAGTAAAGTGTGTTGCCAACTTTTGAGGTATTAAAGTGTGGGAAATATGATAATCGGACTATCACAACGAAAGTTGTTTCTATATATTGACACGGTTCAATGTAAGAGGTCATGAAAAAAATTGTTTTACCAGATTTAGAGATGGCATCTGACGCAGATCGTGACATTTGACCCCTCTTGGATTGTAATGATAGCATCGCGATTTTGATCGCGTGTAACTTAGATTTTCTGATTTCGATTTCCTTGCCGTGTCACGCTATAAATTCGCAGAACTTTGTTCGTTTGGGACTTAACATGGGAATTAATATGATATTACAAATTAGAAATCGCCTTAAAACGAATATAAATATACAGGAAGGTAGAAATTAACATTTTTGTAGATTTATGGTAAAAAAAAATTGACAGGATGTGAACAAAATTAGTGTCATAATTACAATTGCGAACTTAGCTGATTTAGAATTTTAAAAAGTATGTTTAGGCATGAATTAATCATATTAAACACAGATTATTGTTAGCCCAAGCCTGATTCATATGTTTTTCAATCTATATTTTTAAAATGTTGTCTATAATATGATTTGAATAATATTCTCTGAATATTCTTTCGTGTTGTGTTATCAAATTTATTTCTGAGAAACTTCTTTACATACGAAAAAAAAACATTTTGAATCGCTAATAGGCACTTTTGAGCGTTTCCAATTAATTAGATTTAGTACTATAATATATAGAAAAAACTATTTAATTCATACAATAAAAAATGTCGTCAAAAAATACAATACTATTGAATTCCGTCCTATTTGCGGCTACAGTAATTAACTGGTATTATATACTGTAGGCCTGTGTACGTGACTTCCAAATTTTATAACACTCCATTTGTAACGATCTTAACACCTAAGGGTTTTTAAGCGACCGGTTTTCGTGGAACCAAATTATGATTCACCTAGCTAATGTTTTGTGTTAGTTAAATTAAAATTTCAATGGTAGATAAAAATCTTTGATAATGGTTTTGACGTTGACAAGTCGTTATGACAAGGCCACAAAAACGTGCTGTAATTGTGTTTTGTTTTTGAATATTGGTTACAATAACCAGTTTTGTCCATTAAACAATATATCATACGTGGATTGTTATTTCTACCTTGCATTAAGGTATGGATTTGTGTATCATTATTTTTATAAAAACAAAGATAAAAAATAGTCATTTTCATTCAATGGAGTCATATTTACATATTCATAATCTTTTTTCGTTCAATAACAAGGAAAATCTAATTGGTTTATTCGATTAACTTCAACCGAATTGAATTTCTATCAAATTCATATGAAATTTTCATTCATTTTTATTCAAAATTCAGTCATCTTTATCCACGAAAAACTGTTGTAATTTTTAGTAAAATTACCCAAATTTGCCGGTATAATTTTTTTATTGTTCGGGCATGTGAGGTAAGATTTTATGTATATCAGTTTAGCTAGGCTAAGTCAAAATTAATGATGTTCAGTTGAGCAAGGGCGAAGCTTTTTTCTATATTTGTCCAACACTAATTAATCACATACATATATCTAAATTCAATTTTTGTGCGGATATTACCGATTATCCGGATATCCGCAAACCACTGTAACCGGAAACCCGGAGGTTTAACATCTGGCGTGAAAATTACAATAAAATTACATGATAATGACTTGGGTACATAATAAACACAGGTGTGCAGTCATTTGGAGGAATAATACCTCACAACGATGTGTATTCACAGTACTGTATGTCCACTAATAGGCCTCGGTTCCAGAAATTGTTTTTTAAGTACGCGGTTATGTTTTCTGTAATAGAAGTAATAATTAATAAAAGTAATAAATCATAATTTGGTAGATGAATTTAGAACAAAAATTATTCTTAAATTGTAATAACTAGTCATATATAAATATAACAAACAGTATATATAGCAGTAGTTACGATATATTTACCATTAAAATTTTACCATTCATTGGGCCCAAATGGTTTTCTGACAATTTCATTTTGGTAACAAGTCTCACGCATCAATCACGCACCGTGCGTCAATTTGGTAACTTCAAAGTTTGATAACGTATTAATAGGGAGCCACCCATTATTTTCTACTTCTATAGCCTGTAAATTCGCGCTATAGTTATAGTTGGCCCAAGATACGAACAAACTCGAAAAATTAAATCTATGGCGGCCCATACTTGACCGCTGGCGTTTCATTGGATAGAGGTCATCTTCACAACTTCTAATATCATTCTGTTATTTACCTATGTAGGAAATCATAAATTAATTGTCCTATTTTAACCGGTGCTAACCGTTAGCAACATAACAATGTTACCGGCATAGATAATACGCCACACCTTAAATACATGAATTAAAACCAACCGTGAGCGCGAGAGCGTAATACTCGATGCAATGTCTGTTTCACGCTCCTTTAAAAACTAATAATTGTCTATCATCAAATCGGACCATTTCCGGATGTCGGGTTCGCGCTTCTTAGATTACTGTTGTCAGAAATTCCATTTTGATCGGTTTACCACTTGTTGTATGTATGAAACCTATTGATGTGCTTATCGCGTGCTCGTTTGACTAGACGAAGTTTATTTTACACTAGCGTTAGGTATATCGTAAATTATACTCTATTTAATTTTGGTCTGTGTTCAATAGCACATTTACCATTCAATTTAGCCGCGGTTTATGTTTGGCCGAAGGAAAATTACGAATTAGGATTTTAGCAGGCGATTTATAGTCTTGTGAAAACAACCGCCCCGATATCAGGAAGGCTGGCGCGTATAAGGGTTGTTTTTAAAACAATTTATCGTCATGTATCTTCAAGCATACAGATTTTGTAAACAGTCTAAACACGGAAAAAGCTCTCACGCGGTGAATTTAATTTTTTCATCGAATATTTGTATTTTTAGGAATTGATACTGCCATGAAAAACTGAACATTTAACGTCAAATTCACGGTTATTTTTCCAAGTATTTTTTTTTTATAATTTTAAGAAGTGTAATTAAGGTGCTTAAGGGAAGACCACATACCGAAGCTTCTCGATTGAGAGCCTAAGGAATTCTTTGCGTTGGTATACAATGTTTTGTTGCTATATTAATGTAATCCTCTCTGACGACCAAATTCCTATAAACTGCCTCCACGGAAATTATAATAAAGTGGCAACAAATATGCGGTATGCCACACACAAGCAAGGTGTTTTGAGAAATTTAATTGGAACGAAATCACGTCATTAGCAATGTGGTATCTTTTGTGACATCACACAACACAAGCAAGGGACATATTCATATGAAGCATGTTATCTATGAGCCATATTAGGTCCAATACTATACTATTAGTGACTATGATTGCCCTTGGTGACGTCATAATCTCCTATAGGGCAGGAACTAGGGCAGTTTTCTTTTTGTGTGGTCGCCGCAAACTTATTATGTAAAATTTACCCCAATGGGTTTTTAAATTTAAATAAGGCCAGCATTTTCTTTTGAATAATATCCAAGCAATAAAGAAAAAGGAAACTGTCGGTCCTGGCTGGGCATTTTCGCCAATAAGATATTTGTTATACTTCCATGTGACGCTATCCTACTATACATGACGTCATGGGTATGAATTTAAATTATTCTCTAGCACATATCATCAAATAATATCAAAGATTTTCAGGTATAGTTAGCAAGCTGTTTTAGCTTTCGAGAGGTGTGTGAACAAACATTCTAATCTCCAGTTTAGCAAATTAATGAGAGCCAAACGAAATGAGTTTATATCAAAGAAAGTACCGGCCGATCGCGGGTGCTTGACAACCCAAGCAAGATTACAAAATGTAGAAATAGTATGTGCAAACACGACTTCAAACTCAGAAAAAAACAGTGTTCCCATACAAAATTGTGAACATTTAAACAAATGTCTTTCCGATATTAGTGCAATATGAAGCATTTTATTTTAAATAGGTTCGAGGTAGGAATGGTTGAAATATAATAAAATAAATCAAATTAGATAAAAAATTATAATTTATAATTACAAAATAAACAATCGGAACACTGTTATTTTTTAAAATTTCTTTTCGTTGTTGCGACAACACTCGAAGTCACAAATCACGACGACGCACTTCAATGTAATTTCGGACCCTCGATACACACTTGAAATTCCTTTTGCATTTTTACATGTCGATTACCATCTCGTGATCTGTATTATGGAATTGTTTTACAATTTATTGTTTTTAGTCTAATCTGATTTGGCCGGGTATAAATACTTCAAAATCATAAAAAAATTATAGTCGTATCAAATTTGTTTCAATTGGAGATATTGGTGACCGGAATTGGACCTTGTTGCTAAATACCCCGACAGGCAGAAATTCCCAAGTCCGTGTAATTGCACTTGGCATTGTCCGCTATAGCTCGTGCGTGACTTCGCACAATACCTTAAAATTTCTTCAAATAGAAAGTCAATAAAGATGAATGTACACTGTTATAAAAGCGCAGTAAAATTACTATAATTTTGCATTTATTTTATTGAAATAGGGAAAGAAATTTCGACAGTTTTCTGTTTGTGATTCATGGCTTATGCAAATCTGTTTGTTCAGACCACATAAAAGCCTCTATTACTTTGAAATAAAATCAAATTTACCGAATTTTTAATGTATAACCAGCCGCGAGGTAATGACTCTGCGAGATGAAGCCTTTTTAATATGATTTATGAGAAACGTATTACCGTTGCTCAATTCAAACACCAAGGTCATGGCCAAAGAAAAATAGCCAAATTATGATGTATGGGGGAAATGAAAATGGCTAAACCGTAAAGGAATTTAGGCAGAATTTCTTCTTTTTATTTATCTGATTCCGCTTATTTTCAAAGAGTGATGGATTTTTATTTCGATTAAAATTTTGTAAAATAAATATTAATACTTCCTACAGCGTAATGGCATGGCGGACAAAACGTTGTATCGCGGATGACCTATCTCTGCCCCAAATCCCATGTCCCCCACTTCACCCAGGGTGTAAGAAATTGGGTAAGCAATGCCGAACTGTAAAGGTTCCGGTCCTTTCATATAATAAGTAGCTCCTTTCCTGCCGTTCGATATCAGTGGCCGTTTGTACCGGGCCCTGTATGGAGTCAAGGGCGCGAAAAAGCGCGAAATAAGAAAGATAATTGAATTAGCATAACCTCAATATACTTAGCCTCAAGTCGTTATTGCATCTTTTTTTCGTTACAGCTTGCAAGCCTGGATATTATAAAGCTGGCAACGGAAACCATGCATGCCAAAAATGTCCGCCTCATAGCACCTCTCACTCTACCGGAGCAACAATGTGTCAATGTCAGCTTGGATATTACAGAGCTGGAAAGGATTCTATTGATCAGCCATGCACAAGTACGATTTTTGTTCGATTTACATTATCGCCTGCTGCCCATATTTGGGCATAAAATTATTCATGCGTGATGTTGATGTTTTCGTATTGGTATTTGTTGTTTTTAACTGCACTGTTAGAACATAAGGCGGGCATAAATCATAAATTATGCCAAAGATAACCCGAAGATAATTCAATGATACATTGTAAAATAGAGTTATTATTAATTCGATACCCGTGGATAGTAGACTCGATGACGGATAGATAGTCCAACCGCAAATTCACAAAATAATTGAGCCAACTCGTCCCAATAAAAAGCGCTGATGGACGAAATCCAGGCGCCTCAGTCCTCCCATCGCGTAAAAGGATTAGCCTGCTATTTTGAGGAAAGTTATGATAATAACGGGTGGTGTTACTTACTCCCGTCCAGGGCATGAGGCCAGAATATGAGATTATAACGCCTTGTTCAACACCTAGTTTAAATTCATTGAACGCAGGGTTAGGGATTAAATCTTATTTCCTCTAGCTTATACAGGAAATAATTTAAGCCTTGATCATACATGCGAACATAATAAATATACTTAATTTCAATACTATCATGCATGTATCGGTCTGAACACGAATGGTAATTCCAAAAAATCCCAAAGTCGTGCCCCACAAAACGTTATTTCGAATTTTTCTATCATCTTTCGCTACTCCTGCATTAATGCATTAGCCTTCAAGTTTATTTTAAAGCTAAGTAAGCAATGTAAGAAGCTTATGCGCATAGCTGCGTGATTAGGAAAACCCACTATTTGTGATTAACGTAAGCATGTAACACGCGTGAAGCATTAGCCGTGATTGTGAACGTCGGGATTTGCTGGTATTCGGTGGTACGTCTCGATAATTAAACCGTTACATAATGGGTCATTGCCTACCAAGTCAAAATTTGAGAATTCCTCACAACGACCAAATTTGATTTTAGTTAAAGCCGCCGCTAAATCTATGTTTCGTACTTGTCTCAAATCCTCTCCCGTCAATGACGTCATCAATTTTGCGTCTCCCTAACGACGATGTATAACATGGGTCATGTCATGCTAATTTCATTAAGTCCTTACCTTGGCCACTTAAGTAATCTTTTTCCTCCTTAGACGGGTTTCCTATAGTTTTTGCAAATACTGTTGACAAAATTTTGCGTGTGTTCTAGCTTAACCTACGCCAAGTTTTGTACGTTATCCGATTCCTCCGTTCACCCTAACCTTGACCTCGCTATTGAGTTGTTATACACAAGGACACAAGTCCGCACTTGTAGATTTGCGATGTTTTGTCACGCTTTTGACATTCAACATGCGTTTCTTTTGTCCCTTAGACATTTTTATCCGCAAATTGTACTTTCTGGAACGTCTGTTTTTGTTTTGACTATTCATTGAGAATCCAGGAGAAATTGATATTTTAAAAATGTCAGTCAAAGGGATAATTCAAGAATTATTGTGATAGATCCTCGTTCATCCTTAGATCTAGTACGATTTGGACCGCCTACCACTTGGCACTTATTGGACACGAAATGGACCTATGAAACGTTTTGTCATTTTGTGTTCTTATTCATCCTCTTCTTGTTATGAAAAAAATCGCTATTTTTATTACTACTGGACCAATTGCTTTGACATTTTCAGTGGTTGAAGATTGTATTTTTCGTCTTTTACTTTTTTTTATTTCAAACATTTCTATGGCCTCTGTGGGATTCTTTTTTTGTTTCTGTGTACGGTGACGTCATCAAAATTAAAAATTGCGCACCTTGTGGCGGCTCCGCTTTCACTGAAGTTGATTTCTGGTCGCCAGGCGAAGTCATGAATACTGCGGTACCGGTAGTTTACTGTGATAGCATCGCTCTCTTGTTATATTTATATACCATTATCTCACCACTTATACCACTGTATTTTACGTATTATACACGGCGTCGAAGTTTGGTATTTGATAAGAAGCATATTGCGTGCGTATAGCGCTTCCCATCGTTACACTAACCATTATATGTGCGATTGTAGCGAATAAGCGTTTTGGCGTTCGACTATACAGTTGGAAATGGAGGTGGTTACATATTCTCAATCGGCACTTGAAGGGCCTTTGACAACAATTCGTCTTATATTTTCTAATTTCAAATGCTGAAATCAATCACGTCTTTAAAACCAAATTATATATTTGGTTTTTCTCTTTTTCTCGGAAACCATATTTCAGCCTCTAGCCTAATTTGCTTTACTGCAGTCTCGGTGACTTCTTTAATCTCTAGTAATTACAAAGTATATCTGATAATGGTAGGGAATTCGCGTGTCGCTCCCACGAAAGCCTATATTTGGCTCTTGAGAAAACCGAGCCCCAGATCGTATTTGTGGCATGTTTTTTGGTCGAAAGTGCTGGTTTTGTGGCTGAAATACCAATTTACTTAAGATTTAAAAAGCCGAATTTTAATGCTTTTGAGAGGTATATTTCGTTGTTACAAAGACGGGCCAAACTAAAAAATACTTCAAATTGTGGGATTGTAATTAAACGCCTTGAATTGTGACTTTTACAGACTTTCCGCCGCCTAGCTATTCTCACACTGCACTAAAAAATAATGTGGCTTTGAAATTGAAAATCAATTGCAACCTCGAAATTTCAAAGGCTCCATTTGCTTGTTTATTTGGCAATTATTTCTAGATTAACGCACTAAGGTGAATTGATTTGTGCAAAATTTGCAGGAAAAGTTAGATATCCATAAAATTTACTAAACATTCAAGCCGGTGGTGTAATGTTTCATTTGTGGTCGCAAGAATATGTCAAAGTCCAAAAGTCGCTGAAAATAGTCTTCAAGCTATGAGTTTTATAAATTTTATTAAAAATTTTGCAAATTTTGTAATATGAACAAAAAGTAGTCAATTTTGAAATAAATTAGGATAATCCAAATTATCCTTCACAGACCTTTTTTATCACTCAGGTATGCCGTAGATTCTATTTGGAAACACTTGATCTGTCACTTAATAATAATTTTTTATTTTTTTCTAACAGTTTTATTAAAGCATATTCGCATTACCTTTGATGAAAATGGCCCATGCCGGAAATGCCTTACGTTTTTGTACAAAAAATGTCCATTTCCTACTGGTTGAATTTATTCACGCCTTGCATCCTTCAGACTTTATTTTCCGGACTCATTTATTATGACTACCTGACATATCTTATTCCCAAGATGAATGAGTTTACCCAAAATACAGTTGTAAAATGTGATTAAATTTGTGTGTAATTTGTGCGTTACTTCGTCGCTTTTTTTTATATCATGTAGATTTTATGTTACTTGTGGGTGTTGAGATAAGCGTACCGATTGCGTTAGTGATTGATTTGTGTATTTACCTACCAATGCTAGGTAATAGACAGTCATTATTCACAGTGTTACTAGGGTATTAACTTGAGTGTCCATGCGTTAACTCGTTAGCACGATCAAGTTTGACCTACTCTAATTATCATTAACCTTCAAATAGACTTGTTTATTTAGCCAAGTGCCGTGATTTTTTCTAAAAACGGGTATTATGAAATTAACACTACACTATTAGCAAAGTCTGCAGTAGAAAAACCCAAAACATTGTCTTTGAGCCAATTTTAACCCGTTTTTAGGCCGGTATGCTTCTGTAAAAACAATACCCGACTGCCCGATGGCCGGACCCGCTCTCACCACTAATTAAGCATGGAGACCTTGTTTCGGGGTCATCGAATAAGGTTTTATGGCTATAGATAGAAGAAGATAAGACGCGCCCTGTATATCCAAAGTATTTTTATGGCTAAAAATAAAAATTGGGGCATTCTAAAACTTTTACCTAATTTAACAAATCATTTTTTGTGAGAAAAATATCAGAAAATGAAATTTTCTTGTTAAGACCGTAGTTGGAAATGCCAAAACTTCCTATTTTAAGCTTCATTTTGGAATAATATATAGGTTTTTTGATGAGAAATTTGCTTGAAATAATCAAATATGATAGACTTCAAATCAATGTTTGCTGTGCAAGGCTTTATACCAAAATGTTGAAATAATAAAATAAGTTTGTTTACTGTGTTATCTGAAAATAACTGAGCAAAGCTATCGCACGCAAGTCATCACATACCTTTACCGCGTATTGGTACTTGGTTATAAGCACATATTGGAACACATATTGAATTGCTTTTGAAATATATATTATTTTTATCAATGTTATAAATTCAACATTTGAACAATCAACATATTTCCTGAAACTGATTGCTTGAATAAGGTCGAAATAAAAGACAACACAAAGCCAATCCCATTGCCAGCTAGCTTAGCCTGTAGTTCGCAAAACCACTTGTGTTTGAGTGTCGTCGGCATGCGTTTGAAGTGGGCTCTCGAACCCTAGCATCCATAGGTAGTGGTGAACAATGAAAAGGCGGCAAAATCACGATTCTTATGTCAAGCACGCGATACTTTCAATTTACTTTTGGAAATGTCAATTTGTTCTGACAGATTCTCGCGTTCTACTCTTATTTTACGTGTTTCCGATTACAGTACTTTCAACAGCCTTGAGCAGCCTTTTGTTGGCGAGAGAGAGTTTTATCTACCTAAAAAAATCCGGTAAAAATAATTTACTTACATCGTTAATGGTCCTACTAGCCGACCATCCGGGCTAACCTGTATTTCGTACCTTTAATATTAATCACATTTTATACTTCGAGTCCAGAACGCTTCCTGAAGTTTGGTATTTCATATTATTGACGACCATCGTTCCTATTGGCGTGAATATGACAACGGATATTAAAAATAAAAACTATATTTTATTTATCCGTCTAGACCTGTCATTGGAGTCTAAAATGATTGCCATAACGATCCAGTTTACCGGAATACTAACACATGTTATGAACATTTAATATCGACCGAATTACTAAGAGAAAATAATGAAGTCGCTCGTGCGTCATTATATTGTTGCGCAATTTGATTTTCCTTATGAATTAACCCGTACATATACTTGTTGAATTACAATTCCTAACCTAAATGCCCTGAAGGTGTGCCATGTGATAATTACGAGTTAATTTTGTACCGACGGTTACAAAAGTGAAGTCGGACGATCAAAGCGATTTGGTCCGTCATCGGCGTTCTTCTATGACTTAGGTTCTACAGCGACGTCGACGTGGATATATATTTTCTTTAGGGTGTCCGGTCGGAGTTGAAAGGTTACCAACTCGGCCATGTATGTGTTATAGATAAATGGTGTATGATATGAATGGTATATACGCCTGTTAGGCATGGATGGCATCACTAGTCAAACGATCTCGAGGTACATTATTCAGAGATATACCGAGACGGTTGCCCATCCCAACCCTTTTCTTACAAAATGTACAAATTAAAGATGAAGAAATGCTGTGTTTATTATTGTAGTATAGAACTCCATTTATTGAAAATACGCGTTTGATGTATGTTGAAAACACGCCCAGTTTGTAAAAAAAGTTTACAGAGAATCATAGTTTTTAAAAATTCGACTGAAATATGTACTAATCAATTTCAAATTTTCTTGTGCACACCCGGTTTGTTGCCGTCTGAAAGTTATAAGATTCAGAAGTTTAGGTGTTATTTACGGCTACTCTAATTAACTGCTCGGTTAGAGTTTTGTTGATATGTTTCAAACACTCATCAGTCAAATTTGTCTCCGAGTTTGAGGCAGTTTAAAATTTCGGGTTTATGAAAATCGCAGCAGATTAAAAATGCAGCTCTGTTGTAACTTATACTTTGTTTAAATGTCAAATATGGACTTCTGACGTATAATCGCGCAGTATTTTTACCCCAATAACAAAACATACCAAATTGTTTAGATATAAAGTTGATAAAAAAAAGGCCATCAGATAACAGATTATTACAATATTTACGACAAATTTAAGATAAAACGATGATTCTGAACTAAGCGGATTATTTTTCAACAAAAAATTAATTCAACAATATTTTTCTGAATTAGAAAATATTTAATAAAATAAAATCGAATTGTTACAAGTCTATTTTAATTCATTAGAATCAATTTGTTTTCGAAGATTAGATCTCTAAGTTTCTCGACTTTGTGACCCGGTAATCCGGCGCTCAATTCAAGGTTGCCACCGACAGCCTTTCGTCAGTTTTAATAAGCAAGGTTGAGCTCGCATTACTAAGTATTATCAAATCCAGTAACTTATTCTTGTGGGACCATCAACATGTAGGACATAAAAATGACACGGAGAAGATCCTATGCCTTGCAATTTTGTTATTTGCATATTCACGCCATTTTGGTTTCATGAAACAAATTCGAATTTCGAAATTTTCTCGTAAAATTTTATTTCAGTCGACAACGTGTGACGTATGTTGTAAAATCACGAAAGTATGCAGCGGTCGAATACACTTTAACGCAAATTAAATAGGTAACTGTTAGTTGTCACGAAACGGAACGCGAATATATTCATATTTGGTGAAAACGCCACGGGGGTTAATCAAATCGTGAGAATACGTTAATAAATAACTCTATACCGATGAGTACAGTTTCGATATTTTTTTACGAAGGCTTTCAGCCATTTTGAATTTTTGCTTAAAATTCCCCTATTCGAATACTTAATTATATACACAGCGGGATATCTTCACTTGCTATTTACTTAAAGGGATTCGATACACTAATTTGGCATGGCGGCAAAATTTAGTTCAGGTAGCACGACCAATATTTACGTTAGTGTCAAATTTCTTTTTGTTATCTCATGTTCGGTCAAGTATCTATTATTAATAAATCGAGCATTAAGTAATCAAATTATATATATTTCATGCTTAGTCTAATACGGACTAATAATAAATTTAAGTTTGCTCAAGTTGTTTATGGCAAATAAGGTGTCGGCTATATTAAGGGTTTACCGTTGAGGTATTGTTCGCTCCGTCGCACATACTACTATCTATCATTCTTATGCGTGATTTTCGCAGACACCAATGCAGTCTATTGCCCACATGCAGTCCGGAAAAACCTTTATTGTCAAACATGATTTAATAATGAATGGCCGAAATTTCAATAGGCGTTCGGCGTATACTGACGTGATTTACAAATTTTATTCGCATTTTGCCGAATCTTGTATTCACTCGTAGTGCCTTCGATATTATTAACTCAAATCACCCTCAACGTAAATTTTTCTATTTCCAGGACCGCCTTCAAGTCCGATGAACATTACTTGGGAAATGGAGAATCGCCGAGCTAAAATTTCGTGGGTGACACCGTCAAGTACAGGGGCACGAAGCGATCTTTACTACAGGTGAGGGAACTTGAAATGTTCTTTTTGAATTATGTGTAATATGCCTTAAGCTGGAAATTTCTCCTCGCTACATTTTAATCTTTGTCCGTTTCAATGTATCTTATCTTGGTTTCACAGCTGAGAATTTCCAATTTCACGCTGTCATGAATTAAAATTTTAAAATTCTATCTAGTATTTATGTATATTGTGAGCTCAAAATTTGATGATCTTCATCTACGATTTATCGTCGAACAAGCTCGACCAATGATTTTATATGACGTAATTGTTGCGGTTTTTTAAAAGAAATTGGAAAGCATTCAATTACATCTTATCAGTATTTTGAAAAACTTGAACCTGTATTTTGTGATATTTGATCTCAATTGTATAAATTATTAAACTTGTAACAACATTTTTGTTCATACTACTAAAAATATCTTCAATATTACTAACATTGTTCAGTAAATAGGAACGCTTAACCAAGACGATCGGAATGCTTCCCTGGGAACATTTAAGAATACACATATTTATATTGATTACGTAAAAAACTATACAATTTTCTGAATATTTCTAACAGTAATTTTTCGTTTATAGTGCCGCTTGCTCGGAATGCGACGCAGAATTCCAAAGGTGCCGAACTTGCCCCAGTTCGATCCGATTCGCACCATCTGATCGTCACCATCTAACACAGACCTTCATAAGTCTTCAGGGACTGGAAATGTTCAAGCATTATAAAATCAAGGTAAGAGCCCACAGAAAAATGCCCTTTTTAACATTTTAAAGGGGGTGGGGAGTGGGGACCCTCACCCTCTCCCCCACCTGGATACGCCCCTCTCTTTATATTTTCCCCACCCATCAGCTCAAAGTGCTTGATTGGACATACTTGTCCAATTGCTTTACTAAAATCGACTGCTGATATTTTTGTAAATCTGTTTTTCACTAAACTATTCATTGCAAATTGATTCAGATATCATCACACAACGGTGTATCATCTGTAAGCAAGGAACAAGCTAATTATGAAACGGTTGAGTTTTCAACGAATGATAATGGTAAGTAATTCATACAGTTATTTCAATATTAGCTCATATTAAAAAATATTCGCTGTCAACAAATTTCTTGGTTACATCTTGAAGATAGCATCAGACGTTACGTATACGCCACAATATTATTTACCACGCAAAAGTAATCTCGCCTGTAATTGGTTGCTAAAAACGGTTTACGTAATACCTTAGTATTGAAATGGTTGGATAATGCTCAGATTGAAAATTTTGGGATTATAACGATAAGATATGACTAAAAATTAAACCATGTCAAGCATGGACCCTATTTTGCGCCCGACATCATCATTAACGCATACTTAATGGTACCTTGGCAAGTTCATTTTCAATAAGTTTTCAATAAACCTCTGTATTCAAAAACATTTTAAAACAGATTTGTTTTCGAGGTATGAGGAGACATTGCCCACGGGGAAATGCTGAGTTTGTTACTCACATATAGTATTATGTAATGAATATCTGGATAATATAAATGTCATCATGTCTAATTTATGAGATTCATTTGAAGATAATGCAATCGATGTTACGTTATTATTTTGTTTTGAAGTTACCTATTTGGTAGCATAACCTACTGATATATGCATCACATCATAAAATCCAATAGATGAGATGCATATCATAACCCCATAAATGAATGAATTGATGATGTCATAGAACTTGCATTACGTCATTGTTTTATCACAACCGGTTATGGATTATGATTACAAACCAAATGCTATTTATCAGAGATTTTAGTTCGACCTATACGAAATATTAAATGTAAATGAGATCGTTATCAATAAAAGAGTTCCGGATTAACTTCAAACAATACACGGTTATGTCACATTTTTATCTCCTCTGTTTATTATTATAAATTTCTGACATTATTACAAAAGGATATCAATTTGACATGACTTTCACGTTTCGAGAATGTAATTAGATTCATAATACCCTTTTTTTTATAAATTTTAAAAGCATCATTTTTCAATTTCAGTGCCCACGAAGCCGCAAAATTTTATGGCAACCTCAAAGACTTCAAATTCCATTACTTTGAAATGGGATTTACCGTCGAAACTATCGGATAAAGTAACCGGCTATGAAATCCATGCCTTGCCACTTCCAGACACAGCGTCACCGAATGCACCAAATTCACCCAACATTGCACCGATTTTAGTAAAGGTAATGAATTCTTTTTTTTTCAATTTTCCCTAAAATCAAAAAATAAAGTAAGAATTTGTCCAGTCGAAATAAAGATTTATAAAGTCAGACAAAATTCAGTTTTTAATTGAAATTTTTGTAAAATTTCCTGCATTTCGAAGTTATTCTATATCACTAGGCTGGTGTGAAATTAAACTGTATGTGATAACCAATATTTTTAGCATTTGTCAAACGATTATCAATTGTTTTGTTTGCAATTGCCGCACTTTTTGTGATTTCTATCATTATTATTACTCAATTGTTTTTCTATACACTTGATGTTTTGACATATTCAAAGGCAAAATATTTCAAAATATATCTGATATGGAAATATATTATATAATATACATATCTGGCAACTATAAGCATGTCAACTTTTAATCGACTATATCAAAATAACACAGTACATTCTGATTATTACAGGCCAGAGGCACTAATTTCACACTCACTGATCTGTATGCTGGAACTGCGTATGAAATTCGCGTTCGCGCTCTTTCACCTGACGGAACTGGGCCCTACAGCGACACACTCGTGTTTGCAACTAAGGGTAAGGATGAGACTATTTTTTCTCGTCTTATTTGTCAATCATTATCCGAACCAAAACTTAATTCTGTTTCAACATAGATATATTATAGTGTACATTCATTATACAGATGACGTTATACCTTCTGCTAAGCCACATGAAGAAGCTGGGGGAATGGGTCTCATAATCGGAATCGTCGCCGGTGTGATCATTGTCTTAGTAGTAGTCATCATCGCAGTTATCATGATGCGTCGTCGAAGAGCCAATGACATCATACGTCAAGAGAACGACAGAGCTCGAGCAAAAATGGCGGGAACGTCAGACGAAAGACAAGGTCTTACTGATGGGTTCAACGACAGTTTAGTTGGTAAGTAATCGAGGTATTACTAAATATTATTAGGATGTTAAAAATTATGACGTCATATAAGAATTTTTATAAAAATTTTGTTGAGCATCGGCATATATTTAACCAAGCATGAATTGAAAGAATAACTGCATTTAACCAAGCATTTTCTTCCTGATTGAAATTGAGAAAGCGGTTCAAAGAAAATTGAAGTCCAACTCTATAACAGCTAGTCTATAGCGCATGATGAAAAAGCTTGACAAATATATTGCAATTAAAATTATTCAGTCTGTGACTTTCAAATTTTTCCCCGACTGGCATGCTGCTTTAATGAGTTTGAACGCTGTTTTGTCCTTTAATCATCCGCTATGAATAAAACAAGTCGATTACTGTTTTTGCAAGATTGCTTGATGCTAAAAAAAATTCCATGAATACTACAAAAAATTCTACAAATAAAACGAGTCAAGGACTATTTTTGCAAGATTGCTTGATGCTAAAAAAAATTCTATAAAAACTACAAATAAAAAATGATTACTTTTTATTTATGTATTATCATATCTTTTTTTTTTTTGCTTAAATGTGTCGAATCATACACGCTACTCTCGCTTTTGCTCCTGTATATGTCCAAGTAGTTTCTAGATAGTTAGTATACTAAATGAGGCAATATAATCAATAATGCCAAAAAGGCAAATAGAATGTTTACTAGAAACTAAATGGAATATGACAAGTTTTGATGGCCTCTTCATTTTTATCTTCAGTTGTCTGCTTTTCCGTGAACTTTTTGGCAGAAATTACGAAAAAAAAATTATTAAAATTTATTTTCAATATCAAAACTGATAACTATTGTATATAAGTATGTATGTGTTGAAAAAAATTGTAGTAACATAGCAAATCTAGTAAATTAGATGTAGCGTTTTAACAGTATATAATACTAAATCCGACTATTACTTATTTAACGTGCATGTGCAAGTCATCTTAGCTATTACTACTCCACCTATGCTTCTGTTTCTATGCTTCGCCTGTAATTCGTCATTTGCTAACTTGAAATCGTTATTAACATAAAACTTACAGTGCGTCTACCTCCACTAGCGTCCTCGAACAATGGAAGAACAACCTACACAGATTACAGAGATCCACAAAAGGGCGTTAAAGAGATTGCAAGAGAAATTGAATTCACCGACATTAAAATTGAAAAGGTCATAGGTCAAGGTGTGTAATAAATAATGTCTTTTATAGTTAATATGAAAACAGCGGTGTTTCATGATCGAAATATGTAAAATAAAATACGGATATTTAGCAATTTTTGCTATCATGCTCCGGCTAACTAGAAGAAAAAAAAGAAGCCAACTAGCCTATCTTTGCCCCCCCCCCATACAACCATACATAGCAATTTTTCGTAGCTTGACTCCGAAGACCCTTGGAAGCCCACTAACCGCTAGCTCATACGGTCTAACTAACCTGCCATAATCACGTCGTGTCCAGTAACGACAATCTCCATTTGCGTTTCCATCCTTTAATACAATTTCCACCAATTCTAGGCGAATTTGGTGAAGTATGTAAAGGCAAGCTTACAGAAGGTAAGAAGAGCAGTGTCGTCGCCGTTAAACGTTTGAAACGTGGAGCTACCTTGATCGACCAAACCAATTTATTACGTGAAGCTTGTACCATGGCCCAGTTCAGAGATCCTAATATTCTTCAACTGAAGGGGGTGGTAACAAAAAGTGAGTCCACACTTTTGTACTTTAACAGTTGGTCTGTTGTTCGAATTTCAGTTGACGTGTTAAACATGGATAAAAAACATTTTTGCGGTATTCATATCCTAACCATGCTTGTTCATAGATGTTATATATTTCTAATGATATCCAGTAATAATTTATACATCATCTAGTTTTATGCGTTAGTTATCCGTGGCCCGTACTTGACAATGCATAACGACCACAGATGCCTTTTTATTGTATGGTATTTCGAAGTACAAATATTCTTCTATATCACAATAGATTCGTCAGAAAATTTAAGGCGGGACGCAAAAAATTCAATTAAAACCACGAATATGCGGTTTTAGAAAGGCAGGTGCGCTATGTGTCCTCTTTTCTCATATATAACAGAAGATTCGTTATATTGATATTGGTCGCGTTCAGTTGAGTATAGTAGCTGACCACACCACGCGGTGTTGACACATTCTTGAACGACTTTTTTTTCAAAAGATAGCAAAATCTAGATAATGAGTTAAATACCATTTATAGTTGGTTTAGCTATAATGCATTAAATTATAGAAAATATTTTTGAGATATCCCTATTTAAAAACTACGCTTAGACTAGTAAATATTTTTATTTACATTTTCCGGTCCTAATTAAAAATGTACCGTCGAAATACTTTATATAGTATTTTAAGTGAAATGGCACGAAAATTGTCTCCATATCCTGGAGGCGGGCATTGCCACTAATTGCAAATTGGGTTATTACAAGCGTTCGGTGGAATATATCCGATGGTTATCAGAAAGGCCACATTCCTATGAATTTATGTCATTGCTATTTTGTAAAAATTTACCTAGCAATTAGACGAGGTCGGTGATGTGTAATTCGTAGGCAATGTATTGGTTTTTGGTAGTCGCCATAGTAACAATGACAAATCTGATTCCAATAGAGCCCACAGATATTTTTGTAATAAGTAAAAGTAATAGCCTTCTGGCGAAAAATAAAATCTGAACATTTCAAAGCAATTGGTCCAGTAGTAACACAAAATAATAAGAAGTAAAAGCCCAACAACATAAAATAATATTAAACAAAACGATTCATATGTACATTTTCTGTTCAATAATACTGGCACACTACATATATAACATTGATAACTTAGTTTAAAATGACTTTCAATTAAACCTCAATGTCATATATATGGTGTACGCATATTTTGACAGTAGAATTCCACATACCGTCTGGCGCGTATCATCAGCACACGTGGTGCGGTGTCTTATCATGAAGATTCTACGAGTTTCATTACATTTGGGAGTATTGTGGTTGCGTTATCTCGCCTTAAAAATTTGCTTCGTTTACTATTTTTTTGACTATTTCTTTTTTATTTATTTCAAATTGTTATATTTTGTCTTTCAGCTGTACCGACGATGATCATTTCGGAATTTATGGAAAATGGATCTTTAGATAGATTCCTGATGGTAAGATGTTTTGCCTTTTGATTTTTTGGTGAAGAAACCCATTATCATCCAATTTCCTGACTATATTAGGTATAATATAACTAACAGAATATTGCACCAACCGTTCTTGTGTAGTAAATATGCATATCTCTATCACAGCTTGAATATATTCATATCTACTTTCCAGGCAAATCGTGGACAGTTTAGTGTCTTGCAACTTGTCAACATGTTACATGGAATTTCCAGCGGCATGCGGTATTTGTCAGACATGCAATATGTACACAGAGACTTGGCTGCACGTAATATACTTGTTGGGGATGACTATGTCTGTAAAGTATCCGATTTTGGACTATCTCGCAATCTTGAAAACGACCCACACGCCACCTATACCACTCAGGTACGTTAAACTGATTTTGGGCGTCATTTTTAATGACGTCACGTCAATTTAGTATTCAACTCTAACGTCATATGGTGAAAATATGTTACTTATTTATTTTTATACAAAAAAATTATCATAATTTTTAATTTTCAGGGAGGCAAAATTCCTATTCGTTGGACGGCGCCAGAGTGCTTCCGGTACCGACGTTTTACTTCCGCCAGTGACGTTTGGAGCTACGGCATAGTAATGTGGGAAGTTATGTCATACGGAGAAAAACCTTATTGGGACATGACAAATGAACATGTAACGGAATCCATCGAAGATGGATTCCGCTTGCCAGCACCACAGGTAAATTTACTTCCGGGTCTACTTCCTAGTAAAAGGTTATATTCACTTGAATCACTTCTATACTTGAACTTAACTATGGTTGAATTACGCTTTTAAAAGATATGCTTCCGGGTAGGCTTTACCTCAGTAGGTTACCAAAATTGGGGTTAAAAAAAACAAAGAAAAACCACACGCACCTTAAAGTCACTTTAAGCCCCCTAAATGAGAAAAACACATGTTTGGGTAATCCACATAAGCCATCCACTGTTTTCAGTAAACTTCATGACAAACTGTGCTTGGTAAGCTATTACATGCGTTGTTTATCTTTTACCCACGCTTTCACCAATGATAATGGAAAAATCTAATTTCCCCTGCGAGATCGGGATAACGTAAAACGTGTCGAAGTCTTCAAAATAGAATTGCTGGCGAGTATAAATGACATCCTTTGAATAAAAATTGTTGATAAATTATCTCCATATATACTATACGTTTCTAAAGCTAAACGTTGTTTGAGAATTTTCAATAATAAATTAAAATACTTATACTTATATATATCAAGGCAATGTCTATTCATTCTGAATTTCGAAGATTATTGATGAAAGGAAGCCCGGCCCTTATGAAACCTTTAACGAACATTGAATCTAAAAAAAATTTTAAATATATAAAATGTGAATGTATAGGGGTTGTAGTAATGTTTAAAAAGCTGTTATATACCAATTTTTCCTGTTTCTGTATTCTATACAGTACCAGGCGACCATTTTCTAATTCTTAAAGTTTCAATTAGTACCTGAAACATGTTTGTATTATCTACGGATCACACTCGGCCTCGATAAGTTTATATTAGTAAATGGGCAAGTTACCCAATATTTATGATATTCGTCGTAATTTAATTTTAAAGATTTAACAGTCACCTCAAACGATGATAAATGATAAAACGAACTCCTGTAACTAATCAACCCAAGACATTGTTTGCTTAGCAACTCCAAACACAAATTCACGAAAAAGAGTAATTACATATAATGCAATATTTCATCTTTACTAGTTTTACTTACCTTAGCGTTCATTTTTAAGTTTATAGAATTTTATTGGAATTTTAATTTTGGAAATATTCGATGTTACTTGAGATTATAATGTCTACAAACAGGCCCACGTCTGTGAAATGCGGAGACTTGCGTATATTTATGAAATGTTTAAATGTTTGTTGGTAATACACAGTACATACATCCATTTTCTCTTAAAATAACAAAGATTTGTGAAATTTTCAAAGACATAAATCAACACTTCAAAATTTGATTTCGCAATTCATACCAAAATGATACTATTAAAAATCTTTGTAAAATTGGTAAAATCCTAGCATCTCAACTCTCAACTCACAACTCGAAAGACTGAGATAGTCTATGTTTTAATGGGGAGATTCATATCTTTCTTAAGCATATTATTGCTCCGATACAAGAGACCTTTTGTCCAGACCAAATTTTTATTAACTTCGAGGAAGAAACACTCTAAAAACATAGATTACTTTTCTCTATGAAAAAACAGCGTACCTTCAGATTTCCTTATATATATATATATTTTCGACAGGATTGTCCACAAGTACTTCATCGTCTTATGCTTGATTGTTGGTCAAACGATGCAGCTGCAAGACCTACATTCAGAGAAATCTTCATTAGAATGAAGAGATTCGTTCAACAACCGGACATGCTCGTAGATAGAGAACCAATCACAGACCCTGGGTAAGATTTTGCATTGAAATATGTATCTTTTGTTTGAATACAATCCTGGTACTATTACATGTACCTAAACGGGGTTCAAATTTTTAGTTTCCTAGCAAGGGTTAATATTTTCAGGTGAATTTCATTTGGGTAAAATCCTGGTGATATTAGCTGTACTTAAATGGGGTTAAAATTTGACGAGCACAGCAAAGGTTTTTTATCTTACCTTCATCTCGGGTGCGATTGGCTTTTTAATCTCCCATAACATTGTTGATTGCTGCCTTACTTTGTGGTGGAACCTAATGAGTTTTTTTTAGCATTTTGGGAAATTCGAAACATAAATGTGATATAGAAACAAGGAAATATGAATTAACGTTCATGTATTATGAGGTCATTTTTTATATAAATGCACTTATTAAGTTCATAAATAACATATGAATCATGACGTCACTTTTTATTTGTGACGTCACAAATTACTCCTTTTTCAATATGTCTTATGTTACAGATCTGCCTTTCTTGACCCAGAAAGTCCCACCGATCTATCAAAACGTACTCTGACAGTGGACGAATGGCTTGAACTAATGAAATTAGGAGCATATAGACAAAGCTTCCTTGATAACGGAATCAATAACTTATCAGAGATTATACAGCTAACAGCACAGTAAGTAAATTGTTCTACTTAAGAAACATGGAAGCATAGCACGTTGAGCATAGCTCATAATAAATCAAAATGGAAAGATTATAATTCTTTCAAACATAATATATATTCCAAAAAAGCAGAAAAATAGAAAATTTTTAGTCCTGAACATGATATGTCCCACGTTCCGAGCGAACATTGAAATGCACAATTGAGGTTTTTTTCTTTTTTACGTGTCATTTCATTTCAAAAAAATCATTTTTTCTAACAGGGATTTCGAAAGACTTGGAATAAACGAGAACGTCCATCGCACTCGACTACAAAGTGGAATCCAAACTTTACGTCGTCACATAAGCGGAGATAGCGCAAATAATTCCGCTACCTTACCCATGCATAGCAACACCACACCAAAAGAAGTTACATCGGCGACCACTCCAAGAGGAGGGGCAGTCGGAGTCGGCCCAGTAAGCTATAACAAAGAAAACGTTCTGATTGTGTGATCGGGACGCAGTCGGACTTTAATTACACGATTTCGAGTAGGAATCAAATGTATTCTTGCCGTAAAGTGACGTCACGGCATCAAAAACATGACGTAATCGATGGAAGAAAGGAGTGGTATGACAAGATTTGCCGAAAAAACGCACTGCCAAAACAATTGGTGGGACAGAAAGATTACTAGAAAACAAAACAACTCAACAACATCTTGCCTATATTGATTGTACTTTTACCTTGCTTCACAATAGAGAAAACACTTAGCACAACCTAACATATAAAATCTATCTTGTTGTATGTCAAGGATCAATTTTCAACGGATTATTCTCATACAAGTATGATCTATGTATAAAATATACCTTGCTTGAAAACATTGTTCAATATATATTCTTCATTCAAGATTGCTTGCCCGCTTTCGCTGGAAAAAAAAATATGAAAAAAAGGAAAAAAAAAATTTTTTTTGGAAAAAAGTATTCAGTATACAACTTCAAAATACATCTAACATCCAAAAATGTGAGATCCTCTCTCCTTTGAGGATTTTTATTAATGAAAATATATATTTTCAAGGGAAATGGAAAATTATTCGTTTTAAATAATAAGCAAAGTTTTGCACCCTTATGTCAACGACTTAGACGCAAAAGCCCATAACAAAACTAGAAATATAATAACTTGTTTCCATGGCCACGATTGGCCAATCATATGATAGCGTTATGATTTTGATTGTGGCAAGTAGAGTAATATAATATAGAGCCAGGTTAGATTCATGCTTGGCCAATCAGTGATCGTTTATATATGATGTAAAATGATTATTATTCGTACTATGGTGTACAGACTTAATTTTCAAAAAAATTATCTATGATTAATGTGTGGCCGATAAAAAATCGTAATCAGTATTTCCATGTGATATAATTACCTGACAAAGTTAGAGAATGCTTTTGCTGCTATTGCTATTTGAAATATTTAATAAAAATATTAATTTATGTTCATTTTCTATTTGCACTCATTATTATTTGGTGCTGATTTGCATAGAAGTATGTTCGGCATTATAACTTTTCATTCCTGAAAAAAGTTTATCAATGTAATTTATACGTTGCCGATCATGATCATAGATGATAAAGCTATGGACCATGTTCATCCAAACATATTCTAGTTGTTAGCTATTTATAAATACTTGCAAATAAAATGCACATTTTGTACTTTCTCATTTTTTCATATTTTCGTTACAAATATTTTTTTCATAATACTCAGTCTGAAGAAATCATACTCGATTAAACATATTCCGAGATTGATTTGTTTATAGACTCTTCGACTTATTTATCACATTCTATGATTTTGCACCTTTTAAACTTGGATCAAACTGAAAAATGACGTCAGAGCATATCACGTCACTACAATTCACTAAATAGAGTGAATATCCTTAATAATTTTAGTATCATGTGAAAATATTTTTTACATCGTTTTTGGATTCTAATCGGACGAGTTGCATTCAATTTATCATGGCTAATTTTTTTTACCGTTTTTCCATATTTTCTAATTTTTTCTCATCCAACAAATTTTTTTCGGTGCTAGCTCACTCATGACTTTGTAGCTTTGTAATATATTTGCTGATGTGTGCGTCTAAGCTATGTAATATTATTTCTTGCTCTATTTTCCTCTTTTCATTTTCAATTTAAATAAATTATTTGAAAGTATAAAGCAGTTTGTCGTGTGTTTTTGTTGATCCGGTGTATGGTTCGTAATTCTTCGTAATCAGTTTGTGTTTGGTGACAGGATTCCACTTATATATTTAAGATTCATAGTCCGCATATACCACGTAGATATGGAACATAACAATACTGGCAGGATACAATAAGACCAAATTTATTCCAGTATCAATACGTGCTTAACCGAGATGATATTCAGCTATTGTAATAGTTAATAAACGTGCTTATAACGATATTTTGCGTTATTATGGTTTACAAGATTGCAGAATAAAACAAGATAGAAAGGCTCAAGTAGCACGATTATCTAATCTTTTACAGTAGACTAACTGTACCACAGCCTTCACGACTTCGACTAACCACAAGATAGCAACTTACGCGAACGCGGAAACGCCACAAGTTGCGCAATTTGTCATTTTGATGACGTTATCCTATATAGCCGACAGAAAATTTTGAAATAATCAATAGCTTTCCAGCCACAAATACAATCTTCAACCACTCAAATTTTCAAAGCAATTAGTCCAGTAGTTAAAGAGAAAGGTGAAATTTTAATACCAATGAAAAAATTCTAACAGGAACAACATAATACCCAAACGATCTATAGGTCCACTTCGTGTCCAACAAGAGTAGTATGTCTTGGTTATTGGCTGTGAGAAGGATAACGTCACAGAAGTCACAGAGTTTGCATAGCAGCATGTAAATTGTCAACTCATAAACACAACATAATATAATTGAGCTAATTTACTAATAATTAGTGTCGGGCCCTTCTTGTGATTGTAAAATAATAATGCCTAAATGCATTTGCACATGTACAGCAATAAAACAATCTGATTAGATTTGAAAACTTGCAAACAAAATGAAATTGGGAAATCATATTACAATGACCTTCGTGACGATAAATATGTGATTTCACAAGAGCACGAAGGCATTATGTGCAGATGGGGCGTATTGTGTAGATATAAATGGCCCAAACAAAGCAATTGCTTTGATTTTTTCCTGTGATAAATCATCCCACTAAGTCATTGGTAGATATATCACCTATGTGTGATGGTGTACCACTGACATTATTTTACATCTCTCACTAGTCTCGCCATGGTAATCTGCATTTTAACTAAACACGGCACGACAGGAAACGGTGTATATATGTTGTTTTTCTAATACGTCAAGCGGTCCTTATTCCGACTTTTCTAATAACCCCGCACAATACAATTCTAGCAAACTTTTCATTTAAAATTAATTTTCCGTATCAATATATGCGCAAGTTATGGCAAAATAGTGACTGATATTGAGTTTCACAATCAGTCCTTTATTTACTGCGTGCATTCGTCTGTGACAAATGTACGTGTCATTGGTCCCGTAAAAGTCATGTATACACATAAAGATACTAATTCGGGTTGTAGGCCGCGTTTTTACACAAATAGTCAGGTTAACAACACCGTCAATTTTAATTTTGAATTAAGTGTTACAGAAGGACTGGAACAAAACAAGACATTCAAGGATAACAAAGTGGCATGCGATACAATAATAAATATGCAAAAACAAATGGGAAATATAGCTTCGTGGTGATTAATAATTAGTTATACATGTGTCCATTCAAGCCATATTTTTTTGCTCCTTACCGCCACCAAACAATTCGGCCACGTGGTGCGCCAAAGATCGATAATCGATGCGGCGCGTACATTTGATTTGTCCTTCAGTTGTTTGCGTTGCTACGTGTTGGAGTTGTCCTTGTTTGTTCTCTGTTTCAATTTGATATTTTACGTTACAATTTTATTGAAGTTACTACTGAAGATTCTTTCGACTCAGCGAATTTCGACGTCTTGAAGATGGCAACAACGGTACGTGCCAATGTTTTAAACCGCGTTGATCAGGAGAATCCTGCCAAAGGTAAATCCGCCGCAATTATCAAGAAAAGAACCGCCAACCCAGTTACCAGACATGCACTAGGATCAGTTACTAATCAACGTTTTGGCAGCAAAAATATTGGCGTCAAACAAGAACTGAAGAAACCTGTCACAGCCAGACAAAGGGTTACAGCTTTGAAGGTCAGAGATAACAAAAATGTGGAAACGAAACAAATACCAGTTAAAGATGCCGAACCTGCTCCAATGGAAATGGGAACACCCAGTAAAATTCCAGATGTTGAAGAAAAAAACATTTTTGACAGATCCAGCAAACCAGAAATTGAAAATATTGATGAAAATGATGCAGAAAATCCACAGCTCTGTTCAGAGTTTGTGAATGAAATCTATCAATACATGCTTTACCTTGAAGCCGAATATCCCGTCAAAAAGCATTATCTTAAAGATACGTCATTAAAGTCTCGAATGAGATCAATTTTGGTAGATTGGTTGTTTCAAGTCCATCAGAGATTTGGTCTTCTGCAGGAAACTCTTTACTTGACAATCGCGATTTTGGATAGATTCCTTCAGCTTCAGCCAGTCGTCCGTACTAAATTGCAATTGGCTGGTGTTACTGCTATGCTATTAGCGTCAAAGTATGAGGAGATGTATGCTCCAGAAGTGAGCGATTTTGTCTATATCACAGACAAAGCTTTCACCCGATCCCAAATTTTACAAATGGAAATTTTCATCTTGAAAACCCTGGATTTTAATCTGGGCCGTCCACTCCCATTACATTTCCTGCGAAGAAATTCTAAAGCAGGTCAAGTTGATGCTAACCAACATACTTTGGCAAAATACCTCATGGAATTGGCAATGGTAGACTATGAAATGTGCCATGTACCACCATCAAGACTTGCTGCAGCTGCACTCTGTCTCTCAACAAAATTGCTTGATGACAATGATTGGACCCCGACTTTGGAACATTACAGCAGATATTCTTATGAACAATTAGCTCCTGTTGTGTGTCATTTGGCTAAAAATTTAAAAGCTGCTGAGACGAGCACATATTTAAATGCAATTCGTAACAAGTACTCCAGCCATAAGGCTTTCAAAATTGCCCTGATTGATGAAGTAAAATCACCGTTAGTCGCTGAACTGGCTGAAAAAGCCGCCACAATCGTATTGTAAATTAGCATCTATGTTTGGCTCAAATAAATGACTGAATTCCGGTCCATGTAGGTTAGTGTCGGGCTCTATGGCTGTTGAATGATTTCGGATCTCATCCGAACCGTGTTTTTATGTATATATGTTCAGATTCTGAGCAGACAATTTATTGTCAAGTGTATTTTGTGCACTTTTTAATCTCTTGTATTGTAAGCATTTTTCAATAAATCTCAGTGTATGAAGTTTCATGTTTTAATAAAGTGATTCAAGCAGTTAGAAATTTTTTCACATGCACGTTCCCCTGAATATGATGTTGATTAAAGGTAATATATGGGTCATCCATTCTTGCTGGATCTGACTAGGATGTTTTGCTTGTTTTTGAAGCCATTCTCGCTGGATCTGACTGGAATGTTTTGCTTAGCAGCAATGGATCTATATTTGTGTTATTCTCTCGTATATTAAGTCATTTATTAGCGGTACCTGTTCCTCTGTGTCTAGTCATTTGTTAACAGTGATTGCTTATTGCTTTTTAAAGATTTAGGCCATGATTTTTGAGGCATTATGAAACACTAAAGTAGATCCAGCTGTCGGCACGCTGGAATGGCAAGACAGATTGATAGTGAGGTAGGTAATTGACCCGGGAGGGTGAACAAGATTCTGCATTACGAACAAGTTACTGGGGTTTAACAGATTATGATGCCATTGTTTGTCTCCATTGAATCAAGATTTTACAGCGGTGCAATATGTACACAATACAGCTGACCTCAAAAAAGATGAACTTTGGAAAGAATGATCTGCTATTGTTAGTGTAGAGATATCTTTTTTCGAGACAAAATTTGGCCAGGTCATAACTTAGTGGAAGTCTCCAGTTATGCACTGGACTGGCAGTATAAAATCACAGTACTGCAATAGCTTCATTGTTGCAGCGTTATAGGCATCAAATCAAAATGCCAACAAAAATCAGTCCATACCTCATCAAGTAGGAGGCTTGAAATTTCGGAACAATGTTGTGGCATTTGCAAAAATTCAGTTTTTTTTTTTATTTCTTACCTGGAACACCACAATCTGACAATGTCGTTTTTCGGTTTCAAATTATCACTAATTTTCTGACTGACTTCACCAGTATGAGGTATTAACAACTGTTGGAATTATCAAACAAATTACCCTATTAAGCTTTGTCGTTCCTGAGGTGTTGTGACTCAGATGATTTTAATACATTCAGACATAGATCTATTATGTGTGTAATTAATTATATTATGAAACACCGTATATTTAACTGAACATTTTATTTATGATGAATTGCAATTTTATTTAAAATGGTAAAAATATACCATTTTGCCCAGAAATCTTCTAGTTGCCTGGTATCAAATGGACCATTTAATTTCATATTCATTCTCGATTTCTAACAAATTTTTATTTGGATATATGCTGTCTTGAGTATTAGTTCCCTGGCAGTTTGACTATCACAAGATTGCTTTCAACTTCGAACGGAAAACTATTTTGACAAATTTACCCAAATATTAAATTTAAGCCCTAAAGTTCTCTGGTAAACATGGCACAGTCTGAAACATACTTGACTGAACCAAATCATTTGAGGTACTTGATCATTGGCAAACAAACTGTTTCTAAGAACAGAAACCCACTTTTTCATGCACTTGTAATTTATCTTCATCAACAATACATGAATGAACCAATTTGCATAAAGGAAAATAGATCACTGATGCCTTTGATTGCTAAATTTCATTCACTTGTTTCTGAAATTGGCATTGCACATTTGAAACTGACGCAAATGTAAATATTCAAAGTCATGCTCCAAGAAGCATGACCCTTGGAATAAATGCAACATGTTCAGTAAAACTGAGCAAATAAATTTATGGGAAGTGAAGGTGCTTCTGATTGGGACTGACAGTATTGCATGTTTAATGATGCATTGACACACTCTGTTTGATGGCCAGGATAGTATTCATAATATGGCACTTTATACTAAGATCCAACTTTTTATCTATCATCAAGTTTACTTCAAGCAAATAGATCAACTATTAGACTAAAACTAAAGGGAGATATCATATAGCAGCAGTTCCCAGCCCGAGCAGTTAGGGAGGGGATCTACAACACTGGGTGCAAAATTGATTGAATGCTATTTCGTTTGCACATTTTTTCTTAAAAGTTCCTGTTCTCTCTCGTTTCATTACCCAATAGGATTATTTCACAGAGTGTTTTCACCTTATGCGACATGAATTGTTTGATCATAATTTGGGATTTGAGCTCAACCAACACCTTTGTGCTCCGCAAATTTTAACCTTTGTATTTAGTTAGATGCCATCTGATCTGCTAACGGTCGAAACCAGTCTGCGTATAAAGTTATAATGACAGTTTCACAAATCTGCTAGATATCTATAGACTATAATAAACTTATTGTAGGCCGAAATAATGTTTTTAAATTACTAATATTCGCAGGAAACATATTTGGAACAATGATTATGTTGCCGTTGGTATTACCAAAGTAAATCGAGATGGCCTACAAAGTGTGCTTATATTTTTGGAGTTGCGAACAGTGGGGCTTTCGAAAGGGGGTCACAAGCCATATTAGGTTGGGGAACCACCTTCATAACACACTGCCATTGGTACATTGTGTCAGATTTCTAGCATTGTTAGAATTGGACTGAACTATTTGCCGCTTTTATGTGAAGGTGGGGGTTGAATGAACCTAATTTCATATTATTCCACAACATTACACAAGCAGCTAATTGCCAAAACCAGTTATGCACTGCATAAGTTACTACTTTGATATCAGACTCCGGTAATCATATGATAGACCTGTAACTAGATTAGCCATGTTGTTGGCTTTCTTTGGGAAATGGAGAATGCTAATGTAGTTGTTTGGTTGAACTTATTTCTTATTGGCCACCAAAGTGAAAATATGAATAGTGAAAGAAACTGTCATGAGCAGAAATAAACTTTTACTATGGGTATCTGTTAAATGAGCCAAAGTATGCACGTTTGACAAACTGGAATTTTTTATGTTCAACTTTACTTTTTGTCGGAAAGTGCTCGAAAGCACAGCTCTAAAGTGAGTAAAATTGATTTTGAGTTTCGTCACCTTTGACCCCTGTTAATCAAAGCTCCTGTGTATTTTTTCGAATTATTAGGAAAATATGCCACGCAATATGGTTTCAAATATATTCATTTGGTTACATTGATAAGATGAATATCCTACAGGGGTGGTAGCACCAAAGTCATATTGGGGGTGTCCAAAAAGGGCTGACAAAATGCGGTCGTTGCGTGTCACATTGGGGGTGACAAACTAGGGTCGTCGAGTCAAGTTAGGGGTGACGAAAACGGTCGGGGCGTGTCAGATTAAGGGTGGCAAAATACGGTCGGTGCGTGTCAGATTGGGGATGACGAAATACGGTCGCTGCGAAGAAACCGAAGATTTGATTTCTGCATGTCAGAATAGTAGCAGCACGTTTTGAACTGGACATCTATAATATCAAACATAGCGTATATTCCGGTAATTTTATGAAAAATATATATGTATCATAGTTAAATATGGTTTTGTATTTCAACTAAAATTGAACAATTATCTTTTTTACTTTCGCATACACTGATACTGAACGTTTTTACACTTGGAATAAGTTATAGGTATTATCAAATAACAATAAACATTATATGTCCTCTCGTGAATTTTTTTCAATTCTAAAAAATTACAATTTTGGTTGGACGATATCTGGAAAACCCCCTATAAATGCAGCAATACGACAAACTGAGAAAAAGGGGGAGACGTAATAGATTCGATTTTATCGTGGCAAATAAGTAGCAGCACGGTTTTACATGGCCGTATGTATTTCCAAACATAGCGTATAAATGTAACATATTTTAAAGAGAGTGCTTCCGAGAATCGCTTCGTTTATTTTTCTCGAGATGACATTGACATTGATCGATTTGGATAAAACACAAAACCAATTCAAAATATTTTACGTATGAATTGTTGAAATATCAAAGGATATGCGCTGTGTTTGGTATAACGTGCTGCTGCTGTTCTACTACGATGAAATGGAATCTATGAGGGTTTTTCTTTTCTTCCAAGGTGTCATAATACTGCCCTTATAAAACGTTTCCGAGATATATCCATTCCAAAAACGATATATTAAAAATTTTGAAAAGAGTCTACGGGAGAGCGTGAATTTTTTTTTTTTTTTGTTCATTTCAAAGTAAGGTATCCGCAACTCATTCCAACTTTGATAGATGTCCAGTGTCAATTTATGACAAAGTTAAGAAGATAATTGTTCAACTATTTAGAATATTTAGTTGAAATACGAACCTCTTTAAAGTAAGTTACATTTGAGTTACAAAATCGAAGAATATACGCTACGGTTGGTATTATATGCGACCTTGTCAAACCGGTCTGCTACTGTTCTGCTATGATGAAATGGAATCTAGAAGGGTTCTCCTTTTTTTCTAATATTTCGTAATGTTGGTTTCATTGGAGGATTTTAAGAAATCGACCAACCAAAACTGTAATTGTTCAAAATAAAAAATAAAATCCACGAAAGGCCTTATAATGTTTATAGTTATTTTATACCATTCCTAACTTATTCCAAGTGTAATAGACGTTCCGTATTGGCGTATGATACGGCAAAAAAGGTAATTGTTCAATTATGTATTAAATTTATTTGAAATACAAAACCACTTTTAACTATGATAAATATATATTTTTCATAAAATGTGTACACTATGTTTTTGGTATTATATATGGCCAGTTAAAGCGTGCTACTACTATTCTGCCACGATGAATTAGAATCTACAAGATTTCTTTTTTTCTCCCAATATGTTGTAATGCTGGCTTTATAGTAGGTTTTCGAAAAATCGCTCATGCAAAACTGTAAATTTTAGAATTCACGAGGTGGCGTAAAATGTTTTTTTTTTTATTTATTTTATACTCTCCGATACTTGTTTTAAATGTATTAGACGTTCAATATCAAAGTAAAAAGATACTTGTTCAATTTTCAGTAAATTTAGTTACATAATTTATTTAAACTATGATACATTTATATTTTTCATTAAATTATTTGAATATGCGCTATGTTTGGCAATATATATGACCATGTTGAACCATGCTGCTGTTCTGTCATCATAATGAAATCGAATCTATAGAGTTTCCCTTTTTCTTTGAATATGTCGTAATGTTGGCTTTATTGGAGGTCATCGAGAAATACCTGCCTAAAAACGAGTCATTAGATCAACTGTAATCAATCATTCTCATAATACTGGTTTT